AATTAGCTGCCTATTTCGCTAAAACCTGAGAAGACCTACGGGATTTAAGGTGCGATGTCCAGCCCCCGGTTTCTTCACACAACTGCTGCATCAGCTATGCATCAGCCACAAATCAGCCATAAATCAGCCATTCTGTTAGATCCATGCGATTCCAGCCTGCAAACCATCTATACCAAGACCCACATATATGATTAGATAAGTGATTGGATACCGGATTGCGAGGTCACTTAGCTAGACCTTCAGGTCCAGCTAGACCTCCCAATCCAACTATTAGCAACATCATGACCTTGACCTCATACTCGAGTATTATGATTGATCGTTCAAGCCTGTTCTAACACATGGTCTTTCTTGCTGTATGGTTAGCTTTGGCCTTAGTCGGCTTCAGCCTTGCTTCACCTTCTGGACAGACTGTTAGTTTCGAGTTGAACTTAGGGACATATGGAGAAGCCTGCGAGAGAGCTTGGCGTCGTTTTACCAACCTTCACAGGGCCCTTGAGTAGCAACCGCTTTTGACTGCCTGCTGCGCCTCGAGCGTGTGCCATGCTTTTGCCTGAGACGAAATGTTAGCATAGGGTCGGGTCCTCGGCCACCTTGAGCTAAGTGAGGGTAACTTACTGTGACAATTGTCTTGCAGAAGCCCTCTTCTGGTATCATATACTGGAAGTGCTGACAGGATCGAGATAATTTAAAGATGTCGTTGACGTCCAAGTCCCTCGCAATGTATGCCATAACCTCGTATGGCAGGGTTTGCAGTCCACAAGTATTTTTAGCAGCCATTCAAAAAGCAGTCTGAAGAATGTCCCACAGGTCCAGTTGAGATAATGTCTCTGGAAGATTTCCGAGTTGGGTGCGTGGCCAATGACCAAGTTCACAGAGTAGAGATAACCCATGAGACCCCTGGATGGTAAGCCTCTCGCCTACCACCACAGGAGGATTGGCGATATCTCGGCCCCTGGTAATAGGAAGCAGCTCATACTTTTTAGGGGCAAGAGACACCTTGTTGTTATCTCCCCACTGTAAAACCTGCTTAAGATCGCTGGCTAAGAGTCCTACGTTACGTTGTAGCGAGTTAGACACCCTATAAAGCGCTATATCGTCTACATATCCGAAGTGTAGGTCTGGATCTTGTTGTAATAGCTCAGCCAGGTATAGCATGTAGAGTTCTGGCGACCATGGCGAGCCCTGGGGAGTGCCGCAATGCACTTCCCTAAAGTCCGTAGATGTTCGTTCCAGGCGTACCTTTGCACGCCATTTCTCTAGAAAAGACCGCACCAATTCTAGGCAGTCTATCGACCAGCCCTGCTTTCTTATCCACAGCAGCAAACGCCTCCTTAACAGGGTGTCAAACGCACCCTGTACATCTAGCGTAGCCATCGAGACCTTGAGGCCCCTGGCTAGTGCTGCCTCCACGTCATGGGTAAAAGAGGCCACCAGGTCCATGCAGGCCCGTTTCGGAAGAGCGCCGCCGTGTTGTGGGCTGAGCACCCCTTATGAAAGTACTGTCTAAGCCATCCTCTTGGCTAACAGCCGCTCCAGGCCCTTGCCTAGGCAGGAGAGCAGCGCAATTGGTCTCCAAGACCGCACCGAAGAGCGGTCTATCTTCCCCACCTTAGGGATCATTGATACATCAGCATCACAGCCCGACTTCAATGACGGTATATGGAAGGCGGAGGCGCTGCACCGCAGCAAGGGCGTCATTCTTCTGTAATGATACTTAGCTTTCAATGGGGGTAGGTAGTCGTACGGCTACCCTTGCATCTGTGATTAAAAGCCTAAAAGCCTCACCAACGCTAGTTAGGAATGCTGCATCACCCACACATCAGCCGCGCATCAACTATGCATCATCATCTGCAATCATATCATAGCCCTTATCTCCATTGCATACACCTTGGAGCAGAACGGATTCACAATGGGAAGAGTGAAAGCCCGTATTTTCATACTCGGGAGGGGCGGCGCGGTATCACGAAGCAAGCATCGTTCTTACTGCAACCGCCATAGCACCACTACCACTACTCCTAACAGCAGGACGCGAGTTACCGATAATCAAACAAGTCGTAAGTGGCACAGAGGCCACGAAAGCCATTATGGGAAACGATACTGCACCTATCGTATGCCGAATTTACCCTCAAAGCCGACAAACATGGGGGCGGTTAGAGACTAATATTGGGCCGTTCTATAAGGTCGGGCCGGGGCTCCCAATATCTTTGGTCGGCAAGCCGATATGTATCCACTGATTGGTTATATGAGCACCGTTTCACTCGCCTTGCTACGTGTGACTGATCTCATGTAGATCCTTCAGGCCATATGGGCCGAGGCTTATAATGGGCAGGATACAGTCTAAGAGACTGCAAATAACAATACAAGGCTTAGAGTATGAGTAAAGTGGTTGTCGCATGGCGTAGCAAGAATTTAACGGAACATAAAGCGCCGTGGTAGGTCAGACCGGTTGGTTTCCTTTAGGTAAAGGTAATCCTTCCTGCCCTATGCCAAGAAGACGGGACTAAATTCTTAACTTTTACAGATCATATCCATTGCGTCTAGCTTGGCAATGTCCTTAGTATAGATACATAGCGTGGTCACACCGGCTATATCAGGTCAGAGAGTCACGACGTTTGCATTCCATCCCAGTCGGCCTGCAGAGGAATGTCATTGTACCAAGGAACAGAGTCACAAAATTAATTATGACGTTGAACGTGGGATCCAAGGATGGTCGCGTATGCGGCGTCTAAAGGCATGCAAAGTTACACTGTTTGTCAAACTGCCGGATCCCAGCCTGCATCACCTGCTTGGCGGAATTACGTTCCTTGCAGCCATCCTTGCAGCCATCCTTGAATGCATGAATACTGCATCTGGTGACAGGGCATTCTACCCTCCTACCGTGTTGTTTCCGGGGCTCTTGAACAATTGCAAATCAGATACCCCAATGCCAGTCAAGGAGCCTAGCACACCTGGTGTGAGCTAAATGATTCTAGCGTCGGACCGTTTCGCTCTGTCGGGTCGAATGGTCGTGTCACAGCTATAGATTCAAGCTCGGAATAAGTCTGGTGTTTGCCACGCCATAGCCAGTGTCGATCATGACCATTTAGTCCCCAATTCTCCGCAAGGGAGGTGATATTGGCCCGACTGTATGCGGAGGCGTGGCGTGACCGAGCCAACGTCGAAGGCATTCCCTTGCCGTGACCAAATGTGGTATAAAGGCCGACCAATATGGAGAGCAGGACCACTAATGTCGGGCGTTCTGTATAGTCGGGTCCGGACTTTCATTGTCTTTGGTTGGCAAGCCGAGATGTACCCGTTGATCGATTGTACGGGCCTCCCTAAACTCGCCTTGCGACGTGTGATGGATCGCATGCAGATCTTTTAGGCCGCATGGGCTGCGTCTTACTGGCGGCATGATAGAATTCAAGAGACTGCCAATGGGAATAGGAAGGCTCTGATGTAGATTCAAGGTTAGCTACCAGTGAGCCTAGAGTCTATTTTCCAGCCATGACATTTTTATGTCCGGGGAAAGCATACCATATACGGGACTTATATCACAAGCAAGCTGTTCATCTCGTAGCGCAACCAGAAGTTGACGATAACACAATCGCCGTGGTTGGTCAGTCTGGTTAGCCTCTGTTGATGGGTGAGCAGGCTATTACAGACCTATTGTCACGAGACATGACATTCACGCATGTAAGGGTGCAAGGAATGCAATCCTTGTAGGGATAGAGAGCAGCCGGGGGTTCGGTGACGCCAAGCATGTGACTTGAACCGGAATTGGGATGGACCAAATTCCATGACTCTTCTGATGTAATCCTTTAACCTGAAATAACAGGTGTGAGATGAATCTCAGACCGTTCCGCTCTATCGGGTCAGGACTTGCCCAGACATTGGTCCAACGGTTGCCCCATGCATAAGCCAAATATGGTCTAACCGCAGTTAGTCTGACAGGGATATGATTGCTGCTTGCAAGTCAAAAGGCTGGCCATACAGAGTAATTCGCGGCTTGGAGACCAAGCGGCAAAAGTAGGACTTATCGTAGCAGGACAGTTCTGGTGTCGATGCAGCGGCTTACTTTCGCATCAATGGTGAAGACAGCCTCGGGCTAACCTTGGCTAGTATTCATCTACAGGGTCAAGGATAATTTCTGGTAGTCTAATGCAGCCATGTCATGTTGCATTAAGCAGATACCGTGAACTCTTTGTCCTATCTTATATATAGTCAGTGCTTAGATATGTTGGGTATTGTCGTTAGATTGACGACCTAAAAACCCTTAGAATCCCACCGACCGATCACCTGTTCCTGCCTTGAGGTCGGAACAAATCCAGTATTTGCCGTGCCATCATATCTGAAGGAACCTGTCGCCAAGAAAATCCCGTCCCTGGGTTGCCCTCACCTGCTCGGCAGATCAAGGAATCCTGTATAAAATTATGTATTTTGTTAACATTCGTGCCTAGCACAGGAATTTCGGCTTCATAAATATAGTTCCCTGGGACGCTAGCTTCGATCTCTTCCCCTGGAGCGTCCATCGAAGAGTGATCCCAGTGCCATGACCCGGCACCCCCCATCGCGTTGCTTGATTTGAATGGCTGTGTCGGCTGCGAATCATGCCCTATCTCCATCCCAGCGCCGGCTACCAATGGTGAGCAGTTCCCCAACCCGTCAAGACTGTTGTTTCACGTACCTGGTAGAGAGACCCGAGCGAGTGTGTGCATTGGGTCTTCGTGGCCCTGCATAGGGTCTGTCACGGCGGCACATATAGTATTCAAAGCCGGGTCGTAGTGGATTGAGTCGTGAGAATTGCAGCATTCCGGGTCATTACAACCATCAGACTGCTGGTGGTTGACGAACAGGTCCTCCTCGGCAGGTAGGCTAGAATTTTCTCGGCTTGTAATGCTCTCAGTCTCGCTTCCCTCACGAGTGTTCTTGTACTTCCGGGCTAGTCTCGGACGTTTTGTGCGGGCATGTCGACCTGAAGAGATCGGATTGGTCCATGCTGATGCAAGATGCCTGTAAATCTACTCCATAGTAAGCTACCTTGATCAGTAGACACGTGGTTCGCGCTGTGGCAAGACCGCAAGCCCAGGCCTACCTCAGTAGCGTCCGGCAATGACTGCCCTTTGGGAACGTGCACCGCCTTTTCGAAGTGGTTGTGGGTCGGGTTCCAGTAGATGAGGGCTATGAGAACGTTTGCTATTTCACCCAATTCCACCGTCTTTTTTTGCAAAGACGTGCCTCGTTTCCAGACCTTGTCTTTCTGCTTCTTGTTGTGTGTGTTTCGCCGCTTAGCCATGGCGTGAGCGAGCTAGATTCGATGATGTTGGGGCAGATAACGCATCGACTCTTGTATGTCTCAGCGTCTACAACCAATAGATAGAGATACGTGCCTATGCGTGAGGCCAAGCTTTGAACCAGCTGCAATTTGCTTTGTTCTTAACCAGAGCGAGTCAAGAAGCCAATATCTGCCCTGATATCACCATTATTGTCCATAAATAGACACATCTCCAGATTTAGATGTTTGTCATTGACAAGCTTGCCGCCGGTCCAGCACGTCAAAAGTTGAGCCATTGCTGGATCTTATTACTAGGTGTACCCTATTACTCCTGCCCAAGGCCTGGTTTCTAGGTCTGGCGTTTTCTGCGGAGGATTTTTTCTGGAGGTACACTATAGAAACTATTAAAAGAAAATGTCAGATCTAGAGGAAGAGCGTTTGTACGGTTCTAAGTTTAGACCTACTTAGTGGACTTTCTCAGCTGTTCCTATGTGAACTCTGCAAATCTAATTTGCTGTGACAGGCTCTAACCTATATGAATTATAACAAACAAGAGGTTCATGATATATATCTTGCTATGATTCTAGCTTATCACGTTCTTATGATTTAAGTTTAATCATAGAGCCGTATCCTTTTGCTTTAAACTTTAAACATTATCGCATCCTTACTTGGCCATCTCGTTCACAGTTATATCTCTTTTATTACTAGACTCAAGCTAGCAAGAGAGACAGTAACCGCAAATGGCATACCAACATCTAAAAGAACCGAATACATATTACTGGCCTGGGACATCATTAACGTTGGGCCACTGGTACCCTTACCTGGGAGTCAACGGTGTCTTGTTAGGGTACATGGACGATATCGACCTCCCATTACTTTCCGATCAGCCGGTCTGCTTGCCATTCGACCAAATCACGGCCAGCAAAGCTTTACTCGATTCTCCAACCTTTGTCCCACCGCCGCACCCTCCTTCGCCAGGAACCTTGCATCCCGCACTATATCACCAGCAGTTATTTTCTGCAAATTCTACGTACGCGCCCACCAATACTTCCTGCGATAGTATGTGATCTGACTCATATGAGAAGATGGATCGTTCCAAGCTTCTTCTCATCACTCATTAACCTCGTACCTACCCATCATGGCAGTCAGGGTGCTGTGATAACTCTCGGTCGGAACCAAGAGGGCAGCCAGATCCGTTCGGAAGAACAGGCCCCAGTTGATGAGCAAGATGGCGATGAAGATGGTCACAGCAAGCCACTCGCTCATCCAGATATAACGGTGGCTGCTTCCGGCAATTTCAGATGTGACCATCCGGATTGCCTGAGGATGCGGAAGAGAGCTTTCAAGAGGCACGAACACCTGCAACGACATAAATTGACGTAAGTATGAGCACAGTCGTACCACCGGGACCTGGTTGACAGTGTCGTTAGCGTCCACAAGAAAAAGGTCACAGTCGCTTGTCCATTTTGCAGTCAGGCTTACAACCGAACAGACAATTGGCGACAGCACCTCAAGCTACATTGCAGACAAGGGGGCACGAGTGCCCGGGTCCCATTTCACCATGAAGCCCCGGTGTTCCTGGCGGCTGAGATGACAAAGATCGCACGACACCGTCCACATGGCCACAAGGGGGCAAAGGGGTGAAGGGCAATGCCGATATTTCCTGGGACCGCAAAAGATCATCGCCTCAATTAGAATTACGCGAAACCGCCGGTAAATGAGGAGTGGGTGGAGATTGGAAGATGGTAGTGAGTGGCGAGCAAGGAGGGGCAGGGGGGGAGGGGGTGATGGAATAGTCAGAGCTGCGAATTAATAATAAAAAGACCCTTACCACCAGTGAGCATATAAGAGAGTGCACTTCCCGCCTGTTGTGAACCTCAGTTTGGCTCAGCAGGGCAATTCCCTCCACAGGAGTCCTGTTCGAGTCTTTTCCTCCTCCTCCTCCTCCTCCTCCTCCTCCTCTTCTTATGATAGGAGTTGAGGAGTTGAGGAGTTCATCCTGTGCTCCAGCATCGGGGTCTGTTTGAGGCATCTCCAGACCCGTGACTGTCGAGTTTCTTGCTCTAACACCGCTATCTGTTCGAGCCGTCTCCAGATCCGTGACTGTCGAGCGTCATGTTCCGGCACCGAGGTCTGTTCGAGGCATCTCCAGACCTGTGACTGTCGAGTCTCTTGTTCCAGGACCGAGGTTTGTCTGAGGTACCTCCAGATCCATGACTGCCGGGCCCAATGCTGCAGTCGCAGGCGGCAGATGTTCCTCTTTCCAACCAGTCGCCGAGAGTCGCCCTGCCTGTCCGCTGTGCAGATATGCCATCCCCTATATTTGCCTGTCTGAGCAAGCTCCAGGTCTAGAATGAGATTGGCGCGATTGGGAATAGCTAGAGACTGGGCCTCTATTTATCATACAAAGTCGATGCAATGGCCTGAGACTTATTCCCTTCCTTTCCCCTTAGCTTTGCCAGATAAGACCTCCACCCTTCAGGGTTGGTCTTGATATGGGCATCGGGCGTGTGTGGCTTTCTTGCTATTTGGCGCGATATTGAGGCTGCAGCTTGTCGCTTGACCACCTCTACTATGATGAGGGCCAGTTCAGTGCGCATAAACTCTATCACAGCCTCTCCGGCCAATGGCTTCTAGCGCTTCCGATACGGACAATCCGTGTATTTTTTAGACCTGACGAGTTCTTCCATGAAGTATCTAGGTCTTGTGCTGATATGAAGCCGCAGCGGACGTCTCATCAGCTTATATTAGAATGACTGCAGTACGCTATACTACGGCAGGACATTGCCAGAAATACCCGTGACTTGATGGGTAATAGCCGTGGTGTTGGATTCGCCCGGTAAGTTCAATCATCACACCGTCAACAGGCCTGGTCATACTGACAATCTTCCTAGCTTCAAGTCTCGTGAGCTGTGCGACGAGATCATCAAACGATTCAGTGGATTCAAACTCGGCTGTGAGGGTCTGCCTATATAGATCCGCTATGCTGATACTCCCGCACAGAAAGAGCTCAAGTGTGCTACTTCGGGTTGTCAACAGTTCCAAACCAACGGGTATAACGTTCGCGCTTATGATACCCCGCTTGTTGGTCTGTCTCCTACCATCTACAACCAGCCCATTTTCCAACGTGGAACAAGCGGAGCTAAGTATGCGACTTGCCTGTCCTTAAATCTATCGATTATTTAACTAACATGCTTGTGATTAATAGTGTGTTCAGCCCTCGCTGTCCTCCCTTTGGTAACAGTCGTGGTCAGGGACGTGGTGGTATGGGTGGCAGAGCTACTCACTAAGCTGCCCGACCCGTGTCTCCTGTCTGGACCTAGCCCCAGATTGAGTACTAAACATCTCTCCTGGTAGACCGAGCCATGTTGCCTCTAGCATGGTGGCGTTTTCGGAGGATGGTTTGTGCAATGAAGGTGTTACGATCCATGTTGAGCTACATGCTATAGGGGTCTTTGAGAAATGCCTCCAGCTGCGACACTATCCTACAGTCTGGCGTGATGCTGATGTATCAATGATCCCTAAGGTAGGGAAGAAAGACCGCTCTTCAGTGCGGTCTTAGAGACCAATTGCGCTGCTCTCCTGCCTAGGCAAGGGCCTGGAGCGGCTGTTAGCCAAAAGGATGGCTTGGACAGCACTTTCACAAGGGGTGCTCAGCCCACAACACGGCGGCGCTCTTCCGAAACGGGCCTGCATGGACCTGGTGGCCTCTTTTACCCATGACGTGGAGGCAGCACTAGCCAGGGGCCTCAAGGTCTCGATGGCTACGCTAGATGTACAGGGTGCGTTTGACACCCTGTTAAGGAGGCGTTTGCTGCTATGGATAAGAAAGCAGGGCTGGTCGATAGACTGCCTAGAATTGGTGCAGTCTTTTCTAGAGAATAGGCGTGCAAAGGTGCGCCTGGAACGAATGTCTACGGACTTTAGGGAAGTGCATTGCGGCACTCCCCAGGGCTCGCCATGGTCACCGGTACTTTACATGCTATATCTGGCTGAGTTACTACAGCAAGATCCAGACCTACGCTTTGGGTATGCTGACGACATAGCGCTTTATAGGGCGTCCAACTTGCTACAGCGTAACGTAGGACTCCTAGCTAGCGATCTCAAGCAGGTTTTATAATGGGGAGATGATAACAAGGTGTTCTTTGCCCTTGAAAAGTGCGAGCTACTTTATATTACCAGGGGCCCAGACACTGACAATCCTCCTGTGGTGGTAGGCGAGAGGCTTACCATCCATCCTGTACGGGAGTCGGAAGGCAGTGAGAAAAAGCCGGCATTGCGGTGGTTAGGGGTATGGTTCGACCGAAAGCTAACCTTGAAGAGACACGTTGCCAAACGTACGTGCAAGGCAATGCAACTCTGCAAGCACATACGCAACCTAGCCAACACGAAGAACGGTCCACCAGCATCTGGGCTACAAAAGGCTGTGATCACATGTGTCATCCCAACAGCGCTGTACGGCATGGAGGCATGGTACAGCGGGCGGAAAAAGCCCGCAACTCATTTTTCTTCAGCAGGCAAGGCAGAGGTCAGTGCCCATGTAGGAGGGCACATTGCCATGATACAGCGAGCCCTCACCATGGCAGCGCGTGCGGTGCTCCCTGTATGGCGGACCACCCCTACCTACACGGTCTACAGAGACGCCGGACTCCCAACGGCGGAGACAGCTCTGGACCAGGCCCTGTGGCGCTTTGCGTACAGGCTTTGAATTGTGGACTTAGGGCGTGCAAGGCATTTGTCGAAGTCGGCAGCATGGGGCTTCTTGCAGTTAACGCATTTTGGGATTGGTATTTCGCACTCCCCCTGGTGTACCGCGCTGGCGCAACGTGCGCATACTTGCTTTTCACATCGGTAGTTTCTACCATGGTATCTAAAGCAGCTCGCACACTGGTAGACCTTGGGGGCGTATTGAATGTGCCTTGAGGTCATCGAGTGAGCAAAAAGCGTGAATGGTTTCTTCGCTGCACGGGGCAGAGAGATCAGCCATGTGGTCTCCGGATCGGAATCAACCGTGTTCCTTGAGATTATGCACCTTAAAGGTCTGTCGCCTGTTTGGGCTTCGACTTTGTCAGCGACAGCAGCGTCGGTAATGTTGATTATAAAACCCTTCCGCACTTATGACCTTCCTTGGGCATCCATCGACCTTGTAGTGATGCCAGACCGTGTAGGTCTCAATCTTTTGCGCCTTAAGAATGTTGGCGATCTCTTCTTGGAAGGCCATGAGCTTAGCCTGAGTTGGCTTGTCCCTTGGGTGTAAGGTAAATCCAGAGGGGCACCGCGTCACCTCTCTTCACGGTAGTGTTGACTGTCAGTGGATGCTGTCGGTGGCTAGAAGAGACAACTTGGGCAAAAGTCATGGTAGGCTTCCCCATCCCACCGGAAGTGGCCTTCCTTATGGTCAAATCTCGGGTTTCCAGCCACTCGCTCAGGCATTTAGAGAATAAGGCGCCGAACTCCTTGGCATATGAGTATAATTTGGTTCTGGCTTTTTAGAGTGTCTTGTCAACTGCTGCAGCACACTCCTGAAACATTGTCATCTTGGCTTCATAAAGGTGCCTGTCCTTAGCCAGTATCTTGGTAACTTGGTCCTGGCACTCCGAGGAAGAGGCTTTACTCCCCGCATCGCATTCGATGGCTAGGTCTGTAGAGATTTCGCTTGATCGAGGTTGTTTTATATCAGTAGTGCTGCTGTTATTAATATTTTGGGATTTTTCTTTCAGAGGGAAAACGATGGTGAAGTCAGCCTCGGAGACCTGTGACGGGCTGCTGCTGATGTCGTTGAGCAGCGCCTGGCGGAGCCTGCTCGGAGTTGCTGGGCCGTATGTCTTTTTAGGGGCCGGGGATTTGAGCACGCCGCCAGTGGTCGTCTTCAGGACGGCCACCGGCGTGTTTGGGGGCCCGTCGTGGAAGGGTGCCATCCGGCTTGTGAGAAAAATTCTGTTCCGCCTTGGCAAAGATAGTCAGTTACTGAGACAAGTGCCTGCTTTAGCACAGATACAGAGGTTGCGCCCTAACAGCGGGGCGCCAAGAAAAATAGTTGTATTGTTTTTGAACTCAACACGGTCATTACTACACTCATTCTCACGGTCGTTTTCATAACGGTCCTATCTTTAACCTAATTCTGAATCCGTTGTAGACCTGGATGTCCTGGGACACAAGTGGTCCTGGGACAGAATTGGATGTCCTGGGACACAAGTGGTCCTGGGACAGAAGTGGTCCTGAGACAGAATTGGATGTCCTGGGACAGATGGACGTCCTGAGACAGAATTGGATGTCCTGGGACACAAGTGGTCCTGGGACACAAGTGGTCCTGGGACACAAGTGGTCCTGGGACAGAACTGGATATCCTGGGACATTTTCTACAGACCTGTAGCCTCTGACAATCTGTTTCTGCCAGCCAAGCCGAGCGTCCGTTTCTGGCAGCCGAGCGTTTCTGCCAGCGCTAAGCACTTTCTGCCAGCCAAGGTTATTCCGGCAGCGCTAAGCTCTTTCTGCCAGCCATGCGTTTCTGCCAGCGCTAAGCTCTTTCTGCAGCCGTGCGTCCGTTTCTGGCAGCCAAGCGTTTCTGCCAGCGCTAAGCTCTTTCTGCCAACCATGCGTTTCTGCCAGCGCTAAGCACTTTCTGCCAGTCGAGCGTTTCTGCCAGCGCTAAGCACTTTCTGCCAGCCATGCGTTTCTGCCAGCGCTAAGCTCTTTCTGCCAGCCAAGGCTCTTCTGCCAGTGCGATGGTTCTGCCCGCCATGCGTTTCTGCCTCCCCTACACCAGATACGACGCGCGTACCACAAATCAACAGAAGCCTCCTTTAGCGGCAGGCTCCAAATTGTCTGCAATAGATGATCAAACAAAGTTTATAGGCCCAAATCGATCATGAAGAAAGCTATAGGTACCCCAAGGATTTAGTGCCAGCCCATCGGGGGATTTGAAATAATATACGCTCATATAGTTTATCTAGCTAGAAACCCTTTGACGTGCCTGATTTTTAGCCCGTGCTTTCCGCATCCGCCGGGCTTGTGCCTGATCAGCAGATTGAAGAGGCACATTGTAAACCTTCTGTATATGGTTTCTGAACTCATTCAAACTACCTAGTTTGACCCCGGCCTTGATGCAATCTGGATGTCTGCAAACCTGAAGCTCTTTACGCGAAGCCGCACGCTCACAAACTGGCAGGTGCTGATCATTGAAATGGTCATTCCTAACGGTACCGCGGCAGTATTTGTAAGAACGCTCCTTGTGAGAGATTCTCCCATCACCTATGCAATCCGGACACTGATTCAATTTTAGAACTAAAGGCAACTATTGCGGTGATACAGGCTTAGGCTGAGCTAGTGCATCACCCTGTCTTGCACGGATCAGTTTTCCTTTGACTGTCTCTCTTTTCTTACAAAGAGCTGCGTATAGGTCAATAACCTCAACTCGAGCTTCTGAGATCCGTTCTTCGCTCTAATACTCTGGTTGATGGCACAGCAGCTCAGCCAGTCGAGCGCGTTCGGGGATGTCCAGATCCAGCTTCGGCTCTACGTATTCATCTTCCTCTTTCCCCTAGGCTTGCCGCTCAATGTCCCGGATAGGACCATTATGAAAGTAGTCTTCACGATATTTCTTGACAACGAGGTTATTGCGATTTGTACGCTTCAAGGAGATGGTATAGGTAAGCTGGTGGATCTTGGCTTTATGCTCATTACCGATAAGTCGATGCTGGCCGCCCTTAAGTTTGGCACGTAGCTCTTTGAGCTCGCTGATCTCGGGGCCTGGTGGGAGATTACTCCATACATCCTCGGGAACCATGTCTCTCACTGCATGAGGATCCCGCCAGATACTGACGTGGGCGAAGAGTTTGAATAGCTGGACCTGTTTCTCCTTCTCCAGGAATGCGTTCTGGCTGTCGAATTAAAGGTTATGATCTTGGTAAGCACTGTGAAAGGTAGCAAACTTTGGATCATGACGCATCATCTGATCCCGGATCGAATCCAGTGCGTCGCCTAGGTAATCTGTGATTAAAATATCTGTCATAATCGAAGATAGCTTGCACGTACCATTCACAGTATTGCCTGCGCCTCTCTTGCAGAACTTCGGAGTCCATCGCTCCTCGAACCCGGCATTGAGACTCTGTTCACCCATATCATCACGGAGCTTAGCATAAGTCATGGCCTCGCCATCTGAAAGTTCCGCACCCTTGATACGTCGGAACACGGCTTTCCTCCGCATTGACTCTTTCCACCGCAGTAGAATGCATTGCATGGGCCCCAACGGTTTTACCTTCATCACACTTGAGGCATCAACCACACTTGGAGCGTCAAAAGCGCAATCATCAAGAGCTATACCAATTATTAGGCTCACCGGACAGAAGATCAATTTTCTTGTTGGAGTAAAGTAGAAGATGATACTAGAGACTTATTAGTACTAAATGCTAGTTAATATTGTCATGAAGGAGGAATCCTCTAACTCAACTTACGGTCTTGGTTTATTGTCGAACCCTTTGTGGTGGACGAATTTGATAGCCATTGCCGGGATCGGTCGACCAGACTCCGGGTGACGCACTATCATCAGCAGAATGTCTTCGTAGCAAAGGGCCTTTGGAATATTTTTAATATCAATATTTAGAAAGTTACTAACATATTATAAAGTTTGAAGATATTAATAGCTATTTCTTTATTTTAAAAGGTATAAAACTTAGTTCTTTAATGATATTTTTTGTAAACTTTGTTATATTAATCTTTATCTAAATAACCAATAAATATGTAATATAAGTAACTTACTGTACATTATATTCAATTAAAAACGATTAATAATGAATATACGTTGTTAATTATTTATTTATTAAACAAACAATAATTATAATAAAACTTTTTAATGAATTTTTAATTAATTTTATAAATAATTAGTATAATAATTGTATAAAAAAGCCTTTTTAGGTTAATAACGTATAAAGGGTTTAAGGGTATTTTTTCTTCCGCTTATATATATGATAAATTATATTAACGAAAAAAACTTTAATAAATAGTTTTTTATATATCGATATAATAAGTTGTTTTCAAAAGAATATTAATATGTTGTTCAAAAAGATCGGATAGGCTTGTAAAATTATTCTTTAACAAGATAAAATATTTGTTAATTTTATTTTACTTTGATAAAGCTTTTATTAGCTAAAAAAGTTATCTTTATATCGAAACAAGCTTTGTTTCAAAAAATGGAGTTCAAATTAGTAAAAATAAATAATCGCTTTTGTAAGAACAGGCTTGAACGATCAATCATAATACTCGAGTATGGGGTCAAGGTCATGATGTTGCTGATGGTTGGATTGGGAGGTCTAGCTGGACCTGAAGGTCTGGCTAAGTAACCTTGCAATCCGGTATCTATCTCTATCTAATCATACATGTGGGTCTTGGTATAGATGGTTTGCAGGCTGGAATTGCATAGATCCAACATCTAAAAAAATATAGTAATTTTTTTATAATTATAACGTAGGTCACAAGCAAGCTGGACACACAAGCGAGCAGGACACTTTTACTAACCTCTCAACTGCAATGTCAAATAACTTAATCACAACGCATTTAATTTAATTCAATCAATCAGATTCCTCTTCCTCAGCGGTTTCTATCTCTATTGTATAAATTTGCGCATTATAGCCAGTGTTGCCGCAAACGTCACACCGTTGCTCACGCGCTGCCACCCCCCTTGGACAACGACTACTTTCACCAATTTCCTGTCTTGCCAGCTCGGCACTATCTTTTGCAGTCTAAAGACCTACTGTATCTTCAATAGAAAGTATTTCTCCTTTTATTAGACGTTTGTTTTTTGTTCTTTGGTGTTTATTTAATAAGTAATTGGCCTCCTCTAGCTCGCAGACCCAGGAATCAACCAAATTGACCTTGTGTATAAGACCGTATGTAGCCTTTGAAAATAAGCTCAACGCATTAATTATTGATGTAGGTGAGCTTCCCTGGTAGTTTCTGACTGGATTCCAGATATAAACCAATTAGTTTACCGCTTTGTTAATGGTGATAGGTGGCAGATTAGTGTCTGGCGACGGTGTTTGTATCTTTGATACCATGTTTTGCGATTACCGCCTCAACTTAGCAAAACCACGCGCAATACGCATCTGGATCTTTGTTCAAGACCCTTTGGTGGTCCATCCTCCAATGAAAATGCGTTTAGAGCCCTGGTGTGCGTTTGATAAAGTTCGCCGTTCAGTTCTTCCTGACATGTCTAGTCCCACATGCCGCTAACAATTGATTCACTATATTTTCAATATAAGTGTACTGGTGCAGAGATGCTCGCGCATCCAGGTCGAGTATGAAGGAACAAATAGCATTCTCTTCAAAAACCGTAAGTTTCAAAGAGTTAGGCATACTATCGCGTTGTGATGGTCGGCCAGTGATTCTTTGAGCCAGTATAGAGATTGGTAAGTAGAAAGTTTTAACAAGCTTTTGAACATAAGTATGAGGGTCTTGTTTTTTAGCTTGGACAGCTAGCTGCATGTCTGATTTATTATAACGTGGTGCCATTATCGTGGGTGGAGGAATAGATGTTGGAAGTTCAAAGTTTGAGAGGTACATGAAAGTATCCCACTTACTTGTGTGTCCCGCTTGCTTGTGACCTACATTAAAGAACAAAAGTCTTTATTTTATTTTTATTTTCAGTTAATTTACTTGTATATAGTTTAAAGTTATTAATACAATAACTTTATCTAAAGTTAGTAGTTTAAAAGAAATAAAAAGATAAATAAATGAAAGTTCATACCCGGTTTAAACGATTAACTGTCAATTTAATTATAATTTTTATTACTGATTAAACCGCGTTTATTGTTTTTAATTAATATATTTTAAATCAAAAAAAATTTCTTTAATTTTTTAGTTTCAAAATTTCGCTTTAATAAGTTTTAAATAAGTAAAATTAAATAACTTAGCGGCTTATAAAGCGGTAATCCCGTATTTAATAACCGGTTTTATCGTAATTATAACATTTATTACGTTTAAAAGCTGGATAGTTTTTTTTCATTATTGTCATGATGCCTGCGGCGTTATGTTGCAATCTGGTGTTGATTACAAAAATAACAAGGCGGTGAAAAAAAACAGATGTGCATACAGCCAAGGCTGCAGCACATATAGTGGTTCTGGTCTCCTTATCTAATCTACACGTGACCTGATCACTAAGCATCCATCCTTTTAGGTGGATACGGCTGTACACCGTCATATAAATATAATAACGTCGGATTCAAATATATATCGACGCGTTTAAGATAAAAAGTAAAATAGTTTTTATAAGTATAAACGTAGAAATAAGGCGAAGTAATAAATATTACCGGATTAAAAAAATTAGTCTCAGATTCAAGATATCTCTAGGGGTGTATGCCATGTGGAGTACTGGCTAGTCAGGTGGCTAGTCAAGGAGGCTGCCATGACTAGCACCATGAATCGTACGTTGACTCGGGAAAATGTGGGCTAGAAGATCGTCTCCAACATCTTGGAGCTGTACAAATAGGTGTAGATACCACCCAATTGGGATAGCTGAGAAATGATAACAACGATTGTAGCTACCGATCAAGACTACATGCTTGTCAACCCTTTGAAATCTGATAATTACTTATATAAATAACTATTTATACTTTTATAATAACGGGTTTAAAACGTTAATTAATTATAAGTCTGGTTATAATTAGTTTATACTTTAATAAGTACTTATTTAAGTTCGGATAAAAAGGGATATTATTTAAGCTATATTGAATACCTAAATTACAGTGAGGTGGTACTTATTACTTGGGGCAGCCATCTTAAGTAACCTTATTGTATTTGTCCCTGAAGGACAGTAGATACGATAAGCTACCAGGTGGCTGATCCAGTGGCTGGGATCCAACCTAACTGCAGCTGTGCCACATGACCTCTTTGTGCCACACGCGGAGGATGCTGTTGAATCGGTGAAGGCGGTACATTATGTCTCAACGTAGATGCCTTCTAGTGGTTTCCTGAGGTTCAAAACGAAGTGGGAGGATAGCCAACGTAGCATGTAGAGCATGCACAGGCCTCTGGTCTCTGGCCTCTGATCTGGTATACGTGTGAGTGAGGCGAGACGGGGCTGCTAGACTGAGGCAAGACCTTGAGTGAGGGGCACATGTCAGACAGACGAGCTGCCTACAACTGCCCCACCCTGAGCTCATTGAGAGCTTCAGTTCAACGATATAAACCCCGCCTATGCTGCTTGCTTACCCTCAAGGTACGCATTACGCAACGACAAACACCAATTCTTCGCCTCGTCTCGTACCACAGCCTGCCTCGTCTTTACCAGTTCAATTCTGCAGCCTCGTCGTAGTGATTCTCATCGACCGGCAACACTGCTGTCCAGGCTCCATTCAAACGCATCCACACTTCTTCATACCTTCCCAAAGTACCCCGCCACTGATACCATACAACATTGAGGTCTATCGTACTCTGCAATCGACCCTACCTTACTTCTTCTGCAACACGCACCTCACGACTACCACCTGCATACACCCAGTCGACAGACCAAAGCCAGAGCCAACATGTCGTCCGCCCAAAAGCGAATAAGCAAGGTGAGCAGCTCCCATCCATTCTCCTCACCGTCCCTCCTCCCACAAGACCACCCAGCTAACCACCCACCCCGCCACAGGAGTTCCAAGAATGCACCACCTCCCCGCCCCCCGGCATGACCATAACCCTCCCCTCAGAGACGGACCTCCACAAGTGGTCAATCCAGCTCACAGGCCCTCCCAACACCCCCTACGCCAACGGCGTCTTCAACCTAACCCTGTCCCTCCCCACGGAATACCCCTTCAAAGCGCCCGCCGTCAACTTCGCGACGCGCATCTGGCACCCCAACGTGACCAACGACGCAACCGGCAACATCTGCCTCTCAGTCCTGAAGCCCGAGAACTGGAAGCCCGCCAGTCGTGTAAAGGGCGTGCTCGAGGCCGTGCGCCAGCTGCTCGTCGAGCCGAACCCCGACGACCCGCTCGAGGCCCGCATCGCGGACGAGTTCAGGACCGACAGGGCTGAGTTCGATAAGAATGCCCGGAGCTATGTTGCGCAGTATGCCAAGGCTGGCAAGTGAGGTGGATGGATGGGATCGTCCAGTCTGTCTGTTCGGTCTGGGTGCGGTGGATGGGTGGGCGTATGGAAAGAAGGTGGTGTTGGCTAGCTGGCTGTCTGGCTGGCTACTGTGACTCGGCCCTCGAGAATGGAATGGAGGCGCAGGGAGGTCGACTCTAGCTAAGGCTTATCTTCAGCAGCCTTCACAGCAACACCCATACCGACGACGGGGCCCAATGCTTACTGGATGGTGCTAGACCACAAGGGCGGTGCTCCTACGGAAAGCTTGCAGAACAAGTCAGAAACCACCTTCTTGACCAGCATCACAAAGAGAATAGGGGAATATGAGGAGTCCCCGGAATATCTGCATAGACATAATGGCGTCGGTGTACTTTATTTGATACATACGGCGATGCAGATCACATGGCATAGGCATAGGAAGAGGACAATCACATGCTTCTTGCACCCAAATAGTATTTTCTGTCGTCACAGTTGACAGTATGTGATTTATTTGCCTCCTATGCGTTCCAATACCGACTCCATCAATGCTGCTTGCTCGCTCTAATGCAATATGCACCCTAGTCTATCTGGCCTGGCACGGAATCCGTGGTGCGGATCATGCCCATCGTGCCATTGCCAACAATATTGGTACAGGTTTCTCCTGAGTTGACCTGAGGGCTCGGCGTAGCGGTACTAGCAGTCCCCTCTTCTGGACAATCAACGAGAGGGAGCTCGTCCGTGTGACCGTCGCGTTCCTGGCGTGTACCGAACCCATATACGCATGACTGTGTCATTCGAGCTATATGCTTCACCCAGGTGCTGCAACATGGCGGATGATGCCTGTCTGATCCTTCCACCAAGGGGTCATTCATTATATCGTAACGCGTAATAATAAGGTTGCTGGAACCTGGTTACCAAGGAGGCCAAGAAGAGCACCGCAGATGCCTGCTGCGTTGCTGTGTGTCTATGCTGGGGTGAGACGTTGTATGTAGGGGCCCAGAAAAGGCCGTCTGGCCAGTGGCAGGAGGACTACAAGGGATCTGTCGGTCCGGGCAATCGTCACATAACCTCAGCAGGGTTGCTTCGGCCCTTGCGTCGGGTGAACAGGGTTCCTTTCCTCTTCACGTCATTCACCTCCGTGGGCACCGTCTTGCCAAGTGCCAGCTTTTCTCTCTCGGCTTTGACTAGGGTTCTTCTCTCCTGTCTCTTCTGTTCAATGGTGTCCTGGCTCAGGTGGCCGAACCCGTTGCGCCGTTTGAAGCATGACTCCATCAGCCCGTTTGCGTCGATGAGTCTCCGGGGTATGGTCTGGACCACCTGAAAGATCTCCATGGGGTCCCCAACCGTCCTGATCTCGGACTCGCCAAGCTTGAAGATGCACAATGCGATCCGAAAGAGCGTTTTCGACCCCTCGTAGAAAAACACATCCCAAACCCGCAGCGTGGTCTCGATGGGCAACGTCCCAATAAAACAGCTCATGAACCACGCCGTCATACAAAGGGTGATGGGCGGCAGTCGAGTTGGTTCGCCCATGTACTTCTGTCTGCGATTCTTGGGTCGTACCGCATCGGTCCCATCCAGCTCACCACCGATCTTGGCCCATACGCCGGGCATGGCGTCTCTGAGCGACGACATTAGCACGCCAAGATCGACGTTGGCGCCCTCGAGACTCATCTCGTGTGTTCCGGGGAGGTAGACCCTGGTTATGATGTTAAGTAACCAGAACGCCTGCTCCTCGGTTTCCACGAAAAGGAGCAGGAGACCTGCAAGGAAGTTGAGGGACTGGCAGTAGCCGATACGGGGGTTGTAGACAGAAAAGGCGTGCAGCACCCGCCGCAGGGAGGAGATCATGGGCTTCTCATCTATCTCTCGGACGCTCCCGTTGGGATCTTTGACCGTCTGCCCACTGTTGCGAGTCTGAGTAGTGTCGCCCGGGGCCGCCGCAGGCTGCGATGAGCGGAACTTGATGTTGTCTGGGAACGTCCGATGCAAATCCCGCTCAATGGCTTCGTAGTCTACATCCTTGACCTCTTGCTTGAGAAGGGTATCGTACAGCCCCGAGTGTTTCGAGAGAATGGCCGGACCGCCTGCGTAGTAGAACCAGGCTGCTCCTCTCCACTCTGGCGGGATGCCCTTCCGAACAAAACGCTTCGTCTTGGCCGAGCGAGGGGGGAACCGGTTGGGAGTGTCCGTCATTAGCTCGTTGTCCTTCAAAAAGAGGTTCCACTTCTTCCGCCTCCTTGCTAGGTAGTCGGTATACCCATGATTCCACTCGTCATACTGTTCCTGGGTAACGTATTGATTGCTCTTTCTGAAGCCGTAGCGATCTCGATCGTCTGCGTCCGTGGTAGTCATGGCCGTCTGTCGTCGAGTTAGCCGCGGCCGCTGGAAGTCGTCTTTGGGGTCTGTCGTGCTCGCGCCAATCTCGGCGGGAAGCGAGTTAGTCAAGTTGGAGTTTCGGAAGATGGCGGCCGAGTCTCGCACAATGGCATCAGAACGCGGACCAGGGAATGTGGCGGCTGATCTGGGCATCGGCAGAGGATCATCCATAGCTTCCAACACGGCGGTCCGCCTCTTACTTGATTCCGACTTCCCGGTGGGCGGTCTCGACTCGTCGTCTTCGTTATCTTCTGGTAACGAGTCGTCGCCGAAGCCCTTTTCGTACATTCCCATCACGTCTTCTACGCTCAGCGCTTCGTCCACCTGGTCGTCCACCTGACCATACACCGATGTCACGGAGCTGCTTTTGGTCAGCACACTGCTTCTTTCGGTCCCAAGAGTCCCCTGTGCTGTAGATGCCGAGAGTTGAGATCGGAAGCTGGATCTAGGCTCGTCCGTGGGCATCGAGGCCATCCGATGGAGGAGCGGTTCCCTGGCTTGAGCGGGCCCGGCGCTCTCAGCGCGGTTATATGCGGCGAGTGGTCGAGTGGGCGGCGGCTGCCGACCCCGACCTCGAGGACTGTCGCGACTGTGGATATCGGGAGACGGCCGAGCTGGGAGGGAAGCGAACGTGGATGAGGATTTATTCGAGGATATGGATTGGCCTCGAGAACGGGGCCACGAAACCGGGTGGCCGTTTGTGACGTCGAGTTGGTTCGGGTCGGGGTGGGACTGGTTTGTTGACCGGAGCCGGGTGCCTTCGTAGTACGGTTGCTTGATACTCGGATTACGAGGCCTTGAGAAGTTTTCGACAAGGATCGAGTTGTCGGTAGAGGCTACTTTCGTCGCAGGTAGGGTAGGGAATTCATCTCGGGTCTCTGAGGCTATGGAATCGATGCTGCGGTGCGGGTCGTTGTGAGGAATTGGGGATACGCTAGGAGAGGCGTTTGCGATAGGCGACGTCGGGGCAGAGGCAAGTGACTGGTTGTAGAGAGTCGAACTACCATTCGACAGAGAGTCCCACCGGTGGGACACTGGCGAAACAGGCGCTGTCGGTATCTGGGGTGAGGCAGAGCCGGCTCGCACGCGAAAGGTGGGTGACCGCGGATAAGTGTTCAGGTAGTTGGTCGAGGGCGTGGTGGTCGTGGTGTGAGAAGAGGAACGATAGTAGCCGTTGTCGTAGTCGTACTCGACGTTCTCGTCTCTGTGGTCGTGTGGACGTAAGCTTGAGGCAAACGAAGACGAAGCAGAGGCAGGAGACGAAGGTGAAGCTGAAGCCGGGGCCGGGGCCGGAGCCAGGGTATGTTTCGAGTCGTGAGCTCTGGGGGCAAAGAGCCCAAACTCCCTTGACTTCATACTGCGCTCGCGTCGAAGACTAGGTCCGCCACTCGAGCCCGAACCTGATCTTGAACCAGGTTTTGTCACATGTGCTTTGCCGAGGTTTTGCTGGTATGGGTGCACCGAGAAGGTGGTTGGGACATCTTCCGGGGCTTCGGGGCCGGCGGTCATTGTTCGCGCCATTCTGAAGTTTTACTTGTTTGTCCTGACCGAGGATATTTGTACTCTCCCCAGGCCTGCAGTGACCAGCACACAGCTACAAACAATGACAAAGAGTCCCAATGGGGACACCTGGCGCCCTACGAGATCAGACGAAGGAAATATTTGGGCGGCTAGCGAAGTGTGGGGGTGGTTCAGCCAACGGTGCTGGGGCCTCGAGGCAATGAAATCATAAAGGCAGTATCGACCCAAGTTAACGGCTACGTTCTGATCTGGTAGAAGTAGTGTCGCCGCTTGTTCGGAAAGGGGTAAACGAGAGTTGGCGCCTGGTCGGTCGGTCGGTCGATCGGTCGGATGTTCAGCTGAGGAACGTGAGGCTGGCCGCAGCTATTCAGTTTCGGGACCCTTCCATCATAGTAGCTAGCGTCTGGTGTAGTACAGGTGCAGCAGTAGCAGCAGTCGTACACTACAGTCCTGGCCAGGGGCACAGAGGCTGGTAGATTTGCTGGTCTGCCTCGTCCCGTCTGATAGATGCAGTGCGATACGAACGGCGTGTGGAGGGGACACGATGGTGGTCGAGGTTGCGTAGCTGCGTGTCTGAGCCCTGCAGCCAACGAATTGAGACAATGTGACGAACCAGTATCGCGTGCATACGTGTAGGTACGGTACCCAAGGTAAGTAGGAGGTGTGGAAAGAGGTACAAACGACGACGGCTACATGACCACGCTGATGAAGACTGAAACCGTACACGCAAACACCGAAAGAAAGGCGGACAAACACCGAGGTAGTGAATGTGGGCGGGCGGTCGACAGACGATCTGGCGCCACGTCGACGAGGGCTCCGAGTTCCGGTCAAACGAGTGAATGGATGGTGTGTCGCGCGCGTGTGAATACACTGGTGACTGGCAGACTGGACGCAGGTATGGAAAAGGTCTATGGACAGAATGCATCCATTATTAACGCGCGCTGCATGCAACTTGGGAAGTTGGAAACGGTAATTCGACTGCTGACACTGTAATTAGGCTGGTCCAAGCGAGCCTGGCAGGTGCTGGAAATGCCAACTTCAGACGCCCGTCGATTGCTAGCAGCAGCATCGCGCCCTGATGACAGGCCATGACAGGTTCTGACAGCCCCAGATTCCAGGTACCCCCGGGGGGCCCCTCCAGCTGTAAATCCTTAAATCCCAGCACCACGGACGCCGAGCAGGGGTGTTGCCGCTGCCGCTGCAGGTGCCCACGCTGCCACGGCCTGCCGGATGTTCACTGGTTCAGACGCCAACTGTCGATCAACCACCACAAATCGCAGGGACTCCCATTGGCCAATCTCCCCAAAAAAAAACAAAAGAGGAAAATGCGAAAATGGAAGGCCCGGATTTACGTTTCGCTCCCGAGCTGGAGGTCGCTTCGTTGGATTCCATCACGACCCAGGCAGCCATCTGCAGGGATACAACCGCAATTTCCCATCGACGTGATCATGATGATGTCAGGGTCAGCATCCGTGTCCATGGTTCTACGTGAAAGTGTCAAGTTGATGGCGAGACCATCCTTCAATGTTCTTCAAACATTGTCGACTCTCGACTCCGAGCTGCCGAAGCTCTGCTACTGATGGCTGTGTACAGCGTTTCCATTTCATACTGACTTCATAAGTGTTTCCACTTGCAGCCGCAACTCAACTGTCTTGGGCCATCTTTGCACCTATGAACCAGCATCCACCATGTTCGGCAGCAAAACACCTTCCCCGCCGTACATGTTCTGCAAAAGATGTGTCAATCACACCTCATCGATGACTGCATGTCAGCATCGCCATCTGCAGACTTTTCCTATCCGAGGCTCTCTCATCAGCAGAGCCATTTCTGGACCGTTCAGTAGTACTGTAGGTGCCTGGCGCCGTGCAATTGCACAGTCCGTGTCACATGGACCATAGCGTCAACGGCCACTCAGCTAGGACACGCCGAAACCCTCTTTCGAGATGACAAGATGGGAATATATCACGGGCCACTATTGTCATTGAGGACTCGCTCGGCGCGGCACGGATGGGGCTGTAGACAATGAGTTTTACGGGGGTAGTGTGACCGACCTAGCCGACGCCTCCGGAATGCGAATTCACACTCGTAGTCCGAGATTTTCAGTTGTCAGATCTCATTTCAAATCGTCAACAAACGAAGAAAATTCTCCGCCAATCTCTGCCTGTGCGGCGTGCTGCACGGCAGCCCGACCTTCAACATGTCATCCTCATTTCGCCATTCCATCGCCATCACATTCTTGTCGCTTACCAATTATAGCTGAGCAGCGAGGTGATCACTGGAAACGAGTCCCATCACCGGGAAAAGACGCCACCATCTCATCTCATCCCGTCCCGTCCTGTCTTGTCCTTGAGGTTACGCCAACGCGTGTCGAGCGTGCTCTACGCGTCAAGGTTCCCATACAGCCACTCTCTTCCCCAGGCAAGCACATCCATCTGGGCGTCTTCTGGGGTTTCTGTTATATTGATCTCTAGGCATTCAGCCACAAATACGTGACGTATTCCAGCCCTTCATCTCCGACTCTACAGCTATCACCCAGGCAAGCCAGGTCTAGTCACGACATATGGGTAGCGAGTGCTATGGCCCACCTTTCAGCCAGGAATGTGGCGCGTCGCAAACTGACAATCCACGACCAATGCCTCTATCATATATCTCCCATCATTTCCTGGGTAGGTTCTTTTCAGTGGTCATTGCTGTACCTCCATGACATGGCTGTCAGGCGTTTGTGCTCCTCCACCATTTCACAACCTTGAATTACCTGTCCTCAATAACACCTGCTTCATTGGCTGCATTCCTTGCAGTTTCGACATTCAGGTAAGGTATCTCTGAGCTACAGTCACTGCCTGGCCAGTGCCAGTGCATCAAATGCCGTTCCGGTGGTCGATGAAAGCCTACAAAGACGTCATTGCAAGACAGCTTCCCAAGATGAATAGGTTGCCCTGACATTTGACCGCGCATTGCTGAATCTCATATGTAGACCAAACGAAGGCTTGTGCCATTCTGTGATATGGGAAGACAACTGACATCTACGAGTTGTATTCCCCGATTCTTGGCTGATGAAGCATTGCCAACATGGGGAGCACGAATGCCGAGTTCAAAAGAAGCGGACATTCAGATTCCGAGATGCAGCAATGCTGTAGGACCAAGCACATTGGCGATTCTCCCACGTGCATGGCATGGCAGATGGAAGGGAAGAGAGACGGACAGGAAGGATACGGAGAGGGACAATATGGGAGATGCTGATAGGGGGCTCGAGCTCCCCCTGGTTTGGCATGCTCCCCAAAGTCTCCGTCTCTAAATCCCCCCTCCCCCCTCCTCATTCACCATGCCCGGGCAGGCTACAGGCCCAATCACCAGCCATCGGCTTTTCTGTTCCTGAACACCTGTACCTTTCCTTAGGTATTATTATTAGACTCCAGCTGGAGCTAGGTGGGAGCTCCCCCTCCAGCTGCTCTCACCCCAGGAAGTTGTTATAGTAAATTACCCCACGACCGGACCCGATCGCAGCTCTGGTCAGGGGGGGTAGCTCGAGTGCCACACCATGATTACTCGCAGCTCCCTCCGTCTGGGCCCTGGCTGCTCTTGGTGTCTCGGGTACGTCCTTCGAGAGTCTACGGGTCGGCAATGACGCCCATCTCCAAGCTGCAGCTGGAGCTGGCTGGAGCTGGAGCTCTCTCCGCCCATTAGAGCCTAGTCCTCTGCCCTCCCTTACTACTAGCCTTGACCGGCAGACGGGAGACGGACGGGTGAACGTAACATGCGCAAGGCAAAGCAAAGCGACGCAACGCGACGCACCAGCAAGCTCCCAGAGCTCACCCCTCCGTCGGCCCCCCTCTCCTCCGCAAGCTCTCCCAGCTCACCCCAGCTCACTCGTCCTGTCTGTCCCAGCAGCCTTCCCTCCAAGCGTAACAGCGAGCAATTCCCTCCCACTCCCTCCAGCTCCCCCCGGAATTTCCCCTTTCCTTCCTACCTCTCTCTTCTTCCCATCCTTTTCTACCTAAACACCATCTCAGTCCTGTACTCGGCCATCACAGATCCAGCTTGAAAGACCCCTGGACATCACCAATTGCCCCTCAACCTTAAATCAGAGCCGAAGATGAGTTCACGGAAGAGAAAGCAAGACGAAGAGGAAGAGCTTGTTGCTCTTCCAAGTGACGAAAGCGAGGAGGAAGAAGAATAGTGAGTAATTCCAGACCTTATCATACTTCTTTCAATCATCTGGGACCGGTGGTGGTCGCCAAGCTGCCACACTTGTCCCAGCCTGTCGCAATGAATGCGCCAACGTCGCCTCAACAATTCGCTTCGGCGCATTTTTCGCCGCCTGGTCGCCATCCTCGCGTCTTCCTTGTACATCCATTCCTCTGGCTGGCATAGGTCTTGAAGATATATACATGTACTTGAGTGCTCTGCTGACCTTAGCAGCATCTCGGAAGGTGACGAAGACGATGACGCCCAGGATGACGATGAAGAGGAGGATGAGGAAGGAGAATTCGACGAAGAAGGCGAACCCGAGGATGAGAATGGCGTGAAACGTAAGCGCGAAGCTCTGCTATGGTCCCTTGCCAGTCGTGCAGTACCGCCAACGCAGCGGATGTGCCGATGTCGCGCGCTTCATTTCATCGCGGCCTGCTAACACTTCAACGTACAGCTCAAGCTCCTCCACCGAAGAAGAAGCAGAAGACGACCACCACTGCACCTGTTCCCGCCGTCGATGACGGTGAAGACGAAGACGACGAGGAGCAGTCCGATGAAGAGGACATCGAAGGGGAAGACGAAAACGGCTATGACGAGGAGGCAGAAGGCGACGCTGATGAAGAGGGTGGTCTCGTTACTGAACCTGTAACCAAGGCCAAGGTCGACGTTGAGGCTCCGTTCGAGACTGAACCAGCCGCGAAGATAGTCAGTGTTGTCGGTGCCGATGAAGATGACGAGGACTGAGGTTTCGGCCACTTGTTTCCATGAAATATGGTCGGCAACTGTTGGTTTATTTCCCTTGAGCTTCGAGGTTACTTCTAGATCATCTCTTGTTCGTCTGACGTTTCTCTTCCTATCCTAGAGGGGCCACTGTAAGTATGATGACATCTGTAGGGAAACCAAAAGACACGGCTTTCTCGGCTTCTAGCGATATCGAATGGCGGGGCAAAGATGGTCTTTACCTGGATCTAATATAACTTACTGTCCAACAACATGTCTCGACCATTAGCGCGACCCTGAGTAATTAAGGTCGGCACACGCTTGATACTGAAGGTAGTTGAGACGTCTGCCAAACTGCCGTCGGGTTCAACTGAATAGCGCAGCTGGCAATGGAATCACGAAAGAGAAAGATTCCGACTATGAGCAATGTGATCTTTATAAGAAGCAGGCATCAATCGTGCGTACCCCACGTCCCCACGCTTCTCGCACCCTTACGTGCTTTGACAAGTGTCAGTCCTGCTCTCGTTGGCTGATCACGATGGATTCGGCCTATCGTGATGGCCCGGCTGGACTGCACGTTTCTGGAGTGCCTGCGAAGACCACGACTTGCTGGAACCATGACTTGCGACAGTTGGCTCTGACATTCGGCGGCTGAGCTTCGTTACCAATATATAGACAGACTCAATTCGTACAGAGACATTGACATACCCGTAGGGAATCCTTCCACTCGAGGCAGTGCCTCTTGTTGAGTGCGGCGATAGGATACAATGTTTGTACGCATTCACTGACGACCTCGACAGAAGATGACCATCCGTGTATCATACACCGATAGGTGAATGCCGAACATAACATTCATCGTATGCAAGTCGAATGGGATCTCACTACATCATCACCGCAAGCTTCGTGGTGATTCACAGAAGAGCCCACACGAGCTGGTAATGTTCGACTCGGACTGTGAAACCTTGCCTCTGGACTCTATATCGTTCAGATATCGCTGTGTATGAAGTCGACCAGTGACCATGATGAGGACCCGGTGATATTAGACTCGAACTATGACGCCTTGCCTCTGACTTTATACTGTTCACATACCACTCTGTATGATGTCGGCGAGTGACCATCATGGAGATCCAGTGACTACCTCAAAGTCTATAAAAGACCTCTTGGAAACGCTTCCAAGTGTGCTTCTTTCCAGGAACCAAACCCAGACAAGACACCAGCAACACCAGCACCGCCAACGATCAAGACACCTCACAACGACACCATCCCCACCCACGACATCTCTCTACACCACCATCTACACACCCAACTTCCCAGAAACCCACAACCCCAACTATGTCGGGAGAAAAGCAGCAGGCGAACGTCGGCAAGAAGAGAGACGCCGCCCCTGCCCCACCTCCTCAACCTGCTCAGCCTGCCCAGAGCTGGGGTTCGGGCTATGCTGGATTGACGCCCGGCTCCGCCGCCGAACATCTGAAGAAGGCTAACGACCTTATTCGGCAAAACAATGCCGATTATGCTCCTTGGTTGATCCGTCCCACGAATATTCTATCGGGCTGTACATAGGCGGGCCTGTGTGTTGCGGAGGGAGCGTTCATGGGAGTTTCGGGGAAGGCATGGGATATCACGACGAGGTTTTTGGAGCAGAGGCTCATAGGCGGGCCTATGTATGTCTTTGCTGAGTGGACATTCGTGAGGGTTTCGGGGCAGGCGTGGGATGTCACGACAAGGTTTTTGGAGCAGAAGCTATAGATTCACCAAAGGGATCTACCTAGCTGCTTGCTGTAGTAGAGCATGGTAAATGACTACCACGTTCTTGCATATTTGGAAAAGGATTGCCACGTGACGAGAAAAGTGATCACAACATGATACGTGACACATGACCAACCAAGGCGGAGTGTTCCAACGTGCTCCGAGAGTATGCCCGCCCTCTGACTATCCGCTGATGGTCCAGGTCATGTCTAAGGGTATATAAAAGCAGTGCGTGGCACTAGCGGTACTGCCGTACTAGAGGCAATCTTGAGGGTTGGTTGGAATGATCGTTTAACTGCAGCTCATACCAGAACATCACTCGTCCCACTGGTGCACTGCATCGCGGCTCCCAGTCCTAGGCAGTACCCATTAATGCCTTGACGTTGGGCTCCGTCATTAGCCTTCCTCAGCGTCCATACCATCGTGTCGCCTTTTGCCCGGCCCAGCGCCCTTGGCTGGACGACGGCCCTTGAGGACCGATCCTCTGTTGCCGCGATCATCCATAAGCTTCTTCATCTCGTTCCGGGAATGGCGTTGAGCCTCTTCCACTCGCTCCCTGAAGACCATGACCTCCTCCCGGTCAGTTTCGTATTCTTCAAGCTTCTTGCCCATTGCTGCCTCAATTCTCTGATATAACTCAAGGTCATATTGGGTGATGATACTCAAGGCCTGTCCTGATCTGCCGGCACGCGCTGTTCGGCCTACTCTGTGGATGTAGCTGCCGTGTATACGTTAGTAAGACGTTCTCAAACAGGATCGACTAGTTTCAGGATGGAGAAGAGATTATGAAAAGCCTCCGAGAGTCCCAGGCTTCGGATCTCGGATTGGGTTGTTCTCATGTACCTCTTGCTGTCAGAAGCGATATCGTAATTAATCACGAGGTCGACCTTGGGTATATCCAAACCTCTAGCGGCAACATCGGTGGCAACTAGGATGTCCTTGGACTTTGACTTGAATTTACTCAAAGCTCCTAGACGAGCGGACTGTGATAATTGACCTTCATATAAGATGTCAGCAGACCATAGAAGAAGCGGGACGGGGGATGGACAGTCAGGGACGGTGAACAGTCCATGGACGGACGGTAGGGGCGAGGCCTTCTTACCATGGAGCGGAATCGCGCCGAATCCAAGAGAGCGTAGCAAGATGGCTATTCTCTGTGTCTCGTAGACGGTACGTGTGAAGATGATGGTACTTCGACCCGCGAATTCGTTGACCAGATATACTAGGTACATATCCTTGTACATGAAAGGTATGAAGAGGTAGTTTTGCTGCAGGGTTGCGACAGTTTGATATCTAGCTGATACGGACACACGTATGGGGTCGCGGAGACTGGCGCGTTGGAGACTTTCAACCTGGGACAAACGAGTCAGCAAATCAGACCCCAGAGAAACTTGGTACAATTTCACAAGCTCACCTTGGAGGACATGGTTGCGCTGAAGAGAAAAGTCCGTCTCTCTCTCGGGAGAAACTTGAGCAGCTTGTCAAGGATAGGGCCGAAGTCCATGTCCAACAGGCGGTCGGCCTCGTCAATGACAAAGTATCGCAATGACGAGAGCTTGAAGCCTTTTGTCTTCTCGAGGTGGTCAAGGAGACGGCCAGGAGTTGCGATGATTATATGAGGTCGCTGTATCAGTCTGATTATTAGCGCTGCAACAGATATATTGATCGATTGGTCCCCTGTACCTTTCCCAGGGCAATTTGTTGGGGGACTATATCCAAGCCACCGACGATGACGGTAGATCGCACTGATATGGTAGACCCGAGGGCATCCACTGCCTGGCCAATCTGTGCAGCAAGCTCACGTGTCGGCGCCATGATGAGACCAAAGAATGGCGATGGCTTCTTCTCCTCAAGCAGGGCCTGGAGGATGGGAAGTACAAAGGCAGCAGTCTTTCCTGAACCAGTCTCGGCCAGACCTATTATATCCCGGTTCTGCAAGGCGAGGGGAATAGATTTCTCTTGAATCGGTGTCGGGGTCTGAGGGAGGGCGAGTTAGCCATGTGAATCAGAGTCAGTCGCCGGGAGAAAGGCGAACAGGTAGCACGCATGGAACCGCTCACCTTGTACCCGAGGCTCTCGCAGGCATCACACAGGTTTTCTACGATTCCCTACAGACACGCCATGGTCAGAAAGACCGAGACGCCAACGTGTCAAGACATTCGAACCCACCAAGTCCTTGAAAGTCTTGGGTGGCGCATCGTCGGAGCCCTCGAGGGTGGTCGAGTCGGGGGAACTGTCGCGCGACGGGCCGTCGTCCCGTTGCTCGTTGTCGTGGTCGCTGTCATGCTCGCGGTCCTCGTCTGGGGCAAGCTTTCTCCGCTTGGAAGGAGGCATTGCGAAAGCGGCTACTGGATGTAGGTCGGCGGGTAGTTTTAGGAGAATTTTTTTCGGAACGAAGGCACCGTATCGCAGGTCGGGTCAGTGAAGTCGGTATTCGATTCCTGATTATGGTGTTCACTGTTCAGTATGTCGCAGAGGCCGATGAAATAAAAAGTTGAAGTTTGGGGGCCGATAAGATAAGAGTCTTCAACCCCACGAAGTTCTCGCCCCACCTGATCTTGGCTTGACCCCTGCACGAGCTGATCCACTTATGGTTCGTGGAGAATGGAGAAAATCTTCGCGAGATTCCCGTGCGAGGATTCGTCTTCATATAGGGCTCTCGTGACTCATCGCAGACAGAGAAAGGTTTCGCTAAAGCCATGTTAAGCAGTGGTGTTGAGGTTCACATGCTCTCAATCTGCTGGGTCGGGATCAATGGAAGAAGTCTGGACCCACTAAATCTTGCCTTTACCCCTGCACGAGCTTATCCTCTTATGGTGCGTCAGAATGGGGCCTCAGTCCTCACCGCCTTCAGTATGTGGACAGACCAGGGCTTGGCGCCTCGGCTGCTAGCTCCATACCCCACCCCGCCGCTTTTTCCTGTTTTCTGCCACTCCAATGCGGGCCAGCAGGCCAGGCGGACAGCCCTGTCTTATCTTATCGGACATGCAAAGAAAAAAAAGTCGAATAGCTGTTGAGCCCATACTCCTGCAACTGAGTGACTGGCTACATGACCACCAAACACACTGCATTACCTCTAGTGCTGTCGACTCGGCTGTCAATTGAGACTTGACGATACTCTTCCAGCCTGTCGCGTCGCTCGCCACCAGATTCTTGTCCCTGACCAGCTCTGCTCCGCAGTCATGGCCAAATCCCGAACCAAGAAGCGCACCCATGTGGGTGCCACGAACCCCAAGCACCAGGCCGCCGCTCCGGCAGGTCGCTCAGCCATACAAGATCCCAAGAGTATGGTAATTCGTATTGGTGCCGGCGAGGTTGGCTCCAGTGTCAGTCAGCTGGCGAAAGACGTCCGTCAGGTCATGGAACCCGGAACCGCCAGCCGTCTGAAGGAGCGTCGCGCAAACCGCCTGCGCGACTATGTCACCATGACAGGTCCATTGGGTGTCACACATCTCATGCTGTTCTCGAGATCCGACTCCGGCAACACGAATCTGCGCGTATGCACCACTCCGAGAGGACCGACGCTTCACTTTCGTGTCGAGAAATACTCCCTCTGCAAGGACGTGCGCCGTGCTCAAAGGCATCCCAAAGGAGGAGGCAAGGAATACACCACGCCGCCGTTGGTAAGGATCATGATCTCCTTGATCGCTTCCCCCTACTGCCTTCCCTACTGCCTTCCCTACTACTTTCCCAAGATGTCTGGCCCACTCTCCGGCACCCCTACTGACTATATCGTCTTTTGTAGCTGATTATGAACAACATTTCTACCCCTGGCGCAGACGCCAACTCGAAAGTTCCCAAACACCTCGAATCCCTCACAACGACCGTCTTTCAGTCACTATTCCCCCGGATCAACCCTCAGACAACGCCTCTTAGGTCGATACGCAGGATCCTCCTCCTCAACAGAGAGCCAGCCTCCGATAAAGACGATGGTTCATTCGTGATGAATTTCCGACACTACGCTATTGTGACCAAACCTGCCGGGGTTTCCAAGCCGCTTAGAAGACTCAATGCTGCTGAGAAGTTACTCAACTCGAAGAACCGCAAAGGCGGGGTGCCGAATCTTGGCAAGCTCGAGGATATCGCTGACTATATGATTGGTGGTGAGGATGGCGAGGGCTACATGACTGACGGCACGAGCGGGAGTGAGATGGACACAGATGCCGAAGTTGAAGTACTCGAAGACGCGCCCCGGAAAGTACTCTCAAGCAAGGCCCGCGCTGCTATGCGCGAGAATGGGGACAAGCCAGCGGATGACGACGAGAAGGTCGAGCGGCGACGCGTTACCCTCGTCGAGCTAGGACCTCGCATGAAGCTACGCATGACCAAGGTGGAGGAGGGCTTGTGTTCGGGCAAGGTGATGTGGCATGAACACATCCACAAGTCGAGGCAGGAGATACAAGCACTCGAAAAGCGGTGGGAATCGCGCCAAAAGGAAAAGGAAGAAAGGAGAAAGCAACAAAAGGCCAATGTCGAGAAGAAACAGAAAGAGCGGGCCGCAACCGGCGCTAAGGGCGGCAAAGACGGTGGAGACGAAGTCGAGGATGTTGAGTTGAACGGCAACAATAGCGATCTCTTTGATGAGATGATGGAGGACGACGATGACGAATTCGACAGCGAGGGATTGGCTGGTGACGCTGAAGAAGCTGTCAATGAAGGGATGGACGAGGACGAGTGGGAAGATGAAAAGGCAGAGATCGCAGGCTCATGAGATATTCAGGCTACAAATCGATGGGTAGGGTCTATTACCGATGGGACAGAGTCTGGCGCAATAGCATCTGCAGCATGGCATCATCTCCGACACCAAGAGAATATACCAACCTTGCTTCAACGACTATTACCAGCGCCGAGAAGCACCAACGCCTCGAGACCCTTGGCTTGATGTCAAAGCACGCATTTCGCAAGTTGGCGCAATGATCAGAGACCATCGACATGGACACATGATGCGAATTGTATAATGCATCGTGGAGAACACCGCAAGAACTGAGAGTAATAACATATCTTTCATTCTGCATTCAGCGGCTTGCGCCCGTAGACGACGAAACTACCAACATGTGAGTACATACCCCTACTAGAATGTGGCATCACTTACATCGGAAAGTAAGCATGGATATTCTTGGCGCGAACTTGCTCCAGGGCCTTCTTGATAGCGTCTGCCGTCTTTTCAGGGGACCAGCCAAGACCTTTCGTCAGCATTCGTGTGTATAGACCTCCGAAGCCGACTTCCAAGTTCTTCTGCTGCATCTCCCCAATGGCCTTGTACGCGCCGGCCGGCCACGGGTTGAGAGGCAGCGCCCGATGAAGCTCAACCACGTCCTCGAAACCGATCTCCGTCATCCATCGTTTGTACTTCTGGATCGTGAGCATGTTGTTCCCCAGCTTCTTTGATGCAACCACAGTGTCGAAGAAGAACTGCTCCATGAACGTCCCGCTGTAGCTCCCGTCCAGGCCGATGGGCACGCCGTACAGCTCTTGGTGTTCGAGATAGCCTCCAGGGGCCAAGGATTCGAATGCCTGTTGCAATAGCTTCCGCGGGTCGCGCTGCGCGACGAAGATCAGTCGGCCGTGAACGAGGTCGAACTTTTGCGGGTAATCCCATGGGTCCATGAAGTCTCTCTCTTCAAATCTGCAGTTCTGCGGAATCCTATTGCCTGCTGTCAGAATCAACGACAGTTGTAGGAGATGGTTGGTCATACTCGGACGATGGCGTCGGTTTGCTTATATCAATGCCGAGCACTTGACTACCCGGATGCTGTCTTGCTGGATGCGTGCCGTCCCATTTAGCCTCACCCAAACGTGGAGCGGTGCGAGGTCTTACCGAAGTCCATCGCCCAGATGCCTATGAAGTGAGCATACAGCCACATGAGGAGATGCGGTTCCTTGGCTGCTTACCGCTACCAGTACCCAGATCAAGCACATGCTTAGGTTCCGTGACAGGCCCTTTGACCAAGTCACCGTCTAGGATACGAGTCCACATGATATGTTGGCGATCCAGTCTAGACAACTCGGTCTTTGATGTGTTGGTCATCAGTGTCCAAGCTTATACACTTCTTGATCAATCAGCTTACCCTATCGTTGGGGAGGAAGTATTCTGTACATATTAATGAGCTCTTGCTTTGACGCTGCCGCTGTTTGGATGAAGACATGGACTGGACTTACTTCCCCCGAGCCAGGATCTGTCAACCTCATCGATACTGTCGTCCTTCTCGATGGGGTTTATCACGTAGGGACTATACAATATCCGGGTGAACTCAAGCGCTCGCCACTAACCATTCTGGGTTGATGAACGTACTTTTCTATCTCGATCTTCGTATCTTCATGGTCCACCTGTCGTGCGAGGTCAGCCATTGGGTTAAGCATCATAAGACGATTGAAGACTGGCTCGAACCTCGAGACCCGGTGGGCAGAACTCGGGTAGCCTGGTAGACTCGATGGTCCATTCTGGAAGTGGTCAACGTCTGGACTATGGAGTAAGGTAATGAATTAAAAAGACGTGAGTTACCCTCACCAGATTGGCCATTCTGACTGACGGCCTCCTGGTCCATCTTGGCTGATTGGATCAAGCTTCAACGAAGCCGGGAGTTTGAACCTTCGCAGGGATGCTCGACTCTGCCACAACTTTACGACGCGGATCTTGAGCAACCTCGTCGTCGACGAAGATCACGAAGAGAGTTTTGACGCCCAAGTTACGTCGATATTCGAAACCAAAAAGGTGGCCCGGTTCTCTCCGCACCGCCTTTTGCTTTTGGTATACGGGCGGGTTCGTGGGGACAATAGTCCCACTGATGGTGAGCTAACTAGCCACGAAGCGGTCTAGACTGAGGTTTGTTGGTGATGCGATTGTTATGCCTCACCTGATCATGACGTGCTTCTCTGTGTTGGTTCTGCTTCAATGGACAGCACACTGCGGCGGATCGTCTGGCCACTCCTGCCATTGGACAGACGGGATCTACACCGTTGCCCTTGCATTGGGCTTACTAGGATACGAATAACGAGGCTCTCCCCATGGAGAGGCCCAAACGCGTATCATGGAGTTGTTGGCGACCCGACCAATCCTGCATTCAGCTCCACGACCAATGACATAAGTCCTTCCCGAAGGATCCCGTGAAGGTGCGAAAAGGTGATGTGAGTCGCAGCCTTCGTCCGCATTCACGTGTCTCAGTGAATCATCTTCACGGGATCGTGGGCTTAAGGGCTACTCCTCGCTTGGCCACCCGTTGCCACTGTGTCGCTCGTCCTGTGATTTGGGAGGAATGTTGACACGAGACAGTGCGGACGCGTACGCTTTCCTTCTCGCAGTGGCACGTGAGAAGCCTTTGCAAACGGGAATGCCATTCAATCAAGTAGTCGCCACTCGAACCAAGGGGTACGGACAATGTTCGCTTGGAATGTGAAGCAATCTCGACATGTCTTAGAGCCGCCTTCTCAACAACATTAGACGTGGATTGCCCGAATCCTACTGCAGCTTTCTCGCAACACCGACTGAACGTGCTTCGAAACAGTGTATACAATGGGCTTCGATATCTACTGGATCAACACCAACTGACGTGCCTCGAAGCAATGTATACAATGTGCCTCGATATCTACTGGATCAGCCTTCTTGTCCTTGTTCCGCTGGTGGCATTCGTTACAGGACGCGATTTCATCATACGACCCTTCCATAAAAAGTTGGTCGAAAAGCCAATGACATGGACGCCCGACGAAGATGCCAGGAAGTTCCGTTGGACCTTTCTGCAGGTCTACCTTGTCGTGATGGGATCTGAATGGCTTCAGGTAGGTAGATATGTGGTGCTGGATCAAACCCCAGAGACCAGGAAAAGGAGACCGTGCCGTTCTGACACTTGGTGTAACTTGACTAGGGACCATATCTATTCTCGCTCTTCCGAAACGAGAAGGGGCTCGACGAAGCTACTATCGCCACGCTCTACATATGCACATACGTGTCTGCAGCCATCTCCGCTTTCTTCACCGGATACGTGACGGACAGGTTCGGCCGGAGGGCAGCCTGCTTGGTCTTTTGCGGCATCCACTCCCTTGCCTCAGCCTCGGTCTGCTTCGACAAGCTGGAGGTCTTGATTTTGGGCCGGATCTTGAGTGGCATCGGTCTAACCCTGCTCTGGACCGCATTCGAATCCTGGATGATAGCAGAGTACAATGCCCGTGGACTGGACCAGAGCTCGCTCCAGTTGAGCAACATGTTCGGGATCATGACGACATATAACTGTATCACAGCAATCCTGGCTGGTGTGTCGGGCCATTGCATCGTTTTGGCGTTGGGGTCCAAGACTGATCCTTTCATGGTTGGACTGGTAGGCTTACCCTTGAGGACCGAGCTCGTCCTATACTGACGACCAACAAGGCCCTGGATCTGTGTGTTGCAATACTCATGCTATATACCTGGAACGAGAACCGAGGCCTTTCCACGTCCAGCAAAGGCACAGCTGATGTTCACGACGAGGAAGCGATCAGAACACAGGCCTCTGTCGACTCGGACCAAGCGATGGCATTGGCGTCCTTGACAGATGTGAGGGTGTGGGTCTTGAGCTTCATCACTTGCTGTTTTGAGGGGACCATTTTTCTGCTCATGTTCTTCTGGCCGGGGACGCTTCAAGAGGCCCACGACCGAGACCATCCGGAGAGCAGGGATGCCATCCCGCACGGTGTCATATTCGCTGCGTTCATGGCAATCATGGTTCTTGGTGCTCTGCTCTTCAACTACCTGACAACCAACTCGGGCGGCAGAGGAAAGGGGCACCTGGTTCGATTCTTCAACCCGACTCGACTTCTCTCCATCGCACTCCTGCTGAGCGCCGTCAGCTTCCTGGTCGCGGCACTGACCAGCACCGAATCACACCTTTTCGGAGCATTCCTGCTTCTCGAAGCCTGCAACGGCATCTATGTGCCCAGCGTCGCATACCACCGCGGTGTGATCGTCAACGAAGCAGGCAGGGCGAGCGTTTACGGTCTCATGAATATTCCTCTGTTCATCTTCGTCGTCGTCGCCCTGTGGTCGACAGGAGGGAGCCGAGGTATGTTAACATCGCCTCAGACCAGAGCTGCGAGACTGGCTGACTGACTTTTACAGAGGATCACAGACAGATTGTGTTCATACTCTGTGCCGCTTTGCTCCTGGCAGCCGCTTTGATGAGTTCGTTTGGTCTTGACATGGCTAGGAGCCCTGCTGGATTTTCTGAGGTTGCTCAAACTAACGCAGAGGACGTCAAGGCGGAAGTCGATGGTGATGCTGTTGAAGTGTCGGATATGGGCTAGAGACATGCTAGACTCCTTCTCATGTCGGCACAGTGTTTATAGCTTTATAGATAGGCTAGAATTGCGTAACTTTAGGGGTAACCTCCATGGTTGCATGAATGTTGAGATACTGATGTAACAAGTGGTGCCTTCGTTTCCCCTCCGCCTCACGCTGGTTCGTAGGGATATATGTATCTAGGTACCTGGGATATGCGGGTTGGGCCGACTATAACGTGCAGCATGCAGCATGCATTCTGGGTCGCTGCTGACTATCCGCTGTCCGCTCCGTCGTGTAAAAAAGGGGTTCCTTGAACTCTGGCGCCTGAAGTCACACCTGGCTACGGGACGTGGTTGAAATTACCCCCAGTATGGGCCTTCCTCCGATCCAGCGCCTTATCCCGGCCTCCATTCCGTAGGCCGGGATAACACTCGAGGTAAGGCCGTATATGTGTCGGACGACATCAGTGAGGTCTCTTTCGATGGGATCCTCAGCCCAGCCATCAGGACGGTGATCTCGGGCATCAGCGAAGGCGCTCGTCAAGCAGGCGTGCTAGAGTAGTCCTCCGTGGAATGGTGATGCCGAAGTCGACGTTGACATGCCGGTCTGCTTCACCTCAGCTCCTCGCTCGGCCAAGCTTGCGACGCCGTCGACCAAGGAAGCAAATACCAGATCAACTACGGGCAACGGCGGCCGGGAACATGAGGACAGAGCTTTCTGAGCGCCGATAGCAACTATAATGTTCGTGTTATAGGCATGACATCGACAGCTCAATATGCAGTCGACTCTGGGCTCTCGAAGTATTTGAAATGAGTTCTGAGATGCATGCAGTTCGAGATCGGGATCGTCCAGGTACAATCGGCGGTGAAAGAGATTAGACACATTTTAATTCATTCGCAATACGACATAGACAAATAAGATGACGCCCTTCATATTATACTTAAACCATATGTCAACCTGAACAGAGGCCGTTTCCAGGTCCCTCCAAGCCCATCAACCCTATCCGCCGCCACCCACTCGACATGCAGCTTTCTTGTTAACCAACCATGCCTCGACATCTTCCGAGTGGTGCACGTGCCTCTGTTGCCGGTTTAGGAAGGTGACTTATGGGTGAGCCCAGCCCCGGCCAAGCCCGGGCTCGCCGGTAGGTGGAGGTACCCTGCTCGTACCGTTTGCTTGAGGCTGCCGAGTGCACACTGCCTGGTGTTGCGGGGGAATGATAACTAGTCCTGGAAGCAGCAACGTTCAACATCTCCTTCCCATATTCACCCTACGTAAGAAGACCTCAGATCAAGAGGCTCGCTACCAAGGAGCAAGCAACCCAGGTCTAACGGTCCTCGCTACCAAGGAGCAAGCAACCCAGGTCTAACGGTCCTCGCCTGGCAGCTCCTCCTGTTTTGTCGCATATATATTCCACCAGCAGACGATTGGCAACAGAACAAGACTTTGATGTGTCACTGAAGCTGCTTCTATCCTCAATCATCAAGTCGAAGTCGTCAATGTGAAGTCCCCAAACCCCCACACCATGACTTACAGGTGTCATTTACAGCGGAAGGCGGGCGTACCTTGCTGTGTTTGTGTCCATCGTATGTACTGGTCGACAGTACGAGCAGCTGAGAGATAAGGCGAGATGGGCGAGACAGGATCAGCAGCTCCCGGGACTGTGGGCAGCGTTACCGTCACCTTGACGGTTCATTTAAGGCCCTTCAAGTCTCCTATGCTTCCATTGGCTTGCTTGTACTGAAATACCCAGACCCTGGAAACTGTTCGCAGCCAATTGTGGACGATCCGCCGCGAGCCGCCCATCTGCCACGGCTGCCAATACCATTCATCGGGCTCTATCTTGTGTCGAGAGGAAGTGCAAGGGACTGATCAGGCAGGCAGGCAAGCTGACATGGTGCTGCTATCTGCCCCGAAATGGGACGTAGGATACCCTGAGGTTATGTTGGCCTGTTCAGGCCAGTGTTGACCACAAGCACCGGGAAGCAACACAGACGACCAGGCGGGGAGCGGCGCAAATACACGCTCACCCCCGTACATCCTGTCAGCGCAGTGTTCAAGGGTGCCGGTTTGGGTATTATAGCCAGACAGATCACAGGCAAACAGCGACAGACAACGTGTGGCACAGGAATATGCAGGCAGTACGACGTGGTACGGTCCAGGCGAACTGCAGGTGAGGCCAGGCCGGCCAGGATAGCGATTCGTCGTCTGCAGGCTGTCGATACAGGTCTGCTTCCAGGCCGGCATCCCGCCCGTGTGGAACGCGACGCTTCGATGTGCGTCTGTGTCGGGGCAGAGAGGATGGCAGATGGCAGATGGGACGGTTGGGACGAGAGAGCTGAATCCTGATGGTACGAGAAGTGCGAGCTGCGGCTGTCTTTCTCTGTTTCCCCGTGGCGTAGACGCTAGGCGGATGTAACGTCGCGAGATAAAGAAGTTGGACTGTGGACAATGGATGGGGAGGGGCTCGAGCTCGAGGGTCCCTCTTCTCAAGCTACTTAGTACTGACTAGCAGGGGACGTCCCCAGAGTCCTTATCGCGATCGTTGTCGAATCACAGGCCCGGAAGCACGAAATATACCAATCAGATCTGTGTGGTCGGGCCAATCAGGGCCGTCAGGCATGCTTGGCGTTGGCAGCGGATGAGAAGCGGAACGGAAGCGGGAGGAAGTGGAGGAGCATAGGGACTTTTCAGTTTCGGTGGGGACCTCTCTCTTCTCCAAAACCACCACCCATTATAAACCAACGCCGTCTCTATGTCATCTTCAATTGACACATGCATCAAGCCTATCTGTCGTACTCGTGTAATTCTGTCTACATGTATGATTCTGCCCAGTGGCAGTCCCTGGAGGAACACGGCAGGTTCAACAAAGTCGAGTATACGTGCCCAGTGGCCTCTGTCTCTTGCCTGTGTCTTGTCAGCGGTTGTACATGGGTATCGATCTGTCAGTCTGTCAACCTCGCCTCAGGAGCACAAGCACACGCACAAGCACGCTGGCACGACGCCCATCAACCAGTGCCTCTTTGAGTCTTGGCGGGCCTGAACTGGCAGCCGAATGGCCCTTGCAGCAGTTGCGCTCATCCCCGGGCGACCCCCCCGAGCGTTTATCAGCCAAGCACTGCCAAGCAGGCGGGCAGGTTGGCAAGCTGTGACGGGGCTGGGAGGCCGACATGGCTGCCATGGTTCTAGATAGGGCGTCCTTCCCCTTCTAGAAGACCTCCATGCTCTAGCGCCAACCCGACCAGGCCTGCCTCATCTAGACCACGCCATCATCGCCGCTTTGCGATCCACTGCCCACCAGTCATATCGAGGTGGTCTCTGTGGTTTCTGTGGTCTTGAAGCGGTGCAATGCAGCAGCTGGGGAGTCTCGTCCAGTAGCAGTGGCCGTAGGGGTGCGATAGGCCCTACCCAAAGCCGGACACGGTGACACGCCGCGCAGAGGCAAACAAGGTGAGGAGGGTGAACGAGAGGGGCAAAAAAGTATTAAGTTCGCCGAGTTCCTGCCGTTCCTCTGTCTCCCACTCCACTGGGATCGCCCTACGTCAACTCTTGCCCACAATAACCCCGACCCGGTGTCGCAGCCCGGCAAGCAACAAGGTAACACGACGGCAGGACGATAGCAAGACGACAGCAAGACGCGACATAACTCTACCAATAGCTACTCTGCTCGCTCTGCTCTGGTCTGTTTCGGGTCTGCTCTTCGAATAGGCCTCACCCTCGACCGCCCGGCTCGGTTCTGGACTAACCACCCGATCTCATCTGCCGGTCCCGCCCCGTTCCGTCCCCACACCCGTTCGCTCGGTTGTGAATTTTGACTGGTTCGTTACGAGAAAAGCCGAAGCGCGCCCACCATACAATCTTGGACATCTCGTCGTCGTAAGACTCGGATTTTGAGCGCATCTGCCGCAACATGGGTTCTCACGAAAACCAGGGCAGCCTCCCTGGCCACAACACCTCACCCCAGGAGGGCGTGATACTCAATCCCGATCCAGTTCTAAACGTCGCGAACGAGCACCATCATGGTCATCTGCACCATGGCGGCGCTGCCGCAAACCCCGTAAACCACCCGGATGAGGTCGTCTACTCCAACCCTACCCCCAACAAGAGCTTCGACAAGGAAACCGGGGACTACGCGACCAACGAGAAGTCGTTCACCGACGAGGAGAGTGGCAATGTCGGCCACATCGCCGTGGAAGAGGCGACCGGCCGGAAGCATTTCATCTCGCACTACTACCGAAAGTTCCGGCCTTTCGTCCATATCTTCATCTGGCTTCTATTTACGGCGTAAGTCTTCTGCGGATCCGGAGACCACTCCCGGTATCGGTCACGCTTGAAGGACTATACTGATCGCTCCCCTTTGTAGATGGTGGATTGTTGGTCTGGTCCGCTTCCGCCACACCAAGAACTGGCTCATTCCCTTCTTGCTGTATCTCGCCATCACGCTGCGCATCATTTTCCTCTGGCTACCCGTTAACTATGTCTGGAATCCCGTCAAGCTCGTCTGGCACCACACTGCCTTCAGGATCTACGAGATGATCCCCAAGGTGCTTCACAAGCCCCTGGCTGCCACTGTCACCGTCGGTGTCTTTCTGATCGGGACCATGGTGCCCGCCGAGTCGGGTGAGAACACCCGGGCCAGCCGAGCGCAGGCCCTGTTTGGGCTGGTCGTCATGATCGCAGCCATGACTGCAACCAGCAGAAACATGCGCCTGATTCCATGGCACACCGTCATCGGTAAGTGGTCTCCAGCCTTTCATACCCATCACTTTTGCTGCAGAGTCGCAACTGACAGCCTCATCAGGCGGCATGCTCACCCAGTTCATCATTGCCATCTTTGTCCTGCGGTCCCAGGCCGGTTACGACATCTTCAACTTCATCTCCACCCTGGCCCGCACTCTTCTGGGCTTCGCTGACCAGGGAGTCGTCTTTTTGACCGATGATACCGTGCCGCAAAAGTCCTGGTTCTTGACTGGTGTCGTGCCGCCCATCATCTTCTTCGTGGCTCTTGTCGCGCTCTGCTATCACGTCGGACTCATCCAGTGGTTCGTCGGCAAGTTTGCCGCCTTCTTCTTCTGGACCCTCCGCGTGTCCGGTGCCGAGGCCGTCGTCGCTGCCGCCACCCCCTTCATCGGCCAGGGTGAATCCGCCATGTTGATTCGCCCATTCGTCCCCCATCTCACCCTGGCTGAGCTGCATCAGGTCATGACCTGTGGCTTCGCCACCATTGCCGGTTCCGTGCTCGTCGCCTACATTGGGCTGGGCCTCAACCCCCAGGCTCTCGTGTCCTCCTGCATCATGTCTATCCCGGCCTCGCTGGCCATCTCCAAGATGCGATACCCCGAGGCCGAGGAGTCGATCACCTCAGGACGCGTCGTCATCCCCGAGGACGGGGAGGAAAGGGCCGCCAACGCGCTACACGCCTTCGCCAACGGTGCGTGGCTTGGTCTGAAGATTGCGGGCATGATCATATCGACCCTGCTCTGCATCATCGCCTTCGTCGGCCTGATCAATGGCCTGCTCACCTGGTGGGGTGGATACTGGGGCGCCGAAGACCCTGTCATCACGCTCCAGCTGATCCTCGGATATCTGTTCTATCCGGTGGCCTGGCTGCTTGGTGTTCCCAAGAACGAGCTTCTCCAAGTCGGCGAGCTGATTGGGCAGAAGATCATCATCAACGAGTTCTATGCTTTCAACAACCTCCGAACGGATCCCCGGTATCTGGCGCTTAGCGGACGCGCAACCCTCATCGCCACCTACGCTTGCTGTGTAAGTTCATACCAAGATCACGTGACGGTTGGATCACCTACTAACTCAGTGCAGGGTTTCGGCAACGTTGGTTCTCTCGGCACTCAAATCGGAGTCCTGTCCCAGATTGCTCCGGGCCGCGCTGGTGACGTCTCCAAGGTCGCCATATCGGCTCTGCTCGCCGGTATCGTCTCTACTCTGACGTCTGCCGCCGTTGCTGGCATGCTGTATACGGATGCCATAGGACCGGCTACTCACTCGTAGGGCGCGGACCTCCCATAGCGCAGACCTGGCATGATACCACCGAATGCTTCGAGTATAATAAAAATGATCAGTTTATGAAGCTATGAACTACTCGCAGAGTTGAACATCGTGAATACCAATCGCGTAGCTGCACATGTAACTGCGTCTGGTTTCGCTACCCAGGCATTGCTATTGATACTGCAGTCAGTCCATTCTTAGCAGACGACAGACGAAGAACTCGGAGCTCCCAGCTTCTCCAGCTGAACTCGGAGATGATCCATTGCAGTTCCTGCACGAGAGGCACAGGGTTAGTAGGCATACGCGACGACATATAGCAGCTTGCTCGGTTGATGCGGTCTGGTACTTGGATGAGATGCAACCTGGCCAATGTCCAACCTTACCGCCAGACAGCCCTCGTGACACGCCCTTCTGGGACATGACAAGGTCAGTTTCGTCCTCGTCAGGTACGGTCACTAGCGTTCGGAATTAGGTCGTCCGCTGCGCCCAAAAACTTCTCATGCTCACCGCTAGCGAGCAAAGCTCCTATCGGCACTCTTCACCAAGAGAATGTGTAAATCATGGCGAAAAAGGTTGTGGAGGTACTCTTGAAAGTCGCATTTAACTTCCATACGTGACGTTTGAGATATCTCAACTGCTCAGACCGCCGCCGGGAGGTAATTGGTGACTCGACGAAGTCCCCTAAGACACAGCGGAGTTCCGGAGACACTGTCTCGTGACCGTGTAGAGCGACTGCTGCCCACGTATCCGTGTCCTTGTCGATAAAGCTCTAGATGTAGAGCCAGTACCTTCCTGCTCGATGACCTTCCAAATCGACTCTCCCCAGGGATGACCACATTCTTCAACACGGAACTGACATCCTTCAGGTCTCATCACCTTCCAGCTCGAGGATCGCTCGAAATTTTTGGCGCTTTCAACATGAAACCAGCTTCTCTGAATTCCATCAGCACTCTTTGGCTTGGAAGACCGCACACTGTCGACTTTTTCCAGCGCTGAGCACTCTCCAACTCGAAGCCACCCGGTGTCTAGACTCTCCAGGACTGACCAGCCATCTCCAGCTCGAGAAACGTTCGAGACGGATATCCTAAGAATCGCCAGCAAGTGACAGCTGAGGACCATCTCTACCCAGGTCTCTCCAGCACTCTCTACCGAGGATTCGGGTTTCTTTAGTACGTAACTGATCACCCTCACGGTCTAGAAGCGTTCGAACCTGACCCTCCTGCGCTCCACAGCTTGGAGCAGACTCTCCAGGATCTTCCAGGCATATCGAGGTCCTGCACGGCTCAGCACTGTCGAGCTTGGTTTACTTCACCAGCTTTCGATCCTCCAGCTCGCTTTCAGTCTACACTCGACTATCTCCGAGTCTCGCACGCCTCCAGAACTGCTTCCTGCTCCCATGTGGCTCGAAGGGCCTCTCAAATCGGCTCTTACAAGCCCAAAGCACCTCGAATAGGGCTCGAAAGCTCAAAGGGCGAAGAACAACGAAATATGACTCCTCCACCTTTCCCCCAACATGGCTCAACCGTAAGCCTCGACAGGGCGCTCATACGGCCCAGAGAGCCTTGAACGTAATTCTCAAGCATCCAGATCTAGCTGCATCATGGTCTTCATTACGCAGGCATATCTGGCTCTCAAGCATGGTTGCTCATGTCAGGATTCACGAACAGGGACACTCTGCTGATCCGTAGCTCTATATCTCCCCGAGCCCCTCTCATGGCTATCTGCAGGCTCTTCAAGGTGCTACACCGGCCTGTCTAGACTCGCATGGTTTTCGCAGGGTTCTCCAAAACCTTGATCGATCCAAGTACGATCTCTAAGTCCACAGGTGAATGAGGGTCTCCGGAGGTGCTCTCCAAGGCTCACTCCATCAGAGCTGTTTTGGGGCCCCCGACGTTTTCAATCAAATCGAATTCGGCGAGTCTCCATAGTCTCATCGAGGCTCTCAGGTCTCTTACCTTCCTCCAAGGTCATAGTCGGTTCGAAAACGACTCTCAAGGTCTTTCCGTGTCTCTCTCGACTACCCTGAGAGCCGAATCAGGTCGATTCGAATACGGCTGTGGGAACCGCTTCCTTGAAGCCGAGCGGGGGAATCCACGTATCTGTAGCCCCTGATGCTCAACTTACTGTTGGTACCAGAAGCGAGAATGTGTTTCGGGGAATGGTGAGAGTCCGGAGAACTGGGCTGGATCTTCTTGTCGGATTGACACAGCCATCCTATTCCGACTCTCAACATCAGCAATATAGTGCCTGCGAAACCTGATGGTCCCGAAGACGAACTCGCTGTTCGTCGATCGTAGTGATAATAAGCCCTGACCTCTTTTGACAGATGTTGGAGGTCCAGCTGGGAGTGTTCATTGAGTAACTATTGCTATGATACTATTGCCTTCAGAGTCTCCAGCTGATTCTATAATGCAGCGTTCTCCCGGCTGAGAATCTGTGGACTATAAGGTAGTGATGTAGCTTCTTGCAATCTGAACAGCCGTGATGCTGATGTGCGAGCCACAACCGTCGGCCATCTCCTACGGATTGCGTGATCACCCGACTAGGCAGCTTAGTAGTATCTGATAAGGTCATGTGATCTTGTTCGTGCTTGACGCTGGACACCTGCATCACTTCGCGTAGTTGAAGGACTAACGGCATCATCAACGGTTGCTGCTGTCGTCAATCGCAATCCAAACGCCACGATGGCTGACATCACCACTCTCCTCGATGCGCGCTACGGCTCGAACACTTCAACAAGTGGCGACAGCATATCGGAAGCCGCGAACTTGACAATCAAGACTCTGCTGGAGCACAAGTCAGCGCGTCACTTCCTACCCTCACCCCTAGTACCAGTCACTCTGGAGATCCTCGTCGCAGCGGCCCAGAGCGCAGCCACGTCGTCCAACCTGCAGACCTGGAGCGTGGTCGCTGTCTCGGACCCGGAGCGCAAAGACGCGCTGGCAACACTCAGCGGCGACCAGGACTTCATCCGGCAGGCCCCGCTGTTCCTGATCTTCTGCGCCGATCTGAACCGCCTCACCAGGGTATCGCAGCAGCACCAGCAGCCCGCCGAGGGGTTGGAATACATCGAGATGTTCCTCATGGCTTCGCTGGATGCTGCACTTGCGGCGCAGAACGCCGCCGTCGCTGCCGAGTCTCTCGGTCTTGGTATCTGCTACGTGGGTGCTGTCCGCAACCGCGCTGCTGAGCTTGCAAGCCTCCTCCATCTGCCGTCGCGTGTCGTCGCCCTGTTTGGCATGGCGGTTGGGAAGCCAGATTTGACCGCCGGCGAGGAAGTCAAGCCTCGATTGCCGTTGGACGAAGTGTTGCATAGGGAAGTGTGGGATGATAATGCCGGCGCACAGGCGGAGCATGTTCAGGCCTACGACCAGACGTTGGATAAATTCAACAACAGCCAAGGTCGCGAAGGAGTCGCACTCTGGAGTCAGCGCTCGGCGCAGAGAGTTTCGACATTGGAGCGGCTGAGCGGGCGTCATGTCTTGCGGGACGTTCTACGAGGCCGGGATTTCAACTTGAAGTAGTATTGTCCAGCTTCCGACCACGACTTGATCTGGTCATTCTACTTGATGGTCGGAAGTCTGACATCATTCGGTTGATGACTCGGGTGAGGGAGGAGTGGTTCGTAGCTCAGATGGGGAGGAGTGGTTCGTAGCTGAGATGGGAGTAGACTGACGTGTTAGGATTTGGTGATCAAATCAGATCAAATGTCAGACAACTAACTGGTTGTCATGATCTCAAACCGCCTGAACTCCAATCTTGTTTCTGCACAGAGCAAATAGTCCTATGCAGGTATACCATGTTCGTGCTGACAGGTACCTTGCATGTCTGACCTGCATTCAGTCAGGCTCGAGCCCATTGACGACGTATGAACACAACGAATAAAACATGGCCATCAACTCCCGATCCGCCAGAAAGCTTCGTTGCAACAGTTTGCCTTTGCGACCTATGAGTTGTCCACTAACCCGTCGCTCTCAATGTCATCTCACACCCAAGCTGAGTTGTGATGAAGGCCGAGGGATCCGACGAGCTTCCATACTGCGTGTTTCGGCGCTACAAATCCTACCAAATCGAACAGTCGCATCAGGCATAAGAAGCGGGAAGCGGTAATGATTATCATGACTGGTCACCCAATCGGAAAGCACGGATCGTGTGATCTTGATGCTTCGCCTTGGTATGACAGGGGGGCATTGTGGCAGTGCTCTAAAGGGGCAGATGCAGGAAAGCGACACATCAGCGAACAAAACATTACAGTACGACTGCCGGGCTTTCAGTCTCGTGGTTCTTGGCTTCTCTGTCTCGAACCTGGGAAACTCGCCTCGTCGATGGGCTCTTCTTTTGGGCACCATGGGGATCTTGATGATGGCTCGTCCGCTTCAAGCGCTCTTGTGTCTCGCTCTTCTAGGATTGGGCAAGTCACAGGGATTCGTCACCTTTCTCAACCCGATTGGAGACGAATTGGTGGACGCAGGAACGACTCATGAAGTCAGATGGTCTCCCGGCTCGATATTAGGTGATGCCACACTGTCGTTGCTGTCAGGCGAGAATGACATGACGCTGTCGTTCAAAGGCGAGATTGATAGTAACATTACCCCACCCAATTACTGAGACGAACCGGACGAAGCTGACACGCCATAGCATCAATAGATATCGGGAATGGATCATATCTCTGGGATGTAGGGAAGGATCTTGGGACCGAGCAGGCCTACGGCTTGAAATTGACCTTCAACTCGGACCTCGACACATTCGAATATGGCGCCTCCTTCAAGATCGCCGCTATGGATGGTATCTCTGGTACCACAACTCCCGAAACGGCGTCTCAGAGCACGACAGGCACTCCGAGCTTAAGCACCGTGTCCCCGACCACAAGCGACAGCTCGTCCGCGGCCGCAGCCTCGTCACAGTCAACGCCAACGCCGACGGCCGAGTCCAAAGCTGACCCTGACTCGAGCTCTACACACACAGGTGCCACTGTGGGAGCTGTCATTGGTGTTGTTGCTCTCGTAGCGATAATATGCGGCCTGGCCGCCCTCGTGCTCTACTATAGAAGGAAATCGAGATCACAAGGATCCTCCGGTAAAGGCGACGAGGACAAGATCGAGATAGTGGAGGGTTACAACAAGTCAGAACTCGATGCTAGCCAGACCGAGGTACAAATGGTGCAGGTCTACGAACTCGATGCCACGCAGTACGCCCACGAAGTTGACGCGACAACACCTCCGACGGAGCTGGAAACGAGCTCGAGAGGGGAACTTCCCGCCCTGAAGTTGGAGGATTCGTGGCCGTCTTTGGAATATCCGAGCCCGTTGACCAGAACGGGGACCCCTCGATCTGATGCGGTGCCTCCGAGTCCGATGTCCATGTTGTGAGGTCTGTGGTCAGGCCACATAGAGACTTAAGAAGCAAGCAAGTACTACAAGACATTATAAGGCTATCGCAACGTGTATGCATAGTAAATATCTAGCTAAGACTTAAGTCGAGACGTATTGGTTATTACTCGTAGCGATATTTAAAGCTTCCGTTAAAAAAAGAACCTGGCTTTTAATTTATATTAGTTCGAACAGTGGCTATAATGTCGTGTGACATTACTGTATGTGTCCTCATGTGACATTGTAACTGTGATGCTCTACCGTACCATCGCAGATGGAGTGACTGCAGAACGGTAGCTAAGCATAAAGCAAGTATCACTTTGCGGTGTCAGGGGCGTCCCCGATGCTATTTCTAGCATGGTGTATGAGTGTGGCATGCATGACAGTGGAAACCCTACGTGGCCATCCCGACCCAAGTCTCTAGGCATCCTGCACGCCTAACCCCCCAAGAAGCAGGCTGCTGAACTTTTCGACAAACTGGCTCATTTGATCGGCCGAGTGGAACGATTCGTTGTAGACGACGCTGAGGTTTAGCTGGTTGCGGAATGTCCAAACAAATGTCACGGCCTGCCGGAAGAGAATCTCGACCCCAACACTGACCGCCTTGACCTGAAACCCAGCCTCGGGGGTACCATAAGATCGCTGGTGGGTCGCCACCGCTCTGCGGCGGGTTGCGGATCAATTCGCCCAGTCGCGCTGCGTACCCCCGATGGGCATCCAAGAAGTCTCGCGTAACCCCCTTTCGGTACTCATCCTCGTAGTCTTGTGCATGCTGCGCCCAGGATGCCTGAGGCTCAACACGTTTCATCCAGCCGGTCGTATATAGACCGGCGGCAAAAGCGGGCGTTGAGTAGGGTTCGGGCAAGTGCGGCCGCAGAGAGAAGCGGACGGTGCTGGTGTAATGCTTGTCCCTAGCCGCCGCATCGGCGAGGGCGAAGTTAGCGCCGGCAACGCTGGCGTGAACTGCAGAGGTCACGCTGATAGACCGCTCCTTGCAAGCCGCCACGATCTTCTCCGTGGTTGCCGCACTGAAAGCGAAGGCTGCGCTGTACGTCCCGGCCGGCATTGTGCCATGATCACCAGGCAGGGATGTACACCAGCTTCGCGTATGGAGTGGGCTGGAAGGTCGGGATCACATCAGCAGAAGAGTTGGCGTTGGGAACCACGCTGAAGGTCCGGGAGACCCAGTCATCGAGTGTGGCTCCGTCAGCTGGGACGGAATAGATGAGGCTTGTATCATCGGGGGCCACTTCGGCTGCGAGACTTGAATGCTGGAAGTGCAGATGAGCCCAAGCCCGTCGTAGTCGAGCTCCTAGGTCGCCCGAAGTCAATGATCCGGTAGGAACAATAGTTGCCGTTGAGTTGACGGCCCAATGCTCGCGGTTGAGTGGCAGTCCGGCATCACCAACAAGCTTGATGAAGGTCTCGTTTTCGCCAATAGGACGAGAATATACGCCTCTCTGGTCTGTCTCTTGCCAAATCATTGTGGCTCGATTTACAGCACTTCAGATTAGGCAATGTAGAACAGTAGTGATGGAGAAACTACCGAACCTCAAGGTTTATTCGTGCTGGAGAATGGGTGATGTGATGTGATGTGATGTGATGCGAGGCAACAATATCCAAAGAGAACCGTTGCTGGTTTAAAGGTCCCGGCTGGGATGGAGTGGGTGAAGGAGGTGTGTTGTTGGTGACCCAGAGGCACGCAAGGAGGACCTAGGGCTAGGCAAGTACTCCCGGGGTCCCGGGCAGGGGGCGCTACATACCGGGACGCGGGGATGATAGGCGGATGGTCGCCATGCCCTTGTCTGCTTGGAGGTCTGTTCGGTGAAGCTGGGGCAGCTGTAACGGTACGCTTACAGTACATTGCCTCACAGTGGCCAGTAGCCAGTAGCACTTCCATGGAAGCCTTGGCAAACACCCTCCACCTTTCTTGCAGTCTCCTTACTTCCGGCTACCCACCCACTACGGCCTGGAGTGCTAGTTATGGTCCTAGAAGGTAATTGATGCTGAGAGGCCTATCGGTAGTGCTAAGAAAGGGGCAAGGGCTGTTGGTGACGAGAGTCCCCTCGATCGGGCTGGTCACACAGCGGAAAGCGGGGATTCCGCCGATCCAGACGATTTCTATTCATAAAGGGGCTGATATCCCTTCCTCGAAACTTCTGACGTCAACGTGATACTGCCCTTGAAGAAATGCCAGGCTTCCTCAGCAGACTCGCCGATCTCACGTTGCTACATGTGAAGCCCAGCACTGTTTACCATGGAAATCCGCGGAGTTGTTATTGTAACGGGTGCTGGTATGCGCCCTGCTCACCATCGCTGCTTGTGTGCGACACACTACCAAATGAAATTGGGCACTGATAGAGAACAGGTAGCGGAATTGGCCGAGCGGTCGCTCAACGGCTGGCTTCTCTAGATGCTAATGTGTTGATCTGCGCCGACATGAACCTCGATGCCGCCAAGGAGACGGCGACTGCTTGCCGCAACATCGAACGCCCAGGCACTCCTAAGGGCCTCGACGCAGCTGCGCATCCGGTCGATGTCCGCGATGAAACCAGCGTCGACGATTTGATAACTCATGTTGCCGAAACTCATGGTCGCATCGACGTGCTTGTCAACACCGCCGGAGTAGGTCGTCTCCTCCGTACACGGCTTCAGATGCTTGCCCCCTCAGAGCTAACCAGAAGCAGTTCGGGGCTGCATATCAAACACCCATCCGCGACATGCCTCTTGCCGACTGGCGCAGTCTGGACGAGGTACACAATATCGGCTGCTTCCTGTTGACCCGCGCCGCATTGCGTGTCATGGACAGGCAAGACGCTGTCGTATTGGATGCTACTGCCGGCGGACGGCCACCCACCAGGGGCGCGATAGTCATGCTGACCTCCCTGGCCTCGGAGGGCGCGTTCTTGGGGGTCGGGAATTACATCGCGGCGAAGCATGCCGTGAAAGGGATGGTACAGACGTCGGCCATCGAGAATGCTGCAAGGGGAATACGGGTCAATGCCGTTGCGCCTTCATATGTATCAGGACCAATGATGGATCAATTCCTCAAGGCTTCCCCCGACGTAAAGGCAGCCATCCTTGGTGATCTGCCTATGGGCAGGTTGGCCACAGTGGGCGAGGTGGCAGATGCAGTGGCGTTTCTTGCCTCTTCTTTCTCAAGCTACGTGAATGGGCATACACTGGTGGTTGATGGCGGCGGATCTCTGGCACTCTCGATACACCGTTTGGAAGTAGATATGAGTGTTATGGACTTTTCGATTCATTCTAGCTTCGTTATATCCATCGCACATGACAGAGCCGCTACATGGAGACTGGAATACAACCAAGGAAGCACCTCCACAGCTATACCGCCAGCCCAGGTCGGCGATGATCCTCTTGGACTTGTCCCTCGCAGAGACATTCGTTACCTACCCCCCTTTGAGTTGACAGGTGCGATGGGCAATCCTCCATGCGAACGAATTGCTATTTGGGGCGGCCACTAGTACTCCAAGACAGCATCTTGGATGAACCTCGGCTGTCCGGGAGGGTGCCCTTGATTCCTTTTCGGTGCATACGCCTGAACAAACGAAATATGTTGGGTGAAGAGATGGAGACGAGATGGAACCCTCGCATTGTACCCACTCAAGGTATCCTATGGTCGTCCAAGTGATGGCGTCGAGCAGGTGAGAGCCGGCCTGCACAAGGGTCACCAGGCGACCGATTGAGACAACAATCACTCTACAGCGGGTGTCAGATTCGGTATAAGTTCTCGGGGACCGACCAGGGATGGAGACTTACGAGTATCCGCAAATGAAGACCGCCCCAACCATGATGCGGCGAGAAGCTGAGGCCTGAAGACCCCACAGCATTGGCAACGGTATGATCAAGATGAGAAAATCAATGACTATGCTGGGAATCGCGGTTCCCAGAAACCAGGTCCACTGCGAGATACAGGTCGATTCCGGCACAGTCTCCCACGCAGCGTTGACGGGCGTGCACTGGAATATGGTGCTGATCCAGGCGGAGAACAACCAGCCGGCATTCATGGCGGCAACGGTCCACAGCGTGACCGTGAGCCACCTGCTAGTGCGTTCGAATATTCGACGATAGAAGAAGAGGGCTGAGAACTTAGGGAGTGCGATGTTGCAATCGTACAAGAAGGCGGCGATGAAGATGATCTTGGGGCCCTCAGCCAAGTCAGCCGGCGGAACGGTGATTGCATGCTTGCCCAATCCGAGATCTATCCACCAGAATATGAGGGCAGTTTCTGCTATGATGAAAGGCTACGGAGAAATTAGACTGAGAGCTTCTTGGTGGGCTGGAAGCGAGGGGCCAGTGCCTACCAGAGTGATGGCTGCGAAGAAGTCATCCCACTACCAGTTGCGAGTGGGCGCCACTCCGATCTGATGCGGTACCTCCGAGTCCGATGTCCATGTTGGGAGGTCTGTGGTCAGGCCACCTGGACACTTAGGAAGCAAGAGAACACCAGAGGACATGATGGGATCATCGCGACGTATATCTAGTGAAAATCAAGCCAAAACCCGAGTCGAGACGTACTGGTTACCACCCGTAGCGACATTCCGAGCTTCCCTCTGGAATAGAACCTGGCTTCTAATGTGGGAGACTTCCCTGAAAAGCGTAGATATACTATGATAGTAGAAAGCCTTTATTGTGCGTACTGGGAGTTTTCCTCGACCTGATGCAGAAAGTGGTGTTGGAGGGAGGGGGGTTTAAACGACCACCATAGACATCCTCCAAGTGGATGGAAGGAGGCCGGGCCTGCCGGGGTGGGGGTTTAACGAGCCCACGGATCGCATTGTTGGTGCCGCTTGCATTTGTCCATGTCAGCAAAGTCCTTTGCCTTGCTGCGGGTGGAAATGTTGGTGCAGACACTGCCCCTGGAAGCTGTCTGGGGGCTGTCTGGGAGTGTGGGGGATTGTGTGATGCGTCGACCTCTTTTGCCAGCTCTTATTCGATCATGACAGGGTCACAGGGTTTTTCGTAGGGTCATTGCCAGCTTAGAGTTGTGTCAATCAATGTCAATGATCGCAACATCGATCCAAGACAGCTTTTTTCGAAGATTACGGTAGCAGTATAGCCTGATTCAGTTGATAAGTATATGCAACCGTTGAAGTGGCTAAAGATAGGGGCTAAAGATAGGGGCACCAGCCAAGGAATCCGCCTTCAGCTACAGCTGCTAGGCCATACGTAGCGCCGTGTTCAGCGAGATTAACCTCAGCTCTCAAAACGAGAATACAAAACGTCTTCAACGTCTCTTCCAATAATAACTCCGACCTTTCATCAACAACACCAACTCTCACATCACCACCACCCAGGGCGAAGACGACTCACCATGAAGCCCCCACATCTCCAACCCCTCGCCTTAGCGGCCACTCTCTGCCTCACGCCCACGTCGGCCCATTCCCTCCTCTCCCGCACCGGCAACATCACCCTCTTCGCCGACGCCGCCGCCCCCGTCTACGTCAACACCTTCATCCTCGGGCGCGACGTCTGCGGCAAGGAGAATGGTGCCACACCCTAACAAGACTCCTTCGCGGCGTTCGTCATCAAAGAGCGGCCCTGGTGCGACAACGGCTCGCGGCCGTATTTCAACGTCTATGCCGATGCGGCGTGCGGAGAGCTCCTGGAGTCGTATCCGCCGGGGGCGCTGTATCGGCCGACGGGGCCGGATGCAGATGGGACTTGTGCGGCGCCGGGGCGGTTTAGGGGGATAGCGTTTGTTTGTGAAGGCATTGAGGGGGCGGTTGGGGGTGGATGGGGGAAAGGGGTGGGGGATGATGGGACGACTTCGGGTTTGATGGCGGCTGGTACTACTTCTGCGACGAGTGCTCCTGCGACGAGTGCTTCTACTGCTTCGGCCTTCGAGACAACTCCGACGGCTGCTGCGTCGGTCGCTAGTACAGATGCGTCCTCGTCTTCGGCTTCGACTTCGGCCCTGTCGACCCAGAGCTCGGCGGCGATTAGCGTTAGCTCTATGTCAGCGACGGCTGTGCCGAGTTCGAGTGGTCGGGTAACGTCTCGACAACCGCCATACCGACCGGTGGAGCTGCGGCTACGTTTGGTCATCATGTCCTGGTCCTACCCTGTTTACTGGGTGTCGGCATTATGTTGAACGCGCTGTGACTTTGTCAATGTCAAGGAAGGCCAGAGTGCTGCACCCCTTATAACATAGTTCACGGATTTCAGCGCCAAAACACATAGTTGTTCAGGTGCACTTCTGATATCGACTACTTCTACTTGGTACACACAGCACCATCAGCTACCCTTGATGATTTCCGCCGCCTTCTCGGCTACAGCATACACCGAAGACAAGATGTTCCCGCGCGGGATGAGCGGGAAGATACTAGCATCAACGACGCGAAGATTCTCCGTCCCATACAAGACCAACTTCGAATCCACCGCTCCCCCCTTCTCCCTCGACAACATAGCCGCCGAGCCGCAAGCGTGATAGGCCGTGGTGGCCGTGTCGAGCAGGTACTTCTTGGCGCCCTCCAAATCCGCGATGTGGAACGCGTCCGGGTGATTGCGCTTCCCGTCCGGCTTGAAGAAAGGCTCCAGTTGCTTAGAGTGGCGCAGCTGCGTGTCGACTGCTTGGAAATGCCGCGCCATGATCTCCAGGTCGGCCGGGTGCGAGAAGTAGCGCGGGTCGATGTCGGGCTTGGCGTCAATGTCCGCGGAGGAGATATGGGTCGTACCCCGCGAGAACGGGTGCGACTGGCAGCATCCCATACTGGCGAAGTTTTCCGGAAGCAGCTGCGTGCCGACGAAGCTTTTGCCGCCCTCGTGCAGGTTGACCTGTGCTAGGAACATGAGCCACGCGGCTGAGCTGCCGTCCGGGCTCTCGAGGATGGAGCGGACGGCGTCGTAGCGCTCGGAGTCCTCGGGCCCCTGGGAGCCAGGAAGAGTATCAAGCAGCTGAGAGGCGTCCGCAAGGGGCATGAAGGCGTGGGATTGTATTCCCCCAATGGTAAAGGGGCCGGCCTTGTGCTCAAAATACAGCTTCTGAGCCAGGGCTAGCGCCTCGGGCTCCTGGCGCAACAGGGGATCACCGGTGATGATACCGTCGACCACTTCGTAGCTCACTCCCGTCATGAGATGGTCCTGAAGGTTCTCTCCGACTCCCGGGAGCTCAACGTGGACCGGAAGCCCATGTCGCTCCAGAAGCTCCTTGCTGCCGATGCCCGAGAGCTCGAGAAGCTTGGGTGTATTGAACACGCCAGCGGCTAGGATGACCTCCTTTATGGGAGTGAAAGTCTCCGTCTTGCCTTCGACCATGGCCTGTACACCCGTGGCCTTGACGGTACCAGCACCGGTGCTAGTGAACAAGATTCGGGTAGTCTTGGCTTCCGTGAGGATCCGCACGTTGGGCCTTTGACCGGCCGGAGCGCCATACGCCGAGTTGGCGTAACTTCGAGTCTTGGTCTCTGTATCGACGGTTGCGGTGTTGCTGTAGCCGCCAATCGAGTTGCCAGAAAACGGATCAGCGTTGGTGGCCTTGTTCAGGCCGCGGAAGGCATCAATCCATGCCTTGCAGAGCGGATTCTGAATGACGCCTGGGAAGGGTAACGTCGAGATCCATGATGCAGGTTGGTTTGTGGGTGAACGGCGTGCATGAGGGAGACGGGAGGGAGACCGATGACTGTTGAATGGCGCGCAAGCCACCGTGGCGTTCAGGGAGGTGGCAGTGCACCAACAAGGCCAATAGGGCATTTTTAGGCCACCTAGCCCACAGAAGGATTTTCACACAGGACAACACTCAAATCAGAATCACCAGAATACAAGTCATCAACCAGATCAACCATACTACACGCTGTTTGACACAAGGCCAATAGGGCATTTTTGGGCCACTTAGCCCACAGAAAGATTTTCACAGAGGTACAACAAGAACATGGATTACACCAGAATATACGTTTTCACCCATCAAAATGCCCCCACGCTCTGTTTGACAGAGACCCCAAGGATGGCAGCGCCTGTACCCAAGAGCCCATAGACGGGGACCCATGCAAACAGATGGACGGGAACAGCTGGCAGGGCCATGGTGCCAAAGAGTAAGGGGTATACCGAAGTCGTCAGCAACGGGCGCGTATCAACAGCATCGTGAGGAGTGTTCTATGAAGCGGTTCTTATGTACTACGCCGACGTGGGCCACACTACCTCTTGATTGATTTGCGCATCCAACACCCGCAAACCTGCATATTCATCTACCTTTCACCAGGCTAGCTACCTTATCTAGTGAACGTTGGCCGATCGGTGAAATCACGAAGCTGTTAGTGCTACCGTCGAAGTGCCAGAAGAGATTTTCCAGGTCATGAAGCTCTTTGGCCCCCAGTCACTCCTAGGGCCCCCCGTGTCAAACAGAGCGTGGGGGCATTTTGATGGGTGAAAACGTATATTCTGGTGTAATCCATGTTCTTGTTGTACCTCTGTGAAAATCCTTCTGTGGGCTAAGTGGCCCAAAAATGCCCTATTGGACTTGTGTCAAACAGCGTGTAGTATGGTTGATCTGGTTGATGACGTGTATTCTGGTGATTCTGATTTGAGTGTTGTCCTGTGTGAAAATCCTTCTGTGGGCTAGGTGGCCTAAAAATGCCCTATTGGCCTTGTTGGTGCACTGCCACCTCCCTGAACGCCACGGTGGCTTGCGCGCCACTCAACAGTCTCATCTCACCTGACCATCTTCATTCGGAAAGAATGGCACATGACGGCACCCCTTCTTACCTGGACATATCTCTGCGCCACTCTCATACTATATTGCGCAATATATTCAACTTTGGCCGGGCGTGACATTCGGACGGCCGTTGATTACACTGCCATATTCACCATATCATACTACAGCGGGCTATTCATTAGCATCGTGATTTACCAACATTCGTTTCACCGGCTACGCCACTTTCCGGGCCCAAGAGCTGCCGCAATCACCAAGCTCTGGCACGTGTGGAAATATCGCACCGGCAAGAATCACCTGGTGATCGAAGAGCTGCGCCAGACATATGGCTCTATCATCCGGACCGGCCCTGAAGAGGTTACAATCATTGACCCATCCGTTCCAAATACACTGGACGGGCCTGGAAATGGCTTCGAAAAAGCTGTCTGGTACGACTTTCTCCTTCCAGAGGTAGCTGTCAATACATCGCTGTCTATGAGCTTGCGCGCAACACCTCGCAACAAGACATGGTTTTGGAAGAATTACAGCATCTGGATATCTACAACCGAAAGCAGCTTCAACACTGTGACCACCTCAACGCTGTGATTAATGAGACCCTACGCCTACACCCGCCTGTACCGACCGGGGGCTACCGCCAGACACCACCAAGTGGCTTGATAGTCGGAAACGCATACGTTCCAGGCAACGTCACCATTGTGTCCCCCACGGTACTCTCTCGGCCGCCTGGAATCCTGTTATGAACAAGCTGACCAATGGATTCCCGAGCGATGGACGACGCGCCCGAATATGCTGAAGGACGCGCGAGGGGTTTCGCCCTTCGCGCAAGGCCGGTATGGTTGTATTGGTAAAACATTGGCTATGATTGAGATGCGCTTCGTTATTGCGCTACTAGTTAGAAAGTTCAGAATCAGTCTCTCAGGTGTTGACAAGGCGGAGACGCTATTCTCTGACTTGCGAGATCAGTTCACTGCTGCTTCGGGACGGTTGGAGCTGCGGTTTGATATCCGTACTTGATGCGGTCGTGCATTAGGTTGGTAGAGCAGCCCAGACTCATAGGAGGGTCAACCATAATACTTAAACTTCATGTTCACAACCCAGGAGATTGAGAGATGATATCAATCTTGAAATCAATTCGGGCTTTGCCGCAACCTTGAGCAAATTGACTATTTTTTTGGTGGCTCAATGCTGAACCCTCGACGGCAGCAAGCCGTGGTACTACTGTGACCTGCCCAAGGTCCTGGGCGAAGCGCCCATCTACCGCGCCAGCGACTCGACCCTGCACTGGGTCGACTGCCTTGCGCAACGGCCCGACCTGCGCATCCCCTAAGTCGGCGACTCAACAGACGACGTCCTGGAGGCTGGAGCTCTCCGACACTGTGACAATGCAGCGCTTCCGCCGCGACAAGCCCGGCTGGTACAACGGCAGAGCGTGGCGTGAGGCGTTTAAAACGCATTTCTAACGGCATTCTCGCCAACCAGTTCATCACTACGCAACTTGGTCGGTTCATCCTCGCCTTTCTCTTCACGAGCACAGTGCTCTTCGTCTATACTTCGCGCATCCAGCACCTGTTTACCGTCAAGTCTGCCGTCCTGCCTCATACTGGACTTGGTCTGGTGATTTGGGCCACCAAGGACAACGGCGGCGTGGCCTCGGGGACCTTGGACACCCAGGCTCAATCTGCCAAGGCACCCGTCTCTGTCCTCGTCTGGGCCATTGTCTCGCAGTTCAACTCGGTCATAGATTCCAACTCGGCGTTACTGGTGACCAGCCCGGATATTGCTCGATATTCCAAGACCCGCAATCCCCAGATCTGGGATGAACTGATCGCGCTGCGCACTTGGGCAGACTCTATGCGCAGCCTTTGGAATAATCACTACGGTATGTATAAGAATCCCACCCCTGAGAGTTGCGTCAATTCCTAACCCGGGTACCACAGTCCGCCGTACTCAACATGTACGTAGGAGCCTACTAGAACCCCTACGATCTCCTCAACTGCATCCTCGACGGGGGCTACACATCCTCAGCCCGAGCCGGCGCATTCTTCGCCTCCGCCAGCTTCGCATTCGCCACCCTCCGCACGTCCATCGCGTGTAACTCCATCCTCTTCGTCGCTGACGTGACGTGCATGCTTCCGACATACCTCAACATCGTCCGAAGCCACCTCCTGGCTCTCGTCATCGCCTTCGCCATCGTGCCCTGGCGCATCGTCGCCTGGGTGCCCGGTTCCTCAACTTCCTCGGCGGTTACTCTATCTTCCAGGGGCCGGAGGTCGCCATCATGATCATCGATTATCTCGTCATGCGGAAGGGGAATGTGTCCCTGGTACACCTCCTTAGCAGGTCTCACGAGGGCGATTCTTCTACTTCCACAAACCTCTGGGCATATGCAGCCTTCGTCATTTGCTTCCTCTTGCCTTTGCTGGGGTTCATAGGCTGCCTTTGGCCGACGAACGCCTCTGCCGCGGTCTCGAACATGTACCCTCTGGGTTGGGAACTCAGCTTCATGGTTGGTGGCTTTGCATACATGGTGCTTTCCATACGTGGTGCTTTGCCTCATCTGGCGTGTACCTGAGGACGATAGCCCGCACGATTCGGAGCGTGCCCCGGTCGACTATGATATTGTCGACGACTCGTCTGTTTTTAAAGCCGCGAATGTCGAAACATCCTCGAAGAGCAGGGAGCCAGAGCCGAGGAAACATGATATGGTGTGGATTAGTAGTGATTAATGTTGGAGGTCATCTTTCTATAGCAGATCTAGCTCTGAATATTTATTCAATCTGCTTTATTGTGACTATGTTCTTATAACCAGACGGCAATGGTTAAGGTTTTGTCTAAACACTGATGAGGGCTTGAAGCGAAACGACTTGTGGGCCAAAACTCCAACCTAGGAACATCTCCAACAGCACAACCCCGAACTGCTACGTGAGATACTGGTTGTCGTCCGGATGTCATGACATCAGAAGGGATGCGAGACTGCCATTTGCCTTGTCATTCTATAACTCAGGCTATCTAACCAGAGAGCGTGGGTATACTCGCAACTTTCAATTGCAGTCATACCTTACTGGAAAATGGATGATTCATCCCTAAAGCGGTGGTTCTGCTTTATCTCCGGTAGGTTTCGAACGACTGCTTGCTCTGTCGCAGGCACCGCTCGAGAAATTGCAAGCTGGCACGCGAAGGCTTCAGATGGAGGGCGTTCTCGCAAATGATCATACAAAGCTGTGTCGATCTGGAAAGGGGGCGTGTAGATTCTCTGGAAACTGTCCCCAGGCTGTCACAATTTGACGCCCAAGTAAGGAAAAGTGGCTTGGGTCCCTTGCATCGATCTCACATGCCCATCCAACTCAGCCATTCCACCAAGGATCGTGAACACTCTCATCTCCTTGATTCCGTGGAGGTAGACTCTCGTCATAGACAGCATTGGGGCGAGGTTCAGCCTGAACCGACACACGTATGTCATCTACGTAGAATCGCCTGGGGGCGCTGTTTCATGATTCCGGGATGGACTAGATGACGAGTTTCGGACAAAATTGGGCCTCGAAAGTCACTCAGGTCTGGGGATCTAGTTAATGAACGAGACAAGCCTGTATCTGGCTTGCTGCAGCATAGCTCTTGACTAGACTTGGGTCTGAATGAGTGAATAGTACTAGCTTGCAACATCATGTTTCCCGAGTACCATCGGCCGCATGTCTACAGATCCTGGACGTTTGCCAATCTCCAACACAGGTCTCACCTCGACGACTTGCCATCAACCTCCACCATCCCGCCATGTCCATCCATGTACCTACTCTCCCTCACCCACAAGTACATATATCTGCTTGGCCTCATCTGCATCAGTGTCTGCGCATCGATCCCGGCAGGCACGTGCTTCAAGTAGGCCGTCATGTTTCACCGGCCGCTGAGTAAACACAAGCGACCTACACCTTACTCTTTCCCCTCTTTCAGTGGTCTTAGGCATCACTGCACACAAATTTTCTCAAGCACACTTCAATTCCAATTCTCCACATCAGCAACCATCTCATGCAAGCTGGTTTCCCTCCATTATCTTCCCTCCATTATCTTCCTCGAATTGCCCTCTGCTACGATACTCGCCAAGCGTCTCTCCCTCACTTCAGCTCTCACATCCATTGCAGCTTTTCAGCTCGCCAATGATCCCATACACCTCTTCTCCCATCGATGCACACGCCTAGGTGCATATTCATTATGTCCAGAATGCACTGTTGGTAAGTTGCTTTCTTGTGGCCCGTCGATTCACTCGGTTAGCACCCACTTTCCATGTGCACCAACAGCTTGAAGAACTCCCTCCACCCTCCCCCACAATCAGCAGCATTTTCCTCCCCCAATCTACTCCTGCACCCTCTCACCTGTTCCACCTCCCACCACTTTCACTTCTTCTATGTTCAAATCACTGCTTCCTCTCTGGCCGCATCATCACTTCGACACTCTACCTCGTCTCGTCAACAACAATTCAACCCTGCGTTGCACGTCATCCAATCTAACTTCCGTTCACCTCGCCTGCTTCTCAATCTCACTCGCCACCGTCACTCGTCTGCCAAACAAGCCTCTTTACGAATCAATTCACGAATCTCACGACGCGTCAGCTGTAGACGCTTTCTTCAAGAACGGCGCGTTGCATTCCATCTCAAGTAAGTACCAATTCCCATCACCCAGGCATCCTCCTGATCCCATGCCTCCAGTGATATGTACTCGAACGTCAACGCCCATCACAACCTCAATTCCCTCTCCCCGTGCATGATACCACCCTACCTCTCCCAGCATGCACCAAAGCCCACTCAGCCAGGTACCTTATACCTACTCTCGCCTCGCTGCAGAATTTTTCTACCCCAGGCATCAACAAATACCCGCCGCACTTTCCTCCCCTTCTGCGTCAACAAACCCAGCTTCAATTCACCTTGCCCTTGCCCTGGACTCTTTCCACACAAACAATTTCACCCATCTGCAATTTTGCACCTTTACCATTCAGCACTTTCAACTTCAACACCTCCCACCTGCAACACCCTTTCACCTTCATGTCTCATCCTTCCACCTTCAACGTACTTCCACCTTCATCAATCTTCCACTTCCACTTCCACTTCCACTTCCACTTCCACTTCCACTTCCACACTGGCAGCATCAACACAACAACATGCAACCTCTGCACTCCAAGTTGTCCACCTCGCCGTCCCTGGACCCTGCAGCACCCGATCTCCTCGCTGCCTTCGCGCACCTACTTTCGGCATGATTTTCTGACCCTATCACCAACAGTCGCCCACATCCATCTCTATGCCTGATCTCAGGCATGAATTGTCCGATCAGTTTTCCCAAGGTATGTTCATCAACCCTCCTTCTCCTGCGCTGCACGCCTGCGCTTCCACCTGCACACCACGCGTGCCATCTTCCCAATTCGGCAATCCATCCACACTTCGCCAGACCTACCGCGTCAGAGCCTGACGATACTCCACCTGCGCCTTTCTGCTCGCTCCCCTCCATCCATCTTCAACCTTCATCCTTCACTTCCACTTCCACCTTCACACTTCTACCTTCGCCTTTCCACCTTCGAGCTTCCACCATGCATCTTCCGCACTGCGCGCACAATCGCCTTGTGATTCGCAACCTGTTCACCAGCTAACTGTCGCATCCAGCTAGCCATCCATTCTTGCAACTACAATACTCAATACAAGAATTCCCCTCATGAATGAATCACCTTTCCTCAAAGTACGTTCTTGCTTACCCCTCCTCCACTGGCAACACAGCTGACCTTTCGCACCTCCAGTTGTGCACTCGCCTTTCTCCAAGTGATACCGAATGTCCATTCAAGCAAGATACCCTCGCAGGTCCAAGGCCTCTCTCAAGTAAGTACCCTTCCTCACCCATCACCCATCACCATCCTCCATCGCCATCATGCATCACCATCCTCCATTGCCATCATGCATCACCATCATGCATCGCCATCATGCATCACCATCACCATCATCGACCTTGATTCATCATCACCCTTCATTTACCACTACTCCTCGCCACCTTCACGATGCTAACTTGTCCATTCTTATAGTCGGAGCTCTGGTCGGCTTCGGCCGACTATCCTGTTTGGTGAGACAGACTTCGTGTGCTGTCGGGATCTCGTGATGGAGTGGCTGGGCCTCACGAACAAGTTTGGTTAGGGGCTCCATTTGGTGTGCACTTGTGTCGAGCCTCTTCCATCCTCCACTTTCCAGGGACTCGGCGGCCTCTCCACATTGTGCCTAAAAACACCCTGTGCGAAGCCCAACCTTGTCTGGCTGACGTGTGATGCCTTCCTCGCAGTCCGTTGTCGGCAGCCTCTACCCATTGTGCCTAAAAACACCCTGGGTAAGCCTCAACCGCCTCGGCCGGGTTAGATGACGAACCACGAAACAACCAAAAGTCACGGGGCCGCGATATTCCATGCACCGCGGCACAGGAACAACTCCGGTCTCGTGCGCCCAGCAACCTCTCTGGAAGGCGGCCGCTTCCCGATTGTGCCTAGAAACACCCTCGGGTACGCCCAACCCCTTTGAGCGCGCTGAATTATACACTCCACACACCAAGCAACCGATGCGAGACGTGATCCGTGCACTCGATCTTTCCTCCCACGGACCCCCTGCCCCGGCAGTCCTCGAGGCGATGGGCCACTACTTCCTCTTGAGCCTAGAAACTCTCGCAGGGTAGTCTCCCCCATCGTCGACAGTTCTGATTACGGATGACCCACGAACAACAAACAACCACCCCAGCAGTCCCAGGGACGTGCGACCCCACCCTATTGCCTCTCACAGCTCTCAGCGGTGACTACTCGCACGTTCCGACAAACTGTGTTTTGGATGATACATATTGGCGGGCAATTTTCATCATCTGACTACCCCGTATCCCCGGCAGTCCCGATGCGTGGCGCGGTCTCTCCCTATTGTGCCTAGAAACACTCTCAGGCGCAGAATCACCACCCGTTGACAGAATTGTTTGGATGACCCACTCCACATCTTCACAAGTTCAGGCTGTTGTGGACCTGCAACTTTCGAAGAGCACCTTATTGGCAGCTTGAACCTTCACCGGATCGCTGTTGCAACAAACGTGCGGCGAAAACCCATAACAAACACACACTTTTCCCTTCGTCGACCTCGCCTCGCGCGCAGCGTCTTCGTCGGTTCTGGAGCGGCAGTGGCGACCTTCGGGTTGTTTGCTGTCGGGTTGGCGGCGGGCCTCCAGGAGCTTCGTCGCTGGCGCTGGCTGAGAAACAGTTGGACTCCCGCGCTGGTGACGAATCTCAACCCTTTCTTGTCCTTGTGGCACTTGTATCAGCTGAGTTCCTTCTGCATTCCTTTCCATTTGACACTGAATGATCCATCCACTAACATCTCGACTGGTGACGATAGCCAGCTTCAAATCCTTCGGGATCACTTTTTTCATTGTGTGCATCACTGTACGTGGTGCCATGAAGAAGAAACCCACTGCCATCGCCATCATCATCCACATCCCCCATGGCACTGTTATCTGATCATGGTGTTCGTTTGGCTGTCCGGCCTTGCTGATGTATTTGTTCGAGCTATATGTGCCGATGCCTTCGTCCGTTCAATCGTTTGCTCAATCGATCGATCGTTCGTTCGACGGTCGTCCGTCCATTCGAGTTGCGGGTATCTCCGTCACACAAGAGAAGCTGGCAGAGTCCAAGTCCCTGCGTCCGCGATCCTGCCCTGGCGTCGCCACCCTCCCCTGAGAACCACCTGCGAACAGTTCACCAAGACCCCGAACCCAGGGATGAAGCCCAATAAAATCGCTTCGATATTCTAGTCTCTGTCTATGCCAAGTGACCGTAAGAAGGGTATACATACATTCAAGGCACGCTATTAACCAAACCTTCCATCATATCTATCGTCAATAACCGAAGAGCACCGCTCTGCCCCGCCGCTGCCGTTGCGACTCTATAACGGGCTCCCATGCCCCTTTGGCCTGCCGCCCCACGCGCCCTGCTCCTTCGTAAGCGTCATCTTGCGCGTCGTCGTGCCACTCTCGACATCCGTCAACGTGCCAATACGCACGAGCTCGACGTCGCTGGAGTCGCGGCTGTGATGTGGCGCGTAGGGGTCCTGACGATGGCCCCCGACAGGATCGACGAGCACCGTCCACTCCTGCTTGACCTTGATCTTGTTTATACTGTTGAGGTTGCCGTTGCCGTTGCTGCAGCTCTGCAGGTGTGCAGTCGTGGAGTGACCAAAGGTGCTGCCGTAGTTGGACTTGCCGTGGCCCCGGGTGGTGCCGAAGACGCGCGGGAAGGCGAGCGAGAAGAGCGAGCGGATGGCGGGCATGCAGGCGCAGATCACGCCGATGGGCACTTCGATCGTGGACCAGTAGCCTACTTCGACGTAGTCCTCTGTTGGGGATGGCCCATCAGTATGTGGGTATTCAGGGGGATGGCATTGGCATTGGGAGTAGGAGCTTACGGGTCAGGTTGCTGGTCTTGCCGAATATGATGAGAGAATGCAGCCGCACAACGCTGATAACGGTGATACTAGGCATGAGCATTAGCGGATGCCTTCGTTCGTCAATGGGATGTAAAAGGGCGCCTTACAAGAGACCGACGGCAAACATGGCCACGATCTGGAGCTTCTTCCTCATGGACATGGAGAGCATGAACAGCTCAGGCATGGGCAGCAGAATGACCGCCAAGTCCAGCGTGATGTTGATGGCCGCGGCAGACCAGCCCAGTATGTTGATGTTGAGGCATTCCCGCGTGCCGTGGAACGTGCCGTCCCAGAAGAGCCACGCGCCGGGGATGGGGTCGCACTGGAAGATGAGGAGGAAGTCGTAGGTCAGGGCGTAGGTCAGGTTGGCGGCGATCAGGGTCCACGTGCAGATTTTGAACGACTTCTTGGGGAAGACCTTGAGGTAAAAGAAGAGGATTGACACCTTCGTCAGAGCGAGCGCAGTGATATATAATATCTCGTCGAAGAAGTACAACTGTGTACTTGGTGATTAGTAGGTGCAAACGAATCAGGGGCCGGCGGTTGAACTCACATGAAGGATCTCTTCTATGTCGTCAAATGACACGTTCCACATGTCCAAGCCAAGGCCATGTTGTGATACTACAAGCTTGTCAGAACCCCTTTCAATGACAGTTACCAGTGCGACTTACGAGGAATCGACAGGGCCTGCAAGGGAATCATAAACAACATAACAAAGCACATGGCAGTGTCGTCCCAATCCCACATTCGTGAGCCGACGAATCTCGCGAGGCACCGGAGGCAAAAGGCTAGCAGCCCCAGGGCTCCAAAGACGATGGCCAAGATGTATACCAACGATCTCCTGTCTTCGCCTACAACCCCGCAAAAGTCGGACGAAAACTTCTTGGTAGCTGTGTGCCATGTTAGTTATAACGACGACTCGGCGTTGAAGTTGGTTGGGCAGTCCTTGCTCACCTAACTGGTCACGAATACCGCAGCTCGCCGTCACACACTCGGTTATCTGACCCAGCAGCTTGGTGTTTGTGCAGACGCATGCCTGGTCCAGGGGCGACGAACATGTCGAGTTGGCTGTTTGCGTGATAATACATGTCAACTGCGATGTTCGATTAGCCCGCCGTTCGAGTTCCAAAGCAGAAGACATCGGAAGACTCACACCACAATCCGGGACCTTTGTCAAGTCGACATCAGCCGTGGCTACCGCTGGCAGTAGGGCACATAGGCCAAGGGCCAAGACAGAAAGGGATCGCATGGTGACCCCGAAGAAGGAAGGATTGCGAACTCCTCTGCTAAGAACGATTGACTAGCGGAGGATATATATATTAAACAGATTCATATATACAGAGATGGCAAAAATGAATGACGGGCGCCATACGGAGACGCATACGACGGAAAAAGGAAGCAAAGGTGTAATAGAGCACGAAGGAGGCTACGATGACCTTGTTTTGTAAGAAGCTGTGTTGGGTCTAAGCTGTAGCCTGTGTCACAGTGTCAGTCGGGGATGCGTCGGCAAGACCATATCGGCCTTGGGCCCCGCGGGGAGCTGGGCGGGCAGAAGATAGTGGTACGTAAGAGGGTGCAAGTGCAGAAGCCCTGCAGAAGCGTCGAGAAGGGCAACATACCCGCATGCTCGGCATGAGGGCCCAGGGGCGGCTCCGGGAGCAGACTGCCACAAGGTGTGGGTGTCATCCCGGCAGCTCGGGGGGTCCGTACTGTAATATACGCCAGGGTCGCTCCAGAAGCAGAGTCCAGACGACACAAGGGGCGCGCCGAATCAGAAGCGGCCATACCAGACTCCCCCGACGTCGACGCAACACTCCTCCCAGCCTTGTGGGACGCGAAGTCTGAGACCCCTCGTGGGACCCCTGCATTGCTGACGGCTAGGCTCGAAACGCCAGTCTTCCCGATGCTCAGCTGCTTCCCCGAGATGGCAGATGGCCTGGCCCTAGGAATAACGCTAGTGATGCCACTCAGGTGTCGCGGACTGTCGCAGAGGACACCTGCCGCCATCATGCCATGTTGTCTGATTCGCATTATCTCTGCAGGTCCGCTGGGTGTAGGCCGGGGCAACATTTCGTTTCAGCCGACCTGTCCCGCCTGCCCGCCTCAGCTGCCCGCCTGTTGCAGCGTGAGTGGTCGGTATACCAGAACTGCCAGAGTTGCGATTGGCTGCTCACGATGCAGCCATTTGACCATTAGACCATTGGACCATTGGCTGGATCGGGGAGATGTGCACATGTGACATTGGGCCGTCTGCATACGATTATCGACGAACATGCATGATGTGATGAATATGCAGATGCAGATGCAGATGCAGATATCCATGGATGTTGATGCGGTGGAAAAGGAGGCTTACAAGTTATAACTTATTACAGTCACACTCGCGAGACTCGGCAGGTCTTGGCCACCACTGGCGGTGGAGACGCGGCGCCTTTCGGTGCTTCCACCGGTGTACCAAAGTACCTTACCTACCTTATTGACTTGTGAAGGCATTGACCGAATCAGCAGTTTTCTCGAAGTCCCCTTGTTGAAGTTGGCCGGTTCTGACCGGACCAGTTCTAAACGAGGGCGACAGTGTCGAAAACGGGTAAGCACTGCCAAGCCTGGATACCTAGGTACCTAGCCTGGCTGGGCGATGGACCTAACCATAGGTGGTAACCAACAACTGCCGATCAGTTTAGCCGTTTTAACCAAGATTGCATCAAGATTCAAGGGGATACCTAGGTAGGTAGTCCTATCACCGTCCAGCGGCAGCAACAATGCTCTCGCAGTGTCGTCGCTTTACCAATTCCCATCGAGCGCGAGATAGATGAAAGAGTCTGTGAGGCTTGAGCTCCCCCGGGCCCGAGGTCGTCTGGTTGTGCGCACATGGGTGAAGCTGCTGATGGTTGCCCGTTCCTGTCGCCCGACATGAGCATATGCACCATGGATCCGCGTGGGTCGCCGGCCCTGCTGCTGCATTGAGAGGGAAGGGTAAACCAGCTGCATCAGGTCGGCCTAGACTGTCAGGCTGTCAGACTGCCAGACTGTCTGTGTGACAGCATGCCCGATTCGGAGGAAGGGGACGGGACGAAGACCAAGACCAAGACGAAACGGAGTGACACCAGCATTTGGCTAGCGCAGGTCCTCCCGTCGTGACTCGTCCGACCTCGGGACGTCCTTCGCTCGATCGGCCCCTTCCGGAAATATTCCCCGGGCCTTGGCACGGACTCCAGACTGCCAGGGGAGCTTGGGCCACCTGCAGTTGACCCAGCCCAGTGTCCACTATAGTACGACGTTTCACCACCACATGCATCCATCCATGCCATCTTCGTGTTACTGTTACTCACAGGTACGCGTATGATGCCGAGGTGCCCTCTCTCAATACTACCATATGAATAACGGAACAGAAGAAGAAATCTTCCTTGAAACCCACTCTGCGACTCCAGTCTCCAGCCTCTCACATACTCCCTCAATTTCTCCAATCACTGGCACGACCTGTGCAGTACTAGAAGTCTAAAACCTGGCCGTCAACCGCTCGTGTTCACAGTATGGTTCCTCCCTTCTCTGCCCCACTTTGCTGGATATCCTTCCGCTGCCCTCCGCAGTCTGGTAGCCTCGGCAGAACCGTCACGCTTTGAGCACAGTAGCAGGAGGTAGCTTCGCGACGCCGTTGTTCTATCCGCTCATGCTTCACCTTAGTTCTGTTGCGCCATTCGCCTAGTGCCGATCGACCATCGGTAGTGTCTGCGGAACGGCCCATTCTGTGACCATGGTAGTTCGTCAAGTTCATGGACTACCCTTGGCGTGGCTTTGGTGAGACCGCCAACGGGTAGCGATGCGCTTTTAGCAGAGCGATCGCGAGCTTCATTCCATATGAATGCGTCGTAGGGACTGCTGAATACGAGGAACCAGGCGTTAAAGGCATGGCGACATTTTTGGTCTGATACACGGCCAGTCCTGCATGAATGCTTTTTCGCTCTCTTAGTCCGCTCATCACTCTCGAAGCCTTGTCCTAGGGCTGACACGACCGAGACACAGCCAGGAGACACCCATGTAAGAACCTTCACCAGCAGATATATACGGTTTGTGTCCTCGTACTTGTCTGCCTGCTACTGACTGCTGCTCATTCGGCTTGACATGGTGGCTCACGAGAATGGTGTGCCAGCCAGGTCTCGCCGGTTACAAAAAATGCCTGAAGAGCGTCCACCGCATCGGCAGCACTCGTTCACACCAGAAACCCAAGGTGTGCCACGGGCCGTGAAGTTCATGAATTGCTCACGATAATTTCCTACAGATGCAGAGGAGTTGACGCTGCGCCCTCGAGCTTTCGATCTTGGGATTTTGTCGTCTATCTGCCTGATGCTTGCGCCCTTGTTCAGCATCTCGATACTCGCCTGAAGATAGACGCACCGTGGTCTGTATATCGACTAAAACGTGACAATGCATAGGCCGTTAACTCGCCGAGGAAACTCATCAAGTCGCCGGATGAGCGGCTAAGGGAACATCAGCTCTCCTGCTGTAAGGCGTCGTTTATCTCAACCCCAGGTCATTCATCTCATATTATAGGTAGTGTTCCTGGTCTCACAGGTATTCCGGCCTCTATATGGAAGGAGAGCTCCTGAGAGCAGAATGGCTACTGATTAGCTGACTGACTTGTGCATACTGACGTAGGGTCTCGCCCGAGCTCGAATAAGAAACGAAGCAATACAACGCCAGCACAGTTTCGTAGATACGAGATCCTTGGACAAGTCTGGAGGATATCACAGGTAATCACCGTCCTTTGCTATCCAGGGGTATGTCTCGCAGTAGTCCACCTGCATAGCTAGCAACTGGTGGGTCTTCTATGCGGCAGGACATGCCACATACTGTAATGACTTAACATGATACAAGTGACCTGTCACGCTGTTCAGACGCCAACCAAAACATTGAGCTTGCTGCCAACGCCAAACGAATCTGTGCTGATCTTCCAGCTGTGAAGTACCGGCCCGATGGCGCCGGGGCTTACACAGCCTGTCAGCGATCTTGTCACTTTCAAGAGAAGGACTTCCGCATTTTCAGTCCCGTGATTCAGCTGCCTATTTCGCGGCTGGGTCAATCAAAGGTTTTGGGGAGAGGCGGGCGGTGGCTTTCAATTTCTCTTGTTCTCTGTGAGGACTGAACGTTTCCTGCAGGGACTGATTGTTGCCCACGTGTGAGTCTGTAGTTGACTACGTAGCGAGCATCTTCATGGTGAAAGACTCGGCTCTGCGCTCCCAGATATGGAAGGTCATAAAGGTCATAGATTGCTTTCATGCGATTTTTGATGTTTCTTTGCCTGTTCCTGGTGGACGCAACTGATGCCAATGAACCCTCAGATATGAATATAGCGGCCTAGTGACTGAGCGCCGTGATACTGACCGAGCCACCCGCCGAGTTATACCCCTCCGTCGCCATAACCTCCAGATTATACGTTCCCATGCTCAGCCCAGCATTCTTCCACGCCGCGAAGTGGTTCGCCAGCGTGATCGTGCCGCTGCTTCGTGTCGAAGTGCGCACAGACTTGACTTGCTTGAAGGTCGCGGTGCCCTCGATGGAAGGCTCGTTGGTGCGGGTGTTGATCAGGATGTTGTAGGTCCCGCCGTCGGTAGAGACGGTGGATATCTGGCCGCCGCTGGGCGCGATGTTGTAGTTCTCGATGACGTACCATTCGACGAGGGGGCTGGTGGTCCACCCGTACAGGGCGAGTGTCACGGTGCCGGATGAGGCGCTGAAGGAGCCGGAGTAGGTCACGGCACTGGGAGATTGTTATTAGCACTCGGCATGATGAAGATGTTCGTATGTAGAATCTCACTTGGCGTTTCCAGGATTCCAGCCTTTGCCGACAACGAAGTCGGAGGCACCGGAGAATGTCACGGTGTACGGACCGGTTGAGCTCGGGGAGTAGTTCACGCTCCCGCTGCCGGTGGTGTAGTCTGTCGAATAGCTCTGGCGCTTGGTGAGGTTGGACTCGAGCTCCCCAAGATCGAAATTGATCTCGGGAAAGTTGGCTGCGAAGTCGCCATCCAGAGGGACGGCGAGCGACGCGGTAGCGGCAGCGAGTGCGAGAGCGATGGAAGTGAAGGAGACCATGATGGCGGCTTGGATGAGCGTCGTTGATGATTCCACTCGGGGGATTTACCTTGGCTTTTATACAATTCTCCGTCCCCAGGCAATACGTCCCTAGAATATGAGGACAAATGAATCTCCCACATCAGGATGAACTTCTCAACATCTTTTAGCCGCTGCTCTGCGAGCATTCGTGGAAGATCTCGCCATGGCTACGCGATGCGGCGGCAATCCCAAATCTATCTGGCGCATGATTCGTACTAGATTGAAAATACGGGGAGACGGGGCAGACATCCATGTGCCTATAATCCACGTATTATGAGAAACATGACATAGGCTAAATCAACAGTTGCCTCAACTCGAACTAAATAGTCTCAGGGCTGGTATAATAGGTTCCAATTGTTTACAGGATAATGAGGACGCGCAACCGGGTCAACTGTTTGTTCAAACGACGTCGCCAGCCTCGGAGAGCTTGCCTCCATAAAATTATCAAGGTATACATTATAACGTTTTATAGCCTCGTACCGGCAACTACGTCGGAACGATGAAACCAGAAAGCCGGATCAAATGTCACGTAATCAAGCCCGAGCATATCAGCTCAGATATGACCCGTGACGTGTCACGTCGACAACATCATCTACCGAGCTGTGAATGTCTGCGATGCTAGTAAACTTGTTCAAGGAAGCGGCAACGTCCCTGTACCCCATACTTCGTCGTCCGGATCGTCCAAGATGCCCGGCATTCATGAGTGCCCTACATGGGGTAGTGTGGGGAGATGCGCGCTATTCATCCCAACAAGCAACGTCAAACAGCCTGGACGACAGCTTCTTTTCCCGAGCTTTCAAAGTGGATAAATAGATTGTTACTTGCGCACTGAAAGATGCCGCAGTGCAGAGAAACATATAATATTTGCACACGAAAAATTCCCCTGGATGGATAGGGAGCAAAGTTAGGTTCAGTGCCTTTGGCTATCAGATCAAAGTATTGAATAATTACACTGAGTGAGGTCCAGAAACGGGCTATCGAGCAATCGGGAATCGGGATGACAGATGTGGACCGGTCCGATCTCCGTTTCCGCTTTGGAGGTGCTGCGGAGCGGAGCATTAACGTCCGTGTGCGTGTGTGCGAGTCCTGAGGGGCATCTGCGATGTATATCACTCATTATGCTGCATCGGTAGCTGATGTACGACATGCGGCTTCAGCGAGGACAGAGAAGGCGTGCGCCAACATGTCGCTCGCCGGCCTGCTAGCAGTGTGGGCGCGGCGCGGCGTGCGCAGGGGGTTCGACTTCGGGGGCGGACGGGTTCCTCCGACGGGCCGCTCCCGTCTGCTGTGGTATCCCCTCTCCGAAGCCACAAACGCCTTCCGCTGTCTGGTACCCAACGGCCCGTGGTCCCACGCGGGGGATTGACGCCACCGAAAGCCCCCTGATTACGTTATCGCGGATTACAGCTGGAATGCTCGATACGGCCCCGTTCGTTCGTCGGGTCGTCCTGTCACATTAGGGAGGCGCGGCGCTGCGCTGCGCGGTTGGTGTGCGATTGGATGTCAAACTTCAATTTCACACCTGCAGTCGAGTCTCGGGAACACTTCCATGTCTGACGTGGTAGACGCTTGTATTAATGTAGAGAGCTCCTCTTGAGAGCTTAGGTCATGAGACAATTGATCTTCGGTATTGAATTGACTATTGCTGCACGCTGCTCACAGCTGCTCCGACAACTCCATGTAAATGCAAGGGAATCTAAGATACAAGACAAACGTCGCAGAGACCTCCGTCTGGTCACTCACCATAGGTAAGTTCACTGCTTCAAAACGGGTTATCAACTGACATATAAAACAACATCCACTGTGCCAGACGCCACGCGCGCCAAACGATCATATCACTCCTGCACAATCAACCTCCCCTCCAGCCACTTCGTGAACCGCACGATCGGAGCATCAACAGCCCTCCAGAAAATATCCGCCACCCAGATCACAATCGGGATGTTGATCACGGCGGCCAATGCGGCGCCATTATTGAACATCCCAGGCTCGGTGCCCGTCAGGGAGAATGCCCACTGCTGGACGGCGTACCCTAAGGTGTGGATCGCGAAGTTGTGGACCAGGTAGATGGCATAACTGATGTGGCCGAAATACTGGACGACGGGCGTGGTGAAGAAGCGCTGCCAGAGAGGCGACCGAGCTGTGCAGAATACAAACAGGATGGAACCCCAGGCTTGCCACCACCGGTATTTCTCGTCGAACCACTCTGGTATGTATAACCCCAAGGTCATGTACCCGGGCGTTGCATCACAGCCCGAATCGGGCGCCGACATCAGGTAGAGTGCCAAAACGCCTGTAAGTGTCCAAGCTCCTGTCATCACCTTGCTGCCGAGCTGTGACCATGAGCCTGAAACGTTCTTCTTCATTTGCTCCTCGTCAACCGGTAGGAAGGCACCCCGGTGCGTCGTGCTACTAGGGGCGGGCTCGAAGACGCCGCGGATGAGATCAAGCTCGGCGAAAATCACCCCGGCAAAGAAAAGCACCATGCCCCAGTGGTTATATCTCAAGGCGAACCAGGCCAGGAGCGCTACGACGAAGAATCGGGCGCCCGTCCGCAGCCGCGAAGTGCCGAATAACGTCAAGAACAAGACCATGGAACAGCGGAATTCCAGCGGGATAGTCCAAAGATGAACGTCGTATGGGAAGCGGTCATTGCCGAAAACCTGCACGAACTCGAACCAGTCCCAACCCCAGGACTTGAGCTGGAGCCAGGTCGTCGGCTCCAGGTCGACGCCATGCGGTTCCATCACGTTGCGCATGAATTCCGGGTCCCCGGCAAACTCACGCGTGCCCTCGTACGCGCCCAGCCTCACCAACGCCAGGATCGTCAGGGTTGAGACCGTCGGCGGCAGGTACAGCCGGAAGGCCCTCCGGAACGTGAACGACGCCATGGTCTGCGACAGTCCGTCCCACGCGCGCCCGCGGATCTGCTTCATGGGCTTCAGGGACAACGCGTACCCGGAAACAACAAAGAAGACACAGACCATGGTCGGTCCAGCGTATAGCAGGCGAACGAAAGGCAACCTCCAGAAGTCGTAGTTCGCATGGTCCTGGCCCCAGCCCGTTGCTATCTGATACGCGCCGTAGAAATAGTGACAATGGCAAACGAACAGCGCCGCGAGCCCACGCATGCCGTCGAGGTAGGCGGTGGGGCCCGGTTTCCTTGGGATTCGGTCGGACGAGAGGGGTGTTCGCTGGAAGAGGCGATGCGTGAAGCTCGGGAGCAGGAAGATCAGCGCCCGCCAGAGAAAGGACGTCCAAGCCGGCAATGGCGGCGTCGGGACGTCGCTGATGTTGAATCGAAAAGAGGATGCCCACTCCTTGACTCTCAGCGATGACTTTGCAGCTGGGCGTGACCAAGCCGAGAAGATGTTGCTGCGGTATGGCGGCACGTGGTTGCTGCTGCTGCTGCTGCTACCCTCGCTCTCAACGTCAGAGAAGCCGTGCTCCTCTATGAGGGCCATCTTCTCCTCGTAGGAGAGCGATGCTCGATGGTCGTACATTGTCCGGCAATGTCAGCAAAATAGAGGTAAGAGATAGAGTAAGTGATGACGGTAATGAGTGTATAATACTGGTCCTTGAGACTTCGATGAGGGTTAGTCGCCATCTAGTCTACGAGGACAGATATCGGAAAACAGAACAGCTGGGCAAGGGCACCAAGGGATAGTTGCTTCGATCAACTTGGAAAGACAAATCGAAGGAAGCGGTGGAATGATCCATTCGAGTGTGCCCTGTCACCCTCGCGGAACCTTTTCGCCCCAGGCCAGCGCGGCACACCTGACAGGTCACAGCGTGGGATGGCAGCTATGTAGGGATGATGCCATGACGATCGTCACATACCAAGACCCCCTATTCCCATATACAGTGGGCCAGGCCATCCTGTCTCATGCCTGTCGGGCGCCTTTCACAATAAGTGAGACAGCCCCGTACTGTATCGTATCAGCCCATGACTACTACCATGATCACACTGAAGCATTCGACACTTCGTCAGGGCATTGGAGCGACGGCAAGTGGACGAAATCAAGGAAAGAAAAGACCACTAGACTGTGCGTCTACTGCTAATCTATGTGGATCCAGATTTGCGACCCTGAATCTTGATTGCGATTTGCGTGGTTAAAGTGTGAAGATTAAGGTTCGCGGGCAACATTAGGTGAAGTCTCATTGCTTTCTTGCCGGCCCTTCTGCCCCCCGCAGGTGTATGAGCTTGGTTCCGGGGGTAGCCTCCTGTATTAACAGTAAGGTATTATTAGTATACTACGGCGCAGGCAGGATGTTCCGCGAGTCCAGGATCAACATCCCTCTGACCCGCTCGCCTCCAGCTGGACGTGAATGCGCGGTAGGATCCATTGACTTAATAGAGGCTCTTCAATGTGACGTCACAGAGACCAGTGTCCACAGCCGCCCGGGCGTGCGAGGGTCGTCGTCCAGAAGCCGTCTCAGATGCTGCATTGGTTCTGGGTACGACGACCTACAATGGGCACAGGCGGGAGACCAGTGCAGCAATGCAGTCGGATTATGCATGCCATTGACGTTTCGGATCTGGACCTGTTGAGGAAGGTTGGAAAGGCATACATGATACTGCGGAGTTAGGCAAAAGAAAAAGAGGTGCTAATACTGGATCCCCAGAAGCCCTCATGGGGTAGGGGTAGTACTGTAGTAGTAGCGCGGGTCAACCGGCGGGATGATCGTCGCGGCTCACGTGCCGCCCGGTGTATCAGATTGGTGAGATCCGCGTCTTCGACCACTCAATGATACGCCCAACGAGCCAGACCGCCAACCTGAGGCTGCGATAGTATGATTGCAGGTGGCAAGTTGTGGTCCACAACCATATATATTCATACGGACCCCCTCGGCCTACTAGTGTCCCGCATTTGTAGAGTCTTGGCAAGAGGGCTGTGCCGACTTTTGGCTTTGTTGTCTCTTGTGACGGATTCGTCAGACTCGACAGGGAACACCCCCAATGGGTTGTCAGAGTCCAGTCCAGGACAGAAAGGCAATGAATTGTCGGCAATGTCAAAACCCACGAGGAATCACTGCATGCCTTGTGTCCTTCGTCCTGGTTGTGGGCACCCCTTCTCCTCGTTTAGGACTGAAGGATGGTTTGCGTGGGTCGTGCTAGATTCGTGGGTTCGATTTGGCTGATCGCAATTTCCTACACCCTGCCGCATCAGTGCTCGACATCGGAATGAATCGACCAGCCCATCCAACGCGCTGCAGGCTGCTTGGGTCGTCCATTCAGCCCATTGCCCATAAGTCGAATGTTCACGAGACGGGTGCTAATATCACGAAAGTACCAATGAACAGCGTGCATCGGGCATCGGGCGTACAGTATACCCCCTGAAATAATGTTGCCTGCTGACGAGCAAGATACTTGCAAGCATACTGTTAGCAATACTTCAGGGGTTTCGATAGCCTCGTTTATAGAGGTTACAAGTAAAAACTAACGAGCATTAGCTCTAAGGAAAACAGCTACTTTTTACAAGCCGTAGCGAACCCTTATATTTATACTAGGAAGGTGCAAGTATAAAACTGTTAGTGTAAATTGAAAGATTATGGAGACCTGGCTGCGACGTTTTAAATGCCTGATATGTATTCGCTCGGACGTGATTTAAAATTATTTCAGGGATTATACTGTACGATGTTGACTATTCACGGATCGTCTCTACTAGGATCGGATACCCCGTGTCACGTCGCAAAATGAACGTCGCCGTCAAACCTGGGGTGTCGACGTGCGATCTGGAACATGAGAGAGCGCGCAAGATGTCACACCTGGTCAGACCGACGAGCATGTGGGCCCAAGGCGCATCCTGATCCCAGAACGTCGACCGAGACAGCCCAAAAAGGTAATCCTAAATTATCAACGGGCCCGTAAACGGCTTCTTACCCTCCCGTCGCTCCGTTCTCAGTGTGGACTGGGTTTTTTAATTACTCACCAGCTAGAACCGTCGACCCAGAACCGGCCACCCGGGACCGCCGACACCGAACAGAGCGAGTTCAGTCGGGCGGCACGCAACAAACGAGCGTCGGCGGCGGCGAAAAGCAGGTAAAATATCTATAACAGGAATCAGCGGGTGCCTCGAAGGAACGTGAACAGGGGAGAAGATTGCGACGAACTAGGCTGGCGCGCCTGACGGAGCAACACGGTACGCTCACGAGCGACAAAGCCGACACGAACGGCGTGACATGAGAAGGAGCAACGGAAATGGAAATGTATTCGTGGCGAAGGCTTATCCAACTGGAAGGTGAAGCTTTTCGCTGCGGCTGTGTCTCGATCCCATCACTTTCAAACGCCCGACTTGAGCTCGCCATCGACTGAGATATGGCACCAGTCTGAGAACAAAACCAGCGCCAGTTATTTTCAGCTCAGCCTCACGCGCAAAGCTCCCGTGCCTCACCTGAAAGATGGTGTTTCGCACATATCCCCAGAGGCCAATCATCAGCAGCGTTGTCGGTTGTTGCTGGAAGGTGGCTTGGACTGACTCGCACCGCAACAGGAGCACTACAACACCTCTAACCGAGGTGGTGTCAACCTGGCTCTTCTTGGGAGAGTCTCGTTTGGGAATGGCACTAATATTCGTGCTAGGATGTTGGGCCAGCGTATAGCCTTTCGACTGCGCAAGCGAGCGTGCGAGGTTCAGGACGTCTCGACAGAGTTCGTACCAATGCACCAATCGCATCGTAGAGTAGTGAGCCCTGGACAACCTGCGCCTTCCAACCCCCAACCCAAGATAAGGATCGAGGAGGAACCGTTGACCGTGCCTAGTTAGAGCAGGGAAGGATGGCGATTCGCTTTGCTTCAGCAGCGCGTGTGTGCCCCGTAGGGGACTCTCCCCACTCAAGAGATACTGTCTGGCCTGGGGCAGCTTTGTTTGCTGAACTGGACGATTGGTGATGTCCTGGTTCATCAAAGTGCAGTCCATCCATGTCGCCGTTGATAAGAGCTTGGTCTACCGCATGAACCAACCTACGAAAAGGATGAACGCACTCAAACGCCATGAACTGACATGGCAAATCCGCGCGGTCTCGAGTATTATTGTTCCTATGTCGTTCCGCTACGAACCTCCTCGATGACGACTCCGTAATTGCGACATCAGGCTTCTGGCTTTGTCGTGGCTCCCGTACGTGGTGCCCTTGTGCCCCGTCGCCAACTTCTAGGTGCGTCTGTCGTGGAACGGACTGTCATTATGTCGTGTAGTTCAGTGATTGGCGATGTTCGCACCTTGTCGTCGTGCAAGCTGTTGGCAACGTCACTGCAGTCAGGACATAGTGGAAATAGGCGGAGTTAGGAGGGAGAGACTCACATCAGTGGTAATAAACTCGACGGGAGTCTCCACGCCAAGTGTTGAGCAGCGGAGTATGCTGTCGTCAGAAACTGTTAGGCGTTAGGTCTTACAGAGCTGGTGTTATGAGGATTTGTGAGTTACCCGCGGCCGGTCCTGCATTAGATCAACCTATCGGGTCCCAACGAGACCCCGACTCGTGATAAGCACTCTATCATGACAAGAGAACAGCCGCCGCGGCGAATCAGGGCAAGCCAAGAACCACGTCGCCGGTCTCATCGACGCGAATGGACGCTGTCAGAACTCTAATCGCAACATCGACGCAAGACGGCCATCACTTGTTCGCCTCATTAGACGTCGGTTCGTCTCTTCCGTCGTTTGAGTTGTGCGCACCGGTATGCCTGAAAGTGCATGACGAGTTCGGTCCAAATCGCCGTTGAGGCCTGCTGAGATTGCCGAATAATGTCTTCGTGGTGCCGGCATTCAGTGGGCCTTGCATCGGCGCACCTTCCGATCATGCCACCGATGAGCTATGCTTATCAAATTGCCACCCACAAGCAGAAATGTACCGATGCCATGTATCGTTGCTCAAGCACAAGTACGAACAGTAAGCTTGGAAAGTGCGCTGCGTATTGGATTCTGGAAGTTTCTTATCCGCGTGCCAATTCGTCTACCTTATCACCGACAGCAGAGGGTGGATCTCAGGTTCGCAACACTGCGATATTCCGGCTTTGGACGGCGGTGAGGCTAGGCGATAGGAGTATTCGAAAATTGGACCATCCCAGGTTCCGCCCGAGTAATGGAGTCCACAACACGTCATGGGATGATGCCGACCTTGCCCCGCGGGGGAGCCATAAAAGATATGTGCCCGCCGTCATCGTGGTGTTGGTTCTCTAGCCTTCACATATTGCACACTCACACAGTCACGACTACCATCAGATCAGTATATCCAAATCTCTCATGATGGCCTCCCCAAAGTTCGAAGGATGGCTGGGCAAGAGCCCCGAGTCTGTCAAGGGAAAGATGGAGTGGGGTTCTTTTGAGCCCAAGAAGTGGACTGAAGATGATGTCGACATCGAGATTTCGCACTGCGGAATCTGCGGATCCGACCTTCACACGTTGAAGTCGGGATGGGGAGAGACGCCGTACCGTATGGATGTCCCTCTCGATGATACCCCAGCCCGTTGAACCCCTCCAAAGGCGGACACATGCTGATCATAGGTAGCCTGCTGTGTTGGACACGAGATTGTGGGCAAGGCCGTCCGGGTCGGCAACAACGTCAAGAACGTGAAAGTAGGTGACCGAGTCGGCGTTGGTGCTCAGTCTCGCACTTGTCAGCAGTCCGACTGCCCCGAGTGCAGTACTGGCAACGACACATACTGCGCCCGTAACATGGTCAACACCTATGCGTCGTTTTACCCCAACGATGAGGGCAAGTCGATGGGTGGTTACGCCGACTACAACCGGTCGAACCAGCAGTTCGTCTTCAAGATCCCAGAGGGCCTGGACTCGGCTGATGCCGCCCCCATGATGTGCGGTGGTATTACCGTCTACTCGCCACTAAGACAGAATGGTTGCGGCCCCGGAAAGACAGTCGGCATTGTTGGTGTTGGCGGCCTTGGGCACTTTGCGGTCCTGTTCGCCAAAGCCCTGGGTGCTGACAAGGTTGTCGGTATCTCGAGGAAAGCCGACAAGAAAGACGACGTGCTGAAGCTTGGTGCTGACCAGTACATCGCCACGGACGAGGACAAGGACTGGGAGAAGAAGAACGCAAGGACCTTGGATCTTATCATCTCCACCGTGTCGAGCGCCAAGATGCCATTGACTGGTTACCTCGGTCTGCTGAAGACTAGGGGTACGCTCATCCAGGTTGGGTAAGTGTCGGCGCCAAACATTGCGACACGAAATGGTACTGACTTGAGAAACGCAGAGCCCCCGATGGCGGCGAATTGCCTCCCGTCAATGCTTTTACGCTCATTGCGAACGGTGTCAAGATCGGCGGCAGTGCTACTGGCGCGCCGTGGGAAATCGAGGAGATGCTCAAACTGGCTGCGGATAAGAAGATCAAGCCATGGATTCAGGAGAGACCGATGAAGGATGCGAACAAAGCTATCGTCGACATGGACGCGGGCAAGGCTAGATATAGATACGTTCTCGTCAACGAGAACTATGGCAAGCACTAATCCTGCTGCCATTGAAGCAAAAGATGCTGTACATATGTAGCAGTATATATAGTAGACGAATAGACAAGACTCAGATTGATGTGAGCAGCAGAATGAAAATGCATGTGAGGTGCCATGCGTTGAGTTGGATGAGAAAGGCCAGCTGGGAAGCAGGTGGCAATCAGCTGGTAGTCGGAAGAGCAAAAGGCGGCCAGCGGTGCGGAATACGGGATGGTGGTGTCCTTCACCGCCTGCTCAATCGGTTCCGCATCTGCAGCTTTCTGCCGTCCTAAAAATTTCGAGGACCCCTCCAAACTTTCGCGTATCGAGCTGCTCCCATTGCCAGCAGCATTCAGCCAGAGCTACCACCGCCTTTAATACCGCCATTTGGCCACTGTCGCATTCAATCAGCAGCAGAATCTCACACCGCGACAATGCTGAGACAAATGTACGTATACTATTATCTGGTTGCTAATCATTCTTTGGCATTTGTACAACAACTGACGAAAGCGCCGCAGACAACCCAAGAACGCTCGGTCGAAACGAGCTCTCGAGAAGAAGGCGCCTAAAGTTGTCGAGAACCCCAAGACCGCCCTGTTCCTGTATGCCGTTCCTTTCTCCGCCTATGCGCGTCTTCCGGCTGGTCAAACGGAGGAACTGACCATAGTTCTAGGCGTGGGACGTCGGCAAGCCAGATCGTGCAGGATGCGCTGACGGACCTGCATACGCTCCGAACGCCCTTGAGCAAAAAGTTCACCAAGAAGAACGATGTCAAGCCGTTCGAGGATGCCGCTTCCTTGGAGGTATGCAATTCAGACGCCAATGTCTGTGGGAACTACAGGAACTGACGGGACTATTGCAGTTTTTCAGTGATAAGAACGATGCCTCAATACTTGTATTCGGTTCGAGCACGAAGAAACGACCACACACCCTGACATTCGCGCGGACCTACGCCAAAAAGATACTAGACATGCTCGAGTTGAGCCTCGACCCGGAAAGCTTTAGACGGGTGTCGCAATTCAAAGGGCGCAAGTTCGCGGTCGGCTTGAGACCCATGATGGTGTTCTCTGGCACGCCCTTCGAATCTCCTATCAGCAATGAATACACGATGTTGAAGAGCATCTTCATAGATCTCTTCAAAGGAGATGCGACCAGCGACAAGATCGACGTTGAGGGTACGCGGAGTCCTCTGAGACGGGGGAAAGGAATCTTTGCTAACGGGTGTCGATCATGGCAGGTCTCCAGTATATCGTGAGCGTTGCCGCCGACGAGCCAGTGGGCGACGACGCCAAGCCTGTCGTCCATCTACGTATATACCTTCTTGAGACTAAGAGGTCCGGCCAAAAGGTGCCTAGAATCGAGCTTGAGGAGATGGGGCCGGTAAGCTTCTGCTGTTTCATTCTACACCACAACCCCCCAAACCAACAATTGCCGTGTCAAAGATCGACGCTCTATTGAAGCTCGTGGACTAATACACTCCTGCTGCAATCTCTCATCCCCACCCATCGTCGAATGTCTTGGGTTGTATTGGTAGCTGACCTTTGATTCTGCAGAGAATGGATTTCCGAGTTGGCCGCAGCCAGCAGCCCGACGAGGGAGTCTGGAAGGAAGCTTTGAAGACTCCCAAGGCGGGTGTGGAGAAGACGAAGAAGAATGTGTCGACGGATATCATGGGTGACAAGATGGGCAAGATTCACTTGGGCAGACAGGATCTGAGTGAGCTGCAAACGAGAAAGATGAAGGGACTGAAGCGGAATCGGGCCATGGAAGGAGACGAACAGGATGTGGTCGTCGATGACGATGCCCCGAAACGGCAGAAGAATTGATCGGTTAACGACTGCGCTATGGTTCTCATGGGATGGCGTTTGGCATTGCTGCTTCTCTGCTGTAGAGTATATCCTACCAAGTTAAGGAGTTGGGAGTCATCAGGTTCCGTCTCAACATACTCTGGCAATCTAATTCCCCGTCGATTGTCCTTTCCGACAGAATACTTCTTTTAAAACCTGAAGCAAAGAGTCGCTCTGTGTTAACATACCTCCCATCGTACATGTCTCCAATCCACCGAGTGTTTTGAGGGTTCTGTATACCTACAGTACGTAGGTATCAAGCTTCCATGTTAAATGTAGTAGTATGAACGAGTGGTACGGCTGCGTTTAAAGAAGTACTCATACCCGTTGAAATGAACTTGTAAGTTGTCTCTGACAGACTCCTACTGCCAAGTGTCTACACCCCTATTTCACATTCCTAATTGCAGTGTCCTTCGACGCAGTTGGACTTCGGGATTCCAGCCGGGTCGCCCCTCATTCAACGGCCGTTGCTCAAGCCTCCATCAACGGAGCAGCCACCGAGTGCGAACACTTTCCTCAACCACTCATCTTGTCTCGCCGCAACGTCATTAACTGTGCACCCTGAGCTGGCTCGCGAGTCCGAAAGGCTTCTCGCGCAAACGCCATTCAAGGTATCCAGTTCCAGAAAGCCATCATGAGGCGAATGAATCCTGGAAGCGTTGAGTACCATCCGTTAACCGATGAGCATCAGCGATAAACACACAGTTGGGTCTTCATCGGAGCCAGTCCGGGGTCGCGCAATCCGCGCCTATGTGATAACTGCGAGATGGGAATAGGAACTGGAGCAAGGGATCTGTATATAAGGTATACACGTGATATGACTTGAAGGAACCCTTTGACGGCTGTGGCTTCCCAATCCTATCAGCTAGCATGGCTCATATGACCTGGCATTGCGTGTTTGACCGCTCGGAGACTTTGCTCGGGTTGACGTTGGAATATAAGAATAGATTCTGTGAGGATGTATGCATGTTTTGGTTCAGGCCTCCTACCCGCCGCGACACAAGGATAATGGTAAACCAGCAGCAATCACCCAGTCCGCCACTTGGAAATATCATTACCTGAAACAGAATCAACAGGTCATCCTGTTAATCTATCATGGGGATAGTAGCAAACTCAATCGACGGAGCCTAACTGGTAGTGGTAAGCTGTCAGCCTCGCTCCACGGTAGTCCGCTGTTAGTTCTAATATCTCGAGATCGGGCGAGATACTAACCCTCATTCATGCACTCATCTGACTCGCTAATTCCGTCAGCTGCCTTCTTCCGGGCTGGCGGCGTCAATCATTAAGTTTCAGCGGCGCAGCCGGAATGATCACCATGATTACGAGCCGCTGCGACCATGGCCATCCAATGGGTCCGTGTTGGGGTTGTCTTGCAGCGAGTATGCATTGCATATCATGCAATGAATAGACAGCCTGCAGTAGCTTAGAGGTTACAACACCGACCTTTGCGCAGAGTCGTTCGTGTTTGTCGTCAAACCTCCCCTCCAGCTTGGCGAATCATCAATCTCGTCTTGGTATTCACGTAGTTGAAGTATATAGTTGTGGAGTTTTACGAGGTCGAGGGAAAGGGGAAAAGGGGCAACTTCACGGCCAAGGACCGGGCTGCTAATATCCACACTCGCCACAGTAGATCCGACGACATCCGGCTGTCATACGAGTATCGATCTCCTGTCGTCGGAATAACCAGCATGCTGTCTCACGCGAGGAGGCTTTCCGGTGACACTGCAGTATAGTGCATGTGGCAATGGATTACGTTATGTAGCCGCCAATCAATTTCAAGATTCAGCCTCCGGAGCTCAACACAGGGGATCATTCTAGTCGGCGACCATCAAGGTGCCCTGCCCTTCTCGACAGCTATCCGGCCTCGGGTTTTGAACCCACGCAGGTCGCGCTGCACATGTTGGCTCCAGTATCCGTATAGGACGCGTACCGTAAGAGGTTGAGCATCTCGTCTGTTGAGGGAATTCAGCTGGTGCCTCTTGCGAATTTCGCTTTCGGGGTTTCTGGTTCTCTGTCCGTGGAGCCGGTTGTGACCCCTTCTGTCTCGGACAACTCATCAGTACACGCAAGCGAAGAAACATGTCGCTATGAGCTGGAATACCCCCTCGTGCCCCTGATCTAGATGATCTTCCCCGGCAATCGTAGGTGTACTCACGAGGTTGCAATGTGCAAATGTTTCCCGATGGATGAATCACGACTGCAGAACCCCCTGCCATGGGACAATCATAATATCGACAGTTATTGCATGCGGTCGAAGCCCACTGCCCTGTTTTAAGTATTATGCACCCTGCATCGGTGGCTCGGCCGTCATCACCAACCAATTCTTCGATCAATTGCTCGGTAATCTGACGTGCGAATCTCGAAGAAGTGCACATCAATGATGGTGCTTGAAACCACGAACTGACGCTCCTTTTCTCATTATTACCGTGTACATGTATGTCGTGAGCCGCAGGTGGAGGAAGATATATAAGTACAGGTACCTACCTGACGCTTAGAAACGCCCCGGCTGAGAGCCGCCCTATGACCGCCTGCGACCGCCTACCTGCTAGGTGCCTTTAGCGCTACCCTTGAGCCGCCTTAGCTGACGTAGCGCCGACGCACTCAATCTGCGACCCGAGATGGGCATTAATTCACATTGACCCTCAATCCAGCACCACCTGCCACTGTACCAGGCAGCCCAGGGCTGCCAGGGACCTTGAAACACCAAAAATAATAAGCCGGACCCTTGGTTATTAGCCCATTCTCTCACTGGCGCTATTTCCGCTCCTCCGATGGCCGCTCTTTTCCCTATTCTCATCAGACATCACTAAACTCGTCCCATCTCAGTGTCGCCAATACGCCCGCAATCACTGCATCCTTACCCTACCTACCTACCTACCTACCTACTCAGAGCAACGTCGCGGCGCTGCCGTGAGCATCGTCATCCAACAACTACAAGGACAAAACAGAGTGTCTGAGTCTGCGGGCTGCGGGCTGTCTAGACATTCCGAGATACCTGGGCGGGGCAATGCTGTAGGATCCAACCTAGTTCTTCTGCTTCATCCTCTCGTCCTTTGGGACCCGAAACCTTGAAAGGCCTCTTCAATGCACCGCTACTCGTGCCAGGCCAGAGCGCGCAACTGTTTCCCTCACTGCCACCTACTTCTCGGCCGTGCTCCTCTGCTGCCCTAATCTCCTGTCGTCATCCTCCATCCTAGAACAGCCATCTGCCGTGAAAGCATGACAGGATGACTGGCCCAACTCTGACTGCGACGGTTTCACCCGCCCGAGAGTCAACACAGTCATTCCACTCTTCTTCTTCTGCGCCGTCGCATTCCACTCCAGACCTGGATTTGCGTTCTAACACCATCAGCCGGAGACCATCCTTATCAGCACACAACCGATCGCTGAGCGCCACGAGCTTGCCGAGCTTACCGACCTTTGACTTACCCTCCTTCGACTTCGACAGCGACCTCGACACCACTCTCACCTTTTCCCGCAAGCCATTGGAGAACACTGCAAATGAGAAACCTCAGACCGTTCGCACCGACGAGACTTTGGGGGTCCCAAGGCCGAGGACATCAAAAATGGGCAAGAGGAGGACCATGCTGAGCCGCCCACAATCTTGGATGCCGTCGTCGAAATCCACCCCTGACGTGGGAGAAATGACCATGGAAGACGGTTATAGGGAAGCCGGCGTCACGAAGGAAGATGACGGATCCAAGTTTCTCAACCCGAATTCGCAACAGGAGAGATCTAGAAATGTTTCAAAGTCGTTCGCCTCTCTCGCCAAACGCTCGTGGATTTCCGCCTCTAGGTCACCCTCGCCCGGAAAGAGGAAAGAGGAGTCGGAAAGGGCACCCGAGAGTGATGTTCGACCGAGCCGTGAACGATCTGCTAGCAACAGCTCTATCATGAAGCTCAGAAAGACAAACAGGAAGCGATCAGGATCTCCCACTGAAGGCGAAGGTGGAAGGACGGCAGACACTTCGGGCAAGGGGAAAATCGGCAACTATCTTACGAAGATCAAGTCCCGACCTCAAAATGTACTTGCGAAGGGTAAGCTCCAGAGTGAGTTCAACAGTCCGGCATCCTCGACGACCAGTCTTGCGCCGCCATCCACCGATACCCGCAAGTCGCATGCGTCTGAAACCAGCACGAGCACGTATCCTGAAGACGTTTTACCCGTACCGAGGTCGCCGCAGGTCCGAGACCCCCTATGGTCGGTATTCAAAGGCGTCGAGACGGATTTCCACAGATTCCAGGTCAAGTCGACAAGCCTGAAGATGAACTTGGTTAGAACTGCGCTCGTGCCGTTCCTACGCAAACACGCCTGCCACTCATCCAACAAGCATTTACACCACGAAGACCTAGAACGCAGAGCTACTATCCTCAATAAGTGGTGGTGTGGGCTTATCGAGATGCTCGAGGGAAAGACCGAAACGCCAGTCCCCGGAGTCGACAGGCCGGTGCTGTTGGACGCCACAAGCACATTGATGATGCGTCCCGAATGGCGCCAGAGCATCATTTCTTTCACCCCTTTAGCGGATCGGAGCCCTCGAGAACGCGTGTGGAGGTCGTCGCAGTTTGCCCCGAACGAATCGTCCAGCTCGGTTGAGACGACAGACTCGGCTTACCTTGCCGAATCCGCAAGACATAATGTCAGGACCATGTTCATTTCCAACTTGGTCTCCCAAATGGCGATCGTGGTCGATAAAATGGCTATGCGACATGCTCCATACAGCATTGTCAACTTTGCTGGGAAAGCTTGCGCCTATGCTTTCTTCTTCGCCCCTGGCATTGCCGACGTACTTGTTCGACTTTGGTCTCTGACGCCAAACTTGTTGCGCAGAGCAGCCGACGAGTTCGATCTCCCTCGACGAAGCAAACGCGAGAGCGATGATATCGTCGCCCTATTCCCACCATGCATTCATGCGCTAGGCTGGACCTCGGTCAAGGCCATGTCCGACTCTCTGCGGCAAGTCGCCAAAGCACCCCTTGCGGCGACCAAGATAGCCTGGCACGGGCCTTGGATATCGAGGTGGAATGGACGCGACAGCGATGTCTTCTTTATATTCTGCAAATACTATTTCATTCTGGCCCAAGAGTTCCTCCCCTCGGATCTGCCGCTCGTCGAGAAAGCGCGAGCGCCTGCTTTTGTCCTTATCAACGCCCAGATTCTTGCTATTCTGGACTCTACCATACACCGGCAAGCGGCTGTAGAGGCCATGTCTGGGCCTCCACTTGCAGATGCGATTTATGGCGCAGACGCATCAATTATGGCATCACAGGTGACGCCGAACAACAGTAACATCATGAAAGGGATGAACGAGAACAGGCTGATCGTTCTGCTGAAAGACTTCCTATCCGGAGCCTCCATCACGTTCACAGATGCCCGGAATACCTTCGCCGAGTCGTTCATGGCCTTGATGCAAGCTGCTGCGAAACGTACTTCTCAGTACGACCACAATGCTTGCTTCACCATCTGTGATTTTCTTGAGGAGTCGCTGGTAGCATACGATAACTTTGTCGATGTGCAGAGACCCGATTTGACGTATGCAAACTGGCCGTTTTGGTTCGATGTCTGCCAGAAGATTCTCGAGTCAAACAATTCGATGTCAGAGATCCGAGTCTTGTCTCTCGTTTTCTCTATCTGGGATACCATCTCGAGCGATCAGGGCCGCAAAGAATCAGTCTGTCTAGACTGGCTACTCACCGAGGAGACGTTCGATAGATTCTTCAACAACTGGTGCCCAATGGTTCGGGCGTACTACATGCGTCTCTTGTGCTGGAGAATTTGTAGAGACGCCGGTAGTGCGAACGGAACAGATGCGTAAGTGACGTTTCCATACTGGGACTCCCACCAGCCTGACTAACCCTTGCTCAGGAAAATCTTCGTACTGGTCTCTGCCCGATTGAAGACGGTATGGTCACACTATCTCTGGCTTAAGCAGACAGCGGAGAAAAACGTGACCATCCCACCGTCCACGGCACCTTCATTTCCAACTCCCGGGAAGCGGTTCATGATCATCCGCTCTGAAGTTCCCACTGTCCACCAGGGTTTGATGGTTGGCTTTGACTCTTCGTCGTCACAACAGGATATGGCGTCGAACCCAGCAACTGATTTCGATTCGATATCCATGGACTTAGCCGATCCGGAATGCAGCAGCAATCAGAAGAAGAAATGGGGCGTCCTCGGCAAGATGTTTTCGTTCAACGGCAGTACTTCTGGCGACAATGACCTGGATGCCGTGCGGCGAGATACGGCAGCATCCAGGACTAGACCACCTCTGCCACCAAAGTCGTCCAATAGCGTCGTCAGCCCTCCGGGTTCTGATAGTGACAGCATGGGCTCGTCACCTACTTACGAAGCCACCCAATACGTCTTTAGGTTCACACTCTCATGGAATGCTGCTGGCACCATGTCGCCGCCTAATCGTATCCTCACTCGACCGCGTCTGCCAAATCCTGCCCAGTCCTGGGTCACTGCCAAGGGCCGCAGTGGGAGCCCACCCCCGCCTGCAGCTGGCCGGCCTGCACCAACCCGAGCTGTCTCTGGGAGCCCCATGCCTGGCCTAGTCGCCTCCGCAAAGAATGCCGGGGTTTCAGAAGCTCCCGCAAGTCAGCTCAATCTTTCCACGGCCCTGGACAGACAAAATAGCATTGAACTGGCAAGCCCCATCGACCAAGATGACGACGACTTGCCTATGAGAAGTCTCACAGCTCCCACACAAGAACCCATTATTACGCCAGTCCAGCCGAAGGCTTTTTTCGCTTCCACCGTGAAGTACGCTGGGCGCGCCCTAGCTGAATGGAGTCTCGTTGTTGCGGAGTGCAACAGCTTCGTGGATCGCAGACGAGATGAGGGCGTGCTTGGCCTCAGCGAGGTTGAGGTACCAGCACTGGGGGTGGAGGGCTTCAGAAAGCTGGACAGATAGCGCCGATTGCGTCGCTCTTCCTTGTCACCACACCATAGCCACTGATTATAACCAGGGAGCCACACAGGACTACGCACCTCATCCTACGCAAAGACGTCATAGGTGTAGAATCCCCATTTGTGGCATTCAGGTACATCCGATACGACCAATTGTCCAATATGGAGTTACATTCACTGTTTTATTACTTATTCGAGCATGGCATTATTTGAGGCGTCGGCGGCGGACTCATTCACGCAGTCGGTCTAGATGAATCACCGGCAGCACCTCCCACTATGAACCATTTTGTGTTCTGTCAATGCGAACATAAATACACCTCAGCATGACGTCTTGGGATTGGACATAGGAAGACCAACATCTCACGGCTGGACCAGTCTGCGTCTGCAAGAACCCTGAAAATGCAGGGACGGGTTCAGAGCCGGCATTCACGTGTCGCTATATAGAGACCCAGGTATATACGGCGGTGTGTCTGGATGGATATAGACGTGCTGCATACACAGCATCATGTGGCATTGCACAGTCGAATTGTATCATACTACTTGACTAGCAAATATACCCAACGCTACGCATTGAAGCAAGCGCTTTTGCTCCATCAATCCAAAATTCATCGCTTCGATCGATCTCAGTCTCTACCCGGCCCATAGTGATCCCGACCGAGCGTTGTCGAATTCCTTTTCCCCGCCGGCGGTACCTCCTCAGTGCAAACTCAAGAAGACTGCGCAAACCGGCTCCTCGCGCGGAGCCTATGGCCACGGAGGTACAGAAACAGCATCCCTGCGGCGCACAGCGAGGCCAGCCCGCCCAGCAGACTCAAGCCGCCGGCGACGCCGAGCGCGCGGTACATGGGCGCTGAGAACAGCAGCGAGGCGGCGGCGAAGGAGCTGCGCGCGAAGTCGTTGGCGGCGAACAGCGAGGCCGAGTGCCGCGGGTAGCAGCGCGCCAGGTAGAAGAACATGCACTGGTAGACGACGAAGATGCACACGAAGAAAACGAAAAGTCCGGTGGTGGGGACTAGGGGGTGGATTTTTGGGCTTGATGTGCAGGCTTTTTTTTGAGGGGGGTTTGTTAGTTGTTTTGATGATCATTGCTGGGATGGGTTGGGATGGGGTGAAGAGATGGGAAGTACTTACCAAAGATAAACAAACCCCCCGGCGCGAGGAACGTAGCCACCACAGCCGGAAACAGCCTTCCCTCGGGGCACCCGTACAGCGGCGGGCTCTCCCTCCGCATGACGGGCTCGACGCGCCGGCGGAACCAGATCGCATAGACCGGCACCGCGACCAGCAGGCCCGGCACGAACGCCAGGAACGGTAGCCCCCACACGCCCAGTGCGAAGCCGTACACGCCGCCGAAGACGAGCGGGAAGGCGGCGAAGAACGAGTAGTATGTCCCGTACAGTACTGCCGAGTATATCGTTGTGTACGCCACTGCTGGATCCAAGAAGTTGATCGCCCACGGCTTGAGTAGTGCGGATGTCAGGATCTGGCGCGGCGTCTGGTGCTGGTGTCGGATATCGGCGGCGCAGGGGAGGGCGGGGCGGTGCGTGAGGGCGCGCAGGCGCGTCGCTTTGCGGTGGAGGATCGTGTCGGGGTTGGTTTCGGGGAGGGTGAGGGCCATGAGGAGCCAGATGGGGGCTGCTAGCCAGAGGAGCTCCCACTGGGGTGTGTGTCAGTTAAGTGAATACCAGGGAAGCGAAAAGGGGATGGGCTGGGATACGTGCTCCGGCGTTAAGTTCGGACCATAAAGGGGTAAGGGGTAGGGGGTAGGCGTACAGGGTAGACAAGGATACAGTCACCACTCACCTGGCTGATACGCCAGCCCATCTCACTGCCGCTCACAGCGAACCCGGAAATCACAGGGCCCAGTGCCGGTCCCAGTGTCGCGGCCGACGACCACACGCAGAGCACGTAGCCCAGCTTCCAAGGCGCAAACATGTCGTCGAGCGTCGCGCCGGCAGTCGCCAAGCACGGCGACCCGAAGAAGTCCAGCAGGAACCGCAGCGCCAGCAGCGCCGCCAGAGTGCCCTTGTCCCCGGTACCGTCACCCTCACCATTCCCGCTCCCATGCCCGTGTCCATCCGGCACGAGCGCAGCGCCCAACGCCAGCCACACGAACACGAAGAAGGTCGCGATGTAGATGGACGTGCGGCCCACGCGCGGGATCTCGGACAGGGGCGACCAGAGCAAGGGCCCAACGCCGTACCCAACGACGTACAGCGCGATGCCAAGCTCGGCGACGGCGGGCGAGACGCCGAAGTGGCGCGTGATTTGGGCTTCCGAGGGCGCGTAGAGCGAGGACCCGATGTAGACGGCGAAGGTGTAGAGGCCGACTAGGGTCGTCACCCAGAGTTTCGCGCGCAGGGCCAGTTTTGCGGGTTCGTGGGGTTGTTGAGGAGCCAGGTTACTGGTGCTTTGGAGGGCGATTGTGGCTTCTCGAGGTCTGGAGATGTTGGACTGGTGCGGGCGGGTGTTGTTGTGTTTGTGTCTGCTGAGATCCAGTTGCCTTCCTGGAACCGGGCGCCTATCTCGACATCATCGTGGAGGGTTCCTCCACGAGACGATGACTGTGGTTCATGCAGCTAATTTCCCGGCTGCTTTTTCGCGTGCGCGTCGACATCATTGAACGTATGTTCATAATGCCCGTCAAAGCTCGGACAGACGAACCCAGTCATCTTTTCGACCCCAGGGTACGTTTTGTCCAACCTAAGGTCGGCGGGAAGCTCGAAACCATCAAGTTCCTCGGGATATGGCAGTTTGGCAGGCCAAAAGAGGCGTGCTAGCTGTCCGATGCTCGATTCACGGATAACGTCCCGCATGACACCTGGTCTTTCCCTGTCGTTGATGACAGCAGGGCTTCAATGCTAATGCTGGAAGCACTCGACGCTGACATGAGGAAGCCATAGCTGCTGCTATTTCAACCCAAACTTCCTCAGACAGAGGAATCCGTTAACGGACGTTCATATGACAGCCATATTTAAAGCACTCCATCATCGACTCATCGGCCGTGTATCGTGGGCCCGTTATGGAAATTATGGTTGTTTTACATCACGATGTCTGCAGCAAGTCGGAGCGAATCCTCCAGACCGCCACGGCTGCTGCTCGGATGGCTGACGTGGCTGTCAGAAGGCGCATAATATAACGTATTACCTACAGGCGCGAAAGGTCACAGTGGCCCCGGATGGAGTCAAACCATCACGATATGGGAGAGCTATAAAGTCTATTTCAACCTACAGTCTTCTTGCGTTATCGGAAACAGGAAACTTCTTACGGCAATTGAGTCATTAGCTGCTTGAAACACCCGAATCGGTAGTCTTGGTGGCCGCTCTAAGACAAGCTTTGCCTAGAGACGGAGCCAGCCCGGTGAATTGGGATGCTGGATCTTCACGTGCATGGAACCGAGTACCCAAAATCTCAAGAGATGGGAAGTATATCTAGAGCTTGGATCGTGGAAGTTTCAAGAACAGGGTCTTGACGGTAGTATGACAGCTAGGGGCGGTCTTCTCTACGTCTATAAACCTCCACGTCAGCTGGAGCTTGGTTCTAAACCTTCCCCTCAGCTGCCACAAGAGCTAGTATACAAAGCAGCAAGCCAGCTGGCTCCGATCTAGGAGACGGGTTAAGTGACACTTTCAATGATGCCTGGATTATTCACGATCATCGACCATTCCTGTTGTTGGGACAGTCATACTGGCATTACGCCCGGTCACGGTGAAGAATTAGCGCTGACAAGAACTTGACAGGCAGGTCGCGAGAGCAGTACATTATCGTGGGATTCCTTGGATCATGTCTGAATCTGTCTAGATTAGTCACAATCCGAATGATTCTGTTTAGCGACAATTCGATGAAGCCCGGTGGTAGATGGACCGGTCAGTGACGGGTTCGGATACATGAGCGGTGGACTCGTCTCCTTCCCACGGTGTGCCGTTGGCGTCCGTGGCGAACCACACGGGTGACTGATACCACCCTATGTGTCACGACTCTCCCCCTTCCTCAGGTCATTATCGACAAGGTCATCCAAGATAGCCTCCCCTTGCTTGCCAGCCGCCACCCGAGCCAGCTTTAGCTTCCGGGTGTCGCCCTCCGTCTGCCGGGTCACCCACCACGTCACCAGCGTAGTGACCATGCAGCACGCGACGAGCGCCATGGCAACCCCAAACGAGATCTGGTAGCGAGGCGCGTATGCTGCGCGAAACAGCTGGGGACCGATGGCCCCGCCGATCTGGCCGTAGCTATTCACGAAGCCGATAGAGAATGCAGAGCCAGTTGCTCGGCTCGTCGTCTGCACGCGCCACGGCCACATCATCGGGTACCAGGCCGCGGCGACGGCGTTGCCGATCATTGTCGCTGCGAATACTCCGCCGGTGTTGGGGTATACCACTAGGACGGCGTAGCATGCGAGGATGATGGTCAAAAAAGCCATGGGATACAGGGGTCTTGGGAGGCGCCCGTTGTCGGCGAATATGCCCGATACTCCTATGGTGATGAGACCGAGGATGGTGATGGGGAGATTAAGCAGTTGGGCTTGGGCGATGGAGCTTGGCTTGACGTTAGTAAGTTGGTCCGGACAACCCATGGTACGGGGAGGCTCACGTGAAACCAAGGTTGGCGATGACGGTGGGCTGGTAGAAGCGCACACCGGAAGTGCCGACCGTGAAGAAGGCCCATATCATGGTAAAGAGCCACAAACGCTTGTCTTTGAGAGACGTGATGATCTCTTTGAAGTCAAAGTCCTGCTCGGCGGCTCTCGGTGCGTTGGCTGGTAGCCGGGCTTGGATGAAGGCCTTCTCCTTCTCCGTCAACCATGATGCTGTTTCGGGGACTGTTGATCATCAGTAACTATGCTGGCACTGTGAGTATGGATGGTCGACTCACAATCGGGCAGCAGAAACCACACAGCAACTCCCACGACAATCGTCGCGATGGCTTCTACCAGGAACAGCCTAGCTAGATTAGCGATGTGCGATTCCACAGCGTGCCGCTTGAAGCTCACCATTGCCAGCCAGACAATCCGCCTGCCCCTGAGGCGTGATCGAAAGCGAATGCGAGGATGCCACTGAATATTCCAGATAGGTTACCGCATATGTCTTCATGATTGTTAGCCAAACGCCTTCGGGGCGCACGGGGTTTATTACCTACAGAAGTATAAGAGCCTCAGAGACATCTCATCAGGCCGATACCAGTACGTCATTTGCAGCAGGATACCCGGGAACATTCCCGCCTCGGCCTGTAAGTGTTAGTCCAACACCCATATCTATTAGAGTATAGACGACTGACCAGTCCCAGGAAGAAGCGTGTCACGTAGAGACCTTGCTTGTTCGTGACCGCAACATGACAGGCTAGCATAATGCCCCAGGTGACCATGATTCGCGCCTGCCAATGCGAGGGGGAGAACTTCTTCAACAACAGGTTGGAAGGCGCTTCGCCAACGATATATGGTATCTACAGACGCAGTCAGTTGTCTGTCAAACGGCTAACCGGTTGTTCATCATAGACTCACATAGTACAACACGGTGACCAGCGCATACGCATCCGACGACAGTCCCAACTGCGTCATGATATTCTCCGGCGTTCCTCTGTTCATGATCCGAGCGTTGGAGACCTGCCATTCCAGTCAGCTCGAACCTGGCCGCCATCATCATCGTCATTGTCAGGCAAGGCGTTGTTGGCCACTCACATTGTCAGAGTCCAAGTTCTTGAACATAAAGATGATAGAACACAGCGGCATGAGGTGCCAGTCGATCCGTCGTATCAGCTTCTTCTCTTCTTCGGCGGTCAAGGATGTCCGAGCTCGCATCCGCTCGGCATCGTATCCGTCGATGGACTCGTTGCTATTGACGGTCTCGCCGTTGTCACCACGTTGTACGCGGTGGAATCCGTCGTCGATACTCGAGAACTCGATGTCCACGGGATCTTTCGATGAGGTCCTGGTCCCGCCGTTGGTTGAAGTCATGGCGATGGGTCACACTGTGTGTGAAAAGTCTCAGACTGCCTTTGCTTTGAAGGAGAGAACGCTGTGGTATGCGAGTTGTTTGATAGGCGCCCAAATCGACGAGAAGATGAGTGAAAACGATGATCTTATAAGACTCTATGGGAACATAGTATCATGGCCCACCAAAAGCACGAATGTGCGTGTGGACCCCGACGAGCACCTAGTCGAACAGAAAAAGGGTACTATCTGCTACAGATGGCAAGCTTCACGACAAGAACGTCCGGACTTCTTGCCTACCTAGGCTGTCGTGTGTCTAGTAATCTCATGATCGTATCCTCTGAGGGGCCTGGACTGTGAATATGTTGACGCTTGTCAGGGATCGGAACTGATTATCAATCCTGTACCCTCCCTACGCGACTACTCTGGGCCTCCGACGACCAGGTATCGCGTGCAGTTATCCTAACCAATACGCACTACCACTCAGTCGTCATTCGCTAGATAGATGGCGAGATGATAACGCCCCCATCACCGTATGCAGGATAATCGGGAAATGGAAAACGGGGTTTTGGGGTGTGATGCCCCTCATCACGCCATCGACGCTGCGTCGGACTCGGCGCCGGCGGGTGTGAGTATTAAGATCCGATATGAGCCGCGTGCGCTTCTTCGATTTCACGCAATTCTCAAGACATTAACACAGAGACAGCATAATTCCAGAGCAAGTTAAACCATATACTTTATCGATTCCCAAGATGGCCGCAGTTGCAACTCCCACCGTTCACCAGGAGAACTCTGGGATACCTACGTATCATCAGGTCCCGGAGACGAAGTATGAACGTAAGGTAGTATGCGTGGTTATGCAGGTTTCTCCAGCTGATTTGTCGACAGTGGACTGGGCAGACCTAGTGACATTGGATCTCTCCCAGTTTGACCAACCTGGCGGGAAGCAGAAACTTGCGACCCAGCTCTTTGAAGCCATCCAGAAGATTGGTATGTTTACACTGTCAACCCCGGAAGCACGTCTTCTCCCCATCCGATATTGAGACTAACTGAGAACTTCAATGAAGGATTCTTCTACATCACCAACTTCGGGTTGACCCAAGAGCAGGTAGACCAGCAATTCGCGATCGGGAAGGAGGTCTTCAAGCTGCCGACCGATGAGAAGCTCAAGTTCCGAGCGGATCTCGAGAACGGAGGATACAACGGGTACAAGCCGCTGGGTATCCGTGTAAGTAATTCCGGACGCATGAACTTGATCCATGACAATCGAGCTTATAGTCTCCCAGGAGGTACGACCGGGCATCTACGACAACACCGAGATCTACAACATTCCCAAATTCATCCCAGCACTCGAGCGCCCACACCCAGAGATCATCAATCAGAACCGCGACGACATAGAAAGCTTCGCGCGGCACATCAACGACCATGTCGTCGGCAAGCTGCTGGTCCTGTTCGCCATCGTGCTCGAATTGCCAGAGGACTTCTTCCTCCAGAGGCATCGCTACGAGGAGAAGAGCGACTGCCACTTGCGGTACATGAAGTACCACGCGAGGACCGCCGAGCAGAACCAGATCCTGGAGAACGTCTGGGTGAAGGGCCACACGGACTTCGGCAGCCTGACTCTGCTGTTTCGCCAGCCGGTCGCCGCGCTGCAGGTGCGTACGCCGGACGAGGAGTGGAAATGGGTGAAGCCGTACCCCGAGAGTATCACCGTGAATCTGGCAGACTCGCTCGAGTTCCTGACCAACGGGTTCCTGAAGAGCAGCATCCATCGCGTTGTGGCGCCGCCCCCTGATCAGGCGGACATAGATCGGCTGGGCGTGCTGTACTTTGCCAGGCCGGAGGACAGTTTAGAATTGAGGCCCGTGGTGAGCAAGGTCCTCGAGCGCCTGGGGTACAGCACCATTACGGATGACAGCGCTGTCGGGATCACGGCGGGGGAGTGGGTGAAGGCGCGTGTGGCGAAGGGCGTGGGCAAGGATAAGGCGCGGAGTGATGTTTCTGAGCAGAAGATCATCGGAGGCAAGTCGGCCAAGTACTACGATTAGTTGCCCTGAACGAGTGTAGCTTGAGCAGGACGATGGCGGGTACAATGGAGTCCATCGTGATTCGTGACATAGTGTGATCCTGCATCTTCCGGTGCCAATATTTCCAGTTAGCTGAAGCCAATCAACACAGGTTATTTCCACCATAATTGATCTGTATTGCGTGCTGCTAGCACGTGACCCCCTTTGCGGAGAAGTAACGGAGCCCCCGACGCTGTTGAGATGGGTGCAACATATGGCGTGATCAAGGCCAAGACAACCAGGACAGAGGTGAAGCGACGTTGTTAGTAAGTCAGGAGCTGAACTTCGGTGACACGAAGAACCAATAGCTTCTGGAACAGCCATTCAACCACGATGCCTTCGAGAACCATGACTTCCTCGTTCAACGAGATCCCCACCATAGATCTCTCGCAAGCGACCGATCCGGCAACTCTTCCTAAGCTTCTCATCGAATTGCGCTATGCGCTCACAGACGTTGGCTTTCTGTACGTGTCGAACCGCGGAGTCCCGAAGTCGGTAGTGGATGGTCTGGTGAACGCGCTGCCTAAGCTGTTCAGTTTGGATGACGAGGTCAAGAAGTCGGTGGCTTTGGAGAAATCCCCTCATTTCCTCGGGTATAGTGGCGTTGGTAGCGAGAACACCGGCAGGAAGGTTGATAAGAGGGAGCAGTATGAGTTCGGAACGGAGTTGACGGCGACATGGCATGATGGTCTTCCCCTGTCGGAACGCCTGCGAGGTCCTAATCAGGTTGGTTTCACTCACGAATGCTTCTTGTGGGGATGTTCTTGGACACTTACAACGAGTGTAGTGGCCTGAATTCGATGGGAACTTTCGGTCAGTGGTAGAAGAGTACATCAACGAGTTATCACTGCTAGGGGAACGATTCCTAGACCTAATAGCGCATGCCCTCTCTCTATCGCCGGGGACGTTCCAGCCCTCTTTGTCAGACCAACATCGCCTAAAGCTAGTATACTACCCAGAAGCATCAACAGGAGACTCCGAGAACCAAGGTGTAGGACCCCATAAAGACTCATCCGGTTGGTGGACTTCCCTCCTGCAAGCGTCACCCCCGGAAGTCAAAGGCCTACAAGTCCTCAACAAAGCCGGCTACTGGGTCGACGTGCCAGTGGTGCCTGGGACATTCGTCGTGAACACCGGCCAAGCCTTCGAAGTGGTCACCAACGGTGTCTGCAAAGCGACGACCCATCGGGTTCTTTCCGGTCCGCACGAGCGATATAGCGTGCCTTTCTTTCAGGGCATGCGAAGGGATCTTACCAAGGCGGAAGCCACTGGGAGTCTGAAGGCTCATTTTGGGGCTCTTGCCGCCGGCAAGGAGTCTGATGAGGCCAGTGCTGTGGACTCAGCCTTTTTGAAGGGCAAGTATGATACGTGGGGTGAGTCGCAGCTGCGGACGAAAGTTCGAAGTCATCGCGAGAATGGGAAGAAGTTCTACCCGGAGGTCCATGAGCTGTACATCAACGATGATGCGTAGATAGATCCTACTGTATGATAGGGGCTAACTGCGAGAGACAGCCAAGAATAGAGCCGTTAGGAAGAAGACCAGTACTTGTTCACGTTGTTCAGACCCACCGAGATAAGCTGCCGGTAGACGATGCGCAAATAAAGCCACGTTGATCGCAACGTCGACCGTGGCAAATATGCCCTTGGTGGCGCGGTCCCAGTTGTTGTTGACGGCAACCATGGTCGGGTTGAGCTGCAGGCGCGCCGGTATCCACGTGATGGACTCAACACGCAGGCTCAGTGTGTTGAAGGAATGCGGATTAGGTATACAGAGCGTACCACGAGCCACCTGTTCATTCCTAAAAATCCGCCCAGGAGCAGCGAAGCTTGGTCCAGCATCGTATGTGGACCAAAGCCTGTCCGGGTGTGCTGACCGCTCCATCACCTACCTCCCTTGTAGGCCAAGCTCAATTTGCCACGCAAACACAACCCAGAGGATCGAGTAGTCATTCCCATAAAACGTGCTCAACATGGTGTAAAATGTGGTTTCACAGCAGCATTTGAGACGGCAGAGTAAGGTTGATGGCGATCCAGGTCTGGATGCTCACCACCAATCTGCCACGACTAAGGGGAAACAGGATGATCAGATGGCTACTGCCAATAATGGAACACCTGGCCTGCCGAAGCACCAAATGGGGGTAATGTTTGCCCTCCCGCCACGGATTGCGGGTTCAAATCCGGGCATAAGCTATCGCCAATGTACCCTTTTGTTCTATGGTCGAGGTCAGACGATAGAATAGACCGCTCTCTACATGATACAATATTTCTAACGTCTGCAAAAGAACATGAAGGGCACGTGTGCTGAGCAGGTCAGCAAAGGGCGACTAAGATATCTCCTAATGCCAGGAAAGCCCGAAATTCATCATGAGATGAAGTTAGAGAACATGGCCCTGTGAGGATATCATGTCGGCCGTAAGGGTGCCATTAAATGTGAGAGGTTGAGGTTATCGGCAGCCTACCAACATGGCAGCCAGTGCCCAACTCCCTCCCATTGGCTGGAGACTCACATTGCCGGAGGCGTAAGGAAGTCATAGACGAATGCTTGCAAGATGGACTAGGTAATGGGTATTATTTTCCGGTGATATTGAGCCCTGGAATATCGAGACCCTCGCGTGGCTTCGCTGTCATTCTGTATGAAAAACATTGAACATAGATGGGGCTAATGTGCCTATTGGACATGCTGTGTATCAGAAGGCCAGTTTGATCATTACACTGCGAACGAGAGTGATCGTTCTGCCTGGTTGTTTGCTGCCACAAACCCTCTCATATGCCGGATCTTGATCAATGATCAAGCGGTGAAGATTGGACGATGACCTATCGTCGTTGGTGCTGAACCGTGGTAACCAGTGGCCAATGCTTCAAAGACTTCGCATAAATAGTGCCCTCGTTGCCCACTTGCAACGATCTCTCCTCTTCCACATCCACCACCGCAACATCCACCATCTCCACCACAACCCAAACACCACAAACTACAGAATCCAACCCTGCTATCCCCAGCACACGAAACATCAATCACCAACAAGATGATGAACATCCTTGCCCTCGTCGTCGCCTCTGTGGCAGTCGGTGCCGTTATCGTAAGTGACGCCAACACCCAGTCAACCTCATCTGCCCCTCAGCTGCTAATCATACGGCACAGAACGAGCCCCAAAGCGGTCGGTCCGTCCCCGCCGTCCTTCCTGACGGATACAGAGAGGTCCAAATGAGCTGGACCGGCCCCATCACCCCCGGCGGTGCCAACGTGACCTTCCAAGGTTCCCTCGAGGTAAGCACTCGTCCCCGCCCCCCAGCGTATGTCCCGCATGTCTCGCGCAGTCTGACAATCTACACTACAGGATGTCCAAGCCCAGGCCGAGGCAGCTGGAGGCACAATTCTCGCAAACTCCACCAAGCGTGCCGTTGACACCCAGGCCTCCGTCCTCGACGCTCGACAGTGGGACAAGGACATCTGCAATGTCGGTCTCCAGGGCTCCGCCGCAGCACAAGCCATCGACAGCGGCATCAGCTACCTTAAAGGCGTTACAGGTGACTGCGGCATGCCCGCTGGCCCTGGCACCTGTGGTCGTATCAGCTGCAGCTACGATTCCGCCTCTAGTGAGTGGCTCCCTTCAGCCGTCTGTTATCTCCCCCTCATCTCTCCTCTTCTACCACTCCTATATCAATCGAGCAAGACAACCCCAAGACACCCAAGACATTATGCTGATATACAATTCCTACCTAGTTGGTGCAACGACAACAACCACTTTGCCAGCTGGCGATGCGCTGACTTCGCGTCCTACGCCCAGTCGGTGCGCGACCACTGCACGTTCTGGACCACCACATCCTGGGTTTGGGGCCAGTCATTTGACAAGCAGAACTTCAACATCATGGTTGGCCACGATAGCTGCTAGACTAGCCGCTGGTCTGAGCTCATCTGCGATGCTCGGTTTGCTGTGGTGCTGTGAGAATTTTGGAATGCAGGATGGGGGCGCATGGTACACAGGGACAGTTGCTATATTGCCCATCTACGCTTGCTAGGTAGCTACTGAAATACAGCTCCTTCTCCTGCATTGGACTTTGTAGTATGCTGCGTGATTTTGTGGTAAGCCTGACAGGTGGCTTTGGTGTCACTCACTGACCTATAGCTGCCTGACAGATTGAATGAAGTACACCAAAAGGGGCATCTCCACATTGACAAAAAGACCCGATGGATGGAATGATCAAGATGAATCACCCACACCACTATTTTTCGTATACTCCAAGATTCACAGAAGTGGATTTGGACAAGGTGACGTCTTCATGCTGCATTGAAAGGAAGCGGTTGGAATATGAGAGCTAATAGGAATCACGGGCATTGCATCATAGGTAGCTAGGCATAGAAGCAGCAGACATACACATGGCTACTAGGATGTCACGCTAACCAAAGGAAATGAAGGACCGTTCATGACTGAATGGCAAGCATTGTGAAAGGAGCTTTACCGCAGTCCAGTCCTTCATGCTGCGCTCTGATCACTTGGTTGATTGAGCGGTCTAGGTATCAAGTCAGTTTTAGTGCTCCTCGGGGCCCTTATGGCGAGACCCAAAGCATACATACGTCACATAAATCATCAAATGGATATTGTTATGTTACACCAAACTATGGCTGCCGCATAATGAAAGAAAGTAACAGTCAGTTGATTTTAAACATGACAAAGAAAAAGATGAACCAGGGACACAGATGGGACTCGAACCCATAACCTTCGGGACTGGAATCCGATGCGCTACCTTTGCGCCACTGCGTCAATGGAAAATGACAGCTGTTTTCAATACATATAGGTATGTTGCGAGCATAGAGTGCACAAGTCTATGTGTTCCCAACCCAGCAGATTGGGATGGCATTGATGATGTGGACTCAATTCAGGCTCTGCTGTAACCTTGAGCAAATTAACGATGTTTTCTCCCTTGGTGGCTCATGGCTGAAATTTGTTCGTCTTCTCCCTCAAACTCAAAGCCAACTGATACAGTGCTTAAGTTAACCCAACAGGCACGACGAGCAACATTTAAGCACTGCTTCCGTTCGTTTCTTTTAGTCCTAGGTGAACTTGCCCCAAGAGATTGGCACCGGCCGCAATTTGGAGGGGCAAGTTCGATCCTGGCTGTGTACCACTTTCCTGCCTACCTTCTTCTTTGGCTCACTCTTTGACACTTTTAACATTTGCGTGTTCAATCTACATACCTACCTACAGAACTATTATGGTATGGTGTCAAACCCAAAGACAATGAAGTATGTCTACCTAAGTACCTAGTTAAGCAGTCAATCAATACTTGAACAAAATCTTCTTGGAAGCCCCCAGACCATCTGGCAGGAGGCATACCCTCCCGCTTGTGATGTAGCTAAACGACCTTCCGGCCTACACCGTCTTACTATCTGGTGCTGGCTTGGCTTGTTCGACTTCTACCTCCGTTTTGGGAGCTTGTATGCGCGGCACTTCGCACTTTGAGTCTCGAGGGAAATATGTCAATGAGCCATTGCCACAATGGGCCTGCCTTTGAGCCTGCATTGGAGTGAGTACTGGAAATGTGAGAGTGCAAAAGAATGAAACCAGGGTATGTGCAGCCTCGAGAAAATCGGTATGGTGATGCAGTGGTCACTGGGCCAAATGGAAATTCGATATGGATTCGAAGGCGTGCCCGCTGCTCAAGTGCAAGGCGGGGAATGCTCCGATGTATGTCTCATCGCCAACCGGACTGCCTGCAGGGCTGTTGCTGATGCTGCCCTGGCTTGGATATGGCCAGTCCTTTCACAATCCGAGCTGCGGTAAATTTGAAGGGAGGCAACCAACAAAGCTAAGCCCGCTCATAACAGCACAATTTCGGGATAACAGCTTGTGGTCGCCAGCAAAGATTCCAGAAAGTCCCAAAGTCTCGTCTACTCCAGGTCGGCGCCGGGAGACATCCATCGACAGTCTGCGTAGACCTTCGACGTGGACGTGACATGGTAGTAGGTCTCCGTTCCAGTGTGCGTATCAAGCGCACCAGGTTCCTGGAGCCAGCAAGGAGAACCCATCATCTATGAGGTTCCGTTCGCCGCTATACAGGACGATCTTCTCGTACAGAAGTGGGCTGACAATGTGAAGAGACCTCCGCACAGGGCGACACAGGCTCCAGAAGGTCGCCTCGTTTCCAGAATGCTAGTTCGGAGCTTAAAATCAATTTGGAAGGCGGGAATGGTTGGACTGCCAACTTGAACACGAGGGCGAGGAGTTTAGCTGGGGGCTCTCACGAATAATTCGGAAGCTGTAGCGCTGAAGGATCCTGTAAGGGGGATTCGAGACAACCTCTCATATCAGGGCCTGTGCATGGGCAATGAGCATCCGAATGTACCTACAGGTAGGGAAGGTGTCACAAACGCAGAACCTAACCACCGCAACGATGACACGTGCTCGCAGATGGCTTGAGGCGACTGACACATAACATGATGGCAATAATGAGGAGGTCGACGAGCTGTGAGCCTGAACAGGTCAGCCTGCATTCGAAATGCACCGGGTGTCAACGACCGCCGAGGGGTTGTGGCTGGTGTCTGCACCTGGAGCTGTGGCTGTGACTGTGGCTCATCGAATTAAATGTCAACTTATTCATAGCAGCACAGGACATGCATAACTTTGGTGCATAATATGTCGGTGCGCTCAGCCGAGACCCGCCTGATTGGTCAAGTTAAATCTCCGGATCCCACGTCGGCGGCCTGGCTCCATGGATCTCGACCGTGGCTTAGACTAAGTCGCCCCCCACATGACGCCGAAAGAGACGACCGTCCGTACCGTCTGACCGTGGATCTGGGGAGGGCATGGCCTCCACGACTACAACTCTCCTGTTCCGGCATCCGACGACCTAGGATTCGGAACGACCGCCATAACGCCCTCAATGACTTTGTTCATAAACACTCCCAAAGGACTAACTCTTGACAAGCCGTCTTACCTTCGGCCTGCCGTTAGGAATATGCATTTCCCCCAGAACCCATAATGGCACCACGAAGATCCCACAAGAAGTCGAGGGCCGGTATGTCCAGTTTCACCCCCTTCCCGAGATCCCAAGGCAGACACTGACCTCCACGCCGAACAGGCTGTAGACGCTGCAAAGTTAGGAAGATAAAGTGTAACGAGGTTCATCCTCGCTGCGGCAACTGCTCCAAACATGGCGTGCTCTGCGACTTCGAGAAACACGACGACAACCAGACATCCCCCGATACTCCCCATGCCACCGCATCAGCGTCTCCCACCAATAGCAACTGCGACAGTCCCTCGGCGGCCACGAGCCCGCTTCCTGTGACTCCCTCCGCACCTGCCAGCACTCCTGCGCCCCTCTACCGAAACCCAGAACCGCTCCCCTTGACGTCGACCTCCAAGAACAACCGCATGATGGAGTTGAAGCTACTTCATCACTACACCACGATAACCTGTGAGACTCTGGCCATATCGTCCCCCGTTAGCGAGAAGATTTGGCGGGAAACTGTCCCTTGCCTCGCGTTCTCAGGCGCAAGCTTCCTGGCCGACGCGCTTCTGGCGGTGTCAGCCCTCCACCTGCGGTCCCATGCGCCACAGGACCAGGATCTGATACGTGCGAGCCATTCTTATATGGCCTCCACGTTTTCCGAATACAGTGCCAGCTTGAGCAAAGGCATCACGGAATCAAACGCCGAGGCCCTGTTTCTCACAGCTGCCCTCATTGCCTTTCAATCTACCGCATCTCGCATCTTCGCCCGCGACGACGGCGGCGACATGAAGGATCGATCTGGAGGATATGCCCTGCCGCTCTCCTGGTTCCATTCTTTCCAGGGCGTCAAGGCCGTCGTGGCTTCGAGCTGGCAGTGGCTGCGCAATAGTGGGATAGTCGTGCCGATCATCGAGTCGCAGCCTGCGCTGAATCTGAACCTATCTGGCAATCCGACCTTTTTCAGCGATCTGTTAATTGGGGTTGAGGAAGAGGTCACGAGCCTGGATGATGATCCAGCCAGACAAATGGCCACACGTCAGGCGTACCAACATGCCGTCGCCGTCCTTGATTGGGCCCACAAGATCCCGCATACTGGAGCACCGTTGGTATTTCTCGCCACGGTCTCCCGTCGTTTCGTCGAATTGCTGGAAGCCAGGCGCCCACGGGCACTTGCTATTCTGGCTAGCTACTTCGGATTGCTCAAATGCCTTGACTCGGTCTGGTGGCTGAAAGGGGTTGCTCGTCGCGAAGTCATGGGCATTGTGTCGCTTTTCGATCCAGACGACGAGGAGTGGTGGCCTCGCTTACAATGGCCTCTTCGAATTGCACTCATCGACGGGGATGGTATTCCAGCAGATGTTTGGGGAGCAGACTGGGCTGCCGAGAAAGCTTTAATGGACCAAGCAAGCCAAAGCGGTAGCTTCGTCAGCCACATCGAGCTCCTCAGTCAAATGTTTTCAGCGATGCAGAATCTGCCCAACAACATGCCGGACGCGTTGGACCCCTTCACGCATCAGTACGCTCTGGGTAGGGAGAAGGCATCGAGACAACAGCAGCTCCTGCTTTCAGACGAACTACAGGGGCCGGAAGTTGATTGAAAGCTTGCAAGATGTGCTATGAAGCTGTTGTATCACGGTTAATGCTACGCACTTCACTGCCTCAAGACTGGTCTATGGTTTTCAGTGTTGCTCACACCCGCGCCCTGCCTGCTTGGTCCTCCCAAAACGACGATTTTGTCCACGAGGACAATCAGACCTGGCAGGGCCAAGCTAGCGACAGTCACCCACATGATCACAGAGAGTACTGCGTACGCTGTGGAGATCTACCAGCCCGAACGCATATCCAATGTCGGTGGTCCATCCGTACATCCTGCATGTAATAGGAGGCCGGGAGCCTAGTGTGATATGAAACAACACAAAGGTCATAACTATGGATCTTACACCAGGGACGGAGAGTAATATCATCTAGCCTGATCGACCTATGAACCAGCTGGCGCATAATACGCAGGCTCAAGAACTTGTCATTGGGCTGGGAAGTAACCAGTCACCATTGAGGCGGATGCCTTACTTAGATGGCAGTATCTGCATACTATTAGGACTCGATTCCAACAGAATTGCCAGCATCTGGCGCCGAATTAATCAACCTCGACAACGGGATATTTGATACCACTCCAGCTCTTCAATGTGACATATGGCGCCGAATTAAATCAACCTCGATCACGGGACACCCGATACCACCTTATCTCTTTAATGTGAATAACACTCCTTACCAATCTTTCGTGTTTCATGCTACCATCTACCGCGCTGGAAGTTCATGCAGAATGACAATATGACTAGCCAGGTGATTGCAATCTCTACCTAGGGGTTTCCCTTTCTGCATCGCAAGGCTTTCATGAGGCTTGCCATGGCTTTATTCATCCACTCTTTCGAAGAAGCCTTGCGAACACCAGGCGAACGAACCTTACTCGATTCCGTGTTCCAACTGAGCTTCTACAGCCCCCAACTGCAAGAGCTTGATATTGCAAAACGCATGTATGTCAGTTGCAAGTGTAACAATCCCTGGTAATGCCATCGTCCATCAACTCATTCGAGGATCCCTTGCGACAGCCATATCGTCAGCCAACGTGAGCCATACTTGAGTTGGCATGGACCTATTGGGGAAACGATGGCTATTACTCAACGATCCCGTTTGATATAATCATACAAGGACGTTACCTACCCAGAGGTAGCTGGATGATCCCCATGGGAACTCAATGGGAAATAGACTACCCCTATCGGCATCTTTGACCCCTTTGCCGACACAGTTTCACCCTTATCGGCAGCTTCCCCCCCTATCGGCCTCAGCTGCCGATAACGATACCACTTACACGGTTTTTGAGGGCATCTCACGCTTTGTTTAGCCCACGATGCCCCCGAGTGCAGGAGGTACCCGGTCTGGTAACCACTGTTACGCCAGCACTTTCCACTGTTGCTCACTAGCACCTCACTGTCGCCTTCCTGTGCCCCATCCGAAAGTACCTCTTAGGGCAAGAAACAAATTCTCCACTCAGACGCACCGCAACCATTTCCTTGGTAATAAATACTCCCTCCGCAACCCAATTCGAGTCTGACTTTTTCCTCTTCCACACAAAACCTGCACACCCTCCCACTTCCTTATCTTGACTTGGATGCTCAATAAGCACGACTCCCCGGCGGAGACGAAGCACCTGTTCAACCTATACGATACTACGGTGTTGTTGAACAGGCCATCGTCGCCTCACCGGCTGCCACCCTATCTCGGTTTCAACGAGGTGAATTTCACCATCGCTACTCTACGACCTGTACCACTCATCAATTCCCACCCAGGTCACCTGCACATCAGGTTCGGTGTCATTTGACCAGAGCGATATCCGTGAGGTTCCTCAAACGCCTCTCAAGAGATCATATTCGTCGGCGTCACTCACTCCTCGTTGTGCCAAGCTGGCCGACCAGCTCAAGGCCAGCTCGCTGCAGTATACCAACCTCGATCCGGACGTCCTCCAGGTCGTCCTCTTCCCATACGGGACCTTGCTCATCCGGCATAGCTGGTCTGCACATGCAGAATTTTTTCAAAAAGGTAGTGAACCACACTCGTCGTCGCACACATTCTCTTCTGATAAAATCAAGGTCCCGAACAACATTACTGATATCAACAGTTGATGTGGATTGACGTCAATATCGACCCAACCGTATTCGATCAGCGCCCCAGCCGGAAGACCAGCGCTCGCGAGTCATCATATTATCAACTCTGGACAACACCTGAACTGATTTCCCAATATCGGGCCCGTCCACCATCGTCAACTTTGACTACCTCACCGGCTTATTCCAGTCCCGAATCTACTACGACCTGTGCGTACCCCCCAACCTTTGGCCTATGCCATTGCGGACGTGCTGACGATCATAGGCCCGGTTCTGCATAAGAGACAGACGCATAACAATCTCCGTCCCAAGGTTCATCTGCATGCAGATACTCCCAGACACCAAGTCTTTGCCGGTATTTCCCCCTCAATCCAGCTGACCTCCAAGGCACCGAGTCTTCACTCTCTCCTTACTTCACCCGACTTCACTCAGGAAAAAATCAGCAGCCCTAGAGAAGTCTCTTTGGTCTCTGCACCCGACTGTTTTTGCACCCAACAGACCCAAGCAGCTCATTTCAACCCACACAACCCGGCTTCGTCTCGTGGGGTGAAGAGACTTGGGGAGGAGTTCAGCGCTCAACAGATCTACCGCTCCGCCAAACAGTCTGGTTACCACGAGGTAGCCTTCGCAATAAGTCTCTGCATCTTCTTTGCTTCTGCAATTCCGCTTTCGGACATTTGTTCTGCGCCCCTCACTTTCAAGTCGATCTTTACTTGAACTTCCACCCCTTGCCACCATTGGTTATAGTCAACATTTATAACATCGCTGACATATCGAAGTTGTGGAATAGTAAAGCCTTGTAGCTACGGCTCGGTCGCAATCGATACATAGCAGTTGTCGACCCCCTAGGGACACCACCACCGGTGTTAAATCTAGGAAGATCGATGGCTGGATCTCTCGTCTGCAACGAGTGCGGAAAGAAGTTCCGTTCTACAGCCGAAGCCGAGTTCCACGCCAACAAGTTGTGAGTCTCTCATCATCACGTGGTCACCCGGGTTTACATGTGCATCCTCTCACACTGAAATCTACCTTAGGGGTCACAATTTAAGCGCCCCGGTCACCGTCGCCGTCGCCTCGTCAAGGTGGATGCTAACAACGAAGTCAACCGATCAGTCCAAGTCGAGTTCGTCAGACAAGGCTTAGCCTGGCTGTTCTACCGCACCGTTCGAACGGCAATCATTGAACAGTAAATCCTTCTGACATTATCAACAGCCATTATCCACATGAACTAATATATCTTACAGGAACTGGGACTTGGAGAACGAGACGATCTGGTCTCGACGTGGATTTTCGAGACATCTGGGAGAGACTGCGCTCCATATTCCCGTCCCTCTCCTCAGACGTTCCAGATCAATACGGTGGTCGTATTGTAGGAACACATCCTCCTAGGATCCATCCGGGGCATCGGCAAGATCTACGCCTGCAACATCAACCCACCCCTGATCTCAGTACTCGCTCCCGGCTCCGCGACAATTTCATACCTCCTGGATTCCTCGCATTCGACCGGCTGTACTACAACCTCACCCTCTATATTCACAGCGCTTCCGACTTCCGTTACTTGCGAACCGCGTTTGAATCGGTTCCACAGCTTGTACACGATACAGCACGAGAGCGTTGGACCTCCCTCTACCGCATCTACTACAAGGACGGCCCATACCTTGTAAAACTTGGCCGAGAAGAGCTCTGAGATAAGGTCAAGCGCAACAATTGAAAGCTGTAAGTCTATTCCACATTTACAGTATCTTTGCGCTTCAACTGACGTTGACAACCAAAGAGTTTGAAGAAAACCACGAAGAGTATTACCGTTCCAAGCTTGGCCTTTCCCGAACCCCAGTGGACAACGGAGGTTCTTGTCAAGGTCTACAAGTTACGGCAATTGGGCCAGCTCCTTCCTTGCGGTCGAAGAGCTTATAATAAAATATTGGCTTCAACGAAATCTTTTTGGCGACAGTTGGACGATTTACCTTTGGGCGCCCAAAAAGGCAAGAGACAACTCCGATCCAGTGGCCAAGTGTACCTCAATCTTCACAGCGGCATATACCTTCGCTGTGTCTATAAATTTCTCCAGAACTTGCAGCACCGGGTTTTCCATCACTGCCCGACAAAAAACCTGCACCCGCAACTCAGCAGCCGGCCTGCCTTGCGACCATTGTACTTTGAGTACCAGCAGCGTTTGCAACACCGCGGTACCCAAGAGCCGCGAATCTCTCAATTTCCTGTTAGTGTTGGGCGGAGTCTTCTTGGCAACCGGGCCCTTTGCTCGTCTGTGCGACATTTCGCCTGGCCCACTGATCTCGTCTTTCATGATCAGCCTATTCAGGAGTACGTCGAGTTCTAATTCTTTTGGAGCTTTTGGTGCGAGCGATTCGATCCAGCTACGAATCTCCTCATCTCCGGCATCCTTGTCTGTCACCACTACTCCAGAATAAAGAAAAAAAGGCTCAAGCCAGGAGACTAGACGGCCGTGGGTTTCGGTAGCAAGTGCGTCACCGAAGCCGTCACATACAAAGTCGTCTCACCTCACAGCCTTCTCATCGCTGCGCACGACATCATCACACCCCTTATCCTGACTACGACTGGGAGTCAATTGACGTCGGTGCATTTGCAAAACCCGCACTGCCCTCTTGTTCGTCTGTGATACTTTTGATTTCGTCGTCAATTGTGAGAGGCCGGAAGATAATTCCACGTAAGCTGCTAGCTTGCTCCTTCGAGGAAATCCCATACTCATCGTCGCAAAAGCCAGCCTCGTCTGGTTCTAGGACTTGGCTTGAACTCGACACAGGGGTAAACTGCCACCCTCCCCGACCGACAATCCATCCGGACAAAGAGGTTCTGCAACGCAGAGATATCCATGACCATGGACAGCCAGGCACAGACCCATGCTAATATATCACACCTCCCGCGGGAGCTCCGTGACAAGATTTACGGCTACTACTTCGAGACACACTTCCGCACATTCGTTTTCTCGTACGGAGCCTATATCGCGTATCCGGAATCTCGCAGACCGCAGATCACACGAGTCTTGCAGAAACCTGAACATGCCCTGGCAATCCTTAGCAGTTGTCGCTGCGTCCGAGACGATATCGGTACTACTTGGGTGAAATACGTTTGCCTCAACTTCTGCACCGTCTACGACATCTATGATGTTCTGCTCAAGCTCCCGGCTGTAATCATCAGCCAAATCCGCCATCTTCGACTTTCCAACGATGTCTTCTGGACCAGCCTCTTCGATCTAGAGCAATGTGAGACCGGTTTTCCGCATGATTGCGGAAAACCTCGCGTGAATCGCTCGCGACACAGTGACACGTCACACATTCTCCCCAAAGTCATCAGCTTGCTCACCGGCTTACGTCTTGATACCTTGACCATAATGGCCTACCCCACCAGCCAGCTCCAGCCTTCTGGCCAGCCCCAGCCTGCTGGCTCCCTGCTGTATGCCTTCATTGGGATGAAGACCGGATGGAAAGAACTGCGATACATCAGTGCGAGTGGTATACCCACCGTTCATAGTCATGGAGTCAGCAGTGACTACATTAGCGACATGTTTAGCAGCCCTTGGGACCCAACCCAGCCAACCCGATGGAGCAGATATATAGAGGCGAGGGATGGAAATGACTCCAGCGTTTCTGTGGCCTTCTATCGCCACGGCCAGCCGATCCAAGAGACCGTTCGGGACCTCGTCTTGCAGGCCGTCCCAGGTATGAGTGCGGCACCCATTGACCTCGTAATCAACGTCAGAAGGGAGCGAGAGGCTTCACGCGTGGTGCCTGAATTGGACGAGACAACCAAGACTGCTATACTCGCCGAGCTAGGCAGATTGGTTGATGCCAGCCGGTACGCCTAAACCGTCGTGCTGAATTGGCACCGTGGCGGAGACCGCGAACATCACACAACAAGTTCCATCACATTCACTGCACCACAGTCGTCCCACACGGGGACGTTAAATATACGTTGACACTATTGGTTTCTTATTGATATAACCACATGTCATATGAACTACTGTACAGTCTGGTCTGTCCTTCCGCCACAGCCGTCATGTGAAGTCTCTCGCCGTCCATCCGGACTGGGTGAACCAAATCATGAGAGGCCAGCGACGGATCTGCGAATGCACCCAGCGCCTTAAGGAGGGTGTGGAGGTGATCGGGGAGATCTCGGACGGAAACAGCGAGGACATCCAGGAGCTGCGACTAGGTCAAATCGAGTTCGAGAAGGCTGGAGATCAAGGAGCTTTGCATTCAAGACTCGGACAGCAAGTGGGTGGCTGACGTCCGCCGTCTGTAGTTTCAGACGCTCTGGTACACGTCCGACGGGATCGATACCAAGGAAATCTGGGCGAGGCTGCTGACATTGCAGTCGCCGTTTTCGAGACTGCGGAATACCTAGGTAGTCAGGCCCGAGTTGTGCGACAACGCCCTGGACTTCTTGATCCGACAGGTACGCCTCTGGCGCTGAACCGTCTCGCCGTCCAGTAACACTGCACACTCCATCCGGCGACTCAAAGATCAACTCCCGTATTTCCTGCGCCTTTTGGGCGATAATGTCGACATGGACAGCAATATCTTCCTCCCGCAAGTGGTGATCTCGCAAAGTCGCCTCTGGAGACCAGATATGCTCGACAGGATCCCGGAGGATGTTACCCAAGTGCGGTTTCGTCAAACCGGGCCACTTTGGGTTTCCGTTGTTGCTCACTTCTTCTCAACGAACACATCAAGTGCTCTACCAGCGACCGACATTACATCTTTTGGGTTTCCACTTTCTCGAGTTTCAACTGCGAGTAATTGGAAGCCAAGTCGCTAAAGTCTGCCATCGTCTCCTGCCATGCGATGAGAGATGCCTTCTACGAGTCCTCGACCTTTAACCTAGCGTGCGTTCGTCTCGACAACATGGATTCTGCCGGTACGTGATACGGAATCAACCACGGCACTATGTAGCCCCACGGGACTCAAAGTCATTCTGGAGTCATCAGCAGTCGAACTGTCACAGGATCTGATCTCTGGCTGCAACATATCATAGACTTGCCCGAATTCGATCTCTCGTTGCCAGACCCTGAAGACAATCTCCAACGGCGCGGAGGGCACCAGACAGAGCCACACGGCATCCAGTCCATCTGACAAGAGCATGACTTTCACTGGTATCAATCTCAATCCTTCAAAACTCTTGTGTCATGATATCTCGTCGCAAGAACCGGATCTGATGACGCTGAATCTGGCCCCCAGGTGTTCGCATCGACCCCGATGACGAGCTCCAGAGCATCTGTCCTTCGTCGGGATACTTGACATTCTTTACTGTTGAGGCCGCTAACCTCTTTTGGGCACAAAACGCTGTTACACCCTTCTCGGAGCTTCAGGCAAACTGTATCGTGTGTCTAGACGCTTCGCTTTCACACCTGTGCTGCTGTCTTGACACAGCTCCAAGGCGAGCCTCGACGACTTCTTCTGCATGAACATCGAGATCATTCGCAATTTCCTAGAGAACTGTAGCAGACACCTCTGCGCAACACGGACACCTCACCCCGTAGGTTTGGGGTTTCAGACTCGTTCCAGAAGGGATTTCAGCATCGTCGACCTCGTCCGGCGCTGGAAAGGGTCCCTGTGCGGCCACGTGGATGATCCAGCAGGGTGCCGCCGTCAATGCGATCACGAAGGACCACGAACCAGGGGAACACTGCGTTGCACTTGGTCGCGAAGCTTGACTGGTACCAAGGTTTTGAATCGCTGCTGGAAGCCAACTGCAACGCCATCAGGTTGACCGCGGCCACACAGAGCACTCCCAGATGCTTCCCACCAGCCAAACTGACAAGACGCCGCCTGCCCTCTCTGAGCCTCCTGGACTACAACGTCTTCCTCTGTGAACCTCACCTGAACACCGCACGCTAGAATGTCCTGTCAGCTATGCGTAAAAGCAGAGGCGATGACCCGAGGGACAAGATTGTATGCAACTAGAGTGGCGTTCAAGCCGGCTATCACGTGGTGAAGAGGAGATTGATAATTTCCTAGGTGACCAAGTATTATGAATTCCCATCACCCACACAGCGCCTCTATGGTCCATGACCTGGAACCGCTTTCACGTTGATGTCTGCAAAGCTCACGAACCAGTCGACACTACTCCCTCCATATCGTTGACAGTAAGATGGGGTAGTCCTCGAAGAACCTCATTCGATTGCCCGCGCTGAATTAAAGCCCAGCCCGAGTGGACCGATCTGGCTGGGGCGTGAGCTTGTTGTGCGATGCACGCCTCTTTACCAGTCCCGCAACCCAGACGCTTCTTCATTCAACCATCGACGTTACACAACAGGACCGTTTATCTTGGACCCTTGGCACCATTGGCACCCATCTTGTGACTAATCGGTCTGCTCCAACTCACTGTGACTATCTCGGAGTTCATCAAAATGGGTTTCCAGGCACAGCGCAGTTCATTGCGCAGTGCCATCAAAGCATCTATAGGCCGTACGCCAGACTACAGTCCAGCAGACAGTATGCAGACCGAGCTCAGTATACCGGATGGTCCATCGGTACACGCGCTCCATGGATCAACGGAGTGCATCCCACGATGACGCCGATCGCACAAGTATTGGTCCTTGAGTCTTTTGGTTAGGGTTCCTACTAGAGTGATGCCATCTCTCGGAAGGGCACAAACCTCTACAACCCGGAATGACTCGCCAGGACCATTCCTCACGGAAGACTTACCTGCGAAAGGAGAGACTGTAAGTAGACTAATTCTTCACTTGCGTCAGGCCAACTTGAAAGCTAACACCAAGTAGGAATCACGCCAGGGAGCGGAACCATGCGGCAGCATGGCATCAACGCAGAGAAGACCTATATGCCACACGGGTTCCTCGAGTTCAATGAGCAGCTCATCCTCGGCTACTTTGAGGGTTCGAAGATCAGCGTGAGCAGTCACCCAGCCTATTCCTCACAATTGCCTAGTCATCCTCATTCCTCATCTCCAACAGTACCAGATTCCTGGTGCACCGGTACGAGTTGGAGGTCCTAGCGATCGCCTGCGAGGTTTTGGCTGAAGAATACGACAGAGTCGACTGCGCTCCCTTGAGTAACCCTTTTCTGAGACCGTCTCCCTTTTCCGCGGGAAGAAGTTCACGCTGCAGCAGGGCAAGCAGGAGTGCATGAAGCCGGCCCCCGACAAGTACCCAACCCTGGACACTCTGTTTGGACTACAAGGTGTGACTGGGCTTGCAAGAAAGTAAACACGTGCCAAGGCTAGTACCCGTGTCGCCTCAGAGCATGACGGCTTCTGCTACGTCTGCCAGAAGTACTATGCCAGCTATGCCGTGGTGCGAGACCACAAGAGCCTGACACACGTCGGCCTCCAGTGCCACTGGGGCACTTGTGCCACCACTACCACTACCGAGGCCGATATGAAAACCCATATCATGCAGCATAACAATGATGCCGGAGCACCTTTACTTGTCCTTGGGCTCGTCTACGCTGCCCACTTCATCCACGTCCGAGCCACAACGTACGGAGCATTTGGCAGACAGTAACTCTACTTGGACACGAATCGCACGGAAGACATGGTCGACAAGGAGCTCCATCCCCTGATCCTTGGCACGCAGCCATCGCCCGCCGCGTCGTGCAAGGATACACAGGCCTTAAGTTGCTCTCATTCATTAAGGCTGGCATCATGGTCTTTCTGGCCTGCAGTTTTCGTAGATTTCCTGAATTTCCTACATTTCCTGGTGTTCTGTCAGATAATTTTTTCCAGATAGCAAAAAAACCCAAAAAACCCAAAATGATCATCAGTTGTTACTGCACTTCCTGTCAAATTCGCCTATGTGGATGTCTGGTATCAAACAAGCATTTCTGGTGAATTCTTGCCTCTGTTTCCCATCTACCTAAACCCCGTAATCCTCTTAAGCTACGGTGCCAAGGCGGACTCTGAAGCTTTGGCGTTGCCTCGGAAGCCGTGTTGCCATTCTGATTGTTCACTCTTTCGAGTATCTACGCACCACGCTTTCACCCAGGCTCCATGACTGCCCGCTAACTGTTCGGGTGCAAAAAGGGCAGTTGTCTGCCCAGATTATACACAAGATCACCCCTTGACGGCATTTCGCGCGTGTCATTCTGCAAAAAACAGTACCTAGGCGGCACCCAACATATGTAAGTACTCTGGTACCTCAGGCACAGGTCTGCCACTCGGGTAGATGACGCTAACCTTTCACGCCCCAACAGACGAAGCTGCATCACACTCCGCGCCCACCACTCCTTCTCGCATCGCGACATCCGTCCTCCCGTCGCCACGTCGACCTAGCCATGACGGACGAATGACTTGACGCCAGCGATCATCCCGCTGTCGGGCACCCCGATCCTATCACGACAGATGCAAGCCAGCAGCTTGATGCCTTCTGTGAGATTTCAAACCGTTCTGTATTGAAAGGAAAGAGAAGAAGATCTCTGGGGGAGAAGCCCCCATATGTACAGGTGTGCCATCAGGGTGACCAGATAATCATACGATAATGGCGCCAGGATCCTGGTGGCCTGAGGGTGGGCTGACTGCCCTGAAGCTAAACCCATTAGCGCATTCAGCCCCGAAAGCCTCAGCCTGGTATGATATCCAACACCTTCTCATTCCGAGCCCTGCAAGACACCTTGAAGGACACCCTCAAGGACAATACCCTGGAGCACACCCTTGAGCACACCCTCGATCACAGCCTCGATCACACCATCGACACCATCGACGATGCCATCGTTGAGACCAGTGACGGCGCAGCCGCTGCCGTGCGACATCCTGCTTCTATCCGAGTTGTCAACCAGCAGGTAGGCAGCCTACTTTGCACCCTGCCTCAAGAAATGCGCGACAAGATCTACGCCGGTGTTTTCGAGTCGACCATCCTCTCTTATGGCACATTCAACGGAGAATTCGGATATGCATTCAGACCGAAGCGGAATGCCCTGGCTCTCCTTCGTGTCTGTCGGCAAATCCAGATCGAGATCGGATCATCATGGATCAGCCAGGTCCTGTTCAATTACGAATCAATCGACCGGATGCTCCACAAACTCGGCCGCTTGAAATATGGAACGCGTACGATGATTCGCCATTTGCGTGTGCGCGGTGACTACATATACTGGCAAGAAAACAGTTTCCCCTACCATTGTTCCTTGCTCGTGGACACCATGAATTTGCTCGCAGGACTACGCCTCAATACGTTCACGGTACTCGCAGATGACGCCGGAACATAAGCCTGGTGCAACATAACTTCCCTGATGGAAAGGGGCATGGGTTGGAAGACATTGCATTTCATGACCTCTGACGGCGGCATGCTCAGTCCTTCCGCCAGAGGCAAAAAGTACAGCTTCCTCCCCGGCGTCTACGATCCACAACCATCAGGGTGGAAGAACGTGATGAACGAGCGAGACGGTCGAGACTCGGGCGCCTCCGTAGTGCTGTGCCGCTATCGTAGGAAGGCGCTATTCCGCCATCACACCCTTCTCGCGCCTATGCCCTTCGAAGTCATCGAACGTGAGATCAACTATGGATACGACGCGACTCAAGATCCCAGTCCGAATGAATGGGACGTGGAGCTCTTGATCACTGTCAAGCGCGGAAGAGACGCCGAGTACATGATACCGGAACCCGGAGACAAAACAAGATGTTCATACCCTAACGACATCATCCAAGATCAACTCTTTGATGACGACCCCGACTTTACATCAGTTTTTTTCTACGACCATCACCTTGATCGTTGGTACAAGGATTGACGGTCAAAAGATGATCCAGAGAGAGTGCCGGTCTCACCGAGGTATTTCCTGATTTTACTACCATCCTCTGCAGTCCAGAATAACTAAGTCGTGGTGATTGATACAGATTCCAACATTAAAGACTGACCTTTTAGCACCTCCGACGGCATCTGCGCAGGCGGTGAGCTGTGTTTCCTGCACACTAAACTGGCGAGTGGAGGGAGGCAATATAGTAGGGAGGAAGAAAAGCGTGCATCCAGACTACGTCGCAGACCAGGCCATCGCTGGTTTCTCGGCTGGTGTCTCGGCTGCGAGACCATGGAGGGGAGGCCAGGAGAACCTGTAACAAGTCCTCGACCGGGAAGGACAGTGTATCGTACGCCCCGAGCAAGGCGAGGAAATTCTCCATAGTCACGTTCGCAAGCTTTCCCAATAACAGTGTCATGATTAATTGTTTACGTTTTACTCATGTGCTGCTGTATTCAATGAGTGTACGTATTTATGCAGCACGCTCTCGCTTTCGCGGCGGATACGCGGTTCGAGCTGGTTTTGCGTTGCGTCGATTCCCTCGGTTGACATATGAACCCAGGCTCAGACCGCCTCTGCTATATTCATCTGATTACCGACTGCTTGCCCTTGTGATTCTCGGTATATTAGTGAGCTTGGGCACCTCGTATTTGTCGTGAACCTCTTCCGTAGAGAAGGTTGTATGCTCTTATGGCCATGCTAACCCTAACCCTAACCCTAATCTCAAGTCTCCTCATTCTCGACACAAGTCCGTTTAGGCTTCCAGTGCTCTTCATCCTAGTTCCCTTCGGATGTTATCTAGTTGTCAGCCGTCTACACCCGGTACCGCCTATGACACATCCCCAGTCCGTTGCTTGCCTCTTTCTCGTACCTCTGTCATGGCATAGTTGCAACAAGCGGTATACAACACGAAATCTTATATTGCTCGCCGAGAAGCATGGATCCTTGGTTCTTATCGGTCCAGAGGACTTGATGACCGGGCAGCGACCCCGAGTTCATCCGTCGCCTGTCAAACACAGATAGCACCTACTGTTCTTTAACTGGGCTTACGTTTGGGTATACCCGTATGGGTGGCGGGATTTGCTGGGATGGGGATGTGCGTCTATGAAGCTTAATAGCCCGATCTTCGAGATTTCAGTAATTACCCTAAGTTTCGAGGGCCTGGAGACGGGAGATCCATGCGCTCGTGTTGGGGAATGGGGTACGGCTAACTCTGGTTGCAGTTGTTCCAGGAATTCGACTTCCTGGTCGCAATACCCCCTGACAACCATGGTGGCCGAGAGGAGTACGCTTTTTGTAGATAGGGAGTTATTTTTCAGGCTCAAAAGTTGTACCATGACAGTTTGAGCATTCTAGTATGCTATCTGAGGCAGTAAGATGCTCGTTCGCACACACGACGTACGCGCCTTTTGGACGTGGTGTGGCTCGTGCAGGCCATCCGTGAAATATAATGCACGTAAAGAATAGTAAGAGAAACCACGATTATCCAAGTGTAAGCCTAAAAAACGGATACAGTTTGTAAATGAATGGGTTTCCTCCTAGCGCCCAAATGTAGAGGCAATACAGCACGGAAAGGTAGGTGCTGGGCCGAAATAGGGGTATAGTTGTGTTGGTGGCGAACAACCTTAACTCCAATGCACTCCATGAACCACGCGAATTTGACGAATTTGACGAACTCCGAGCTGGAAAATTCATACTCCTCCTTCCAATCATCTTGGGGTTTGGTGTGCACTTAAGCGTTGAATCGATGCAGCAATCCCAGAGCCAGGCCTGCCTTCGTAGACGTGCTTTCGTGTCACTCGATGTTGTGAGCATCAGTTCGGTGCTCAGATGGTTTTACTGTATTCGACGATGGTGATCGTCTGGGCCGAAAATATGTTGGCCATGGTGCCTCCGTAAGAGTTCCTGGGTTAGGGAAGGCGCCTTGTGATGGCGTCCAGTTCAGCGGCGACCCTCTCCCGGTGAGCCGCCTGGATGTTTGTGGGCCCGCGACTCGAGGGACGAGGCGTGCTGTCGGGTCCGCTGATGAACGTCTCTATACGATGATGCTGTAGACACTGCTGATTCCTGATGTTGCCGTGAGGCGGATGATTAACATTGCCATTCAGCGTCGGCGGCGCGTCACTGTCATAAAGCTTTCAGTAGTGATCCGGCGGTGCAGGCAGAACCCCTGGTGTATAGACTCACCTATTGTGGCCAGCCTGGTTTGTAGCCGAAGGCATAGCGTACCGACCTTGCAGACAGTATTCGTGTAGCTGCTTGACGAAATGCAAGGCTTCGGGAGATCGGGTTGAGAGTGCGAGATACTCGGTTCGTACGACGGTGGTGAAAGATCTTGTGCAACTTAGGAGAAGCTCACAGTGTCATCACAGAAAAACACCTGGTGGCAGACTGTGAATATGACTATATATACGGATTCAAGCTAGGGAACCGCTACAGTCCGTCAACGTTGCAGAGCCGCATGAAGACTACCCGCACACTGATTGTGGTGATGCTGGCTTCCCATGCGAGTGGCCCTGTCATGCTCAATGACTAGCCTGTCGGGTTTATCCAGCAAATCCATCCTCACGGTGTGCCTTGCCGGGGACCCAGGGTCCTGCAGATGGCAGTGGCTCGGGGAACGCACCGGCAGCTTGCATGGGACCTCTTCACATGAGTGGCTGCTGAGCCTTCGAGGATCCGGGGTAGACCGCAATCCGAAGAACCGGCATCGAGAAACCGCTATTGATGAACCGTGGCTGTTGTGGGATAGCTAGCATGCATCATGCCGCATGCCGATGACCCAATCGAGTGAAGAGTGGCGGCGGTGCTTGTGGAGAGATGACTTACCTGAATGGCACTCGCCATGCCCATCAATGACACCGATTGCCAGCGAGCGCAACAGGAACGCGAAAGGAAAACCACGAAGACGCTTCAGCTAATCGACAGAGGTCGAGATGGCTCTTAGGGACCATCGATGAAGGGTTGGTTACCTAGGCAGGTGAATGTTCCATTCCGTAGACGGGCTAAACGCCAGCGGGTTTGGTGGACTGGCCGGTTTTGTTTCTTCGCTCAATGGGGGTATGTACTCGCGCCTCCCCATCGGAGTATATGGGCAAGTCGCCTAGGACAGGATATGGAGCCTGTCGGGTTGACTGCCATTGTTGGCTGCTTCGGATATCGGATGTGGTCCTCCCTGTGGGCAGACTTTTGCTCAGCGCCCGACAGGGGGAAATCGCCCCTTTCCCCGCAGAGTACTCATATGCATAATAGAAACCATAAACACCACAGCCTCCTCTAGACTGTGGCTAGCGGTCGTCTGTTGGTCCACTTGGTGGTGAGACGGGCTTCGGTATGTCAAGTGGTCTGAGGCGTACAAAGCCAGACCGGTCCAGCGAAGAGCCACTTCCCGCGCGTTCTCATCCAAGCTGCAGAAAGTCGCCCGGCTTCTGTGGTATGCGTGTTGTCGACGGCGGCTATTCAACATAGACTTGAGGGCTAGGCAGCCAAGGCAACTCTCGCTTGAGAGGCAGCGTTGCTGCAGTCCGACCGTAGCAGGCAGTGGCAGCCGAGATAGCGGTCTGAGGTGGCGTTGGTGGTGCAGAGCCGGCATGAGGTGCAACGTGCCTCCCTTGGTTCTTGGTTCGCTGGAGCCTGGAAGTAGGCTGCTCAATGCACCTCATTCATCATGCTGCAGGTGTGTGCTGTCACAGGCAGCAGCACGCCTTTGTCCGACCGACCACCATGAGAGAATGCCGACATCGCCGACGAATGGGGGGTCGGGTATTGGATCGTATGGGAAGGTCGTCATCATCTCGGATGAAGGGTCGCCGACAGTTCCCAGGTATAATCACGTGAGATTGTCTTGTTGGTAGTTCGTGTGACGGCTGCGGGCGGCGAGTTCCTGTGACACAATGAGCATAAGGGGATAGATCCTCGCTCCTGCCTGGCCTTCTTCTGGTGTGGACAGGGGGGCGGATGAGTAAGCAGCACCTGAACCGGTGAGCCAGGACGGCCGACCAGGTCGTAAAACCAGGAGGTCAGGACTGGTAGATAGAAAGGGCGAAGTCCGTAGAGATGGAGTTGGGTCGCCCAGAGTTTATATCTATGTTCAAAGCAGCTCGGGTACCGGGCGAGGATGTTGTCAAACACCAGCGTCATAAGATCTTGCACGAGAGTCTCACCGGTCCCTTACATGTTCGATATTTGACCAATCATGCACGGGATGAGGCTCACCGGTCCCATAGAAGCATACAGCCCCCACAAGACGCACGCCGAGAAGCCTCACTGGCGAGTAATGATTTGCGAAGGAAAGATGCAGGATTCGGTCGAGGGCGTGGGGGTGGATAAGCGCATTGCCCTGTACGGATACGAGCCCTTGTCCTGGCAAGTCGGCTGCGATAGTCTGTCATATATGACAGGACAGTACGCAGGTTATTGACTAGACACAGGGTTGCATTGAGCACCGGTAGCGTTCAAGTGACAAGGTGGGGACACACAGACCTTTCGGGGGGATATAGCGGCCCTTGAAGGCTGTGATTATCGAGACGGTGGGTTGAGAAGCAGCGGGACGACGGACTGAGAGGCAACGAGATGAGTCGTATAGCAGCAACTCCGTAAATACATGCGGATCCTTCTCACTGCAAAGCCCTAGCACTGACCAAGGGCACCGAAAGCAATAATTACCCCCGTATACCTATATGCTTGGACACGTTTTACCCACGGATACTCTGCACATAAGATAGAAGATGGTGCAAGTCCAAAGCCCACCAGCTTCTCCTTCCGCAGACAACGGTATCATACTAGAGCTTGAACTGGAGCAGGCGGGGGCATAGACGGGGAGGCCTGTATCGTAAAGCAGTTCAAGTTCGTATCAGACCGGGTAACCAGATAGTATCCCGGTCATCAGGACTTCACGGGTGGCTATCACCCAGATCTAGATGCTTTGTGAATATGACAGCTAGTTTCCTGTAAGGGGTATTCACAAGCTTGAGGCCTTTGCGTCGGTTACATACCAGGGACTGGTAGCTTAAAGGCATGCTGCTCGGATCTGTTGTCATAACATCACAGAACCGACAACACAATCAGGAATATTCATCAATGTATACTCACATCAGCAAAGAAAACAGGAGGGGTCTTGAAGACCTTCAGAGGCACAAGAGATCTCTTGACCCCATGAGTGAAGAACAACAAAGCCTGGCAGAAGTCTTCTTTCCTGAGAGATCATTCTCACTCCCGTCCCGCTGCCTCCCCCTATCCGACATGACACAAGCGATCGGAAATGCGCTGGCATCAAACGACTTCCCAGTGGCAAGGGTGATCACCCCAGCGTCTCCCAGCTTAGCCATTGCCTTCAGGGTAAACATTCAGCGATTTTTGGTGGGTCTAAGAATGCTGAGAGGCCGTCTACATTGACTGAGGGCGTGTCTTTTCTTAGGGTTAGGGTTAGGGTTAGGGTTAAGGGGTCACTGAGAGCTAGAGCTCGGGTGTACAAGGCAGCTCGCCACAGACATTAACAGTCGTATGACGAGCGCAATTATAGTTACTACATTACTGGTGCTTCTCCTGGTCCTCTTTAATCCCCTGCATCACCCAGTTCGAATGGTGCTTCGCATACTCCTCCTCTCCCTCCTTCGTCTTCATCGCCTCCTTCATCTCGAACTTATCCGGCACATTGACGCCCCTTTCCACAGCTGGCCGCTTCTGGATCACTCCCAACCATTTCTTCACCTCGGGAAAGGGGTCAATAGGCACGCCAGCCCACTCGGCCCAGTTCACCCACGAAAAGCAGCAAAGATCAGCGATCGTGTACTTGCCACCGGCCAACCACAGCCCCTGTCCGGCGTCGTTTTGGTACTTGAGACGATCGTTGAGGACCTGGTATAGACGTTTGGATTCGGACTGGTACCTGTTGATGGCATAGTCTATCTTGGTCGGGGCGTAGCGGTAGAAGTGGTTTGCCTGGCCTTGCATGGGACCGATACCTAATTGCATCCAGGTGAGCCAGGACAGCATCTCCCAGTACTCGTCGCTGTTGTAGGGGAATGAGATGCTGTGGTCCTTGTCGTACTTCTCGCAGAGGTAGAGCTGGATTGAGGCTCCTTCGAAGACTCGGAGGGATTTGCCTGAGGTCTTGTCTACGATGGCTGGGATACGGCCGTTGGCTAATAAAGCTCATATATGTCAGCTACAAATGTAGGGGAGAAGGTAAGTGGAAGTGGAAGTGGCGTAGAGCACAGCACGGACGGTTGATCTTCAGGAACCATTCTTCCTTTTGCACATTCTTGGCGATGTCGATCTTGTGGACGTTGTATTTGACACCCAACTCTTCGAGTGTACAGCTGATCTTCTGGCCGTTGGGCGTGCCGGCCGTGTACCTGTGCAGTGCAGAAAGCGTTAGCTTTGGGATGGCAGCCGGGAAGGGTAGTATAACGCAGCGCAACGCACAGGTCTATCTTCGCCTCTTCAGCCATTGTCTCTCTCGATGCAACGGTCTATGTTGTTGGCTGTTCGATGGTCAAGTGTTTACAATGATGATCTCGAATAGAAAGACCGCAGACTTTCAATGGAATGGTTGAGTTCGAGACTATCCTTGACGTCATATTGACGGGACTGTACAGTAACTATGCGTGCTCTTCCGGCAAGCCCGTGTCCCTACCATATGATCTCAGCATATTGAAGAGATCTCCAGGAGCTGGTTTACACCACAGGACACGATGGTCAGTATTTCAACACGCATGAGAAAGAATAGGACAATAGATCTGTATGATGATGGCAAGCCTTCATCAACGCCTATCGACATCTATCGAACCGGAGATATATCCGCCAAAAGGACCTTGCGACCCTCCTTGTCCTCATCATCTCGGATTCGCCCCATACAAGTCGTTAGTGTCGTAGTCTAAAGTAAATGTTTACATAGATACCTGCCTAGGAGGAGGTGGTTAAGGGGCAATCCCCAGACCCCGATTGGTGCAAGTAATCGCACTCCCGGACTTGGAGCTACCTACCCCGCAGGCCCACCATTACGGAAGGACATATGACATCTGGAACACGGGCATCACATATTCAAGACCCAGTCAAGAGAAGACGTCATCACAAGCTTAAAGCTCACTTCTAGCAGCACCCATGCGATTTGTCTCTAGAGTGGTCTCTAGAGTGATAGCTCCAGCGGGCCGTACAGTTCTCCCGAACTCAAAGCAGATCCCGACACGACAACGTCGAGCATACTCCAACATGCTGCAAGGCTGCGCACTGAAGAACTCGTTCGCGAGGGATGAGGGAGCTAGCATGGGCCTCTGGCAGACGCTGCCCGGCTCGAACGTCTCGAGGATCCTGGCGCGGGCCGGGGTGGACTGGGTCATGGTGGACTGCGAGCATGGCAATATCGATGGTATGAGAGCGACTTCGCCGTGCATAGAATCGGCACGTTGTCGAGATGTAGTACATGTCACTTTGGACGGCTGATACGTCGAGCAGATGCTGCCATGCACGAGGCGGTCCCGGCTATCGCGAGTTGCGGGGTGAGCCCTCTTGTGAGGATTCCGGATATGCAAGGTTGGATGATCAAGCGTGAGTGTTACATGTTTTGCAGCGATGAAGGAAGGCTAACGGCTGATGAAGGTGCACTCGACGCCGGAGCACATGGAGTAAGTGAATTTGATGAATGGTTGAAACATATCTCTGACCATTCAGATATTGATCCCTCTACTGCGGTCCGCTGAAGAGGCCAAGAAGATCGTGGCCGCAGCCAAGTTTCCACCACAGGGCCAACGCGGCCTTGGTTCTCCCTTCGCCATGGAGCGCTTCAACCCCATCCCGACGATGACCGAGTATCTGCAACAGGCCAACGAGTCCCTCCTAACCATGGTGCAGATCGAGACGCAGGAGGCATTGGATGCAGTCGACAAGATCGCCGCTGTTCCGGGCATTGATGTCCTGTTTGTGGGACCATTCGACCTGGGGAATAACATTGGGCATCCCATCTTAGACGGCGTTATGAAGCCAGAGCTCGAGCAAGCCGTCGACCGTGTGCTCGCGGCTACCACCAAAGCCGGCAAGAAGTGTGGCTTCTTCGCCAGCAGCCCGCAGCAAGTGAAGAAGTACGCAGACAAAGGCTTCCACATGATCTCTGCCGCTCTCGACAGCACGGTGCTTCAGGCGACGCTGGCTCAGTCGTTGAGTGCTGCCCGTGGCCAAGCAGCGCCTCAAAGCGGAGGGCGCTATTAGCATTCTACAGTCAATAGGAATCATTGCCGCTTCAGTCGTCCCGTCCAAATGTGGCTGGCTGGGTCTCATGACTTCTCGACAGCGTCCATCTTTGCTTTCACTTGCTCTGCCGTGAACCGGTGCATGATCCTGGCCGCCTTGGAGACGGACTGGGGATGTTCCTCGGGTGCCGACGACTTGCTGATGTGGATCTGTCACGCGTTTTCTTAGTACATGTGCCTGTCGAGTCCGTCTCCTCTTATGGCTTCACGCAGGTTTGGCGGGCTGATGAGCTTCTGCTAGATGACTTCTAGAAGGCATCTAGAAAGCAGGCGGGGGAGCGTTGTGTACACCATAGTCTACATACCACAGGCACATCGAACTCATACAGATCCCTCCACGGCGGCATCGTATCCGATTTGATGATGTCGACCTCTTTGAACTGAAAAGGTCGCGAGTCCCAGACTTCCGACAAGACCGATCTGGCTTCAGTACACAGACCGCAATTCGCACGCGTGAAGAGTGTGATTCTGCAAGCTTGGAGTAGCCTGGATGTAGGCCGCATCGTGGTCGATGATCAAGATGAAAGGCAGAAGGTCAGGACGGCCAGCCCAGGTACACATTCAAGGGTAAGAAAACAAGAGTATAAATCTTTTCGACCCTAGAATTGGTGTGTGCCTTATAAACGAGATGAAGCTTCTGGAAATGAGTTGCCCATACGGAAAAGGGGGAAGGGCAGACTTGGATGGTGGTCTGGTGGTCTGGTGGTCTGATGCAAATCTCGAGGGAGATCGACAGTCGCACAATACCAGAACAGACTTCGGACAACCCCTGTCGATATCCCTGTAGATACCCCACGTCGTGCCGATGGCGCCGGATCGCTGACATTCTTCCAAAGGGCAGGCGGTGAAAGAATCCCCCACCAAGAGACATGCCTTAACTTCTTCACCATCAGCTTACTCGAAGGCACAAAGCAATTCAGCCGCCAACAAGATATTTGCTAGTACCGTCCAAAACGACATCACCCGAAGTCAATTGACTCGACATCGAATCACATCTCACCTCACTTATCTCGCGTGCCCAGCATGGCCCAGAAATGTGTTCATCAGGGCTGCGGCAAGACGTACACGGACCCGGACGAGGTCTGCAAGTACCACCCGGGCCCTCCAGTCTTCCACGAGGGCCAGAAGGGTGAGTGACCTGTCATAGGGTTCGCGCACCGTTTGTTGACTCTCGTTACGCAGGCTGGAAGTGCTGCAAACCGAGAGTCCTGACCTTTGACGAGTTCCTCGAGGTCGAGCCCTGCACCAAGGGCAAACACAGCACCACCGACCTGCCCCCCAAGATCGAGAAGAAAGAAGAGGACGCCGACGTAAATCCCACATCACAGTCCCTCACCTCCAAGCTATCTGAAGCGGCTCCTCCGCCGGCAGCTGCACCCGCTCGCACACCTCTGGCGCCCCAACCAGCACCCACCGCCCCTCCACCTCCACCCGAATCCGAAGATGACGAGCCATCAGTTGAAATCCCCGACGGCAAGGTCTGCAGGCGAAAAGGCTGCAATGCGGCATACAAGAAGGGGCAGACGCGGTCCGACGACGAGAAGTGCATCCACCATCCCGGCGCGCCCATCTTCCACGAGGGCAGCAAGGGCTACAGCTGCTGCAAGCGACGGGTGCTAGAGTTCGACCAATTCATGAAGCTTGAGGGGTGCAAGACTTCGCCGCGCCACCTCTTCATCGGTTCGGGACAAGACAAGAGCAAGAACACAGCCGCGGGAGGAGGAGGCGCCTCCGCAGACGGCAGCAGCAGCGGCGAGGAACTCCTCGACACGGTGCGCCACGACTTCTACCAGACGCCCTCGACGGTCATCGTATCCTTCTTCCTAAAGAAAATCGACAAAACCAAGGCGACCATCAAGTTCGCGCCGCAGACGCTGGAGCTGGACTTGCTGACCAGCGATGCGCCGCAGTACAAGCGCTACAAGACCAGCGTGCCCCTGTTCGGCACGATCGACACCGAGAAATCGACGTACCGGATCCTCGGCACCAAGCTCGAGGTCAGTCTGTACAAGGCGGACGGTGCGAGCTGGCCGGTGCTGCGCTCGGACGAGCAGAGGTCCGGCGAGATATACCAGGTTGGGAAGGCGGGACGGGTTTAAGGGGTTCACTACACAGATCTACGATCCCCTTCTCATGCGGGCATCTACCTATACCGAAGGCCAGAACGAGCCCTGGGAGTCAATGGATATCACAAGAGGCTATAGAAGTGTGCCTCAGTTACCCTTGGCGGGATATCTCGTAGGCTACACCTCGGATGCCACCCCCATGTATAGAACCACACTCTGGCACTTGCAGGTAAACGGTAAACCCTACCAGCACATCTGGATACGACGAGTGGTATGGCACAGAGCAGCTCGGTCTGGGTTAAGCCAGCTCGCTACACATTAGTCACCAGGGAGTACAAGAACAAGAAAGGGCCCGGTCTGGGCGGCCTTGGTAAAACAGCCAAGACTTGGGTCACTTGCGTGCTTGTATGTATGTATGTATGACACGTCATGGCAAACTCCGACTTGCTGGTACTACCAGGTTACGTTACTTACGTAGAGGATAGTTGCTTGTTTGCTAAGCTTGGCAAGATAAACTCCACAGGGCTCTTCCCGTAATGCTTCTCTCGCTCCCGGGTTCCAGCCACGGGATCTGGAAGGGGACGAATTTTATGTCTGCTGCTTACCTTACTTTGCATTGAACGAAAGCCACGTTTCCAAGGCCTCGAGGTACGTTGTTTGTCTGACAGGTGCCAATGAATGAATGAATGGCGATAGCTACCTACTCGCCTCCTTTGCCTGTTCTTACCTACCTTGTGGGCTGGGTGTACCGTGTCACAGTTACACGGACGGACACATGACGGACTGTGCACAGCCCCGATGCAATGCGCCATGCCCAGATTGATCGGCGCCGGGATCAGAGATCGCCTGCATGCAACACTGCCACGCATGCATGGTTTGCCATGTGCGTGCCCGTGACCTTGAGAATTCATGTGCGTCTCTGTACCTTGGCCAAAAACGAAAGACATTCGATAGAACTGGGGGTTTCGTTTCCCGAGGATCTTTCTCTGAAGAGGTCATGTCCACATGCGGTATCTCAATATTCACCAATGGGCCACCAGAGTTCGTCACTGTGTTGTTTCCAGTAGATAGATGTAACCTAGATCCTCAGCTCTATGATTGCTATGTTCCGCGATATATGTTCTTCTTCTAGGCTATGTCCTGGTTGCGGGGGAAAAAAAAAAGCAGATATTCTGGATCGGCCTGCATGTGCGGCGACGAAAACCAGTGTGGTATATATTGCCTAACTCCTCGTGACCTCGTCTAATTCTCATGTGTATCCAATGCCATCCAACATCGTCGTTCTATCATCATTAATGACAAGCCACCAAACAGTATTTAACTCGTTCTCTGGTCGACTGGAAGTGAAACGGCAAGTGGCTTCCCTGCTTGTATATTGCAACGACAATCGCTTCGTTGAATGAGGACGTCGAATAACCTCCGCTTGTGTAATGATGCTCCAACACCAAAAGAAAAACCACACAGGGAACCAAAAACGCTCAAGAATAAGGCGCAAGTATTCAAGACCTCCTGCTGGGGCCCGCGGCTCCAGATGCCAACGGTGCAGCAGTTGGCCCACCTTCGGGTTGAAATGCTTTCAATTGGACGACCGCCCTGCCGTCTGACATGCCGACGAAAGAGGGCCATGCCTTCACGCGTTCGTCGTCGCCCACATCTAGAGTGAAGTACATGGACCGACCCTGCTCGGCAATGCTGTCGTCGCGCATGCGTTGCTCGGTCTCTTCCCGGTCGGGTTTGATGCTAGTACTATGATGGTAAGGGTCAGCATAAGTTGCCATGACGAGGGGTTCCAGCAAAGAAAGGAGGCCTTAAAGAAGGGGCATAACGTACTCCGAAGAAGAAGTGGCCACGTCTTTCTCGCTGAGAGCGCCGCTGCGAGAGGCTCGTCTCGTGCTGCGGCGGGCTTTAGCCTTCTTATAGAACATTTCGAGCGTCAACGAGATCACATGGCCGAACCCGGCAACGACCAGCACAGGGGTACCCAGTGCAAGGGCCCAAAGTCTGGATAGAGAGTGTCAGTTACTGCTGATGGAGTACATCGCTGCGGCAATGTAGTGTACTCACGGGTGTTTAACGTCGCAGAGATGATGCCACAACGCGAGGACGATGCCCAGGATGGCGATCTCGGATCCCAACTGTAGCATCGTCCACGTTGACCAATATAACGACATGAGGTCCTCTCCGTCGCAGAATTGCAAGGCCAGCAATGCGTAAACTTCCATTACCAGAAGGACGGCAGCAACCAGGAACAACGTTGACGAGCACCCCAACGAGACCTTGAGCTTCCTCCTGAATTTCTCTTCGGAATAATTCGGCGTCTCTCGGTAGGTCATTGTCCTACGCGAGCCATTATTAATAAATAATGCTGCGTGGGAGAAGAATGGGGCTTACCATTGGTAGATCCACGATGCTAGAAAAAGGGTGCCGATGACCAGGAGGAAAAGTACCCAGTACATAACATCGAAATGGAATCTTGTGAGATGCGATGTAAACGCGGCGTAGTGCCGACACCTCACATCATCGTACGGGGTGAACTGTCCACCCATATTGTTATCTTATGATGTTGGTATCAACTGGTCTGAGGGAGTTCGAAACAGACAACGGGCGCGGTTGAGAGAATCGTGAGAACTCGACGGAATGAAGCACTGCACAATGCAGTAGTGAGTGACGATGATTCGTAGATGTATGTCGGGACGATTGTATAGACGCCCCGGTTAAACGTCGTTTGGAAGCAGTTGCTGATAGGGCAACGTTGGAGAGATTGTAACAAAGATCTAGATAAGGTATGGACTGGTGCAAATAAACGTGGGAGTGGCTTTGATATAGACAGACATAGAGAGCATCAGCCAAGCGACTCCCGTACTTGGGTGGAACTCTACTGTTAGCTGATTCCGGGCATCCTCCTGACCTTGTCTAGGGGCACTGGTGTGGCACTGCTAGATGCCTTGATACGGCCAAGAGGTACCAACGGAGTGCGGATAGTAGCATGGTAAGATTGTTTGCGGGTAAGCAATGCTTACTTTCCCGATCCTCTTTCCTCCTGCCCCTCCACCTGCTTCAGTGACTATACATGTCTTAGAGGATCGGCTTGTCGTTACTTGGCAACTGCGCTGGTGTAAGACGAGCAGTGTCCATCAGCCCTTGGCGACTACGGGCTTATCCACAACAATACTCACCAATGCCGACACGGATCTGGCTTGGCAAGCCATGCCGGACCTAAAGCGCCTCTAACAGTGTCCGTGAGGGGGCGTGGGGCAGACTATGGGCGGGCATAGGGTGCCTGTCCATCGTGGCAGAGAGGGCGTTTGAACTTTGGAGGCTTCGGCTTGGCTTGGCTTGGCTACTCCATGCCCTCCATTAGCTCGGTCCGGTCCAGCACCATCCCTTTCTGACCAATGTACTCGCGCAGGGCATCCCATTCAGGCCCTTCCTCCTCGCCTTGGCGCCATTTCTCTTTGAACCCCCATGCACAGGCTATCTTGTCGAATGCAGCCCTCTCTTCTTCCCTGATCCAGCGCTTGCGTAGGGGCACACCCGGAGCCCAAGTAACCCGCTTCATCTGGTCGTTGGCCGTCGTCAGCGCAACAAAGCCGATCGAGGCTGTGAAGCCCACGTATGCGACGATGCCGGCAAATGCCACATTGGTCGCATACGCAGTATCCATGGCCTGTTGTACACCGGAGAAGGATTTGGCCAACCCGTAGGCGGCTAAAGGCGTTGCTGCAAACGCTCCCAACGGAAGTAAAGCCTGGCGGGTGAGCTTGTTTCGCACAAACGCTTTGGTGGTATAGGTATTCTCGATGATGCCGACTGCGGCGTCAAGGTGCTTTGCTTCGATGGCAGTGTCGAGGGCCGCCTTGGAAACCTTTGAATCGATCGCATTTGCGATCTTGTTGGGGTTCTGCTTCACGTACTTTGGGGGCCGCACGCCCTCGATGGGCATTGGCTTCGAAGCATACAGTTGAAACATCCTGGGCAGTGTCTCCGGCTTGCCCAGGCGGGCTTGTACGCCGACATACTGCTCCAGAAGGCTTGGCGTGATAAACACAGGCTGGTGGGCCAGGACGGTATAAGCGGTATCTGATATCTTGTCGATCATCTGCTGGAGTTGCGTGGATATCCTTGTGCCAGCCGTTTCCGACGACGTGGAAGCTTGGGATGGTTTGGTAGCATCCAATGAAAGAAGAGTCGAGGCTGTCGAATCCAGTTCGCTCACCATGTGAGCGATCTGGGGTTGGACTGAATCGTCCATGATGTAGTCAGCCAAGATGCGACACGCTCGAAGAGCTGCGCTCACGTCGGCTTCTGGTGGGATGTCCCTGTTGGTCAGGACCCGATCGCTGCTCCTCTCGAGGAAGGTAATCATGTTTGTAATGGACGATAGTTCACGGCCTGCCGTGGGCGGCGTCCGAGCAGCTGCATGGCTACGGTCCTCACCCGTGTTCCCAATATCGTTCCTCTCGGTCGAAGTAGTCCCAGACGGCAGCACCGCCGACGATAAAAGACGCCTGCCTACGAGCTTCCGCGTCATGACATCTTGTCGCGTCCGGCCCTGTAGTGTATAGACGTTCCGCGCGGTAAAGATTGGCTTGGCGGATCGGACGCGTTGGGCTGAGAGTGAATCGCAGATTTGGCAGACGGACGGCGGTCGCGCGATGGCAACGGGTCGCGGCATCGCGTTCAGGAATCGCAAGGACCACAAAAGGTTCGGCTGCGTGAAAGGCACAGTAGGCTGATCGTGCGACAGATTCGCGAGGACTGTACTGTTGGGTAATTGGAAGTGGTTTCTCTTCGTATGGGGAGTGTTGGATTGAAGCTTGCCAATCAATGAAAATCGATTGAGGCTCAAATGCCAAGCCAGGGTCGCGCCTTAACTGGGCCATTATAGGGGGCTGCCTGCCATCCAGACCACCGTGCTGGAACAAAAACCCCATTGATGAATGAGTCTGTTTATTGCATGATTCTACGGTTTACTACATAACAGCACATGCTTGTGGCTCCTCAACCCATTTTCCAGCCACAATGGTGGATGGGTCATGAACCAGGATACATGGTACCTTGGAGCCCAACTGGTACCCGTTTGTACCTGATTTATACCCAACTGAGATGATAGCTACTTACTAGCCAATAGTTTCCCCCTTTTCTTTCGTTCTTTCCTGTCTTTAGGCACTTGCAGTCACGACCTTCTCTACGGCCAGCACTGGCATTTGCAGGTGTATACACGAAAGCTTCAAAGACTCTCACGTACTCATCAACCTAAGGCATCAAACATAAGTACGTCTAGCATGTTCACCAGCAGGGAATGCCAGTACTTTGAATAATACTAGTGAGAATCTGTCGAAGATAGGACTGAGGTAGATATGAGGGGTGTGTATAGTAAAGTAACCAACTAATCTCAGTAAACCCACGTTAAGGTTCTGTCTAGATCGATCTACAACGCATCTCTAAGGGACCCTGGATTACCGACATACCAAAAGGGTATACTCTCTTCCACCACATCTGCTATCATGCAGTGAAGCTAGTTCAATAATCTGTTCCAACCCCGACCCGGGGCAGTGACCATGGTGCGGGGGACATTCCCATTGCCATCCGTGGCTCGTCGGAAGCTCACGTCACCGAGACCACTGTCGGGCATCCATTACCGACGTGTTCAGGATCATGGACCCGTTACTCTATCACAGCAGGCTGAGTACGGCCAAGTCAGCCCGTCTCGTGCCAAGGCTGGGCGTCGCACATCGATATGAACACAGCCTCAAACAGCCTTGATAAGCTAGGCGCCGCAGTAAAAGTCCATCAGGCAGTATGACGTTGAGCATTGCGTGCTGATGTCACAAGTGGGTGACTTCAGGTCCAGTACCTAGGTCTGGCACTCCATGCCTGCCTCTGCCCGGCTTGCTTTCTCTGCGGTGGTTTCAACATCGAGGACACCAGAGTCAAGTACACGGTACAATGTCGAGTCCTATTTCCTTCCCGCTCATCTCGGCAGCTTCATTATCAAGCTTGTAGATCTCCAAATGCCGGAACGATCCCGACCCTGAATCTAGCGGTCCGCATGCAGAACTAAAGGTCTAATCCACGACTGCCGGGAGCAACTAATGGAGCCAAGATGATCGAACTGCTTGGCCAATCTTATTGGCGTTGGGCTGTGTATTATAGCTTGTTCGTCAACAGAAGGTGGTCTAAGGATTCCCGACTCCATAGATAAGAAGCAGTAGGTATCAAGATGCTATGGTAAGGATGTTAGGGTTGAGCTTGGTACTCGGTTCGATTAATAATTTGCATTGGAATAAGCAGGGGTCTGGTGTTTATTCTAATCAATGGCCCCTGGCATAACTGCTCATGCCGGCTGCCCGTGCAAATTTATGTCCCAACCACTTGCTTGGGACCCCTTCTCTAAGGTACAGGCTTGATGTCTTATGGTGGCGTATTCGAAGTGCCTCTCGACATCTGGGAAACTGCAAGATCGTCTGATGAATATGACAACTTGTGCCAGAAGTTATCCAGCCTACATAATTACGTCAGGTTGGGCTTGAGGTGGTTTCTGTCTGACAGGTAAGCAACTTTGGTTGAAACATGAAGTCTCTTCCTTGGAGCATCCAGGTTATGTGCGACAGGACCTCATGCTCAAAACCTGTCGGTGGAAGACGGCACGGGGCTGGTTGAGGTTGCTGTGCGGTGACATGACAATGGAAACTCGATCATGTGGGTGATCGTGCGCCACACCGCACCGGTCAGTATTTACTATTGAGGCTTCCTCCTTCCAGGGCATCGTGTTACACTACCTATAGGTACTCCATTTGATGTCGTACCTGCCGCAGAGGGCTGGGATACCAAACAATACAATGGCATGTGAAAGTTAAAATGGCAGCTGCGATTACATACGGATGAGGTCACCGGACCTCAACCTCCGCCTCAACTACATCGTAGGTAAGGTACCTAACAAACACGTTCCAGTTGGCAAAACAATCCAACTCAGCTGAGTCGACTCATCCTCCCAGCCAATTCGACTCATCACACCCATCCAAGTCAAGCCATCACGCAATCCGTCAAGCTGAAGATCCAGAATGATGTCGGAGATTCACGATTTCGATCCCAGCATTCCCCAGCCGGAAGTCGAACGACTGTTCCGCAAGCTCAAGGACACCCGAATCCCTGACAAGCCAGTAGTTCCAGACGCCGGCGATGAGTACGGGCCTCCGCTGGAATGGGTGCACAAGCTGTACAACTACTGGAGCAATGACTTCGACTGGGCCGCGGCACAGAAGAAGATCTCGTCCTGGAAGCACCACACCACCGAGATCGCGGGCATCAAAGTCCACTTCGTGCACCAGCCCGCGAAGCGCAACGCCGACAAGGCCATCCCGCTTCTGCTCGTGCACGGCTGGCCGGGCAGCTGGTTCGAGTTCTCGCGCTGCATCGACGCGCTGAGCAACCCGGAAGACGAGGAGGAGCAGGCGTTCGACGTCGTCGTGGCGTCGATTCCGGGCTTCACCTGGTCGTCTGCCCCGCCTCACGACTGGACTCTTCAAGATACGGCAAGAATCTTCGACACGGTCATGCTGCGGCTGGGCTACAAGCATTACGCGGCTCATGGCGGCGACTGGGGCCATTGGATCGTGCGCGAGCTGGGCACCCACTACAACTATCGCTGCAAGGCAATCCACACCAACATGTGTCCCTCGCAGCCGCCTGTCCCAGAGGAGGAATGGACTGATCGGGAGAAGAAGGCCCAGGAAATGACAAACTGGTGGCTGGGAAAGCCGGGCCATGAGGCGCACATGGGATACGCGATCGAGATGCGCACGCGGCCCCAGACGATCGGTATCGCGCTTTCTGACAACCCAGTCGGCATCATGATGTGGGTGGGCGAGAAGTACTACGAGCTTGTCGACCCGAAGTACCGATCTCTGGACGACAAGGACTTTCTAGATGATCTTTGCACCACTCTGTCCCTGTACTTCTTCACGAGCCCCAGCATCATGACGAGTGCCCTCTGCTACACCAACAACGTGCGCCACGAGGACTACGTCGGTTTCAACACGCAGCATGGAAATCAGATCAAGGCGCCGTTTGGGTTCTCGAGTTTCCGGTACGACATCACGCCCGTGTCGCAGCGATCTGCTGCCACGACTGGTAATTGCCAGTGGTTCAGGGGTAAGTCGACCAGCCTGCTGTTAATCCATGCCTGGAACATTAACTGACCGCGAGCAGAGTATGATCAGGGAGGTCATTTTGCGGCGTTGGAGATGCCAAAGGAGCTGGTTCGCGATATGAGAGAGTGCCTCGCCCAGCTGTATGCTCATCATTAATCTGCTTGTTGGTGGAACAGGACACGAGCCGTCATTCCACGCAGTACCATAGCACCTACTAAGATAGCAACGCAGCCGTTTCCTCGCTCCACAATCGCAGCACCTAAGAAGATAGCAAGCAGCAATTCCCTGACTGCTAATCGCAGTACTTAATACACAATTAGCAATACATGATCACCTCGCTCGTTGCAACATTTGTCCAAAGTCAAAGAGCAGCGCTTGCTCGATGAACCCGGTGACCTGTTCTCGCTGAAGTTGTCCCATCCTGGGTATGTTGGTATCGAAGTAGAACGGATGGCGGTTTCCGCCGGCACCCAGGAAGAACTCGAACGGATCAGCATTAAGCAACCTTGGAGCGGGCGGCGGGCGATTATGAGGTCGTGCTGGTGCTGGTGCTGGTGCTGGTGGCGGTGGTGGCACCGGTTGTCCAGCTCGCCTGAACGGAGGCAAGTTGACTCCAGGAGGCGGGCCAAAGCCACCTGGCCGTGGCCTCAGCGGTGGTAGGCCACCGAAATCCGTAAAAGGCAGGAAGGCTCTGCCCCCTTCGTAGTCGGGCGGGTTACGGTGGTACCGACACTGCTGGGTGTGTTTGCACTCCAGGAAGCCGTTTTCACCTCTGTAATAGACTGCGAGGCAGAGCCAGCACCATTCGTGGCCGCATATACCTGACATTGTCTCAGTGAGTATTTCGCAACACCGGGGAAGTGTTAAAGCACGTACATGTAATATGGTCGCAGCCGCTGAACTTGTGCACTTTCCTCTTGCACTTGGGGCATGGCTTCGTGATCTCCTTGATGTGCTGCTCCGAGAGCTTGTCGTCCTTCCTGTGTTTGCGAATGCGGTCGAACTGCGCGCATGTCTCCCCCTTGTGCCAGGGGACGTTGTGGCGGACGCAGGAGTAGTGTTTGCACTTGTGACATATTGCCTTGGTGCATCCGTTGGGGTGTATCTGACCAGCTTCGCAACGAGGGTTCAGGCACCATTGGAACTCTGGGAGCTTGCCGACTGCGGCTTTGGTTGCCAGCTTATCGTAGCTGTGAACGAATCAGTGGATGCCGGGAGACGGATATATGGGTGTAGCCTGTACCGATCGAATGTCTCGCGGGTAGCGGAGCCCCTGACGTCGTCGAACGCCAGTAACTGAGGACACTCCGGACACTTCAGGCGGTCCCAGGTCATAGTGTCCAGACTTGAAGCAATCCACTGGTCGACACACTCCTTGCAAGTCGCAGATTCATGTTCGCAAGCCGTTGTGATTCGCATCTGGTTCGGCATCTCCGACACCCTCTTGTCCTCGCTACATACCGCACAAGTCTCTGTCTCTGGCACGAGCCATGCCTCAGCTTCGACGTAGGCATCTTCCACAGCGTGCGATAACCGGAATTCGAGACTTGTGCCTGGACGGAAGCGGGTACGGTCTTTGACCACTTTGTCTCGATGGAAGAGTTGAATATCGTCACTTTCGATCCCGCGCCGGTGGACGACTCGCTGATGGATGGTGGTGAGAAGGTCGCGCTTCAGCCAGTGCTTCATTGCTCGCGCATTTACGCAGCCATCGCGATCGACATCGGGGCTGTGCCAGATGTACTCCTCGTTAAGCGCCTTGAAGACGAAGACATCTCCGCGGTGTCTCAGGCCTATCACTATGTGTCGGCAAAGCCATGATTTGACTTTACGCGTCTCCCAGTTGCTACCCTGTAGCGGCCCGGGTCTCTGTCCGCCAGCTGCTTCGATCACGACCTGGTTGGGATTTACGGCTCTGGCGGCAGAGGAGGGATTTGATGCATGTAGGAGTTGCGCTACGGTTTGTCGCAGACTTCCGACCATTGCCCCCGACTCGACGTCGCGAGCTAGTTGTTCCAGTTGGACTTCGCTGAGCTTCATGTGGAAGTCGAGAGCGGTTGTGCGACAATGGACCTGTATCGAGCCACTGTCATCGGGGTCTAGTACCCTGTATTGTAAAGTAGAGAGGCCCATTGGGATCTCGTTGCCATTCAATCGCTTGTCAACCCAGTAGAACTGTAGTTGGGCATCATCCGAAATCTGCTGGCGACTATCGCAAAACTTCCCCTTAAGACATGAGACGACGTGGCTCAGTCGCGACGTGGGTTTGATGCCGATCTTGATGCTCTGCCGGCTTGAAATGGGACTGTCTAGATCAATGAGATCTATCTCTGTTCTTCCCCTTGGCTGCTCGTGACGCTGCGCGTGTCGTTGGTTGGGCACATCTCGATCAGGCGTTGATGAGTCGGAGCGGCGATTTGAGAAAGCATGCGACCAGCGCCTTGAGAACATTCTCACTGGATGACCACAACTCACCAGGAGGGCAAGTTGCCGCTGTCCTTGGTAGTATATGCTATGTGAGATCCGTGAGTTCCTAGGAACCGGATGAATGAGGAGCTCTCATCTTCTGGTCTCCATCCGATCAGCCCGAGGCTCTGGGGATATTCATCAGCGCTGGGTTTTGCCTCATCGCCAACTTGCGGGGCAGCTGCAGGTATTGAGGCCATGGCTGCCCACCCTTGTGCGCATACCTGCATGAAGATATGCGTGTCATACTCCGATCAGCTCTTTGAATGCCTAATTGGGTGGTTTGCGTCGTCGCCCGACCAGAGTGCCGGAAAGGGGGGCCAATCGTGGGTACGGATACGACCAGTCACCTTAGCCCAGTGGCTCGCCACTCGCCATTCCCCGCCGAACAGCGAATTTCATCTACTACCTACTCAGATGATTACAGAGCGATGGTAGTCCATATATGTGACTGGCTTCCTCACAGTCTCGACCGCCCAGGGAACTAGTACTGCATATGCCATATAGACGCAAGCACCGGTCGAACAGATGTGCAGCCCCCAACAAAATTGATATGTCATTACCCCTGCCGTGGTTGCAGGTAGGTATGCAGCTAAAGCATGCCTTTTTAGCTGGCCGGTAGCCTGCATGTAGTATCACAGAGAGAAAACGGTCACCCCTAGGTTCTCAGGGCTGCAGGCGTCACCATACGGCTGCTATCGGACTATCCATGTAACACCACTGCGGGGATGGCTGTGGGAGACCTCGCTATTTTACTCTCTCGTTCTCATAAACAGGACTGACACGTGACTGGAACTAGGTGCATGAATATGTGCCGCTGGGGAAGATATTAGGGCGGCTGAGTGTCACCAGACCGTCAATGTCCTAACGTTTCGTTGAGTCTGGACAGCGTTCGCCTGCTCACTGGGGCTATGGACAGTTTCCGCTTGCTGCTCGGATAGACGGAATGCTCAATGGGGTCTGGCACGAATCACGCTGCTTGTTTCGAGGCCTGTCGTCGACCCGGCCCCTGTTAAAGAAAACGGAGGGGAATAAGTGTACCCCTGATTACCTAAGGTAAGAAGAACGACCGCTCTAGGCAGCCGGCTGTACAAGGGTGCTGGCAGCTGCCCAGTGCTGAAAGCTGCCTAGATATATGGGTCCGAGCCGGGCAGGATTCTATTCCAACACCGCCTTCAAAAAGCACGCCGCCTCTGAAATGAAACTCCTGATCAAAGACCAATAGACCACCGTGAGCCATTGTCGACAGTGCATCCAGCGAACTCCCCATCTGATTATCACGCACTGAAGGAGGCGAGAACTAGCGGTCCGACTTCTTACTGCACCAACTGACTCGTGCAGAGAGGCGGCATCATGCAATTCCCACCAGAGGTCGCCGACCAGGTCAGCTTGCACCACACCTCCATCCGCGCCTGTTTTCGATTGTTGATAGGCTTTTCGACAGATCACCACCTACCTCTACAGCACTGTCCCCCTTTGCCATGGGTTCGCGTTGGGTGAATACAACGGCGATCGCAGAGACCAGTGGACCGATTTCATTTCCTGCGACTACCAGCCGGTAGCCAAGGTGCCCAAGGGGCCTGATGACAAGCGTCGCGGTCAGACCCGCCGCAGGCGCAGCCCATCTAGCGCCTTCATAGGCAACGAGATCGACTTCCAATCTCTGCTGAATCTGCGCCTGGTGTCCCGCGCTTGGCATGCCAGTGCCAGCAACACACTGGCAAAGCTGATGGACTGGAGCCTGTGCTTCGAGTCCGAGGTGAGCTGGGTGAAAGCAGCTGCGTGCTTTCCGCCGCTGAATGCCTCGTTCTCGCATTATGTTCGAAGCCTCAACATCAAGGAGGTGGCACACGTTCGGAGCTTCCTTCGCGAGCACCACTATGATCCGTCAGCGTATGTAACTTTCATGGGTTGGAGCTTCTCGGAATCCTGCTAGCACCCCGTCATTGACTGTCACCAGGTTCGAGGGCCAGGACGTCACGAGAGAGCACATGCTTCTCAATAACTACAGGGAGCTAGCCCAGAACATCGATACAGATACGCACGGTATTGTTGCAGACGACAATTCGCCTCTTCGCTACGACAAGAGAGCGGAAAATGTCATGCTCCGTCGAATATTTGACAGCCTTGTCCGTCTTGAAAGGTTCAGCATCTCCTTTCGCGGCGCTTTGTGCGATGCCGACTATGGTCATAATGCAGAATGCTACGACCTAGAAGCCCTTGATGACGTCATGGCAAGCGTTGCACACGGCTTGAGAAGTCCCGCCTTCCAACACCTCGTCGACTTGCGGCTGCAAGTCCCGTGCACCCACGACGTGGCCGTCCTGGCTGAGGCAATGTCGCAGGAAGCCAGAGACCGGCTGAAACACCTGCGACTCAAGATCGTGGATGCTACCGGCCCGAGCGGCGATAGGTCCTACTTACACGAGTGGGAACAACAGTACATCACTAATAATCACAGCTACCAGGACGGGGCTCTCACGATGGCGGATAACTGTGTATATACGCCGAGCAATCTGCAGACCAAGTACCCGAACCGCGAGCACCAGGGTGGTCTCTGGGCCCTTGTGCGCTCGTGCCACAACCTGGAGTCGCTAGGCATCGAGTCGACGCATTACCTCAGCCTTGACCGCCTGGACTGGAAGAAAGGACCGGGATCCAAGGGCCTGAAGGCTCTCGCGCTGAGGCGCGTGTGGACTGATATCGACTCTATCATGAAGCTGCTGTCCCTGGACACAGGTTCCGACTTTTCGCAATCCTCGATCAGACGTCTTGACTTCAGCGATGTCAAGGTCTACAAGGATGGGGGAACGTGGAGCACGCTATTCGAAGCCCTGGTGGAGAATGGTCCGGATCTGGAGTGGTTCCCCATGAGTAACCTTTCGTACTTCAGCACCCATGTATGCTTCGAGCGGTGTCCCAGGCTTTGGGAGGACTCCACTGACTGCTGGACTCAGCATGACGATGACCGTGAAAAGATGGGCGATCTGGTTGGCGCGTTGATCAGAAAAGCTGGTGGGCAGAGGGGTTACCCATTCGAACACTGTAACTACGACGCGGACGATTGAACTCTTAACAGAGGTAGTAGCATGTGGTATACGGTGGATGTGACGAGAATGACAGTGGCCGAGGAGCACAGTATCCATAATTACATTCTCCTCCCTCAAGCTCTCCAGTCCTACCTGTCGATTCATCGCATCCAGCATCTCCAGTGCCAATGCCATCCCTGCGCCCAACTTCTTAACCGACGCTGCCACCAGACGGGCGATACTGGACGGTCACAGTGTTATCGCCCACCGTCACATAGTTGAGCTGGTTCCCTGCGTCGTCGACGATATACCAATCATCGCCACTGGGTGGGTACTGATACGAGCCATCCGACAGCTGCGCCGAGCAAGACGCGAAAGTGACAACCCCGAAATCAGCAAAATTGAGGTTCTGTGACGGATGCAGGTTCTCCACGGTCCACTCGGCCGTGTTTCCCGAAACACTTGAGCCCTCCGGGGCGGTCACGGCGTAGGTTTGAGCTGCTTCATTCTGCGTCGTGTCGGTTATGGAGATGGTGACCTGGGTCGGAGAGTCCACGTGAATTATCAATGTGAATTGGTCGCCGGGCTGGATAGTGATGCTGCCATCCGAGATGTCGGTCTCTGCTTGGGGTAGCCTTTGGGCACGATATTAGAGACGTACACCTACGAACGCTTGGGCAAGTGTCTACTCACCACTCGTACCACGTCTGCCAGGAGAGAACATTGTCGACCAAGTTCCAACGGATACCTGTCTGGACCAGGGAAGTAGCGCCATTGGCATCGCCTAGTATAGTGTCAGCCCAGTGTTCACTGTTACGCCGGGATCACCTATTACTCACCATCAAGGCCAATCCAGGCAGATCCATAGTAATTCCCGGCTGGAGCACCATCTGGGACGGTGACACTGGACGGAATCGTGAGGACTGCGGCAATCTGCGTAAAGCTCAGGCCGTCTGGCGGGTAGACGAACACGCCAGCATTCTGTGGGTTCTGTATGTTGGCTCTCTTGTTGAGGAGCCCGTTTTCAGGTCGAGCTACTACAGCAGCGTCTGTAAGGGATGCTGTGAGTAGCGCGAGGTGTCCAAGGGCTGTGGAAAGCTTCATGATGGCGGATAGATCTCAAGTGCTGAGGGGCAGAGGCTGGAGGTGTCGATGAACTCCGGTCACGAGGATGAAGATGTCGAGTTGAATACAGAGAAGGAAAGGGGGGAGTTGCAAGCTCTTTATACTTCGACTAGTCGGGAGGTTGGATAACACATACACGCTCGAGGGCAGACCGCACCCAAGCTCAGACCGAGGTACGGCTTTCGGACGATCCACCATCCAAGGTGATGCTGTATCACTTGTCGGTCTCGACATACACCCTTCACGATAGTCCAGTGTCGTCCAACCAGTGCCCAAGCTAGCAACCCCAGGTCATCACTGCCGAAACGACATCCTTGCATATCTTATGCTCCATCGGCACTGTAAGATGACCCAGAAAGCCTTGCCTGCCGAGACGCCGGATCATTCGGAGCTGACATTATCCATGCATTGGGTAGATGGTACGATGGCAGATGATGCATGAACGCACTATTACGGCAGAGCCTGCAGCCTGGTAGGGCGGAGTGCTCATAGGGCAAGGGGAACCAGCTGAATGCAGAGTAGCCCGGCCTGCTTTGGCGAGGAGAAACCAGGCAATTGGCTCAGAGTACGACGCTGTTACCTATAGTCCTGAGTATCATCTATCTGCTCCGGACCAATAGGCAGCATATTCCATTATGATCACACCACGCAAAGGCCTTTTGCTGAATAGATCCGCTCGTGCCGTAGCGGTGTAGTTCGCGTCGGTGTAGATCATGTCCGTAGCAGCTGAAATGCTGACCGACGGCGCGGAGCATGCGGGGTGAAAGGTGCTTATCGGTCATTCACCCAATGGCCAGTTGAGGTCAGTTGAGGTCAGTTGAGATGTGCAGCAATGGATCTGCTTTTCCACCTTATGTTTCCCCAGATGGGGGATGTTTCCTAATACGGGCGACACGGGGTGAGAAATGAGAGTGGGGCCGGCAACGAGGCCGGCAACGTGCTCCAAGAACGAAGCCGACGTGGTATCATTGGGGGCTAAAAGGACGAAACCGTAAACCGGTGTTTGACTTGGAAGCCTAGAGAAAGCTTTGAGAGGGCCGTCGGTTCCTGTATGGCAGTAGTTACGTGATACCAAGCTGACGGCCCGAACCTATTCATCTTTGTCGTAAATTGCTGGTGGAGATGAGGCTATTCTTCACTTCACGGGATATGGTATTGACTCCTGAACACAGCACAAAGGTTGAAACAATGATTATCAATTATCAGAGGTGGACCTATCTGTACGTGCTGAATCTGCAGTGAACTGAACAATGACCTACCGTCATCAGACTACATCACCTACCTGGCCTTCTTCTGCCCCGAGAGCCAAGCTAGGTATCTCGTCTACAAGACGATCCACAAGAACGAGCTTACCACCAGGCCACAGAGCAGGCCGAAAGACCTTGATCCAATTCGTCTGACCGTCTAGCTCGTCTTCTTCCTCTATCTCTTCAGCAATCAGTGATTTGCACCCCGTCTCGAGACTATAGCTCTGCAGACCGGCAATGACAAGCAGCTTCAATCGGAGACACCGCCCCATCTCTTGCACCTGCTCGATTACCATGGACTTACTGAGACATCCACGTTCGGTATTCAGATCTTGGCTGTAGATGCGGAGGTCGAGAAGGACGCTTTCGAGTCGTGGCATCCGCGACCAGGAGAGCCAGAGGTGGGCTGCGCGGTCGAGGTCGAGTGCGTTGTCCAGGGAGTCGAGATCGGCTTCGCTGAGGCCATCACCTACCTTGAACATGCTCCTGGCGGTGACATCCACCAACTTCAAAGGTGAGTGTATTACAATATGGCGTAGATCTTCGTACATGGGCTTGTGCATGAACGGGGCCTGATGTTTGGGGACATCGCGCGGCTCGTCGTCATATGGCAAGACGCTTTGGGCTCGCTGACCTCGAAGTGGGAAAAGCTGTTCCCAGTTTGTCAAGAAATTCTCATCGGTGACGCTGATGGGCGTTTCGGCTACGTCGAGTAGGAACACGTGTGTGCTATTCCGATGGAAGTGCCTGATACATTCGCCATAGTATGCCGCGTTGAGCCTGGAAAGCTTACCATCAAATATTTTCGAAGGCAGCATGATGTGGTCACTCTCATCGTGTCCGAAATTACACGAGAGTGTTCCAACGCTGCCTTGAACACCGCGTGCTTACGTGACTATCCTCGTAACCTCGAGAAACTTCTCGAGCTCCGGGGTCTCTCTCTTGCAGATGTTCCAGTCCGGCACCAGGAGATCCAGCGCACATGTGGGGTTTTCGTCCATAGCCTGAGACAGTATCATGGAGATGATCTCTGATGGTAACTGAGTGCTTGAATCCAGCTTTTGCTTTTTCGGGCTCAACACGCTGCCGTTTGAGGCGTCCGTGGCACACTTTCGTTTGGTGCCGATCGGTATCTGAGTATCGCCAACGCTCTCGAGGTCCTGACTCGGCGGACTTACCTCGTGATTACTGATTTCGGTTGTTGAAGAGAGCGCAGAGCGGAGCTGATGCATGAAAGCTTCGTTCGAATCTACGGGGAAGGAAATTCGGCCGCTTCTCATCATGCCGAGAAGAGCTTGTACTGATTGAAGGTCTTTGTCGGAGGTCTTGTTCGGACCGTTACGGTCTTCAAAGTCGGTACCCTGTCTTCCTTCGAGCAGGTCGTGACTTACCTGGTCAACCTCCATTTCCATCTGTGCGTAGGGACCCGGTAGCGATTCAATCTGCTCACCGACTAAGCACATTCGTTCTACCCATGTCTGCCTGCAGCTGGAGCACACAGATTGGCACTTCGGGCGTTGAGAAATGATCTGGAAAGGGGTTCTGACTTGCCGCTCTTCGTCGTCGTCCTGCTTATGGAAGCGTGATCGACTGTGCACACTCGGAAACAGACACCTTTCTGCTTGCGATTTAATGGGGAACTTACCAGCTGTGTTGTTAGTCATAGGTCCTGGCCAGGTAAGGCCATTGACCAACGGCATGGTGCAGTAGCTCCTGAGAAGTGACTATTCTTGGGTCTGAGATCCTGCCTAAACCCTTAAAATCATGTACAGGAGATACGCGAAGAACTGAAAAACCTGCGACTCGGAGTCCGTGGTGAAAACAACACGGCTTTATGAGATAAGAGAGGTACTATTGTCTCGCTGGACAATGGCCGCGAAAGGGGCATTTATTTGAAGGCGAGCTGGCGACAAAGAGCATTGTCTTCACTTTGTGACCTACAATCTCTTCAGTGATCCTATCAGCTTTGCCAGCAGTCCGATCTGTTCTTTATGCTAGTGGAGCAGTTTAACGCTGTACTGTGTGCAGATGCAAACGTACAAAACGATGTGACTGGGTGTGACAATCAGGCCTGCAGCTGCGCTGGCCAGGGCTGATGGGATGAAATATCTAGATTCAACGATATCTAAGGAAGAAGAGGCAATGTCGGAAGAGAAAGGGGAAGCTAGGGATATATATGTACATAAATATGTGGAGGTATTATGTAATACCATAACACTGGGTTATCTGTTCAGGAGCAAGCGTACGAGTAGAACCGAAGTGGTCCATATCCTCTAGGCAGCGGTTGAGAAGCTCGGGATGGGAGGTGGGCAGGACGATTCGAGCTCAGGAGGTAACTTACGATCTAACCACCATTATTCTAGACCAGTATACAGGGTTCAAGGAAGACTATGTGAAAGACTTCTAGACGGAGCAGCTGATCGGGGCATACCCAGCTCTACTGATCGATTCGGCGAGTGCGAGTCAGGCTTGTCGCCAGCTACACATGAAGCTCCTGCGGCCGCGATAGCTAGATATCTACCAACGAGACAAAATTAAGACACATGTTTCCAGTACACAGGCGTCTGGTCGAGTAGCAGTGTTGTCATGATATGTTTCCATTATTGAGTTCCTCATCTGCAAGGGAAGAGCCTGCCCCGAATGCCCCAAACATCAACAAGAAGCATAGTCACCCCAGTCCACCCCAGTCCACCCCATCCCACCCCATCCCACCCCATCCCAGAGTTCAGGTCTATGCGTCAACAGGTCTGGGTTACACGGTTGTCATATTCGTAACGGTTATACGAGTTCCTGAGATCAGAACACTCTACCCGGTACCACCTGAACTTGCGACTTTTCCAGATACTATTCTTTTTCAACTGCTTCTTCTGTATGACCTCATTCGTGACCGACAGAGTCTTGTAGGAGGGTTCCGCGTCCTCGTCGCATTTTCCCTCGGTGTCAAACAGCTTCAACGTACAGGCACCGCCGTTGAACTCGAGCGACTTGGTCTTGTCGCTATTCCCTACAGCGAGGCATTGGGAGGGCCCTGTTCCTTCGCGGACGACTGTACAGCCGTTTCGATTCTTGACCAGACCGCCCTTCTGGCTAGAAACCACCCGCCGTCAGTATACGTTGCGGGAATCGGTGAGACGAGCAAAGGGGACCTACTTCTCTTTTAGCACCCAGTCACCCATAATGTAGAGGCCGTTTACAGCTGCGGCTTCCTTGATCAACAAGCCTGCAGCGAGTGCGAGTGTAAGGAAACGCATGGCAGAGATGCCTCACGGATGAAAGGGTCGTATGAGATGTGGTGAGCCAAATGGACTTGAGCCGAGAAAGGAATCGTTTTGAAGTAGGCATGTACGGCAAGGCAAAAATGAACCCGGATGGGTTCGGGGCAGACTCTTATAACACAAACTCGAGTATTGTACCCGGGTGATTCGCGCTTTACATGTCCGGACATGTTGCTATCTATGGTACTCGCTGACGACATTTCGGGCCGCAGTGAGGGTACCGTATTGAGTTCGGTGTGAAAGTTCACCAATGACAGGGGAAAGCGACAAGACGGCGATGCCGGGAAGGATGAGTCGGATCGACCACTACTCTAGAAATGGATGCTCGGTCTCCACGAGAGCTCATAAAAGTCTTGGACAAACAACGATAAGCATCCTACAAAGCACGAGAGTGGTGCTTCCCCAGAATAATATAAATAGCCTTCGCAAAAATTCTGTTACCTGTCCTACAAATTTCTTATCTGTTTTGCCGCCACAGGCGAGTGGCAAAGCAGCCGGTGGTTCGTGGTCTGACTGCATCCCGAGATGAAGCCGCACTTGCCACTGATCGGCTATGAGTTTGACGCGGCGCTGATCCTACAGGGTCCCAGCTCCATCCAGTCACTGTCGCCAACCAAGAGGATGATAATACAATGCTACACTGACGCAAATTGTAGTGCAACCATTGGTAAAATCCGGTAACATTGAAGAAGAGGGAGCGGTCTACCTCGCTCGACTTACATCAAAGAACACGATGATGTTCGATTTGCAACGGACAAAGCGGCTCAATCTACTTCGTCAGGTAGTCCTCCTGGCCCGTGATATACCACTGTTCACTACCCGCCGTCATCTGCGCACACAACAGACCCCACGGGTCCACGGCCTCCTTGATGGAAGAGAGCCGCGGGTACTTGTCGGTCCGAGGAACAACTTTCCGAATTCGGTTTCCCTTATGGGGCATCCACCGGGCATCAAGGAACGCAGTCCATTGACCCAGTCCTCGATCTCGAGGTGCGTCACCTCGATCGCGGTTGCTGAAGCATCAGCGACCCAAATGGTGCCGACGATCGCACACATGTAGGCGTCTCGCCGCGACGGCATTAGCCGGCGCATCGTCCTGGGCAGCTCCGTTGATGCTGTACGGGATAGCGATGAGCCCTTGTCGAGGATGTCGCCAATCGTGTCGACGGTGGTGTTGAGAAGACCGGGGTTCACCCAGTTCCCCCGGGAGAGTCGCGAGACAGTCAACACAACCGCATTGCCCACCTGATCATCGGGAAAGCGGTTTGACCAAGTATCGGTGAAGTTGTCATGTTCAAAGAATGTCGGCTTGACGTTGAAGCCAACCGCCTCACATTCCGCCATCAACGGGGCCAGCAAGTCTTGAGACACGGCCAGCGTCACTCCAGCGATCATCCACGGTCGCATATCCCACGTGAACCCCGAGTTGGCGTTTGGAAACATCGTCGAATACGCGTAGCTGCCAGCGTCTGCGTGCCCAGGGAAGAGTCGCAGTAGGCTGAAACGCCTACCCAGCACACATCCTCACTGAGTGTGCTTTCATTGCCGGAGATGATGGTCCAAGGCATTCCTAGATACTGTTAGTAGAAAATCGATTCAGATGAGTCTTCAATCACCTACCTGAACAGACCATCTTGAGGTACATTTTGACGGTCATCGATGATACCACACCAACAGAGGTACCGCCGGCTCAACCTGGAATGGCCCAGAACAGGTTGGGGTGCCCAAGGTCGCCGTCGTCTGCGTGTTCCTGTCCGGCGCAATGAGTTTTTTTCCACCCATGAGAAACACCGAGCTCGGCATATTGTGCCGTGCTGACCACCCACCCTTCGCTCAGTGTAACCGCCGTCAGCTTCGTCCACGTAGCCGGCCTTGTCCAGCTGTTCCACTTCCCCTACGACATCAGGATGACGCTGTCGTCGACTGAGGTCAACCTGGCGGTCGCGACGGCGTGCGTCCCGTCGATGCACCCGCTGTTCCGGGCCCGGCTCCCCCGGTGGGTCGGCGCATCGACCCAGCAGTGCAAAGAGGCGTACGGCAGCAGCCACGTCAGAGCCAGCAGGAAGAGGGGCGCTTGGAATCCAGCGGCCGACTTGGATATTGCCCTCAACGGGTACCAGAGGGGCCACACCGAGATCAGGGGGACGTCGCCGACCGGTTCGGGGGAGGTAATGATGACGTACGATTGCATTGTGGGCAGGATGGACGTGCAGATACATTACGATGATACGGTATCCATCATACCAATCATACCACCTGCACCCGTCGTACCACTGAAGAATCCCGCGAAAGTTAGGGAAGGAAAACGACGAGTATCGTAGGAACTTGGGAGTAATGGGTCCTTTCTGTAGGATAGGTCTTCACCAGCGGAATATCTTTAGTTCCAATCGGGCAGGAGCGGGAAGAGCAACATCAGCGTCATGCCAAAAAATGTGGTTCATGTTAGTAGTATATCGCTATCCGCCAAAGTCTGTGCCATTACCATTGCGCCGGATCATGGTGATGAAAGGCTCATAGTGAGACTCGTCTATCTGCAGGTCTCTGCAGAACTCCTCGAAGCCCTGATCCCGGGGCAACGCACGATCCTCCCCAAGCAGACGGTCGACTGCCACTTCAAACCTCCTGTCAGGAGTCTGGTTATCCAAGGCGACCTCCACCATGGTGCAGATGATGGTGATCCATCCACTGACCATGTTGTTGCTCAGGACTCCTTCGAGGAATCGACACTCGAATGTCTTTGAAGTCTGCTGAAGGCCATCAGGATCATCCCCGTATGCATTGAAGTTGAGCCCTAATCGTCGATATCGCCTTTCGGGGCCAGAAAGCATCATGCCCAAGTCTTTCGGTGAAGGTGACATCCATATCTCTTTCAGTGCCCGGAAGTCCTTGGAATCTTCCAACTCTTGAGAGTGTGAAATATCCAAGAAGGGCCTAAGACAGATAGGGGATGAGCTCGAATGCTTTGGTTTAGACTGGAGCGGGTCTTCCAATCTGATCGCAAGCCGACTGCGTTCTCTGAGGGGCGAACTCCAGGTATACTTGTGGTTGAAATTGGGCGATTTGGGGTCCTTGACAGCGCGTATATATGGTTCTGCCAGCCAGCATATGGAACCAAGTCTCTTCAGAGTCGTGAGAGAAAACTGTTTGCCATCTCTGCGCCCAACATGAACGTGAACCTCGCAGGAATGGTTGGACACGATATGATGACGTTCCTGCAAGGCTCGTATGACCTTCCGAACCGTGGGCAGCGAATTTGTATCTGTCCACCCGAGCTTCGGCGACGACACCTCCACGGGTACCCAGGTGTAGTCATTATAGCCGGAATATTCTGCGGCAGGCTCTGCGGAGTTTGCCTTCTTGACGATCCAATGGGTCTCCCAGTAGTCTCGTTCTTCCTGACATCTTTGATCGATTTGGCAACGGGTGATGGCTTGCTGTCCGGCGGATATGCGGATGGTTTCGGCGACAATAAAATGGACGCCTGCCCATAGATCCGGTCTAGTCTTCTTCTCCCCGATTCTCAAGACCGGTGGGCTCTCGGATTTTCTGGGCCCTTGCTCTTCCGGAGACAAGCACGGCACCAGGAACTTGAGCTCCACGCCGAAGCTCAGATCGGTGGCAACCTCGGGTGCGGACATACCTACTTCGGGTGCGGACATGCCTGTGCTTCTCGTTATGTTGTGGATGTGCATGACGTTGTCCTAGCCTGGACTCGAGACACAGGAAGTGTGGGGTGATATTTATAGAATATGTATGTCCTGGGGTCGTCTTCGCCGGTTCGAATGTCGGTTGATGCATGCTCACGGATGCCTGCATTGTGACAGCTCACTGGGCTAATAGGCCGCCGACTGATTGGGGCAGCGACTCACATGATCCGAATGTGGTTGCATGTAGTCCCAAAGAGATGGCCAACAGATGCTCATTCGAGTCATTCCTTCCCAGGGCCGTGCAACCGAAATGCCGCGCCGAGAAGTCAGATGATCGTCCCGTCTCGAGGCTCTGGAGGAAGCACCAAGCACCCGAGGGCCGCTGATGTCGACGTCGGTCGGGGTCTGACCGTCTGGGACGACGCTCGCTACGCCAGGCAGTGCTCATTGGGCCCGGGGATTCCAGAGTTCCACTGTGGCTTACTGTCATATGCAGGGCAGGGTGATATCCTGTTCGGTGTCGGACGCCTCGCTTCTACGTCACTGCTGACAGGCTGATAAGACATGCATCATAGGTATTCACCTCAGCAGTGCTGACATGCTGATACCACCTTGGCTGCTTGGGTGGCGCAAGGGAGAGAGGACGAACGGCTTCGAGTCCTGCAAGCTGTAAGCGACCAGCTTATCAGACTGTGCGACCTATGATGATACAACCAGTGAATATGTCCGGGATAACGAGGACGCTTCCCTTGCTCTGGTATGAGGGGCATTCCTTGGAAAACGCACTTGCTTGTCACTCGAACTTAAGAGGCGCGAGTAACTCGGCGGCGTCAAACCCCGGAGTAAATATCGGCGTTGGCCGCAATCATGATTGTCCTTTGCTCGTCACCGAGAAAGTCTCCGATAGCCAACGATAGTCAACCCCGAGACGCATACCAAGAAGCTACCACGGTAAGCTTTGCCTCACACAGGAAGTTGCGAACATGTGACCTCTGAGACTTCAGGGCCGGCCCGCGATCCTAGCCTCTCTATCACAAATCGCGCATTGTACTACCCATTCAGGCAAGGGAGCTGAAAGGCCGATGCGCTGACGAGCAAAAGAGGTGGCATGACACCACTTTCAGTAACCAAGCGAGCCAAGCTTACAAACGGTATGAGATTCTTCAGTAAACATGCTCCTCGAGAAGCGAGCCGCTGCCTTGGCTGCCTGGCAAATGCAATCCCTTCCCCATCAAAGTCGTGGATAAGAATGAAGAAAAGTTGGATCAATCCGCACGGCCTGGCTGGCAGGCATAGAAGACAGCCACAGAGCCACACGCTGAAGCCACCCTGCTTCGCCACAATGGTCGAGCTGGCCTGGGCTAGTGCAACCAGGTGGATATTGCCGTGGTGATGTCGCCGACAATCAAAACAACCTAGAGAGCAGTGAGTCCTTCTTAAGTTAATACATCTCGTTCAGTCTTTGAGGTAGTCTCCAGCCTTACCGTGTCCGCCAAACATCCCCCCCGACAGACTTCGCCAGTACGAAATCATGGTAGCATCCAAAAGGCTATGCCTTGCAGCCGCAATTGCAGCGCTCCATGGGTCAGCCATTGCGCAGCTTCAGCAGCCCTTATCAGCGGAACAGAGGCCATTGGAAGCCGACAACACCCGCCCGGGAGCGAAGAAGCCGCTGGTCAACACTGAAGACCTGCAGGCTAGCATCAACGCCGAAAACCTGCTTGAACGTGCTCAAGATCTGTACGGCATTGCAAAGCGGTCAGAGGGGCAATACCAACACCCGACTCGTGTCATTGGGAGCGACGGTACGTGGCGATATGATTGGCTCTGCAGCTGATATCACGTTGGTCGGTGAGGATGCCTCAATGCTGACCTCCTGCCGTCATGGTCACCAGGTCACCGTGGTACCATCGACTACATCACCTCTGAGATTGCGAGGCTGGGAGATTACTACACGTCATCAAAGCAATCTTTCCCAGCGGTCCTCGGCAAGGTCTATGAGTCCCGGCTGGTACTCGGACACGATGTACCCGCTTCCGCGGTGCCGATGTCGCTGACTCCGCCAACAACTAACAAGCAGCCCGTCTATGGCGACCTCGTGCTCGTTGCGAATGATGGTTGCGATGCGTCTGACTATCCCTCCGAGTTGAGTGGCAAGATCGCTTTCATCATCCGCGGTACCTGTTCCTTTGGCACCAAATCGGAGCACGCTGGCAAGGCTGGCGCTGTCGCGGCGGTCATTTACAACTACAACGACGATACGTTTGGTGGTACTCTCGAGAAGCCGTCAGCGAACCACGTAGCCACTTTCGGCCTCTCTGGCAAGGATGCTGCACCCACTCTCGAAAAGCTCAAGGCCGGCAAGGTCGTTGATTCGATTGCTTTCATCGATTCCGAGGTCAGCACAATCAGCACGACCAATATAATCATCCAGACCGTTGATGGAGACCCTGATAATTGTGTCATGCTGGGCGGACACAGCGACAGTGTCGGCGAAGGCCCTGGTATCAACGACGATGGCTCCGGCAGCCTGACTCTTCTCGAGGTGGCGACTCAGCTGACCAACTTCACTGTCAACAACTGTGTCCGCTTTGCTTGGTGGGCAGGTGAAGAAGAGGTCAGTACATGGTCGTACCCGACTAACCCTTGAGGTGGACCAAGGACAGAACCTGAGGTGTCCAAGGAAGCCTCGATAGCTCTGATGTGATTCGTGACTAACGAGATAAAGGGTCTTCTTGGGTCTGATTACTATGTCGATACCTTGCCTGAAGAGGAGAACATGAAGATTCGCCTTTTCATGGACTACGATATGATGGGCAGCCCGAATTACGCCTACCAGGTCTACAACGCCACGAATGCGAAGAACCCCAACGGCTCAGAGGAGTTGAGGGACTTGTACGTGGATTGGTACACGAGCAAGGGTCTTAACCAGACCTTTATCCCTTTCGATGGGCGCAGTGACTACGACGCCTTCATTCGCAATGGTATCCCAGGTGGCGGTTTCGCGACCGGAGCAGAGGGCATCAAGACCAAGGAAGAAGAAGCCATGTTTGGTGGAAAAGCTGGCGAGTGGTACGACCCCTGCTACCATCAGCTGTGTGACGACACTAGCAACGTCAACACCACTGCCTGGTTGCTGAACACTCAGGTACGTCACACGACCATATCAAACCATGTATGACTGTCGGGGCACTGACTTTCAACAGCTTGTCGCGCACTCCGTCGCTACATTTGCAAAGTCCTTTGACGGCTTCCCAGAGCGTGCCAACACCACGGCTGCCGGGGTTTATGAACAGGAGACCAAGTACCATGGCCGATACTTGGAGATCTAGACAGAGCACCCGATGACTTTTCAATGGTATGGTCTTTGGATAAGGATCAGCTCGTAGGTTGCGCGTAGATAGATGTACCAATAAATAGTATGTTTACTTCCAGATTTTACTTACTGAATAGTACCTGATCTTTGGGAGTCTCATTCTGGGCGAAATGCACGCGTACCCCTGTAACATGACACTAGTCTGCATTGGCATCCAAAACCTTGGGCTGGATCCTAAGTATTTGATCTATAAGGTATGTAAGGTAGATCAACTCTGTCCACAAGGAGAGTCAAGAAGCAATAACCGACCCAATCCCCCACCCCGATCAATCCTCACCCTCAAGCAGCTCGATGCGTCTAGCAAGCCCCATCGAGATGGCACGCAGAAACCCAGCTCCCAGCTCGCCCTCCCCCATCAGATCAAGATATTTGCCGGGCGTGATACGACAAAAGGCATCCACCACGGCGTCCGCGAGCCTGTCTTCGTCCTCATGACCAGAGCAATCGTCAAAGTACCGCTGCAGACACGTCACGATGGCTCTGTCGGACGCGTCCAGCGCGTCTCCCGTGTCGCGTGGTGTCGTGAGCGGAGCGGAGATCGTCCGCAGCCGGCGCTCGATCTCCGCTGCGAGGATGTCGGGCAGGTCGACGTGCTCGAACCGAGCGCAGAGCCGGTAGAGCGCCAGTGCGCGGTCGAGGGAGAGGTAAGGAAGTGTGTTGGTGATATTGGTGTTTTTGTCGTCGTTCTTGTCGCTCTCATTTTCGTCGTCGGCCTGATGCCATAGCCAGTCCAGAGCCATGTGCTGCAGTTGCTGTCCCTCATCGTTTCCACTTCCGCTGCTTCCCGGGCACGTGTCACTGCCACTACCACTGCTCATACTACCGCTTGTCCTCTCGCAGCCTCCACCGACAGAGCCGGAGAACGCAAACTGGTACACCAGCCGAGCATAATCACGCAGAAGCGGAGCCTTCACGGCATCGGGCCCGCCGCTCAGGCCGAAGACGGAAAGCTTCTGGCTCCGAAGCAGCACCCGCTGCTGTCTGAAGAAGCGAGAGTCCGCCGAGAGAACGCTGATGTGCACTGGTACTGCCTCGTTGCCCTCGGCGCGCAAGATGGCGATCTTGAAGTCCCTCTGTGAGCTGGGGGTCTTCGTTAGTCGACCGTTTACCATCGGGACTTGGTTGAGACGAGCTGTGATGTGCTCATTTGGGCTCACTTACCTGAAGATCGGTGATGGCTTTGACGGGGAGCGAGTCTTGCGGTCGGGGACTCCTGTCGCGCCATCCGGGCTCGCGGTCAGAGTTGCGCTTTCGAGAGGACTGGGAATGCTTTGCGTGAACTGTAGAGGCTCTGCTACCTGAATGATTGTCATCGTCACGCCCAAACTTGGTCGATCCCGGCCCTGAGCTGATGGCCTATCCGCCGAGTTGAGTTGCTATTGTTGAGCGTTTGTATCCAGCGTCGCAATGGTTGTTTGGGCCGATGCTTGCTTGCTTCGTTGGCAAGACAATCGCATATGCACGGTACAGATCATTCTGCAGCCATCCTTGAGGCGTTATGCAGACGATCCAAACAAGACGTCTGCATTGCGGAAGGATGATATGTTTGCTGCATTAAAATTGACCAGAGCAGTGGCAGCAATGTGTACTTCCTTCTCGGGCGCTCGTCGTCTGCGATACTCAGTATATAGTAGAACATAATGAGCACCCTCGCCTTTCATCTCCCCAGCTCCCCCTTGACCACCCACCCCTACCCCAACACCAACACCTATGCCGTCACATTCGCACCCGCAATCGAGCTCGTACTTATGATACCACATATCATTCTTCACCCACGCACCACCGGCACTGTACATCATACCAACCGACACTGTAGACAATGTCGTTCAACCCTCCGTAATTCGCGGACCCCCTCACACACCATCCGTGCAGGTGCGATAGCCCATCCGTCTTCTTCGAATCCGAAGATCCATCTGGATGAAGAAGTCGACGCCATCACCGGTGTTCGTACCGCGTGCCCGGAACTACGGGGTAACTAGGTGATTACCTTGAAATCCCGACCCTCTAGCCACAGAAAGCATGGCAATGCAAGATAGTCGAGTGCTGGAGCCCGGCTCTTACAGATACTCAAGGACATCACCATATGTGAAGATATGTGAGATGGATGGTGTCGTTCCCCGGAGAGGTCCTCGGAGAGGTGTCTCTGCGGCCTAGACCAGAAAGTCTTCAAAACTAGTACGCCATGATTGAAGTACGGATGAACTTGGGCTGGTGCTCGGTCGACTGTTGAACCTACCTAGACCTACGCCCTCCAGCGGTTTCATTTGCACGAGCTATGGTCACAACAGTGGCCTACATCGTTATTGCGGGCAATTCAAGTAAATCCGACGCACGCATATTGTCGAGACTCACCGGTACCCCAATCAAGATGTGCCGTCGTCTTTTAGTTGAGTCCGTGGCGACCCTGAGGGCGTTGATTTTTCAGGACAGCCCAACTCTAAAACCACAACTAGGCCCTACAGATCCAGGAACGACCGCCACAGCACATGGTTTCCTAAACCCTGCCTGGACATCGGACGCTTCATTGGGTAAAGAGTAGGAAGCCCCAAGCCAAGAGGATATCTCACCAAAGAAAAACACTCCGGGCCACTTTACATGCTCTCGCAAAGTGGCCGGAGTCCTTTTGGACTCGGGGATCCGGCGAATGTTTTAAGGGCTGGCGGCTGGTCCTCGCACTCTGGAATGAGAAAACTTACTCTTTCTCCTGTTGGTCTTCTGCGAGATATATGAAATATTCATTTTCCGTCCCTCTTCTCTCTTCTCTAGACATTAAAGGCTGCAACCAACCAACCAACCAACCAGCTTTTCCCTACCGACACTTGCAAGCACAGACAAGCCTCCGAAATGCGATACCACAAGACAGCTCTTTTGGGGCTTGCGGCTCCGACCGCGCTGGCCTCACCAACCCTAGCTCCAAGCGTCTCAGTAACCCAAGGCAGTTCAACTGGAAGTCAACCGACTGTGACCGCGTCGTTGCCACCTGTGGGTGTTGAATTGGCCAGCTTGCAGAACCTGGCGGGGGGTGAATACACGGTGACCCTGGTGAACTTGCACACGGTTGGACTCACCACGAAGCATGGCACCAATCCGGGTAAACCGACGGCAATATGGGCGCACAACGAGGCACCCACATTGGCCAGAAATTCTATCGCCGTCTTCGCTCTGCCAACAGGGGTAAGTCAAGCAAACCACGCGACCAGATGGAATCGGCCGTCACCTGTTGAGCGAGGTGTGCAATACTGACCCAACTTTCCAGTGGGGTGGGGGTGTTTCACTGGCAGAAGAGGGCTCTGTCATCAATGGCGGGCTTCTTTGATCGAGGGTAGCTACGAGGTCAGGGCGGAAGGATACGCCAAGATCGCGATGGATATCAGCTACGTGTAGGTGACTATCCCACTGCCTTCCTTGAGTCGTCCGCTCACAGCAACCCAGAGACGCCTTCACGGTACCGATAGTATGCGGCGATGAGACAGTGAGACTGGGTTGCAACTTGAATTTGCACGAGTCGTGCCCTGTCAGTAGTCCTCCGAGATCCCAACTCTGGTTGTGCGGAATGCTGATACGTATCTAGCCCGAGTACCAACTGGACGCAACCACCTGCATGAACCCTAGCAGGGATGCCGGCGGTACCTATAGCCCAAGCTTCTTCCAACACTGCGCAGGCTTGGCATATACGTACCCATATGATAACCTGGCCACCGTCTACGGCATCCCGGGGTGTCCCCAGAGTATCACTTGCTGTGTGGGAATTGCCTGTGCGGCACACCCAAAGCAGAAGCTCTGTCCAGGCGCAGATGGACGCGCCCGCCCCTGTACAGCTGATGATTTCTTGGCAAAACATCCGGTGTAGTGAGAAGAGAGAGGCGCGAGAGTGATAGTAATGCTGGGTGATTGAACAGAGCACACCACATTGAGTTCTTCGAGCACCATGGGCATTGAGTCTCGGCCGCCACTTGTTGCCACTGCAGTAACGGCGGGAGCCCCCAAGTGGGACAGCCCCCCCAGTGGGACAGTTTTTACACCCAACATCACAATGTTCACTTATACATATCTCCACGAGGAATGAAGCTGTAAATACTGTCCCTATTGCCTTTGAATCGTTTTTTCTTAATGTCTTCTTGGCGATTGAGTAATTAATTATTGCTTTTTTCTTAAGCGTTTGGCGGTGCTTTGAAGTTTGACCATGCCTTGCTCTCACCAAAAGGTCGGGAAAACCAGACCCACGGCAGCCCGGAACGTTAAATTTAGTAAGGGTAAAACTTCATGCTATTATAACTCTTGTTATAGCCATAACTTACTATGAGCACCCATACTTTACAAGTTTAAAAAAAAGAGACAAATATTCTCGCTCAAATAACTACGTCGTACCATTATTATCGGTCGAGTTATGAGGGTCGCAATAGTGACATTTTGGTGGGAAAACTGTCCCATTGGGGGGGCTGTCCCACTTGGGGGCTCCCGCCGTTAGTCAGTTAGATCTAATACGAATATAATCCCATGAATCTGGTTGGCAGCTTGAGCGTCTCGGAGCTGTCTCGTGATTATGGTAGTGGTATTCGAGTACCAGTGTGTGTGTGTGTGTGTGTGTGTCTGGCCTTGTTGGAACGTGCAGCAGTCAACACAGTTCCATGTCGAGGGAATCAGTCTGAGACCGCCGCGCATGTCAGCTTCGGGCGCGTGACTGGTGATAGGTCCACGATAACGCAGGCACCAACTCATTGAAACATCGTAGTCGTTAAAGAGCAGCAGTGACACGAAAGTTGACAGCCATGTGTATCCGTTGAAGGCCTGAGAAGAGCGCTCGGACCACAACTTGACCTCAAGAGCAGTCAATTTACCAGTGCCAGGCGCAAACAGCTGTCACAACCACAACGAGCTGGCGGCCAATGATCTCATACCTCCAGTCACTCGGCTGTCGAAATAAAGCGGGGCACAATCCTCGAGCAGCCGCAGTGACGTATCCACCGAAGCGCCAGCTGGTTGGCATTATCGCTCCAGATACCATCACCATTCACCATCTTGCGACACGACGAGCGACTTAGCGACATATGACAACTGATAGCAGTCCAGTTTGAACGATGACCTATATATAACATACCTTTCTATTCCTACCAGTATCCCCGTACGGCCCCCTCCGAAGACCCCGCCAGGCCCTTGCCTTCGGTGGCATAATGGCGTCCCCAATGCTGGCGTCCGACTCCGACAGTGCAACCAGCGACGCTGCTGATAACCGTAGCAGCGAGCCTTCGAGTTCTGAACCGACAGTTCGCATCTCCGACGTTCCACCGAACACCCGCAGGTGCTTTGTCTGCCTCGGCGACGAGCCCGAAGCCGCGTTACCGTCCGACTGGTCGACACCGTGCTCGTGCTCACTGGAAGGACACCAAGACTGCCTTCTCACATGGGTCGCCGACCTCGAAGCGCAGGCCAAAGATGTCAAGTGCCCCGTCTGCAAGTCTCCCATCGTAGTCACTGAGCGATGGGATCCCGCGATTCAGCTGAGCAACTTCTTGAACCAGAAGTTCTCGAAATGGTCGCCGCGCATCATGCTGGGCTTCGTCGCCTCCGGAACCTTGGTCAGCAGTGCGATATACGGAGCGAAGGCCATAGACTGGTTTGCAGGACCTGAAGCTACGATGGCGTTTCTGTTCAAGCACGATGATTTGCCTTGGTCCCAGTTCCTGCGCCGATTTGACCCGCCGCGAACTGAGCCACCCATCAACCTCCTGCACTTTAGTCTGCTACCCCTCATCGCGCCAGGCTTGATAGTCAACCGGATGAACGGCGTAGGGGAGGTTTTCACGATACCCGCGTCGCTGGTGGCAAGCAAAGTCCCCCCGGCTTCAAATTTACTCGGCGCTAATCTACCCTTCCATAGTACGCTATGATCTTTAATCCCAACAACGAGCTCCTCGCCTGGCCTCCTTCGCCCGATCGAGCCATGGCACTCTACCCTGCCCTCAAAGCGTCGTACTTTCATATCCACAGGGTGATTTCCACCAGGTTGGAAAAGGCCTGGACGGCGAGAGCTCTCCATGCTCGGGGGGATTCCGAGCATCCGGGAGTAGCACCAGCTGATGATGTCCAACCTGCAGCGCCTGAGGACGAAAATCTTCTCGATTTCGAAATCGATATTCAGATTGGTGGCGGCGAGGAAGACGCACCGGCAGATGCTGGTGGGCAGCCCGCGCGGAGGGCAGTTGACGCAACACGTCAAAATCCGGTGAACTTCATAGCCGGCGCATTACTGTGGCCTGGCGTTTCTTACGGCATGGGTGAACTCATGCGGACCTTGCTTCCTGCACGTCTCATCACCAAGCCTGCCCATGGTCAGACGACTGGCCTCCTGCAGGAACGATGGGGACGAAGCTTAGTCGGCGGATGCCTCTTCGTCGTATTGAAGGACGCCTTTTTCCTGTGGGTCAAATACCGGAAGGATATGAACCGGCCACACAGGAAGATCAAGAACTCGGAGAGACGGAACTTGCGTAACTAGATGAGACGCTGGCAGTTGCACCAGCATTCTGGCGTTTGGGATTAGTACGATAGGGACGGCATAGCAAGCGTGGATAGCATGAGGCTTTTGGAGGCTATGGACACGTTTTCAACACCAATGGTCCATCTTTGGCGGAGTTTGGGGGTGGTCTGTACAATACCATAGGGTTCATTGCATTGCTGGCATAATGTGGACAGACTCTGCGTGAGACTGCATCCTGTTTTGGTTGTGCATGTTCTGTGCCTGAGACTCTCGAAGTGGGTAATGCTCGGGATACCCATACTAGTCTGGGCGTGATGGCCACCTTCAGACTACTTAGTCTTGAATCGACAGTAAACCCAGACGAGTACCCCTTTCTGGGAAATGGCAGAGAGGTCCAAAAGGGACTGAAATATCCACCGCAGCAGATCTCCATAGTCTGTCAGGTTGACTTTTCGCAGTTGCATGAGGAAAATCAACAGGTTTTTCGGAGGTCTGTTACTTAGCCGCCCTAATAAGTACAGCCCTCTCTCCTCCCCCCTTTTTCCTTGGGTTAGCAGACTATCGTTGCAGCTTGTCTTTCTTTGCGTCAGCGATATACCCGAGGCCACCAGTCCATATCGGAATGCCCCCTTGTGCAAGACAGATTCCCTCCCACCGAAGCCGGCGGTCAGATGTTCATCGGCCTTTCTTCACATGCTTAACTAGGCTGCCTGCGTCCTTATCAGCCAAAACGATGGGGAAGCCCAGGTGCGGCATTGGAACGGCTGGGCAAGCAGCAGGTCATTGAGTTCCTAATGTGATCGCGGGTCTGCCTCGCCTTGCATTTTATCTGGTACTTTGCTAGCGGTGGCTTATCCGCTAGATTCACGGACTACGGGTTGATTATTTAGCTTGCTCCCTCCTTCTTGGCGATACTACAGCAGCTCTGGTGCATGGAAGGAAAGTGGTCGAATATGGAATGTAGCATACCCTGTCACTCGCGCATACTTCAAGTGCTCGCAGATGGCCTTGAAACGTTCATATGAAACAGTAACTTGCATTTCTGGCACACGAGGCCAACTATCAAGATGTAGCCGAAAGGGACCTACGGTGCTGAGAACTTTAACACCCGTTACAGAGACCAAGCCTACTCGAACCGTCCTTCTCGATGGAACGTACTGCGCAACGGCAGATCCGCATCATAGCCCTTCGTCTCCATCATGTGTTTATCGAAGCTCACTGTACTCATCTGAACTTTCTCAAACAATCCACGGTCCAGCACGGGCGCCGCGGGGCCCTGCTGGCCGCGGCTGTGCGCCGCCTCGGTGCCGAGCGTGTAGTTGTGGTGCGCCAGACTGGACGCGATCTGGAACGCGTTCCTGATCTGGCGACCGTTCCAGCACCCGGTGGACCGCGCGTTCTCCTCGAAGTGGCGGCCGGCAAAGTCGAGGATCTCGGCGTCGCGGATGGCCAACGGCGGCTCGCCCGTCATCTCGTGGCGCTGGGTCTCGATCTCGCGCAGCTTGGCGATGTTGAGGCGGAAGATGTCGCGCGTCTGCGTCTTGTCCAGCGGCGGGTAGTACAGCGACATGTGGATGCGCGACTTGAAGGCCTCGTCGATGGTGCCGACGCGGTTGGTGGTCAGGAACAGCAGGCCGTTGTAGTACTCGAGCACGCGCAGGAAGACGGACACCAGCGCGTTGCGCTTCATGTCGAGCTTGGACCGCTGCGAGAGGAACACGTCCGCCTCGTCGAGGAGGAGCACACAGTCCCAGAGGTGCGCCAGTCGGAAGACGTTGGAGAGAGATGACTCGACCTCGGATGGGGTCAGGCCGAGGTCACCACATGTGATTACGAACAGAGGCTTGCGGTACTCCATGGCTACCGCCTCGGCAGTCGCCGTCTTACCTACACCGGGAACACCGTGCAGCAGCACCACGAGACCACGACCTTTATTCTGTATTAAATCCTGGCTAGGGCCTTCCGTCGACATATCGACGTAGCGGCGCTCGAGGTCCTTCTTCTGGAAGTGCGAAGCGACCAGGCCGCGGACAATGTCCTTGTAGTCTTTGAGGATTTTCAAATTCTCAAATACGCCGTCCTGGCGGCGGATGGGCTTTAGGAAGTTGATGTTGACGGGCAGGAACCTGCGCTCTCGGAGGGCATACGCGAACATACGCTTGGGCAGCAGAACTAAATCTTCGTCGCGCAGGTCCATGAGCTGGGGTTTGATGTCGTAGGTACGATTCCCCTTCGTGCGCTGGCGGAGGAAGGTGTCCGCGTTCAGGTTCTCGCGGCGCTGCCACATCTCAACGCCGTCCGTCTTCTGGACGATTTCAGTCTGCGCGTACGCAAGCGACTGGCGCGATCCGTCGAACCACTGCTGGATCTTCATGTCGTCGTCCTCGGCGTCGCAGCGGATGCCCTTGTTCGCCGTCAGGCGGTGGAAGTTGGGCCGCCAGTCCGGGTTCTTCTGCATAGCTTCGGCTAGATCAACTATCACGTCCGACTCGACAAATTCGGGATGTCGCATCAGTTCCCCGGCCTCGTCGCGAAGGATCTCGTCCTCGGCTTTGTCCGTGTCGTATGGCGGTGTCCGGGTGAGCGTCCAGGCGTTGTATGCCTGATGGCGATCAGTCAGGAATTTCTGAAAGCTGCGGCCCTGCGACTTGAGCGACTCCAGCAGCTGGTTGTGGTCGTGTCGGTAACGGATAGGGAAGACCTCCAGAGACTCGATGAGACGCTCTCCCGGGAAGGAATCAAGCTCGAACTTGTGGCGGACTGCGCCATAGTTGTTTCCATCGTGGTCGATGTAGTAGGCGAATATGGTAAATTTGGCCTTCTTGTCTTGCTGCATTTCATCCGCGAAAAACTCCCAACCGGACGATGGGTAAGCTATCTCTGGCTCGGGGATCTCGGTGCGGTAGATACGCCAGACCTCGTGGTAGCGGCCGGTCGTCTCGCCTGCTGCAGGCATGTAGATCAGGTCGCCGACGCGGAACAGTGACCAGAGGTCATCGAACCTGACTCTGTCGGCTTCCGTGCCGTCATATTGGTTGTACAGGGGCATCACCTCCTTGTCAATGAAGTTGACGTAGCACCGCATGTCACGGAGAGCCTCGGTGCTGTCCATGATGCCGTCCAAGTCTTCGGCGTTGGAGTCGACCGACATGATGGACTCAACGTCATCATCCTCGTCCTTTGCCTCAGGGTTAGATTCCTTGTCCTTGGCAGACGGCTCATCCACGATCTCGAGTTCTTCGGGGGTATCATTGACTTTTTCGGACTCGATGTCGTCCAACTCCTCGATGTCACCCCACTTCTCCTCCAAAGTGGCGAGGATCTCTTTCATCTTGGGCTGGAAGTAGACTAGAGATTGGAATGGTCTGACGAATGTCCGGGGTGTAGACCTCTGCTCGGTATCATTGAGCAACGACGTGAGATGTCCCAGGACAGGCTGCGACTGGACACGAATCCGCTGGATGTCGGTCTCATTCGTCTGCCCGGCCTCGGCTCTCTTCTCTCGTCGAACCCTATCCTCAGCATCCCTCTTGGGCTGAGGAGTACGAGCACTCGTCTTCACACTGTCGTAGCCGAGCATGTAACTCTGGCGCAGACGAGCGAGGTCCTCCTTGCGGCGAAATGCCTGTTCACGTCGGATCTGGCCCTGGAGGCTAGGCCCGGACATGAGGACCTCGACAGCATAGTCGGGCTCGTCGACATCGTGGAAGCGGTTCTTGAAGTTCTCGAAGTTGCACTTGCGTACCGTGGGAATCTTGGGTCGCCATTTGGCCTCAGTGCGGCGGCGGTCAGCCAGGATCTCCTGGCGTCGCTCTGCCTCTCTCCGTGCGGCCATGAAGTCTGGGTCATGGGCTCCATGGTGACGTTGGCGCGGTGGCTGGGCACGGCCGCCTCTCGTGTTGCGCTTTCCTCTAGCCATTGTAGTGGTTTGAGATGGGGTTGGAGGAGGTACAGTCTGGGGTGAATCCACGATAGGATCTGGCAAGGCAGAGAGAGTATAGGATGCAGTGACACAAGTGATGAGTGAAACTGGATGAAGAGCTTGAGCGATATTCACCAAGAAGGATGGCTTTCGTCGTCATATATATCCTACCCACATCCCACACATCCAAACTATGGGTCTGTATGGTGAGGCAACCGTGGCCAGGCGCCCGCCGGGGAAGCATATGGCGGCAGGCCCATCTGAGCCCATCCTGATCCTCCAGCTGCAACTCAGGGGCTAAGATAGGGCTGAGTCACACGGCAGGGACCAAGGAGACGCTGGCAGCTTATCGTCGACCAATCATGGGCGTCTGTTCGCCACCGATAAGGCATAGTGGCGAGCTGCAGCTGTCGGCTTGTCAGCACTAGCCACCCGTGCCACCTAGGCTCAGCCAACCGTCCCCTCACAGCTGCCTTCGCCTAACGGAGTATGCGTCCAGGCAACAACAGGCAGCAGCTTCAAGCATCATTTTGACCGTTAAGTCTGACTTCTGATTGCTCACAAGTCCTAGTCCACTTATGCGGGCTGCTGGCTTCGCAGAGTGGAGCGATAGTGTGGGGAAGGAGGACTGCATCCATGTATCTCTCAGCTATCCCTGTGTTTGAGGGGCTCAGGAGTCAGGCCTCCGCTTCGAATGCCATATTCCCGCGTCTGCCTCGCAACCCCGAATATATCGTCATACGTGCAGATATCTGCCTCGTTCCAGATGGACGGCCTACATCTGGGGCGCGGCATTGTGGCTTTAGGAGGGGGTTTTTCCATGTCGTGTCCACTGAGGTGCCGCCATGCCACCCGCGGAAGTACATTTTGACATAGAAGCCGCGGCCATAACGCCTGAGCCATCCTATTTAGGGCTGGCTGGTTCGTAGTCATGTCGGATGCATAGGTAGGCGTTGATATCCGGCCTGCCTCTTTGGGGAAGTGGTACTGTTGCTGAGTGAGTCGTGAGTCATTGAGAGACCTTATCCACTGAAAGCGTCTCCCTTCTTTCTGACCAGCATGTGACAATCAGGCCTGCAGCTGCGCTGGCCAGGGCTGATGGGATGAAATATCTTAGATTCAACGATATCTAAGGAAGAAGAGGCAATGTCGGAAAAGAAAGGGGAAGCTAGGGATATATATGTACATAAATATGTGGAGGTATTATGTAATACCGTAACACAGCATGATTAGGCGAACCAGCTTCCTTCTCTGCTCAAGTATCGTTGTTTCTTGGTGGATGACTCGACCGGCGATGAGTCAATATACAGTTCTGGCTACTGTTTTTTCTTCTTTGGTAGGGTTCGAGGCTAGATAATATCAGTTCAGTTCAAGACTTAGAACAGATCCCGAAACCAGCCAAGCTGTTCATGTGCCATTTCAAATAAAGCGAGGAAACCCGCTTTCCTGCTTTGCTTTCTTGCACATCGTCAGACATGTCAAAGGAATGTAAAATCCCTTGAACTGGAGCGGACCTGCTTGTTGCACAAGAAACCCCTATCACCTATCTTCATCGAGCCCATTTAGAGATAATGGTCTCCTTCTCGTCTCTTTCTCGGTCAATTAGACACGTCAGTGCCTTCCATGGTACACTCAGCCCTTATAAGTCTCAATACACACATATTGATAAGATTCCAGATCACCCGTAAAGAATTTAAATACTGGAATAAGCATACACGAATAAGCATACACGAATAAGCATACACGAATAAGCATACACGAATAAGCATACACGAATAAGCATACACGAATAAGCAGCTCTGCTATTATACTACACTTTACGCTTATGCTACTGTGCTTGTTCCAATTACCATAGATGTACTATTGTTTTCTGGACTGCTGGTGTGTGGAGACTCATGAGGGTTCAGTGTATCTCTGCGTGCTCCCACATAACATGGAATAGGATCCAGCACGAATTGCTCACGGCGGGAAAAGGCGTCTCGCTCAGCAAGAGATCTCGCTGATTGATGATCTATCTAGAAGCCGGATTCATCAAGACGGTTGGTCCTCTATTATAAGTGTTCTGGGGTCGCCGCCCCGTACAGCTCGCTGCTTCTAGTCCTTCATCAGCAACAGGTCTCCTCGACCTTATCTACAATGGTACAAAAAACGGAGTCCGTCATCATCAAGTGTATTCCTCCGGGATCCTCTGATCTGTCCTTCCAGCCGACGTGCGTATCAGATAGTACTTTCATGGTGAGTTGATTGGGATGAATGATTGCCCCATGCGAGACAGCGAGAGCTCTTGGAAACCTGATCGAACATGCCCATCGGATGGGTTACTCAAGACTTCGGCTTGCGGAGGGTCGCGAGCAAGTCTACCATTCCGAAGGCTATAGTCATACCAATCGCATCGACTTGAATAAGTCGAAGGGGAGACTTTCCGATAAAATGGTCTGGTCCGCCGGTTTCCAGCCCTCGCGGGTAGAAGACCTAGGAGCGTTGCTGTGGCCCGTCCATTCAGTTTCACCATCGAGGTCGTTCTTCTTCATCTGCCCTGCTTGTAGTATACCCGACTCAATTACCGAATTTAATTCGTCCTAGGATTCAGAGCCGGTCAAATCGGATGCTTGCGAATGGCAAACAAGGTTGAGGCGAGCATGACCCTCTACCGCGAACATTGCGGTTGCTGGGGTTAGCTTCGGCCTAAGGTTATTTGCCGCATTGGGAAATCTCTCCGCGCAAGGTGTCTTTTTCTGGTCCGAGACTGTATCGCAGCTGGAGAACGAGTGCCATAAGGGTTGCCACTCTGGGACCCCAATTTCTGCCCCAAGTCCTTGACGAATTTCCGCAACGATACCCGCCGCATTCTTTTTTTCAAGGCGGCCGTTGTAACGAGCTTTTATGTCGTTGAAGACACGCCCAATAGTCTCCATATCTAGTGAGGTATAGATAGCTCTCGAGTTTCTGTCCATTGTTCTTTGTGGTGGGATCCGGCGACCCGGATCGGAGATGATGGATAATACTCATCGCATGGATTCACAGTGTATGCGGTTTCGAGGAACGCTATCAGATCGCTTTTGTATAAAGGGGACGTCTGGACTGGTTCGGTGCTTTTGGAGTTCGAACAGTGGGCAAGGTTTGTAGACTCGGGATGGTCGGCCATTTCTGCGTTCTATTGATTACTAAGTAAAAGTATGAGGGATGGGTACGCTTCCCGGGAATATATTGCTTTGCTGGGGGCCGAAGTCTGGGGTATCTGGATTTGTTTGTTATGTTTGTTTGTTTGTTTGTTTTGTATTTAACGTGGGGGGTAGCTCCTCAGTAGTGCAGACCACGCCTCCCAGAGCCTCTGCATCGCAGGGTTGTGGAGGTCTCAAGAAAATAAGTACAGTCAGTCCCGCTCACGGGCCCATCCCCGTTGTTGCGGCGGTATGACCTTGGGGTCATCCATCTGGTCCTTCAAAAACAGCTATCTATCGGAGACAGATTGTTAAAAAGAACTTGCTTTTCTCCACGAATTTTGCCCATTCTATGCTCCTCTCCCCTAAGTATTATAAACAGGCTATCCTAGGCGAGTACCTAGGCAATAACCGATTTTTTCCTAACCTCTTACAAAAGAAAATATATTATGGTGTTTTCTTTTCACCATAGCTGCAATGGTTGTTCGAGTCTGTATGCCCAAAGCGTTCGTGGTATCTGGCAAAGTCGCCATGTCCAGATCTGGCTGCTAGAAGTCTGTGTAGAGTGCTCCTCTTAAAGGATATAAGGCCTCTTTTAGTTACTGCATGTAAGTATACTTCTTGATATCTAGGTTCTGGTTGGTCTTTCTACCATTAGTTGAACTCTTTCTTGCCCTTTCTCTTGAGATCTCTCTTGACCCAAGAGATTATAGGAAGGTTGATCATGTCTGTTTTTAGTATAGCACCCTCTTTTGCTAATATATCGGCAGCTTCGTTACTATCAATATCTCTGTGTCCAGGAATCCACTTGACGGTCACTCCAGGAGTGTGTACTGTGGCGAGTTCTTGGAATCGCAGAAAAATTTTCTGTGATGTCTCGGGTGGAGTCCCATTGAGCCCATCCACCATTGATGTGTTGTCCAGGCAGACATATAGCTGTTTTCCTTGTCCAATTGCCCTGGCTGCTGCAAGACCTTGGAGAGCACCATGGACTTCAGCATCCATTACTTCTGCTTGTAGAAGTCTGCCCCTTTCCCGGTATACTTCTTGTGTAGTGCCGCCTTTCCTGATGGTATAGCCCCATCCAGTGCAGGTTGTGCCTTGGTCGTCCAATTGTGATCCATCTGAATAGATGACAAGGTCAGTGTTCGCATTTCTTTCCTATAGCCATTGCTTGAAGAGCTCTATTTCTTTGTCTTTGTCTTGACGGACTGGGGGCTTCTTCCATAATGGCTTGGTGAGTATTGGTCTCTGGAAGTCAGGGATTAGTTAGAAGCTCCTTTGTAGCCTTGTTGGTTCTTTGTGAGCTTGTATTTGGAGCCTGCTAACAAGAGGGTGTCTCTAGTCTACTCGTCCGAGTCGGAGGCCGTGACGTCTTCTTATTGACTCTGTAAGAATTCCTGCTGGAGGAATCTGTAATTCAAAGTGTAGGATATGTCCAGGGTGTGTTTTCCAGACTGGCAAGATAGCTCTGATTGCCGTTCGTAGTACAGTATCTATCGTTCTAAGAAGCCCTTTAATGCGACATGCTGATGTCCCACCTAAGCTCCCAATTTTTTCTATTCCTGGGTACCAGGCCTGCAGGCCATGTGTAAGAATAGGAATAACACAAGTTTTCATAGCCCTCTTGGTTGACTTTACTGGAAGTCCTTTGACTGTGTTGTATACAAGGGTCAAATCAATTACACGCTAGTCCACTGGTGTACACGCTAGTGGAGCACTTTGGCGTACATCCACTGGAGCTGAAGGGGTCATCCATTACATTCAAGGCTTAGTGTAATTGACGTAATGGACGAGTGTATGACAGTGGATGAAATATGGGCTCTGATTAGTCCAAAAATCTAAGAGCCCCGTTTTTTACAAAAAAAAAAATTCCCGAGCTTCCTATAGGATCTGAACGTAGCCTTTTCCGCAAGGCAAACTTTGCGCTACCATACCACTATACCAAGATGATGCGCATTTAATCAAGAGTTGGGCATTATATCACTGGTAGAAACATTGACATATGATTTCAACCACCTAGCTAGCTAGCATGCAAATTCTGAATGCAGCCACCAAATGGCACAAACAACATTCAGACCACACAAACCACTCCAAAGCAGGCAAATCATTCAGATTCACTCGAATACGACCTAACCACTCGAACTCACCTGTTCATTCAATTTTTTCGCCTCGAATTGCAAGCAGTACCCTCAGGACGCTTCACCATGGCCGGTACACCCGAATCCTCGATACACGGTGGCTCCGAGCCTCTCAACGACGTCCCTTTGTCCGCAACCCCCTCGCCAGCACCCCAATCATCTCGACGAGAATCCCTCCGCCACGGCATCTCTCAGGGCGACGAAGCCTTCCTTTTTGCGTGTTTTCGTGGCTACACGTGGGCTCAGTGGAAGCGAGGTCTCAACTCCTGGGCCTGGGATCACGGATATGACATCCAGAAGGGTAGGACCTTCAAATGGGTGTGCCAATACTGTATCACTCGCCGCAATCCCGTACCCGATTCTTTCATATCTGCAGGCCTTCAGAACGCCATACAGCACCTGTATCTAGTCGAATCGATCTCTGCCCCTGGGGGTGAAAAGACCAGATGCAAGGCACAATTACGAGCCGAAACAATCAACGATACGAGCCAACAACGGCTTCACCGATATCTCTCCGTCAACCCAGAGAACCCTCGAGACCAAGCAATAACCAATAGCATGCTGAAGAACTTCGATCGAGATACCTTTCACCGCCTCCTTATGGAATGGATCGTCGAAGAGAACCTTCCTTTTACTACTGTGAATCATCCCAAATTACGCCTTGCACACGAATACCTCAACCCGTGTATCACAGACCAAAGCGGGCACATCTCCTCGACCGGGCTACGCAAAAAAATCATACGCGAATTCCAACGGCACAAGAGAGCCATCATCGAGGCGTTGAGGGCTTCACCTGGCAAGATACACGTATCCTTTGATGGCTGGCGGTCAGGTAAGCATTGCGCTTTGTATGGCGTAGTCGTCTTTTTTAGAGATGAATACAACAAGCCTTGCAAGTTAGTTCTCGGCATCCCCGAGGTCTCCATTCGTCACACAGGTCAAAATATTGCCACGCAAATCGTCGAAGTCTTGAAGATGTTTGGTATTGACCATAAGATCGGCTTTCTTATTCTCAATAACGCTGCCAATATGGATACGGCATCAACCGAGATAGGGCTAGCCCTAGGCTTCGAGGGCAAGAAACGGCGTGGCCGGTGCTTCGGGCATCAGTTGAATCTCTCTGCCAAATCCTTATTGTTTGGTACTGATGTTGAAGCATTCGAAACAGAGATCAGCAAGGTCGAATCTCTTTCGGTTGCTGAACACGCGTTGTATCACCGATTAGGCTCTGTTGGCAAGGCTCACAACCTCGTCGTTGATATCTGGCGATCTGACCGCTTGCATTACATCCTTCTTGACGTCCAACGGCAAGATGTCCTCGATTTCACAGTTCCTCACACCAGGGCACTGTGTGTCATCCTTGATAACGACACTAGATGGCTTTCACAGTTATATATGATCCGCCGTCTTATCAAGCTTCGCCCGTATCTCCCTCGAATGATAGCCCAATTTAATCAGGAATGGGAAGACCAACACAGATCCAAGAGGACTGGCCTCGTTAGTGGCAGGGCCATGACAAGGCGGCCCCGAATCCTCAAAGAAGAGAATCATCTAAATGATCACGATTGGACCGTTCTTGAGCACACTGCCGCTATCCTTACTGACTATGAACACACCGTGAACTTACTCGAAGGGGATGGCATGCAACGCAAGCGGAAAGGATGGACCGGTTCGTATGGTAACATCTGGGATGTTATCTTTGGATTTGAATTCCTTCTCGGCAAGCTTGAGGGTTATAAAATTACTGCTAACAAGCTTCCTGACAGTGAACACTTCGTAGCTAACATCAACCTTGGTTGGATGAAGCTAGACGAATATTATCAGAAGCTCGACGAGACCCCCCTCTATTACGCGGCTATAGCCCTTCACCCCCGATTCCGATGGCACTGGTTCGAACAGAAATGGAATGATCAGCCCGAATGGATTCAGAAGGCAAAAGATTTGGTCCAAGAGCTGTGGGATACCGAATACCGTGATCTCGAGATACAGAACACCCTTAATGACGACGAGCCTGCCCAAAAGCGCCGTAAAATCGATCTGAACCCTCTCGAGGAAATCATCCATCAACAAGCAAGCTCGGCCCCAATTTCACCCACTCTGGGAGACAAATACGAGATCTGGCAGTCTCACGAGACTGTGAATAACGCAATATTCGATCCTTTAGCCTACTGGCACGAACGACGTCACCAATACCCTCGTCTCTCACAAATGGCGCTTGACATCCTCACAGTTCAACCGATGTCTGCCGAATGTGAGAGGGTTTTTTCGGCAGCAGGGCGGATGACGACTAGCCTTCGTGGCGCCCTAGATGCTATGATCATCAGTCTCTGCCAGGTACTGCGTTCGTGGCTACGAGCTGGTGTTATACACGAGTTAGACCCCGTATTGCTGTCACCCGACGAGAAGGATGAAGTTGATTACGTCGAAAGGATGTCCTCTGACGAGCTCGCAAAGTGGGCAACTGCGTGGATAGCAGTTAGCGAAAGGACACGTGAAGCAGACGACAAAGAATACTGCTAGCAGTTGAACGAGAGGCTATTACACCCTTTCGGGCAAAGGGACAAATATTACGGCTTTAGCACGAATATGGGGGTGTCAGGGCCATCCCAGATGAGGAATTCAGCTTTACCACCAAAAATATGTACATCCACCATCAATTACATCCATTTGGGGCTTCAGTGGACCACTATTTTGTGGATTTGGTGTAAATCCTTACATCCACGCGAATCCGTGGCTTCGTGGATGTAATGTAATTGATTTGGGCCCTGGTTGTATAGTCCTCGAAGGTGGTTTGCTACCTTACTAGCTTTCTTGGCCCAGTAGGAAACGTGATCTTCGAAGTTCAGTTTTCTATCCAGGAAGACACCCAGCCATCGCATGGAGTTCTTTGCTGTTCTGTTTATTATCCCGTGGCGGACCGGAGGATTGTCTGAGTTCTTTTTCCGTGAGAAGTGCATGATCTCGGTTTTGTCAGGATCAAATTCAATAGCATTGTTATGTCCCTATTGGTTGAGCAGGTAAAGATTTTCAGAAGCCTCTTTGGCTGTTTCTTTAAGGTCCTTTCCAATACAGAGAGTCGCTAGGTCGTCTGCATATCCAAAGCGTCTCCTTTTCATACCAAGTCGAGCACAGATTGGCTCTGTATACAGCATATAAAGGATTGGAGAAGCTGGTGAGCCTTGTGGTAGCCCACAAGTGAGAGTTTTTATGTCGGTCACAATACCTTCAAACCAAACTCTTGCGGACTGTTCAGACATGAATGACTAGACCCATCTTATGAGAAAGTCTGGCCAGCCCTGTTCTCTCATGCGAACCACCAGCCGTCCCATTAGGGCAGCGTCAAAGGCCCTTGTCACATCTGCTGTGACTACCGTTGCAACAAGGCCTTGGTCAAGGGCCTGCTTAATATCGTGTATGAGTGCAGCTACCAAGTCGGCGGCAGAGCGCTTTGGCAGAGCTCCAAAATGTTGTGGAGCTAGAATTCCGAGTTTGATAACAAACCAGGCAATTCTTTTTGTAATGAGTCGTTCTAGGCCTTTGCCAAGACATGATAATAGCGATATTGGTCTGTAGGCCCTGGGGTTAGAGTAGTCTTTCTTGCCTGGCTTTGGGATCATCACTATCTCAGCTACTTTGAATGGTTTAGGGTGGTGTCTAATCTGTAGACAGGTCTGGAAAAGGGCTCTGATATGCTCCCCAATGACTGGCCAGCAAGCTTTCAGAATCCGTACTGTGAGGGTGTCTACTCCTGGGGAGTTGCTCTTGGTCCCTATAGTGCACCCTTCAGCCTCTTCCAGTCCGACATGGTATTCAAGGGGGATGTGTGGCTTGGCTTGTGTGATCTGAGCAGACCAGAGGTCAATGATATCGTTGTCTGGGGTACTTCGTTCAAGTGTGGTTAAGCGTAGTGCATTTGCCTTGCTCTCTTGTGACTCAAAGATTTGGTCCCCTATGATGATTGGGGGGGAACGCAATCCTGCTGACAGCTTGTGCCAGGAAACAATTTTGTACAGGTCTTTTGGTTCAGTCGCTGAATCAATTAGAGTCTGCCAGTACTCTCTCTTAGCTTTTCAGACCACACAACGAAATTCCCGTCAGGCTGAATTTTGTCCTTTTTGGCTTATGGTCTGTTTAGAAAGGGCCCTGTATGTCTGAACAGCTGCTTTGTAGTCATCATTCCACCAAGCAGTGGGCCTAGATTGACGGGGCTTCTTGCCCACTATCCTGATACAGCCTTGAATCATATTGATCAAGCTTTGTGTAAAGGTATTCATCTGGCCAGGGGATACACCCAGCCGGGGGAGTTCATGAATCCTGGTTTGGACATTGTCTGCCAGCTCTTGTAGTTTATTGTCCGGTACTATCTAATGATTGGCCTTGGGAACTCGGTCCCGATCTCCCTGAATTGGAATGCCTATTTGTAATGTCTTATGATCTGAGGTGCACTGAAGTACATCATTGACTGAGGCTTCAGCCATGGGGACATCTGAGAACACCAGATCCAGTACATTTCTATCGTCATGTGTTGGGACATCTGGCTCAGAAATCAGATCCAGTCCGTGGTCTGCCATAGTCTGTGCCAGTATGACGCCACCGTGATATCCTGGATTGCTCGAGTCCCAGGATATGTCGCCAGCATTAAAATCTCCAGCTATAACACAGCTAAAAGGTGGAGTCCATACTTCCAGAATATCATCCACTTCCTGTGGGTTGTCACATGGCCAGTAGACACTGGCAAATGTGATGCTTTGTACCTTGACCCAGGTGATGTCTCGTGTAGCATAGGGCCGAAGTTGATCCGCTTAAAGGTGTTTTCTTACATAGATGAGAGATCTGGGCTGTGTACTGTCGCTGTCCCAGGAATCCACTGGTGAGTATATATTGTAATTGGGGTGTGTCTTTACTCCCATTCTCCTGCTTGGTGGTATGCCGACCCAAGACTCTTGCATCAGAATGATGTCTGCTTGTTCTCCTTTGTAGTCAGCCAGGTTGATGGCTAACTCTGTAGGGCCTGCACTCTTTTGTCCTCCTGCTGTATTCACAGAATGGATGACTAGGTGCCTGTATCGATGTGTTTCGTTTGATGTACCTAATATTGACTGACAACAATGGTATCGGCATCTCTGGGATGAGTTGTATCTGTTGTGTCAATTTGCATTGTGGTGTCTTTGTTATTGTTGCTGGGTGTTGACCCAGCTTGGTTTCTGCCTGCTTCGTTGAAGGCCTTGGATCTGGCTCTTTCTCCGGCTAGCCTTATTTCCTGGATTTGTTCCCATGTGTGCTTATGGATGGTACCTTTCATAATCTTGGGGCGGACAGGGCATTTGTTGAAATTGGCAGCATGAGGTCCTTTGCAGTTGACACACTTTGGGATTGGTTTTTCGCACTCTCCCTGGTGTACTGTGTTGGCGCAGTGTGCACATACTTGCTTTTCGCATTGGTAATTCCTACCATGGTATCTGAAGCAGCTTGCACACTGGTGAACCTTGGGGGTGTGTTGAATATGCCTTGAGGTCATTGAGTGGGCAAAAAGCGTGAATGGTTTCCTTGCTGCACTGGGCAGAGAGATTATCCACGTGGTTTTTGGATCAGAATCAGTCGTGTCCTTTGAGAGTATGCACCTCAAAAGTCTGTCGCCTGTTTGGGCTTTAACTTCATCGGCAACAACAGTGTCAGTAATATCGATTGTGAACCCTTCTGTACTGATGACCTTTCTTGGGCATCCATCGACCTTGTAATGATACCAGACTGTGTGGGTCTCAATCTTTTGTGCCTTGAGAATGTCGGCAATTTCTTCTCGGAAAGCCAGAAGCTTAGCCTGAGTTGGCTTGTCCCTTGGGTGTAAGGTAAATCCAGAAGGACACCGTGTCACTTCTTTAAGCTCCTGAGGGTGGAGCTTAAGTCTTTTATTCAGTGTAAACTTGATTCCATAAGGCTCTAAGTGGCTATTATCCATGCGGACAAAGACCCAGAGGTCATCCTGTTTCTTCTTCAGTTGGTTGGCAGTGATGAGGGCGCCAGGCTGTGTTTTCTTCATAGTAGTGTTGACTGTCCATGGATGCTGTCGTTGGCCAGAGGAGACAGCTTGGGCGAAGGTCATGGTGGGCTTCCCTATCCCTGTCCCGCCAGGAGTGGTCTTTCTTTTGGGCGGATCTCGGGTTTCCAGCCACTCATTCAGGCATTTGGAGAAGAAAGTGCTGAACTCCTTGGCATGAGAGTATAATTCGGTTCCAGCTTTCTTAAGTATCTTATCGACTACTGTAGCACACTTTTGAAACATTGTCATCCTGGCTTCATAGAGATGCTTGTCTTTAGCCAGTATTTTGGCAACTTGGCCCTGGCACTCTGAAGAAGAGACTTTGTTCCCTGCATCACCTCCAATGGCTTGGTCTGTAGGGATTTTGCTTGACTGAGGTAATTCCAGATTAATGATGCTGTTATTATTGATATTTCGGGATTTTCCTTTCAGAGGGGAAACAGTGGTGAAGTCAGCCTCAGAGACCTATGACGGGCTGCTGTTGATGTCGTCGAGCAGTGCCTGGCGGAGCCTGCTTGGGGTTGCCGGGTCATGTGTTCTTTTAGGGACTGGGGATTTGAACACGCCGCCAGTAGTCGTCTTTGGGACGGCCACTGGCGTGTTTGGGGGCCTGTCGTGAAAGGGTGCCATCCAGCTTGTAAGAAAATTTTTCTGCGCCTTGGCAAGGATAGTCAGGTACTGAGACAAATGCCTGCTTTAGTGCAGATGTAGAGGTTGCGCCCTAACAGCGGGGCGCCAAGAAAAATAGTTGTTTTTGGCAAGAGTGTGTGCAGGTGTCTCGGGTATCTGGAGATGCTTGGGGATGGCTTGAAGAGAAGAAACACCCAGGTCGTACGTGAGGGCGCGTCGGAGTGATGACGTACCTAGGTACGTAGGTAAACAAACCCCTAGGTGGGTCGGACGTGCTCTTTTTAGGAAGTAACTCGTCGATTCGCTTCAGCAAAACCGGCAAGTACCGACTCCATAGTGTCTTGGTAACCTACACTGAACCTTCCTAAGTCTCCGAACACCACCTTTCAACAACGCTGAGGTAATTTATTGAATCGGACTAAGCACAGTGCAATAAGCATTTAAAAGGGTGTATCTAACCAGAGCTGCTTAGTCCTGTGTGATTATTCAAGTATTTCGGAATTTCCACGGGTGATCTGGAGTCTTATCAACAGGGTTCGCACGGAGAGTTATGAGGGCTAAGTGATACCTACCCTTTTTGAACAGTCTGGTAGCAGTCTTTCAGTACTCTGCTGATACGCCAGAAAACAGTAGGGGCGAAAAGCTCTGATTCCGACATGTCTTAATAGGATGAGTGGCTGACATTATGGCTGGTGGTTTTGGTACTATTGAGCTGGGAGCTATGTTGAGCAGTATTCCTCATACGATCCACGACACCCTAAGACTTTCCCAACGATGACGGAGCCGAGTAGCAGGAATCGAGTCATGGCACCTTGTATCCAGCCAGGCCAGGACGGACTGAGGAACTCGGGCCAATTGTCCATCCTCCAGAACAGGTTCCTCAGCTCCAGATCCAACGTCCGCATCCGCCAGCTGCCATCACCGGCGCTTATCGCGTCTAAGATGATGCCGTTGAGATTTTTGAAGAATGCTTCCTTCTGGCCGTCCTTCGGGTCGGTCCATTCCTTGACGACCAACTCATCATCCAGGCCTGCGCTCGGGCTCCGGCGCCATTCATGGACGGTACCGCGAGGGACGATGACGACTCCGTCAATGGCGCTGACTGAGGGCATCATGGTGCCCGAGAGCCTGATTTCTGCATGACCGGACAGTACCTGCAGGAACTCGGTGTGGTTGTCGTGCCAATGCGGGCCTGAGGTCCACGTTGAGTCTGGTGGGAGTCTGATGGTAGCCTGATCTGGCACCGAAAGGTCATACGTGACCGCAGACGGAGCTGGCCGTTTGAATATGCTCTGTTCGGCCGTGCGCGTTCGTGCAGACATTGTTGTTGTCGTCAAGTGTGTCTTGTTTACTTTCTCTGCTTCTGATATCATATCATCTCAATCTGTTGGGTTGGGAACACAAAGTCTCTGCTTCTGATTCGCAAGTTCTGAGATGTGGTAAGGGCCAAGACACGACATTCCACATGATCGAGTCGCTGACAAATGCGACAGCGGTCTGACACTCTGACTCGGAAAAACGTTCTAGTAAGGTAGGATCTGGTGGACACCTCGCACATAGTAGACATTGAAGCTGTGATTCGTCAGCGGTGAATACGTGCCGCAGACGACCGGCTGGCGATACTCGGTCACTCGCGAATGTCACAGCAATAGTTTTCGCTCATTGCGATGACATCTGAATTTAAGGACTATAATACATTATTTACAATAAGTAGACATTGCTTATTCTCGTCTTGGGCAGCACCATGCGCCGTAGATAACGGCCCGGAAACCAATATTCCGCCAGCACCCATCATCCACTACGGTACCCCCTCTCAGTAGCACGGGGCTTCGGGCTAGGCATCGACCAACACCATTCTCACAGCTCTCCTTGTCGTGAACTCCAAACACCGATATTCAATCGCTATCTCAAAAGTGATTCAGGCACCCTTTCAAGTTGAATCCGTCATAGTCGCGCTGATGAGCCCGTTGTTGCTCCCCTGCTGCTGATTGGACGCGCCGTCCTTCAACCAGCAATTGCCAAAATTCGCCGAGATTTGATTAGCCATGTTATTACTAAGATACAACTCGCATGCCTAACCGAATGCGAACCGCACCCGAGGCTGGGGTGTCAGTTGTTGCTTACGACTTAAACTGCACAGCCCTATGGGAATTCGTTCATGCGAAGTCTCACATGGTGTTCCCACAGGCACGGCCATTACCTCGGGCCAGCCTACCAATTTTGAGACAGGCTTGGCAATCTTACCGCGCCACTAAGCCGCTACGCGAGCAGAGCCCCCGGCTTGTGCGAATTGAGGCGCTGGATGCTAATCGTAGCTGTCAGCTGCTTGAATGTAGGTTCATGATGCCGACTCTCTCGCACGCGGTACACTTCGGCTATCTCCCGCGCAACAGCTTTCCGCTCGTCGAAGCTGTTGCTAAAGATGCGGCTATGCCTATGACGGACGTGTCGACAGGCTTGTCACCTCGCAGCACTTCGCACTTGCTGGCCCACGTGTTATCCACGGTAATAGATTTCAAGATTGATACCGTCTCTCAATCTGCTGGATTAGGAACATCTAGTCACGGTTATAATGCTCGTACCAAGCTAGCTAAGCAGAGTTGCGGTTATGATATACATGGCGACTTGATGATTGATGATTTTGATTGTATTTATCGTGGGTGCAGTCCCTCCATAGGGCAAACCACGCCTCCCAGTGCCATTGCAACGCAAGGTTGTAGAGGTGTCAGTCTAGATACATTCAGATCCGCGCACGAACCTATCCTCGCTGTAGCGGTACCAACCTCGAGTGACCAGATGGTTTTAGTCAATACTCAAACACGATTCTGTCAGAAAAACCTCCTGTCCAGTGACTAAGCGACCCAGTGAACCTCAGTCCTCTGGTGTACACATCGTTCCAGTAGCCGTTCGATATATGTCGCATTGGTGGGTGAAATAGGTGTTTATTATCTGCTGATGTAAAGTCTCGTCGCGAGACTCAGGATCCACATAGGTGGAAGCAGGCAGTGGGACGGGGAAATATGACATGAAGTCATCGAGCTCGTGGACAGACAACGAGACTGTTTTTGGTTCCCAGGTGTGTCGCCAGATTTTCCGGCGAAGGTCTGCAGGTAGACGCGGGAAAGGGGAGAAGGTGGAAGGTTGGCGAGACTCCATGTTGCAACGCGCTCGACCTTTGGAGAATGGGGAGTTTGCGGCAGAGGAGTTTGCGGCAGAGGAGTTTGCGGCAGAGGAGTTTGTGGTAGAAACAGTTGATGGATATCGAGAGAACAGGAAATTTGGTAGCTGTGCAGGTTCTGTCTTTTAATGGCCTCGAGGAAGCTTTCTCCGATGCCAATCAAGACACGAGAGGGAATGGCTGACTCACTCCGCCACAATTGAACTTTAATAGGTTAGAGTCTTTTTTGCTTTCTTAGACACTTGATGGCGAGGCTGTTATGAACTATGACTGGGATGTTACGGTACATGTGATTACTGACGAAGACAAAGCAAGTTTTTAATCAGCGTATGGTGGTGAGGCTCAACAAACCCGGACCTATGAATTTGCTTGTCTGATCTTGGGGTTGAATGATAGTCTTTAACGCCGTGCAACGCTCAACGCTCAATCTGGCGCAGTGTCGAGCCTCCTGGTGGGCATAGGACGTAGCGACGCACTTGCATACATACGTGAACAAATGATCCCATTCCGTACCGCGAGGGCCATGCCGTATGGCGAGTACGTGTTCACTCCTCCCAGGACTTCCGCGCCTCGTGGCATCGGGGTTCGAAAGGCTGATATTAGGTTTCTAGCTTCCTTCACCGGTGGTCAACTGGGCTCTGCTTTTTGTTGTCTTTTGGGGTATTTGGGTTTGGCTCCTCCCTTCCCGTCGAAGAGCATAAAAATAAAAATAAAATCGTCTCGACGCGGTGGCTGTGCCGCGAGACATCGAGAGGTAAGAGTCTTTGCAGAATAATCTTATGGTTCGGCCTGTCCGCTTATGAAAGTGTAGAAGTCTGCCACCGTCTTGCTAATATGTCCTTGGATCATGGTCGTACCATCATTGTAGGAACGATGCAGTGTATCGTACTGTATCCTGACGGTCTTTGGCCTTTGTGCCAAGTGGAGGATCGAGTTGACTGTAAAGGTGAATGAAAAGGGCTTCCCCAAAAAGCACGCACTCTCCAGTATGATGACACCAAATCGAAGAAAATTTGGTGGTTTTGGTAAGATCAGCCGCGTTTGTGAGCCTCAAGGGGGAAGTAAATAGGTCTCGAGCTGGGTAGACCAAGGTATGTTGAGAATCAAGGCAAACACACCTCCTTTTGGCATAACGTAAAGCCGCACAACGTAAAGTCACACTACGTGCGAAATCTCGCCACCTTCTTCAGACCTTCAGTACCAGGGCCACAGCCAGGACACTTCATCAAGTCCAGAATGGACATCTCATGGGCGACACTCCATTCAAGGTAGTAAGCCAAGAACTCCATGGTCAATATATATATCTCCCAACGTTAAACGTGCGTCGAATGAGTCGGCTGCTATTGGCTTCATACGAGACATGCCATATTGACAAGGCAGCACTGCAACGTAGTTGATTCACACCGCTGCTGCTGAGTCACAGGTGTCGCTGACGTGGAGGCAATATAGTCGGTTCCCATCGGCTGTACCGTTCGATAGACCACCACTCTGTATCATGTTTGCCACGTTGAGGAAGAAGTAGGCTTACTAGCGTGAATCTGATACTCAGCATACATGTCTGGTTTGTCACAGAATACATCTGCTGGGTTTGCTCCGCCATCTCCCGGCTGTTCGTATGGCCAAATATGACTGCGAGTGGTCTGTGACTAGGCACTTATGTCATAGAGCTGCAAGTGGGCATGCATAAGAGACAGGCTGAAACAGGCGCGCAGCCAATCGAGCGACAGGACGGGCTACCGGTAGCAACGCCAACGGAGTTGAGGACAATGGGGACGATGAGTTCCATTCCGTGGTGCTAGAAACTGCATGCATATGGTAAAAATACCCCTGATCGGCGCCCCATAAAGTATAGTGGGAGAGGGGTACCCCGCTGACTGGTCTAATGCTACCCCTCCCCCACCACCCTCACATCCACACGGTCGGGTCCCGCCATGTCAGTCAGAGTCTCTTTTCCATCATCCAGCATCGATCACATTTTGTCGATCTGTAATGCGCACCTTTCCCCCTTTCCCCCTTTCCAGTCATTGCCATCCCGCCGACGTCTTGAAGACTGCCGGCTCTCTCCTAATTTTCTCCGAGCTGCGGGCGGTCGACGCGAGGCAGCTTGCCAGCAGCTTGTTTCACAGACGAGACACGTATCCCGGGAGCTGATGCACGCAGACAAACCTGACAGTCGATGTTATGAGCCATGTGGCAGATCCTCTGCAGCGCCAACCAGGCCGGCCAGCAAACACAGCGCCATCCCGATGTTCCACGGCATGGCCGAGAAAACGGTCTGCTGCAGCGCCCAGGATCACAGGGGCGATTCCAGGTCTATGCTGGTGGGATCTGGCACCGGGACAAACCTCACCCATACCGTAACAGATCTGTCATTGTCGTCCTGTTGCGAAGCCGAACGAAGAGGTTGTAGCTCGTCAGCATACGGTTGACAAGGCGCATGCTCTGCGCGCGTTGCTCAACCCTGCTTTTACCTGCAGGCAGCTGTACTCCTTCACCCCGAGCATCCATTGCAACGGTAGCATTCGAATCCCCACCCCCTGCCTGCCCGAGTTGAGGCTGCATCACCTGAGGGCGGGTGCAACATGCATACACACGTACACCGCACACTTGGTTCCCGAGAGCTGTGAGCTGTGCACATGTAGTCTGTGAGTGACTTGGGATCTTTTACGATCTAGGCATGACATGTCATCGATGATTCACAGATCCAGCGACACGTCATATCTAGATCGCCCCGGGACGAACCAAACACGATATACCGGACAACCCTTTGCATCTTGACAGGTGCCTACCCCTGACAAGTCAACGACCGTCTGGATTCCTGGGCTGGCTGGCTGACAGCCTCCGTTAGATCCTGTTGGGAAACGCGCGCATGCAGAAAGGTGTCCGTCAGAAACTCCCTGTCAATGTTCCTCTCGGATTACCAACCACCAGGGCCAAGCTCGATTGGCACTGCAATGTCAGATGCCTTCGGGAGCCGTGATGTGAAAATGGCTTCAATATGCATAGAATGAGGACATGAAACCTGCTCTATGATAATCCTAGGGCGACAGCGCACAAAGAACGGTAGGTCGGATCCTACAGGCACCCAGAGGGATTGGCTCCTCCACGGTTTTAGTCATGGTGCTTGTCAGGATGGCACACGACAGAGACGGACCTATTTTTGTCTCCAACGAGATTTTGGGCGAATGTTACCTCGTCTCCATACGTGGACGACTCATCACTGATCAGTTTGTCTGCTGGCCCGAGAGTCCATCGGCGCCCAGCCAGCCTGCGCCTTCGATCACAAGTGGCGGGTTCCCGATTCACACGCCATAACGTTATGTACCCTGGCTCTCCACCGCGGCAACGGAAGATCTGATGCAATCTGTAATGAGCTCGCCTCAACCTTGCAGATGGTTCACCGTTGACGATAGCACTGGCCAACCTCAGTCCCATGCCTCGCGGAAGTATCGACAGTGACAGGGATCTGCTAGCCAAACATCCGGTAGCACGACAGACTGCCAATGCGAACAGGTCTGGCGTCATGTCTGGACTCTGAACTCTGACTGTCTGGACTCTCAATATCACAGGGCCACGGGTTAACCACAGGTTTCTTGTGATATGGATTTGTGATGAGACTGTCGGTCTGGGATCTGGGGTCTGGGATCTGGGAGATTAGACCCCAGACCACAGCTTAAAGGCCAGAAGATCCCCCCCCCTGAACGACCCCGGCAAGCACCGTTGATGCGGTGCATGTAAGTAGGTACTAAGGCCGGGTAGGCGGTAGCACGGCACTTAAGTCTTACATGCAAAAGGTTCCACTTCCCAAGTCATGTGTTTGCGCGCATCTTTCCCACAGCCTCGACCTCGATCAACCTTGGTGAACAAGAACAACACGCAGACTTGACACGACACCGACACACCACACCCTCGCTTTTCAGCTCAAAGTCGACGTCTGTCTATCTGTGAGGCGTCCGTCCGCCCGCCCTTCTGTCATTGACACGAACACGTCCACACTGCGGCACGGAACGCGTTGGCCTGCTGACGCTTCCTAACCTACCTACCTATTCCAGCTGCTTCGCCGCGGCGCCTTGCATTGACCCAGCCTTCCTGACTCAACTGGTCAACTGGTCAACTGGACTTCCAACATCACACACTCGCACTGCGCCCTTCAGTCCTTGGCCTTCCTTACGTAGCCTCGAGAGCCGAGACGACCTGGTGTGGACTCTGTGCCCCTCTGCACGAGTCCCTCTTGTTGGGCTTCAGACTGCATCGCCACAGGGCTGATCTAACCTCGTAAGGTACTGCAGCTACCTTACCTTACCTTCCAGGTTAGGTACCTCAACATAACCACCAAGCTGGTCATACGGCGGTCTGACCGAAGAGCCTCACATATTGGCCACGGGATCGCCACAACGCTGCCTAGCTGCGGCAACCTTCGGCTCGTCAGGACTCAGGCCTACCGGCTGCCTCTTGTCTTCAGCCTCACTCACTTGTATACAAGTAGGTCCAAGGAGCGCAAGTACATCGGTTCTGGCATTGGGGTGAGTATGTATGACCCAGTCGTGTAAGTAAGTCGTTCATTATCTTCCCTCATATCTAGAGCCTCAGCTTGCAACATCATACAAATCCCCGTGCTCTCTGTCACCAGGTGGACCGAGGCTTCCTGTTCTGCCAGCTATCCCATGAGGAACGCAGGAAGCAACTGTCGCCCGGCACTCTCTTGACAGAAGAAGTCGGCACCCACGCCTCCAATACGTACCAGATCTCATTCCTGCCTGTACCTGAATCTTCGGCACTTGTACTACATGTGTGTAGATGCCTCCTAGCTCACTCAAGCTCAAGCTCAACTGAAGACTGAAGGCGCCTGGCTGATTGGTGCCAACGAGCCTTCCATTTTCCCTACCTATACGCTGGCACCTTCCGTTCTATAATGTGCTGGTGATTACCCATTACCCACTCGTTCGCCTCATTACTTTACTCTGGCGGACGTCACCACCTGCGCAAACCCAGCCATCACCACATTCCAATGTGTTCCTGACGCCATCCCATTCATCTCATCGGGACCCTTTGCAGCCCCAGATAGCTGCACTTGCAGACGCAAACTTTTCCTTGCTCCTCCCGATAGACAGTATACTGTTCCCTTCATCAACGTCCTTCTTGAAGGTCTGCATTCGTTTCCTCAGCCATTGGCCAATTCATCCTCCGCCCATGCTGTTGTCTACACAGCAACCCCAACAATAGCTTCGAGTGCGAACCCATCCTCCCCCACACCAATAATGCGGCTCCGGTCGACATATTTCTTGGCGATTTGACTACTTCAATTCGTACCCAAGACCTAGAATATCACATCTGACGTTCTGTTTCTAGAGATTTCCCATCAACCACTTCCTCCCGCCATCCCACTCTACCTGTACTTGGTTGACCGACGTCGTGGCCTCTTCACCTACGGCATCACACGGACCTTTCGCCTTTACTTGGCCCCATTGACCACGCAGGTCTAACGTCAGCAAGATGGGGGACATGGATCTGCTGCGGATGCAAGCTGTCCTGCACTACGTCTATCCCTTGTTCGTGTTTCTGTACTTCGTCGTCACGTCTAGTATTGTGACCTGCACCTTCAAAGCCCCAGGCGCGCCCAAGACTGTCCACGCACGACACAGAACTATATGGTATCTGCTGCTCCTCTTCACCGCATCATTTGGCGGTCAAGTCATCCTCAAGGTCATTGAGATTCTTTCGTGGGGTCGCTGGCCATCGCAGGACACCATCCTCGGACTGCTTTCGTGCATATTGGTGTTCGGAATTGAGCAGACCAGCCTGTCAGATGCCTCGACCGTTACGTGGTATCCATTCTATGGATCCTGGCTCATCGCCCTTTTCTTCGAGCCCTACAACGCGGTACTTCTGTTCATCGGCGCCCACAAAGCGGAATCTGGGAGACCGGTTTCTCAACCAAGCAATTCAGCACCGCTCTTCCTTCAGGTAGACGCTTCCTTGGCCATTGCTCGCTTTGTCCTTGTGCTGGCCGTATTGCTAGCCTACTTCATATGGCGCCCTCGCGCCGGAACCGAAGGCTCCGACGAAGAGCGATCGCCATTGATCCCGAAGCTCGGCCAGACCTCGAGCGACGCCGAAGGATCCACGGACAGCGGATACGGAACCAACTCCGATGTCACCAATACCGAAGCAAACAACACGGACACTGTCAATTCCCCAACTGATCCGGAATCACCATGGGAACGCCGAGAGCGGGAAACGCGTGAGAAGATTGAAGAACGCCTGAAGGACGAGGGTGGCTGGATCGGATACGTCAAGGGGTTCAAGATCTTCTTCCCCTATGTCTGGCCCGTCCACAATCATCGTTTGCAATTCCATGCCGCGCTTGTGGGCCTCTGCCTACTGGCCAAGAACGGTCTCAACTTTTTGATACCGCGACAGTATGGAGCAGTGATGGACGCTCTCAGCAATGTCTCTGGAGAGAACCCATGGGTGCAGGTGCTCATATTTGCTGGTCTTCGCCTCCTCTCTTCAGAAGCTGGTATCCCACTCCTACAAAACCTCCTTTGGCTACCGGTGGAGTTTTACGCCCAACAAGCGCTCACCACTGCCGCCTATGCCCACGTCATGAACCTCTCTTCCGAGTTCCACGATACTAAGAGTTCGTCGGACCTTATGGTGGCCATTAACAATGGCCACTCTATCTCCGAATTGCTCGAGTCCGTCTGTTTCCAGGCAATCCCCATGATGATAGACTTGGTCGTGGCGTTCACGTACCTTTCTGTCAAGTTTGGCCCCTACGAAGGTTTCATCACCATTGCCACTGGTTTGGCCTTCGTACAAGCCGCGGCTCGGCTCATTTCGAGCTTCAAGGAACAGAGGAAGAAGATGGTTAAGACGTAAGTATTGCTATATCAGGCCGCTCACCAGTGGCCATTACTGACGCCAAGTGTTAGATACTACGAGGAACATTACGCCTGCCAAGCGGGCATTCAAGGTTGGCACACCGTGAGTGCTTTCAACCAGGTCCCGTATGAGGAGAACCGCTATTCCGGAGCCGTGGTCTCCAAAGTGACAGCCTTGAAGACCCTCTATTCAGGCTACGCTATTGGCCATGCCTTTCAGTACTTGATCCTACTCGCAGGCTTGCTGGCTGGCGCTTTCCTGGCTGTCTACCAAATCACACACGGCCAGGCAACCGCAGGTGATTTCGTTATGCTTTTGACATACTGGGGTCAGCTCACAGGGCCTCTTCGATTCTTCTCGCAGTTGGGCAGGAGCATCAGCAACGATCTGGTGCACGCCGAGCAACTCCTCGAGATAATGCGAACGAAACCGACTGTGGTCGACAAGCCTGACGCTCGACCATTGAGGCTTAAGGGGGGTAAAGTTGAATTTCGGAACGTCAACTTCAGCTACGACAAGAAGAAGGACATCTTGAAGGGCGTGAAGCTGTCTGCTCCGCAGGGGAGCACAGTAGCATTCGTGGGTTCAACCGGGGCTGGCAAGTCGACCATCTTGAAACTGCTCGACCGATTCTACGACGTCACTGGCGGTTCCATCTTGATCGATGGGCAGGACATCCGCGATGTCACCATTGCCAGGTATGGATCCTCCACTCCATTTTCAGCGTCCCCTTCACTGCCTTGAAGCTGTTAGCTTTGATGGTATTCTCTTTAATCCAGTCCTCGCTAACATCATCTCTCGCAGTCTACGCCAGGCCATTGGCATTGTCCCTCAGTCTCCCATTCTCTTTGACGACACTGTCATCAACAACATCAGATATGCTCGGCTATCGGCTTCGGACGAGGACGTCTACAGCGCGTGCAAAGCGGCTGCCATACATGACCAGATCATGGGCTTTACGGAAGGGTACTCAACTCGCGTTGGAGAACGCGGCGTGTGAGTGGTATTCGCAGTGCTTCACTTTCAAATCCGCTAACGTTTGCAGGAAATTATCTGGAGGTGAACTACAGCGCATCGCCATCGCCCGAGCTATCCTCAAGCGACCAGAGATCGTTCTCCTGGATGAGGCCACCAGCTCCGTGGATACGGACACGGAGCAGAAGATTCAGGAGGGGCTCCGTGTTCTCTGCCAAGGTCGAACCACTTTCATTGTCGCGTAAGTCTCCTCGGACCACATCACACATCCACTGGACTGACATGTTTCTAGGCATCGCCTATCCACTGTGATGAATGCCGACATCATCTTCGTCGTGTCTGAGGGCGGAGTTGTGGAGCAGGGTAGCCACGAAGACTTGATCGCCAAGAATGGTAAATACGCCGAACTTTGGTCGAAGCAGGTCTTTGTCAAGGCCAAGAATGCAAAGGAGGAGGAAGAATGTACCGAGTTGGTCCAACCGCAACCCCTGCCGAATACGCAGACGGATGGGTCCCTCGACGAACCGCCGAACGAAGCCAGCACCTCGAGTACTGTCCAGCAAGAATCAACACCGAAGACTGCCGCGGTGACCGTGGATGACAAGGCGGACGGACAGGCAGTGAACACTCCAACGGGGCACAAGAAAGAGGTAGATCCGTCAAAAAATCATTCTTGATTTTCTTGACAGATACTAACCTCTGACTGACAGGGTTCAAAGTTGAATCCTGGCGCTCCGGAGTTCACGCCTCGTTCCCTCGCCATGTCGAAGCCGCTGCCTTCGTCACCCATCCGAAACAGTTGGGCCGAAGACGTGGAGGAAGAGATCACCTCCCCCAACAAAGCACCCGCAGTGGACATGGAGTCTGCTTCATTTTCTACAGTCGTCAAGGCGTATGAGAGCCATACTCCCCCGCAACCAGAGGAGATCAATGCACCAGTCGACCTTTGTGACGTGACGACTGTGCAGCCGACTACTCCGGAAGGCCGGGAATTTCGACCGCGACGCAATACTTTGCAATCCGTTTCTTGCCCTGACGCGCCTCTACTTTCGTTCCAGAATAGCCCTGCTCGCTCCGTTAGCCAGCCTGTGCCACCCACTCCCCCCGTGCCTCAGTCCACTCCTGTCGAGCCTGCCGCAGTTCCCGCAATTAGGCCTGAGCTTGCGCAAGAGAACCAGAAGCCAGGCGAGATCAAGCCGGCCGCGACTGAAGCCAGACCACCCCATGGACCACCCCAGGGACCACCCCAGGGACCAGCTCGAGGGCGAGGCTCATACCGCGGACGAAACAACCGCGGACGTTATCGCGGAAGAGGGCGACGGAACGGCACTAACCCACGACCGAGCCAGGGCGTCAACGGTGGCGGCGTACCGCTCTCTGGTGGCTCTCAGACCACCGCTGGCCCAAGATGATCCTATTTCTCTCCTTTTCTGTGGCAGATGCCAAAAATGCATATTCTAATTTACTGCGTTGTTTATGGGTTACGGCTGCATGTGAAGCTCGTGTTACATCTCTCGGATTCTTCCGGTGTGTGGATTGTGTGAATATTGTTTTGGCAGGTCTCTTGGCAGCGGGTGCTTCATGTTAGCCGGAGCGATCAGACTTATAGACCCCCATGGTTTTATATGGTACAGGCGTTGTTTTTACGACATGAAACGGCCGTGGTGGACGTCAGCGGCGCGTTGGCTTTCCATCTCCTACTGCTATGGATTCAGCACTAGACACGGCGATGCTCGAGGCCCAGTCAGACAGGCCGACCGCGGTAGATGGTTTTCAGAGCTTGTGGCATGGCTGCATGGGCATAGATATGTTTCTGCCCTGGGTTCACCGGCATGGATAGATATTAGACAAGTGGCCTCGTCTTTTGTACGAGTTACGATCAATACCATGATTATTATGCAGGCCGAACCCTCGTTTTCCATTCATTACCACTATCCGAGTTTTGGTCGTCATTCGTGATATCCATCGTCATGCAGCTTCAATCAGGAGGCGTGAGCATGGCTGTCTCATCATAAGGTAGTCAAACGGGTAGTGCATACGGAACCGCAAAAACAGAGGAGTCTTTAGTTCACATGAACCGCGTTCTGCTGTCCGAGACTACTCGTCCCGAGTGTCTTCCGGACCTAATGTCTTTGTCTACAGAATGGCCCATGTGTTACAGCTCATCTGCCCTGACGCTGGCTCAAGTCGAGACCATCCATCGTGTTCGATCACTGGCCTTGGCCCTGTCCGGATCCCGGCGCACCACGTCCAGCACCACCGCCCATCATATTCCGGGCCATTTCGGCGATATTGGGGTCGCTCATAAGGCTGCCGAGGTCGGGCATACCACCGCCGCCGCCGCCGCCGGCGGGACCGCCACCCCCTGTGAAGCTGTTGGCCATCTCGCGCAGACGCGGGTTGCTCATCAGATTCTGCATCATGTCCGGGTTCGACATCAGGCTCTGCGCCATGTTGGCAAACATGGGGTTGCTCATGATGGAGCTCAGGTCCGGCATCCCACCACCCTGGCCACCGCCACCACCTCCACCTCCACCACCGAACATGCCGGCCAGACTGCTGAGATCGGGGGCTCCTCCGGCACCGCGCGCACCGGGACTAGCGGGCGTGCTGGCGTCGGCGTCCTCGTTGCCCAGCTCCTCGACACGCCGCCGCGCCGTCTCGAAGCCCTTCTTCATGGCGTCGCTGCCGCCGCTGCCCTCGTGCTCGATGCCCTGGCGGTAGGCCTCCATGGAGCCACGGGCGTCGCCGAGCGCGAAGCGCGCCAGCCCCAGGCGCGACCAGGCCTTGGTGTAGTCCGGGTCGATGGCGACGGCGGCCTCGGCGTCGGCGCGCGCGCTCTCGTGGTCGCGGGCCGCCGAGTACGCGGCCGCGCGGTTCGAGAGGAAGATGGCGTTGCCCGGGTGCAGGGCCAGCGCCTGCGTGTACAGGTCGATGGCCGACGGGTAGTCCTTGGTCGTCATGGCCTTGTTGCCCTTGCCCTTGAGCTCCTCGGCGCGGGCCTTGTCTTCGGGGGACGGGGTTTTGGTGTCTGCACCTGCTCCGGTAGAGGATGAAGAGCCGGTGGCGGCGGTCGGTATGCTGGGCGAGGCGGACGGTATCGGGTTGTTGGACGACTTGAGCTTCTCGTAGACGCCGTAGATCTGCAGCAGGTTCTGCGAGCCGACAGCGGCGGACATGGCGGCCTTGTCGGCCGGGTCCACCTTGAAGGACTCGCCGATGCAGTTTATGGCCACCTCGATGCTGTCCTTGTCCTCGGAGGCGAGGGTGCCGTCGTTGAGCGAGGTCGAGAGGAAGTCGCAGATTGCGAGCGCCAGGCGCTGCTTCGAGGTCGTGGCCTGTGCGGGGGAAGCGTGTTAGCTGACTGACGTGTGTGGCTTGCTCGTATCTCGCGCGGCTTTTGCGTTGTGTCCCCTCTGCTGAGTGGTGTCTGGACTTACCATGGTTGCTGTTTAGGTCGCTGAGGCTATCCTCGGGTGGGGTTGTGTAGGTCGGAGGTCGGGTCAGGTCTGTCGGTATTCGAGAGGGAGCAGAAGGGAGCAGAAGGGAGAGAAAGGAATACAGAGGATATCCAGGAGCATCAGTTGATGGTCCCGAGGTTGTAATCTAGGTCTAGGAAGTACAGGTGTAGCCTTCTCGAAAATTCAGCTGTTGAATGCACATTGGCAAGTTGGAATGATGTGGAACGTGGGGGAGCAACACAAACAGCATGCAAGTTGCAACCAGATGTCCGGCAAGGCGGTGTGCAACGGGAACGAGGGGCTGCGCGGCCAGGGGCAATTCAGCGCACGTCAGGGTGGCAGAATCCCAGAGCACGGAGCTTGCGAAACGCCGGCAGCACTCACGGGCGGCCTTCTCAAGCACCTGCAAAGTTCAAACCCTTCAATGTTGCCATTCACATCCGTGATGGAGTTCAAGTGTACGAGATCGGACCTATGGATGACTGTAATAAAGCGTCCAGGTTTTTCTAATCCTTACCTAGGAAGCAGGAAGGATGCTCACCTCAAGAGACTCACGTGCAGGTCGTGGGTCGTGTCGGTGGGTGTAAGTGCTCCGATCGCGCCATCGGCCCTGATTTTTGAGTCACCAGGTAAAGAATGACCTCCATCGATTAGACAGTTGCTGTCTCATACTACTTCCATCTTCACCACCTCACGCTCATTTGACCATGGCTTCCGCTTATTCTCGAGATCAGCTGGGCCAATTCCTGGATTACACCCAGCTTCCCCGGGAACTTCACCATGTGCCCCCGTCACTTTCTCTCCTGAGGACCCTGCATGTCTACATGCTGGCCGCCGTGCCCTACGAGAACCTCTCACTGCACTACAACGCCACTCACACCATTGACATCGACCCCCAGCACATATTCCAGAAGATCGTGGTAAACAGACGCGGCCGAGGTGGCTATTGCATGGAGAATGCCCTCCTTTACAACCACGTGCTGCGTGGTCTGGGCTTTGACGCTTACACGGCAGGCGTCAGAACACGACCGCGGCTGGAGGGCGTGCCCCAAGGAGATTTCCCTGGATGGATACACATCATAAGTATCGTCACCCTGGACGGCAAGAAATACCACGTCGATGTCGGTTTTGGCGGCGATGGCGCGACGATGCCGATGCCACTTGTAGACGGCCTTGTTCACAGGAACATCGGCACACAGGAGATCCGCCTGATCCGTGACTGGATTCCAACGCAGACACATCGCACCGAGGAGCACAAGCTGTGGATCTACCAGTACCGTAACGGCGCCGACAAGGACTGGAACTCGTTCTACGCCTTTCCCGAGCTCGAGTTCATGCCCCTGGACTGGGAAGTTGTCAACTGGTGGACTGGGTCCAGCCCCAAGAGCTGGCAGACCTCTACCGTACTTGCAATCAAGTTTCTGCGTCGGGCTGGGGAGGACGGGGGGGAGACGATCTATGGCAAGCGGATGCTGGTCAATGGCGTGGTCAAGGAGAACCTGGGCGGTAAGACGAGTGTGGTTCTTGAGTGCAAGACGGAAGAGGAACGTGTGCTGGCTTTGGAGAAGTACTTCGATATTCACCTCTCTGATGACGAGAAAGATGGTATCAAGGGATACAAGACTGCACTATCATAGAGGCTGAGGGTTAATGAGCGTGGTGGCCTTCTCTCCGAACTACAATCACCCCCAATAACTAAGTTTCCGTACGGCATGCCTCGATCAACTCTCGGATTTCAATGCTATCCATGTTAGTGGAGATGAGTGTGGCAAGGTGGAAGGTGGTATGTTATTGATCATTGTCCAGCGAGTGGAATAAGCACCCTGGATTAAACAGCTCTGACCCAACAAGTTATCTTTGGGGCTTATTCCGGGGTGTTTATTCCACTCACAAAGAATGCACTCTTAGCTGGCTAAATGAGGATTGCACATATATTTTTTTGGGGTTCAGTGTGTCTGTCACAGCGGCTTACGCGAAGAGAATACTTCACACTACACGACTTAAGTAGATATGGAAACCACTGAGAACTATTTACGATATTGTTATTAGACATTACCTACGTTGCTCTCAGCTACATAACTTTAACCCGATTTACTTTATTTCCAAGCCTTTTAAATCCATTGATTATTAATTGATATTTGTCAACGGCTGAAAGCCTGCTACGGAGTTGTAAGACCCTGCTCTCCCTAATGTGCACCAGGCCGTTGTAAGTTGTCTATTACATCTAGCAAGCTAAATATCGTAGGTGTTACGGTTATTATACTTCGAAGGCTGGCAATTTCTCGACTTCGTGTGTACTCCTTCTAGGACTTCCGGGGCTTGTGCTCTTATGTTCTCTAGCAGACGTGCTGGTCCCTGAGCCAGGGATGACGATCCTAAGCTCTCCGCCCGCAAGGAAAGACTTATAATCATGGTAAATCCTCATCCCCATATAAGAAATGGCCACGACGTACGCGACACCCAGGCCCCCAAAAACGATCCGCGCATCAGGCATCACTCCCTGGGCAAATCTACGTACTCGGGATATCTTTGCCGGATTGTCTCCCTCTGCTCGAGTGACAGGGGCCAACTAGCCAGACCCCGTCGCTCCGGCCCGATGCGGCGATTCCACGCCCATCGCAGTGGTGGGAAGCGGCCGACGAACTGCAAGTAAGAGCCCTCGAAAATATGGGCGTCTCTGCGGGGGTCGGAGCGCACATCCGCCAGTGCGGCATCCCAACTACGTATGCTTTCCTCCATGTCATCCATTATCTCGTGGAAGAGTGGCCCATGGCCGTCCCGTCGCTCGCATTTGACTGCGAAAAAACTTTCGACGCACAAGTTACAGAACGTATTCAGATACGAGTGGATGAGCTCGTGCGCTGCTGTATGGAGGAGCTGTGGCTTACTTTCTAGCACCTTATGCATACGCCGCCATATCTTGATCTCCTTCACCGGCGAGGCCAAACACGAACTTCCAATATAATCCTGACTGAAGGGCGTGCTGTCGAGGAGGGTGAGCTTGACGAATGGCTCCTCTCCGTCCCGGGACAGCAGTGCCCCCGCGAAGAAGTAGAGGTCCAGGTCTTTCATCCAGCCGTGGATGATGCTCCATAGCTCGGGGTCGGTGGCGCTGTTAATGTCGGCGAGCATGTAGTCTGCCACGAAGGCGTGCCGCAATTTCAGTTGCGCCTCTGTCGGCGGGGATTGCATGACCTTCTTGTGGTGCTCTGACAACGCAGCTGCGGTGTAAGTGTGCATGATGAGTGGGACAGGCTTACATGGTTCGGCATCAGGCGGGAAGGATTGGTGATGCGTGGCACATGAGTGCAACCATATGTAGCCTCCAGTGATATGGCTACGCGGTACCACGCTTGAATCCCCTGAGGGGCGACTGTGGGTGTGATAGGGGCGGATGTTGAATGGCACGCAAGCCACCGTGGCGTTCAGGGAGGTGGCAGTGCACCAACAAGGCCAATAGGGCATTTTTGGGCCACTTAGCCCACAGAAGGATTTTCGGAAAGATACAACAAGAAGACGGATTACAACAGAATATACGTTTTCACCCATCTAAAAGCCCCCACGCTCTGTTTGACAGCGGACACATCTTCACAGTGTATCGGTATGGCTGATGATGAGTATCTAGCTTGCTTCGATCAGTTGTTGACTTGTTTTCTGGGATGGAATTCGGAATATTGCACAGCCGACAATGGATTCATATAACAGGTGATAGCTGACAAAGGTTGATTCAGCTCGGTTGTCCGTATCAAGGGACAATGCTATTGTTATCTTGATGAAAGAACAACAGGTCTGAGACGTAGACAATGGGCTTAGTATTGCTACAGCAAGACCATGGATAATTACAACTCGGTCTTTTCTCTATTCAGATGAGCCAACCTCGGATACAGGTCGATGTTACTGGCGGTTATCTGGCGAGTCAGGAGTGAAGCGCGTACTGGAAGATTAAATTGAAGCCCAATGTCTGCCCATGTGATACATGATTGCTAGGTCTAGCACTCGACGCATAATTATGGAATCAGCAAACGTTGCCCACATGTGTTCCGGCTATAAAGCCATCGCACGTTCCATCGCCCCAGTCTGGCTGTGACATTTCGTTCACGCATACCACTACCCTCTTCCCACGGACTTCAACCCACCCCTTTATCGTATATACACTTCTTGTTACGAACCAACAAGACCAGACAGGGGAGGAGGCCCGCGGACAGGCCAGGGTTCATTGGCAGAAAATGAACGATAAGCACAACGCACGGAAGAAGGATACTGCGACACGAGTCACGTGACCAGGGGATAGCTGGGACAGCCAGCTATCCACGATATTCAGGATCGTTGGGATAGCCAGCTATCCATGATATCTGGGATCACTGGGATAGCCAACGATCCCAGATATCCACCTCATCAGTGAGGGAGAGATTGGATATGTAAGGATGGACATTTCCTAGCTAGACAGATAAATAGTCTCTACCTCAGTGATCAATCTAAGTATCTTAGCCAACCTTAAGGTAAGAGAAATTTCCTGACGACTCGACTATTCAGTGATCCCCTGGATCAGACCAAGCCCCAGTATCTGAGTGTCTTCTGAGTTGACAGAAGCCTCTATCGTCCTTTGTGTTGACTTACCTCAGAACATAAACCCTATAGAACCCTTTAGCCTTATAGGTTAGGCGGCTCGTAACACTTCTCACCTTTGCAGCAAGCCCATACTGTAGCGATGGCGCTGCGAGATATGACATTCATTCAAGAAAGTATGGTAAGTAGTCACTTCATGGATGGGCTCCGCCCCCATCCTGTCTTAACACAAGGAAGAACCTTCCACGGTACAGACCAATTACCACCCACCCTTGTGGCTGGCCCCATTGCGGCAAGACCAATGCCAAATTGGCCGCTCATCTTCAGCACATCCGAATGCGGCATCCACCGTTCTAAGAATGCTACTGTATTTTCTGTGTAAATGGAACTTATCCCGAATTCCCCTGCCTGGTGCCGGGGCAGATGACACGACGGTTCGCGAAGAACTATGGCGAAGAATATATCACACGGATGAAGACGCACCCAACTGCGTTGAACGCAGCACCACCAGCCATTACGACAAATTGATACCATCACAGATACGTTAGCCTGCTTCACTGAAGTTGCCCCGGCTTTCAATGAACTCCTAACGATTGGGAACCTCCCCAATATGGGCATGAATTGGCACCAAGACGGAGAGGGTGCCGCTATTGGGGACGTGGTTGCATCGATGTCTCTCGGTGTTTTGCTCGTCATAGCCGTGATCCCTTCTACCCGCACTACAGGGACTTTGAAGCATTTTCAGACCGAGGAACCTACCAACTCATCGACAAGGACATCGACAAGTACATCAAGGTAGCGCTACACCGAAATGGGACATTGGTCCTTTGTAAGGTGTCGCAACTCTGTAAGCGGCTGTTTAGCGAATAGTCTACGGGAAAGGTGGTCGATACGATTAAGGAATGGGTCGACTTGACTCCTCTATCACAGTCAGAGACCTGTCGCCACCAAGCTGACCTCATCTTTCGAGAGACATCCAGAGCGAGATATTGAGAAGTCTACGAGCGTGGAGCAACTGAACAAACGGGCCAAATGCGTGGTACACTACGGAACGTGGGCGATGCAAGGACATTGGAATGAAGGCGGGGGCTTGCGCCTTATACCAGACACGCATTTCAAGAGAGGTGCTACCAATCTGGAACATGCTGGACTACGGTAAGGCTCTGTTCCCGAATTTCAAGAGGCCAGTCCTCGCCTTCTGCTCCGATGTGGTCGGGTTCATGCTGAAGAATGTTGCAAAGGCGCTGAGGCTGGAAAGTTCAGGGGAAAATAGGGCGCCTCTCTATGCCCTGGGAATCAGTCCATGTACCGGAAAGCACAAGGACCAAACGGAGAGCTTTTCTGAACGGGTAAGGGGATTGAGACTTGGATCGATGGAAGTGACTACACAATACGAGTGGATGGAGAGACATGCTCCCTTGCTGGAAGGGATATAAGCAAGCGGCTACTGTGTATATGAGGTTTGATGTATCACAATGTTCACCCCAGACAACCGCTCCTTGGACGGGACGAGATACTTTACCCACTATACATCACGTTGCCACGAGGCCATGTCGTAGTGAAAGCAAACTAAGCTGATGCCTCTGGCACACAGTGATTTGGTACTTGGACAACTTCCTGGACAGCATCACTGCCTCCATAGCCGAAGACAATCAGAAGGCGAATGGATGTAGCATGGGCCATTGACGCAGCTACCAGGTAGGTACCTTGCAAAGCTATGCACACGTGTGCTTTCGAAAAAAGTAAGAGTTATACCAAGAAGTCCAAGCACCTGACACACCGCACCCTAAGTCTCCTTGAATGTAAGGATACGGGTCCCGCGCAACCTCGTCTTCTCCCTCTGCCGTTTATCTCTGTGCCCAAGCCGAAGGAGTTGAATAAATCAACGGCAGCGTCCGAGCCGGGTCACGAGGGAAGTCGATATCGAACTGACCGTAGTACGCCTTTCGCTCCCGCTTGCGTTGCTGCTCGTGTTCCTGACCGGCGCGGAAAACGGCCTGCGAGTTCTCCTTTGTTTGCATGGCCTCAAATAGCTCGCGTTCGGGCGGTCTCTCGGATCCTGCTTCGCCATGTTACGCCGGGCACCTTCGGTTGCAACTCGTACACGTTCCTCGGCGGCTTGCTGACTCCGCTTGCGTTCGATCGCATCGAGTCGCTTCTGCTCGTGCGCATGACGGATGACAGCATTAGGTAGGAGGGAGGCGGGGTGGATGTGGCAGTACCAAGCGAGTGCCTTCGCAATCTGCGTGGTATTGTCTGAAAACGGTGATGCACCTAGGAGTCGGCGCCATCCGAGTCAAAGAGACCATCCTCGACGGCAGTGGGACCGGCGTACGGGAAGCTGGAAGCGCTCGAGGACATGTTCTAGGTAACCCTCTCGTCGTCGGCTTTGTAGATGCTGGGGATGGCGGCGGTGTCGCTGGACAGCGCGGTGGCCGAGGGACCAGTGACGTCGATCTGGGCGCAGTTGAATAACATCTCGCGTCGGGGGCAGTGGACGCCGATGTGCTCGATGCGGAGCAGGTACTGGCCGTTGGGCACCGTGTCGGGATGGTCCCGTCGAGGGTGCCCCGGCCGTAGGAGCGCCAGGCGGTGGCGTCGCTTAGGTCGCCCTCGTCATAGCCGACGACGGCGACCTTGAGCCAGTCGTACGCAGCTTCTGCTGAGCTGAGGAACACAATCCCGGCGCCAGGGACTGTCATGCCCATCTGTCTGTGGAATCCTCGGTGCACGATGCCGGCTCATCGTGGTTCATGTCGGGCTCGCAGCGATCTCGAGTGAATACGCGGGACTTGAGAGCCATGCCATGCGGTGGAGTGTGATGGGACCTCCATCAGACAACCAGAGTGTCTTGACTCTCCCTTCCGTTATGGCATGAGAACATATCTCCAGAAAGGGATTTACGGTACAGAGATACTATGCCACGTGCTTTGCTTCCTCGTATTTTCCTGTCCTGGCTACATCCGGACGATCAACAGCCAGTCAGGCGACCCTTTGGTCGAGAATACACCGCCGTTTCCACACATCGTCAAAGCCTTCAGGTCGCTGAAGCGGTTGAAGACCACCTCGAATGGGTCTGGTTGGGAAAGGAGGCTTCTCCGGGGACACAGACCGATCAAGGTGTGTGTCTGTGGACCTGCGTCGTCTCAACGTTTCGTTTAGGCCTGTTCCTGTTGACAGAAATGAACTGCTTCCACTCCTCGACTTCCTTGGTGTAGCTCAGGGTCTTGCGGACAACCTCAAGAAGTCTCGCTCTCCATGGGGCTGGCTTATATCACCAAGGCCGGCAGATACTGACACATTTAATAGCACGGGAGTTCTGTCTCCTCAATGGGCTTGAAAACGATGGGCGAGACAAGTTCCTGAGTATTCGCATATCGTACTTTGACATCGCAACTCTCTTTGGCGCTTCTGTCCTCCACAGCCGTTCCTGACAGGAGAGTCATGAGTTCGCCGCGCGATACCGCCAAATCAACACGGCCGTGATCTGGTCGAGCATAAGCCCCAGCTCCCGGCGCAATTGGGTCGATCTTGCCATCGTCTGATTCGCCCGCACCTACTATGGAGAGGGTATCGGGGTACAAGACTTCGACGCCTTCCTATCGCGAGTTGGTTTGAGAGACAATTTCACCGCGGTTTGGGCTCGGCCAGAGCTCATTCTTGCAGTCAACATGCAGACCGTCTCGTCGTACTTACTTCCCAGCGGTATTCCCACGGCCAGTGATGCCGATAGGGTCCCGACACGTTGATCTGCCTATGGCGGGGAATAGAAGCTGTCCAGGAAGGATGTGTCGAGAGCTCGGCGTTTGGAGGAGTTCCGGATATGTTTGATGACCAGGTACCCTCAAGCTTACCCAATCGTCGTGCCCACTGTCATTATCGCGGCTGGCCTCTGAGTCACTTGACACTCCCGTCACCTTCCGAGGATTGCAGGCAGTGAGGCTGAGCGCGCTTCAGCTGACAGGCATGAAGTTTGGAAAGCGGGCTGTCAACGAGCCCGAGAAATCTCGGCTTTCCCCAAACTCCGGCTGCCGCCCGCCTCGGCCGAGCCTTCTCGGAGATGGGCGCTGAAGCGAAGTCCTGATATAAGATCACGACGACGACGTGTTGTAGTCGATGTGTTATTGAAAACTGCGCAAACGATCAATAGGGTGATAATCCGGTGCTTGGAATCACGATCTTTATTGGAACGCACACCGTACCACTCAACTCCTTCGGAATGCCTACCACCCTGTTTACAGTGCACGACCTCCGGTTGCTCCTCGACCTCGAGCACCCGGAGCCGGACATGTGCGCAAAAGACGCCAGTCAACACTGTGAAGTACACTGCCGGTTGCCCGGTGCAGAGCAAGGTATGCAGTGAGCCATACGTACGTAAAATATTCTTCAATCATTGCTGACGGTGCATCACCAGACATGGACTCAAGCAGGAGCTTGTACGACCTGTTAGCCGGGGCGCCGGAGAAGCCTCAACAACACGTCTCCGATCATACATCTAGCTTCGGTGAGGTCGCAACGTCAGACCCGGCATGATGTTCCGAAATACGGAAAGTAGCGATATTTGGCTTCAGGAAGCACCCAGCAGGCCGAAAGCCGCTCCGGAAACACACCAGATGCACGGCACATCCAAGAGCGACCCAAGTAGCAGACGTACTCGCTGGGGTCCGACTGCCTACTCACTCCCCTCAACTTGGACCGCCTCAGTGGCGCATTGCGCAACAAGAACACTCTCCACTCCTGCGATAGGACCAAGGTGTCACGGAGGACCCAGCACATGGCGGCGGCCGGGATCAAAGCCCTCAGCGGAGTCACCTCCATCGATATGGAATATGGAAGTCGAATCTAAGCTTTCAGCTCACGAAATCAACCACCTGGGCTGTATGGGAACATCTTCTGCGCGGTCTCGACTCTGCGCAGTCTATGACACACACACACAAGTCCGCCACAGTGTTCTGTCGGATAATAGTCTGGCAGTCGGACCGGCATCGAGTCTGAACTGCACGGGAAGCACATAGCACTTTGGACCAAGGGCTGAACTTGAGGCTGCACTGATCGTCGAAGCACGGCCGCTCGACGCGGAGTACCCGGGCAGTCGATCCGATCCACGACACGATGTCACCGTCATTTGGGTAGCTTATGTACTTTTAGTTGACTAACACTTGTCTGCGTACGGGTGGTTGAACGTCATTTGGCCAAGCGGCCGCAGCAAATATTGCTTTTGTCTGTCTACGTGAATATGTTTGACCCCAGCTAACGGCATACATCATGTTTTATAGCCCAACTCCAACGCCCAACTTCCCCCTATATACTCCATGTAAGCCATCTATGTACCGCATAGCCCAGACTTCCGCTGAACACCGCATTAGATCAGACGGCAGCCCATCCGTGCTCCCTTCTATACCATCTAACAGTGTCCAAGCCCGTCTGAACACGCATGCCCACTCGCGCATCCAGGATGAACGCCTCCCACTTGGCCACCTTGTCGAGCCACGATTGGCAGTCATCCAGTTTCTTCCTCATCCATGCCTCTTCCCCTGTTCTTGTTGTCTTCGATGATACCGAACCCTTCTCTGCTGCGGTGTTTGACGCTTTTCGTAGCTCGGGGTTCTGTCCCTCGACCCAGGCGAGGACGGCCATTTCATAGGTAGCCGCCGGCAATGCGTAGTCGTCCTTGGTGGGACCTTTGAAGGCGAGCCTAGAGGACAATGTGAGTTGAGAAGACCCACGCAAACAAGAGGACACCATGAAACTTACTTATCTAACACCAGCACTTCCTCCAGTATACTTCTGGCCTCGTCAAACCTGCCAAGCGCTCGTATGATGGCGGCACGGCACACCTCTCGCACGGCATGCTCGTCAGTCTCAGCCTTGATCTTAGTCCGGGCTTCCTCGGACGCTGTCAGTCGATCCCACGAGAGCGCCTGGCCGAGCTTTTCGAGCTCTGGTGCTTGCATCTTCTTGAGTCCGTTCCACAGGTAAACCATCTCTTGAGTCGGGCTGACACCAACGGCGTCAACCAAATCGACACCAAGTGCCTTGGATCTCTCCTCCCACTTCTTTACCTTGCGAGCCACAAATAGCTCGAAGGGCATGGGTCGTGACATGAACTGTTTCTTTCCAGCCACTGTCGGGGCTTTCCTGAGCAGCTCGTCTGCCTTTTTCCTGTGAAGTTGGATCCGTGCCTCGTCTTTGGTCTCCGCGTGATAGGCGTCTCGATAGTTCTCTATTTCCGCACAACCAGCGAGATAGTAGTACAGGGCATGGCTCCAGTCGTTGAGTTCAACACACCGCAGGAAGCTGTCGCGCATACCAGTGTAGTCGCCGACATACATCGAGTCCAAGGATAGTTCGAAGCTGTTGAGCGCTGTGACCTGGCGCATCTTGGACGCCGTGTTGCTCTTCAGTATGCTGATGGCTCCAGGTAAGTCTTTGCGGTTCCCTTGGTTTCGAGCTTCCTCGAACCGCCAAAGTCCGCTATCCGGATATCGTGATCGCATATTTGCAAGTAGTGCAGTACACCTCGACCGAGGGTACCCGACAACGGCGCCTTTTTCCACGTCTTCGTCGGTGGGTAGAATGTCGGCAAACCCCAGCAGACCGTTATAGTATACTAGAAGCATGAGTCCCGCCACTGCCCCGTTTATGTTGTCGAACTGGGAGCTCTGCCAAAGCATCTTGATGCCTCGCTCGCGGTCGCCCTTGAAGCCAATGATAGACAAAAGTCGTGAGAAGGTCGGAGGAACCAGGGATATCATCAGCAACAAGACTCCAAAACACATATTGGCACCGCTGTGAATGAAGATGTCGATCGGGTCGCTGAAAATGTCAGAGTCGGGACCGTCTGCGAACCCGGCATGTGCAGGTTGTTCAGTCGTGGCCACTCCCTTTTCAGGCGCGGGTGACGACTTGTCGGTATTCAGGGACAAATCGCCCAACTTCTTGTCAATATCTGTCTCCTTGGCGAGGTGGCCCTCATACTTCAAGGGCGTCTGTGCCCCGGAATGGGCTTCGTCTGCGTCCACAAACTCCAGATCTTCGTCATCATCGTCACCAAATCCACCAGGCATTGTCGCTGATGGGGGTGGCGGCGGTGCAACCTTGTTCTTCGACACGTTTGGCTCCAGACCTCGTCTCTTCAAATATGCACCCTCCGACTCCATGATACCATCCAGCGTGACGAAAGCCTTGCGTAACTTGTAGAAACCCTTGATACCCTCTGTCAAGCTCTCATGTAGAACTGCCACCATTGCTGACATCAGTTGGGCCTCGGCAAGGATCAAGGCATGCTCGCTTCCAGGAGGATAGATCCTGTCTTTCCTTGTATCGGCCGACTCCTTCTGTGCCTTTTTCATCTCGGCCCAAGCACGGTTCTCGCACTCGTTGAGCCGATTGCTCGCTTCCATCATGATGGATTTCTCAAAGCCCAAGATACTTCGCATAAAGGTACACAGCCCGAGGCCGAGCGAGTGAAAGGTCGAGTCGCCCTTTCGTAACCTCTCTTCGGCGCCATCTATATCGTCGTTCATGATCATGGCAGCACTGCTCATGGCATGCTCTATCGAAGCAATTTCTTGAGCACGCAGGTCCACCTGTGACCCGGTTGGGCTCGGGTTGATGCTCGTCTTCGAGGTCGAACCCCGAAGCCATCCTCCCAATCGACTCATGTTGACTTGTTAAAAGTTCACACGAAGCTGGGAAGGCAAGCAGTAAACCGAGCAAGTTCCCTTTCTACCAGTAGCTGTCAGGGGCTGATGGCTGATGCGGTTGTGATACGGGATATGTGGGGCAATTCTACCAACACTGATGCGGCCGATGTGTCATACAACGGGATCTCGTAGGGCTGAGATGCTGAAAATGGGTTTCGCTTGCGGTTGAAGAACACAATGAGTGTGAAACATGAATGGAGTATGAGTATTGCAAGGCGTTGGAGAAATAGCTCAGAAAGACTTCATGCAAGTAGAGCCAAGCAAAGCCGATCAGCTTCTGACTGAGTCCAGTCGCGTGCCCCGGGTCCGGACCAATTCCGCGCAGTCACCGAATCATGAATGCTTCGGGCCACTCTGGGAGATGACGTATCGAAGTCGGGGAAGAGGAGGCCCCGAGCCGGAGTCGGAATCGCGAAGGAATGCAGCTGGGGAGCTGATTATTGATGGATTGGGCAGGCAGAAGACCGTGATAGTATCCCTGAGTGACTGTTTACAAACAAGAGAAAAGACACGGAGATTCTGTCAGCAGAGGTGAGGCAACCTGTCAGAGAAGGTCAATGCCAGAGTTGGAACTGGAATCACGACGTGACGCAGCCAAGCTGACCTGCAGCAGCAACTTGCAACGAGCAGCACATTCCCTGGGCTCTGGGATGCTATGAGGGCGAAGGGCATTTTTTGATTGGTCAGCCGCGATAAGCCTCCGCTTAGCATCAAGTCGGGCTGGTCGGGTTTAACACTATCCGCGCGCGTCGCAGGTGACCGACAGCTGGCAAGCTTAGCGCCCTTAGTCAGAATTCCAAGAGCTACCAACAGCTCAACACTACCAGCCTGACCTCACAGTCGCGCGCAAACGACCACTCCACCATCAGTCCGTCACGAACGAAGCTTACCCATACAAGCAAACTTCACAGCAAAACGATCGCTGCTACTCCCAGAACATTTAACTCATCCCACCCGCCCGATCACACGCCCCGGAACCACCCACCCCAACCAAACAAGCCCTTCAGAAATAATGGCCGTCCCATCAAGCGACAAGGCCGCCACGACCAGCGAGGCGAAGCCCGAGCAGAAGGACGCACAGCAGCAGCAGAAAAAGTCGGCCGCGGCGCTGGAGGAAGACGACGAGTTTGAGGATTTCCCCGTCGAAGGTGCGTTGTGTGTGTCTTGAGGACCTACCTAGGCCCTGACATTACCCTCCCCATCCCCATCCCCAGATCGACAATCTTCTTAATCCTTTATATCCCATTAAAGACCCCGTGGTTATGGTATGGTCTTGCATGAGCTATTTTGTTGACTAACTGATAATTATGTCAAAACAGACTGGCCAGCCGAGGAGACCGAGGCAGCGACGACGACGACGGGCGGCAACGGCACGACGAAGCACCTGTGGGAGGAGAGCTGGGACGACGATGACACGAGCGATGACTTTTCTGCGCAATTGAGGTACGGGCAACGACGTTCCCAATACTCCCTACATTCCGTTGCACATGTTTCAAGCCCGCGAGCTGGTGCTGTCCGGGTCCCATTGCGTCCGATCTCCAGCCGCGGCACAAACTATTCTGCCCTCCACCAGCACCAGCACTTCCCGTCCGCTCATTTCCACAGCCTAATTTACTAATAACAACTTCAACAGAGAGGAACTCAAGAAAGTCGAGGCGTCAAAGCGAAGATGAGAACGGCGAGCGATGGACCTAGTCAAGGCGAGGTCTATACTGCTATGGACTGCTACACAAACGCCTGGGCGAGGTGACAGTCGAGACAGGCAACGAAGGAATTGTATGCTACCAGCGAGGGCTTTGCTTGACTGTGTGCCATGAGTTGTCCAGGCAGGCATACTGGCGGGCGGATGATTAATAGACGGGCTTGAAGCCTACATCGCATGCAGCCGCAGGACGATATGATCTGTGACCAGACGCGCTGACCACTGCTGGACCACAAGATGCAGCTCTCTCTCTCCATCTCACATGCGGCCAGGGATGTAAATACACAACGTAAGCCTATCGACTCTCTCTTTTTAAGCACATTTGCAGTGAATCTAGGATGAGACCAGTCCCCGCCTAAATATACTGCCGATGGGTACTCGAAATCGTGAGTTTAGTACTTCATATTCAATTCTGGTCATTTGTGCCACAAAGTGCATGGCTCTCTAGGTTTGTAGGATACGACAGTGCCATGCTTTTGATCTGCTCGTTCGAGGCCCAAATTCCGGTTCCTTGTCCGTTGTCAACCCAACGTCTTATCCCGAGGTGGCCGTGGCAGCTGAGGTTCTAGCTATCAGGTACCTCTGTATCTTACTTCAGCGGCGTCCCACAACCGAACGGCCGTCGGTGACCTTCATTTGGTGCTCAGCGCAGTTACGCCGGGCAGCTCCTTGCCCTCGAGCAGCTCCAGCGACGCACCGCCACCGGTCGAGACGTGCGAGCACTTGTCCTCAACGCCGTACTTGGCGGCAACAGTCGCCGTGTCACCACCACCAATGATACCGATGCTGCCCTTCGCAACAGCAGCAGTGAAGGCATCGAGCGTGGCCTTGGTGCCCTTGGCGAACTTTTCAAACTCGAAGACGCCGGCAGGGCCGTTCCACAGGATGGTCTGGGCCGAGTTGATGGCCTCCTGGTACAGCTTGATGGACTCGGGCCCGCAGTCGAGGCCCATCCAGCCGTCGGGAATGCCGTCCTTGTCGGTGGCGGTTCCGGTCGCTGCGTCCTTGTCGAACTTGTCCGCCGTGACGTAGTCGACGGGCAGCGTGACCTTGACACCGTTCTTCTTGGCCTTGTCCATTAGCTGGCCCACCGTCTTGGCGCCGGCCTCGTCGAAGAGCGAGTTGCCGATGTTGACGCCCTCCAGCGTCTTCTTGAATGTGAATGCCATGCCGCCGCAGATGACCAGCGCGTTGACCTTGTCTAGCAGGTTGTCGATCAGCTGGATCTTGTCTGACACCTTGGCGCCACCCAGGATGGCCAGGAAGGGCCGCTTAGGCGACTCGAGCGCCTGGGCAAAGTAGTCCAGTTCCTTCTTCATGAGGAAGCCGGCGGCCCTTTGTGGTAGGTCAACACCGACCATGGAAGAGTGGGCACGGTGTGCTGTGCCGAAGGCGTCGTCTAGGGGTATGTGTTTAGCGGGCTTTGGACAATAAAGCGGCATACGAAGCCAGAAAGCCGACGGGAAAGGGGGCATGCTCACTGATGTAGATGTCACCAAGTGCGGTCAAGCCCTTGCGGAACTCATCGACCTTGGCCTTGTCAGCCTTGACCTTCTTGCCCTCGGCGTCCTTGGAGGATCCCTCCTCCTCGGCATGGAAGCGCAGGTTCTCCAGTAGGACGACCTGGCCGTTGTCCGCCTCGTTTACGATCGCCTCGACTTCGGAACCGACACAGTCCGGTGCCATCTCGACGCTCTTGCCCAGCAGCTTCTCGAGCTCCGGGATGACAGGCTTCAGGCTGTACTTGGGGTTGGCCTTGCCGTCGGGGCGGCCGAGGTGGGACATGAGCACCACGGCCTTTGCGCCGTTGTCGATGGCATACTTGATGGTGGGGACGGCTCCGGCGATGCGCTGGTTGTTGGTGACCTTCTTGTCTGCGTCGAGCGGCACGTTGAAGTCGACCTGTTATTGACCACCTGTTAGTGAACCGTAGACCATAGAAATAGCACAATTGGCCTTCACAGCCATTGACACGGGAAGTTCAATCCCGTCAGCATGGATCACGTACGCGGATGAGGACCCGCTTGCCCTTCAGATCACAGTCAGTGATGGACAGCTTGCTGGAGAGAGACATGATTGCAGGAGGAGCACGATTCAAACTGGCTATTGCGGTATGGTGTTTACGGAGGAGAAGAGAGGATATTCAGAGCTAAGAATGAGGGATTTGAAGGGCAGTGGTTTTATGTTGTTGTGGTGTGATACGGGTACGAAAAGCACGCAGTGGAAGGGTTGCGCAGTTGATGGGCTGGATGGAGGGGCAACCTCTAAAGAGCTGGAGCCCGCCAAAAGTTTGGTGGGGTGAAAGTCGAGCTCCGTGACGTCTGTTCCAGTTTAGCATGCTAGCGTGCCCAGCACCTTCAATCGGGTTTGTAGGCGTCGACCGGAGTCCAAATACATCCATTTTCATCTCAACCGCGGCCAACATATTCACACATGGCGGGTGGACAGCGCTGCCCGGAATATTCTCTTCTGTCGTAGCTGCAAATGGGTAGGTAACGGAACAGCATGCAGATGACGCCGGAAAAAGGTCGTGGTGCTCGGCCATTACCATGCGAATACGGAGTGGCCGGGTCTTGTAGGATACTTGATTGATCTTCCTAGGTACGAAGTCTACACTGAACTATACCCCGAAACCCGGGACCCAATGGCACAGAACGCCACCCTCTATCACAGTCAAGGTCGACCTTTTGGCCAAACGAAAACCGCCGGAAACGCCATAGTGCCTACCCAACCAATGAAAGAGAGTATCAAGTTGGTATCGGAAACAACCAGGAGCAAGTGATATCTACTGGAGACGGATGTTGGGAGAGTATGGCGCGGCATTCTGCACCGCGGCATCTTCGGATGCGTTGGAAAGAGAGAGGTATGCGGTCCATGCAATACCAATAGTAGAGGCGAAGGGCTATCGCTGGACATTAGCTTCAGGGAACATCAACATCTTGGACACGAATCGACCTACTACCTGGAACTGAACGGGCATCAGTCTGAAGTTGATCATCTGCACCGCCGGCCAGATCATGTAGTTCGCCTTCAGTGTCGGGATGTACATGTCCCTCAGCTTGTGCGTGACTGCTCTGCGGCCACCGCCCTCGGCCACGGTCATGACGGAGAAGAACAAGGCGATACCGAAGGGCGCGAAGATCAGCTGATCGAAAGCCACCCGCTTCATTGCCGGCGCGAACGCACTGGTCTTGGTGATGGGGAATGCGCGCGACAGAAAGCTGAACCACTTCAATTGTACGGGCGCCATGGCAAAGCCGTAGGCCATGAATCGCGTCAGGCGCTCGAAATCGAAGGGCGGCGGGAGGACCTTCGAGTTGGGGATGAGGTCGCGATCGTTCCACGGGTTCTTGCGGTCCAGCTCGTGGATCTCGATGGCTATCGAGTCGTCTTTCGTGATTCCGCCGGGCTTCCGAACTGCTCGCTCTCTGATGCCTGTGATGGTCTGGGCGACGGTGTCGGCGATGCCACCGAGGACAGCGTTGGTCACCATCATGGTGAGCACTGGAGGAGCGGTTGTCAGCGGTAGCGATCAGTGGTAGGGTCCATAGCTGCTTACACGGTCGTTCATCGTAGTAGGCATTGAACCTCGACGTTAGGCGCGCGATGATAACCATCTCGATGAAGAGGATGACGGCATGTAGAAGGGGCTGTATTGGTGGGAGTCAGTCAGTGAAGAACTACTTAGGTAGGTCGCGAAGAAAAGTCTGGCAGGGAGGTATTGGCATAGGGCGGAGAAAAAGGACGATCTGTGAATGGATCGCGATGATGTGCAATGATGATGTGGTTCGTGCGACGCAAAATGGGTCACGGGGTGACATGGAGGATCGCCGCAAAGACAGATAGACAGATGGAGATGGACGTACAACCCGGTCGAGAATGAACTTGCTGTTGACGGCGCGAACAATGCGGCGACGGGTGAGTTCCCACGACATGTCGGCGGAAAGAGTGAGACACAACCTCCCCAAGTGGCAGTCGAGGCTAGGAAATTGAGGCGGATTCGCTCGGCAGAGGGTCTATTGAAGGGTGTCGCTGGCTGTCGATGACGACAGATGGGCTCCGATAAGATCAGCGCAATCAAAACGAATCGCTAAAGACAGCACGGCTCAATACGGGGCAAACGGTCCGGCGATGGGAGTTCGCAGCGACTGGTTCAGTTCTTGCGTTGCTTTCGATGGGAGATGGGCGCTGCACCTGTCCAGCTTGAATGTTGGATTTGATGATTGAAGATTGAAGGAGAGAAGAAAGGACGGCTGTGGCGAGCGGGCAGGCGGAGTTGTCAGTTGTTGGCCAGTGGTCATGCCATGGATTGGATGCTGCGCCCGCCCGCCTCGGTACTCAAAAATAGCCTTTGATCGACACCACATGCACCTTGTCGGCTTGTCCGCGACACCCGACCTGCTGCCCCTTTCGCGCGCGCTTAACGTTAATGCACACCTTCAACCGCAAAACCATCTTCTTCAGTAGAGGTTATCAAGCGCAATTCGATTCGGACCTTCATATGATGTCATGAAATGAGTATTGGATTCCGTTGTGGTTCAATCTACTTCTACGTTCGCTCAAGTAGGAGCTGGCTCTTCTCAGTGTTCGGGGGTCCGTCAATCGCCTGCATACATTACCGACCCCCTTTACGAAGCTGCAGATCTCCCCCGTCTAACAACGAGCCGGGTATGCCTTCACTTGATGCCCTGCGACTCGTTGCGTAATATCAAAGGTGGAAGCTACACACCGAGGGGCATGTCAGTCAGCTTACGAGGCAAGTTTTATGAGTCTATCGCCCACGCGTGCGTTGGGCTTCGTACCGGCGGATAGTCAGATCTGCGTGCCCACCGAGGAAGCCGGAAAATGCAACCTCGCCGTATCTCGAACCACCTTTCGATCCGGCTTGGAGGTAACGGCGTCTTTCTAACAGGCACAAGTCTGTCAAGTGATGTATGGTGGCGGCCATGGGAATGATTATATTCTGAGCATACTTCTCGGCAAGCTCCCTCTCGGCCGCCTCCTTCTCACTGGCGAGCAGCTTGAGCTTGTGTTGGATATCATAACAGTGGCGTATATAGCCTTGTTGTGAGCAGTATACGTGTCATCCTGTGGGATTACGTGTTAGCTGTCAACAGCCAGTGCCTCATGAGATGAGACCCCTTCACTGGAAAGACATGCTGCTTCAGTGCACGCAGCGTGACCCTATTGAGCTGTTCTACGTTTGGAGTGCAGTGAGTCGTTGTGATGTTGACTTAATTCGCCGTTCTGACAGCTTGTAGCACATTCCACACAATCATCATTGTCGACGCCAAACTGCATTCTGTCTACGAGCCCGTCATCTGCTGGGACACCTGGGCCCCCATGTGGTGACTCTGGTGAGGCCGGGCGGTGACATGGAGTGGGATTTCAGGAAGTAAAACACGCAATGGTGGGATTCAATTATATATTTCCTTATTCCCACGAATGAACCGTGTGCTCTAGGGCTATCAACTGGCACTTGATGCTCGATCTGTGCTCGGTCGGTGCCTGGCTTTGCCGTACCAAGACACGGCCGTGCTCGCTGCTTCTTGGTTGCGCGACTGGCCGAATCCAGGGCATCTAGCATCGCCTTCTTCATCTTCCGGCGAGAAACCAGAACAATGTCATCGTCCTCTTCCTCGCGCTCAACCGCCTGTCCGTGGACATCCCATCCCAACACTGGGAAGCTGAAGTAAAGCTCTGGATCAACGCGATGCTGTCGTAGCTTTCAGTAAGTGTCTCTTGACACGCGGCCGATCTGCGCGCTTGGTACCTCTCAAGGCAACGATATCGAGGCCTTCGGCACTTCGGAATGACCCGAGAGATGAGGCGGGAAATGAGAACGCGACAACGAGGGAGGGAAACACCGCAGTGCAGAGCCCGACCTATGTTTGGTGAGGCGGCGGTTGTAACGTACTGTAATTGACGATAACATCGTGAGATCTTAAAATTCTGGGGTATCTTCCTCGCCAGACTCAGCCATCGCTTTGCGGTTGGTCTCGCCATTCGCTATGCAATGCTAGGAGTCCCGGGGAGCGGTACCCGATCTGGTAAATCATGACAGAATAGCTTTGCCCTGTTGGCATAGAGGTGGATGCCGTTTCAAGGGGTGCCTCCCAGGGCGAGTGCCCCTAAAGTCAAGCCTGGTTACCAGCATGAGATGGTGATTACACTCAGCAATGTGTTTTGCTGCGACCGATAAGCAGCTTGTACTTCTCCATCTAGGGGGCAAGATATACGGGTCACAGCTACCGTTTAGAAAGATATTGGCCGTAAAGTGCCGAGACAGCATGGCTATACTGGTTGAGGGACACATCATTCTCCGGAAACTCCCGAGGCCTAGGAGTACGCTGTACGCCGTTGCGGGGACAGTTCACAATATGTCATGATATGGTCTTCTTTTTTATAGGCCTGGTGGCAGGTCTACCTCCCTGGTGACTGATGAAGGTTCAGGAACATGTTCCGGCAAACATCATTCGACTCATGTCCTATTATTGCGTCTAGCTTATATCGAAAGCTGAGATTGGCACGCACTTTCTGTTGGTGGAAGCATGATATCTCATCAGTCTACTTAAGGCCGGGAAGGGACAGTGTCTTGAAACGGGCAGATCTCCCTGTGGGTGACTTTCAGCGTGATAGCACAATGCTCCTCTCTCATGACCCTCTCGTGATCATCACGCATACCACCACTAGTAAGATTATATAGGAATATGCGATCCAGACTGTTTCCCACCTACTCTGGCCACCGGCCCAGCCATAGGATTGACAAAGCTGTCTCTAGATATCTTGTCACATTTTGACCTCGATGAAGGGAATATCGCTACGCTTCCCAAGGCCTTTTCTTTCCATTCTACTCAGCCACGGATAGCTTAGTTCATATTTTCCCCTTTACCACCACGCACCGATTTCCGGGGCTCACACAAGTGCGGCCCCTAGGTAGTGCTGTCTATACTGCGGATGCCGTTGTCGTCAACTGGGGAGGCACAAGGACGAGCCGCAAGTCCAACGCGCTCATTCCGTTGGAATAGAGCTCGTTCGGCGAACAACGCACCCGAGGCTCCAGTCTCCCACGGGCAGAAAGAATCGCTCCTCTGGTACTATGTATGCCGAATCCGCAACGGAGGCTACGGTCAGCAACGGGCTCCCTGGCCAGGGCCATTATGAACTCCGGGCAACGGCCATTCCTAGGCTCCCTCGTCAGAGCCATCAGCATAAGGCTACGACCGGCAGTATGCTGCCTGGTCAGAGCTACCCTCAGCAAGAGCGCGCCACGGCCGGTCATAGGTTCCCTGGCCTGGTCCAACCCAGGGGCGCTCTGAGCCCCTGTCTTTCACCGATCCCCTTTCTTTTCCATCAACAAGTCTGTCTTGCAGATGAACCCCACATTCTTCAAGGGCGCATTTGATGGTCATTTCAGTTGGGCTTCGGAGCAATTGGTTCATCAGGCCCCAACTGACTGTTACTTGGTAGGAATCCCAGACGTCGTCGGTGCTGATGACATTTACGCGACGTTTGTAAAGTCCCCAAAGGCGGACCTTGGCCACGAGACTCCCGCCGCGAAGCTCATATTCTTTCATCGTGAGTGGGTTGAATTCGACACCACAAGTATTTGTTTCTGACTTAGCTACTCGTATGGCGGCTGTAAGCAAACCCCATGTAGGCACCGTCCCGGCGTATAGATTGCACAGCTGATACGACCGCAGGGTGTCTCGCAGTGCGAGAATCTTTGGGGGACCAACTGCAGTCCCTAGACAGCTGCCTCTACTACTTGGTGGATTTATACAAGGCAGCGGACTATCTGATCATGCCACCCTGCTGGCCGATGTCTTATTTCCGTAGTGTTATACTTCTGCGTATATGCAATCAGGATTCAGCACTCACGCCTTTGGATATGAACCTCCTGCAGACAGAAACTAGTAACGTCCGGCGAACAAAGTGTCAAAGTCAAGGTGCTGAAGAAGGGCTGGGTGCATTTATGTTGACAAGTGGCCTGGTCACGCAGACACTCGCATCTATCGTTCGTCGCATTGGCAACCCCTAGCGGGGGTTATATATTTCCAGACAGGAGATCTATTTGCCTAAGAGCTGCCATTCCCTCGTCCCGGTGATGCAAATTTCGACCTGTCCACCGACTCATTCTACCCGAAACTCTTTTACTCCACAAATACGGTCGCTGGCTTTTTCACCCCGTCTTCCACAACAAAGACTGGTGCTGCGACGTACCTCAGTAATGCGTCATACGCCCGCTTCACGAGCGGCCTTCGCGACTGAATGGTCATTCCACGCGATCGCCTACGATCCAAGGTACGCTGAGCATAATGATTGTGCCTCGAAAATTCCTGACATGGTATAGCGCCGCCGAAGCTGGCAGCCTGACGCGCATAGGGCGAATCACAGTCAACAAGGAATGTTCTGCTAAGGGACACGCTATTCATGAGCGGAGCATTCGATGGCCACTTCCAGGTTTGTTTCGCCTCAAATAACATCGGCTACAGCCGACCATTCGTGACAGGGAGCCCGAACCTTTTCCGTCTCAATCGATCATTTCGACGAGACCATCCTACGATTTTGCATGAGCTATCGTTACGGAGGATGTAAGAAACATCCTTCCCTTCCTCCTCCCGATTGCCGAATCTGGAGCTGACTGTCCAGGGTGCCTCGCGGTCCGAGAATGCTTCGGCGAAAAGCTACACTCTTTGGAAAACCGTCTCTACTATTTGGTGGACTTATACGAGGTAGCAGTCTAAGTTTCGCTCGGCTATTGCGGAAGATCTTCTTAACGATGGTCTTAGGTTGCCCTTCAAGCCCTTTCTTGTTATGATGGCGGGGTTTTTCATGACCCAGCAGCAGCTCACAGCTGGCTTGGTTGGGTTTAAAAGGATATTGGAAGAATATCCTGAGCTTGACAATGCCTTATGGCAGTGGGGTACCGTAAGACGTCGCGGATGCAGATGCTAAAGCTACGCCGTGCTTTGGTAACCCGGTGTAGTGGCGTCAGCAACGATTTGATACCGAGCCAAGGTAAGTGCACTCTCAGACTGGTCGCTGTTCACACTTACCCCATATAAAAACCGTCCCTCCGTCCTTATGACAGTCTTCGCCAGAAAATGTGAAGCCATCGCGTAAGTCTACACTCAAGCAAGTCCGAGACTACACTTTAACTTTACTTAGCTGTCTAGATCCTGTCTTTGCGGCGCGTTTTGGCAGGGACTTCTTGCGCGCGACCGTACGTAGACCGATTGTCTGAACCTAGACTGGTCCTATACTGAACTGTCATCTGGGAGCCTTCACGTGTAAGCATCATCTGACAATGTACTAAGATGGTATTCTGATTGTTTAATAGCTGCTGAGGTCGTATCATTCAACCTAGAGTCAAGCGAGGATAGGCGCAATTTGACGGTGTGAAATTGTCTCCCATAGGAGCGGAAGCACATATTTCCCTATTAGTTTATCCTGAACGTCTTGATGTTTTTTGGTGACCGCTGAATTTCCTGCTGTTTGTCTAGTTGCGGTCTAGTTGCGGACAAGTTGGTTGCGATGTATCGACGGATTTCCCCCAAAAGCTCATGGAAGGTTGAGTGAAAGAGATGCAAGTAGGAAATTGCACCAAATTAAAGTTCAGCACGACCTATATATCCGTCTATGTGCTAGTAGAGTTTCATTTCCCATGCGTGTTGAACACATCTGCCGGATTCCTTACTCTTCCTTACCCCCCTTCTTCCCATGCATCAGCGGCCTTGGTGTTCGGAGGGGAGCAAGCTTCACTCACTATAGCTCAGCACATAAACGTCCATGAGCCACCAGTAGCAGGGAATGGTTTCTCCTTCCAACAAAATTTCACATCCAGTCTGCCGGGTTTCAAGAAGGTCCTTCGGGAGTTTCCCGAAGTTGAGCATTCCCTATGGGTTTGGAATGCCCTCCGCAGACGTGGCAGTTGTTTCTGACTGCACAAGACACAGCCAGTAGCAGAGAACGGGAATTATCTTGGTTGTAGAACTGAGTTTAGGTAACATCTCTGTAAGTCAAATTCTAAGATGATGTCAACGTTGCGACCACACTGGGTCATCCAGGTGTCACAAGGTCGCAAAGCCGGGGCTTGGGTCTCCCCATGTAGCTAGTAGGCACGCGGTTTCCCAATCGACATGTAGCTAGTAGGCACACGACTGCGCGAGTACAAATCACTCTGCTCAGAGGTTGCAAAGGACATTGTCGGTAGAGGGTATGGACAGGCGTAAAATCTGGTCATAGTGGCGGAGTTTTTCACCACTGACAGCATCTCCGGAATGGCTCTTGTCACTGAATTGTACTTTCGCGCAACACTGATACGCCAAGCAGGCTAGTTGTCCTCCAAATATCCTAATAGCGTCTAATACTGCCGTTGTCATCACCTAAGAGGGCCGCTTTTCCCATCAGCAAGTCTGTCGTCCAGGATATATCGTTTTTTTGTCAACCCAGCGTTTGACAAGAACACAGGTTGCTCTAAAATTATTAAATTATACCATAATCACCGCCACCACGCTGTTTGAAACGACTCGATTGCAAGACCTTGTCCACAGGAACTCCCTCTTTCGGCGGGTCGATGTCTGCCACTGGTTCCAACACTCCCTCCCGCGTCAATGCCTCCAAGGCTTCCTTTGTCCATTCTTGGCAGCGCCGGAGCGGCTCTCGCGGATACAGTCTTTTATGGCCGTTAAACTGCTTCTTCGGTACAGGAATCTCCCGACAGATCTGATCGACCCGCTCGAAGTTAAATGCCGATACGAGGCCAAGAAGCGTTTGACCCAGATTGATGTCGTCTTCGCGGGCTGGTCGATGGTCGTAAGTCATTCCTGCCTGAATATTGCCTTTGACCTGGTAAATATGGGCGTTTCCAATTGCGCCTACTTCGTCGGTTTCGATGAGAATTGAGTGGTGATCCTGGGGACCCATGCCGAATGACACCGCAAGATATAGCTTGTAAGACATGATATGTTCTGCATGAAATCCCAATTCAGTCGACATGTGACTGATGTGTTTCCACGATGTGGGGTGTCTGAGTAGGGTGAGTGGCATGTTTGAGTATGCCAGATGAGGTAAGTCACAAAGAAATGACCTTTGTCTGACACTTTGAGTTGTTCAGCACCAGTCATTTAAGACATGCTGTGCCGGGCCCCAGTGAGACGGGACCCAAACCTTGAACCAACGGAAAATTCATATTATCCAGTAAGAGGCCAGGGTGTAATTTGACCAAAACTCAAAGTTCCTTGTCATATCTGACCATGGACGTTGATACTCCGATCCCCGCTGAGGACCACATTCCTTCAGTCACCCCTGATTTCCGAAGCTTTCCAAAGCAACCAGACGTCCCCCAAAGCAGAGCGGATCCTCCAAAGATTTGGACTCGACCTGCGCTGCCGTTTGTTGCTCCGTCGACAGCTTGCCCGCGCCTCTTTCAACTGTACAAAAGATTGTTTCCTCTCAGGAGGACCTGCCCGTCAAACTTGATGACCGCCGCGTTGTCAGAGTGGGCCAGCATTTCCTAGTCAAATATGGACCCCGCGTCGTCCTGGACGAGGGTCAGGCCATGCTGTTCATCCGAGAACACTGCAACATCCCCATTCCGAACGTATACGCCATATTCGCGGATGAAGAAACACACGCCAACTACATTGTAATGGAATACGTCCCTGGCGTTTGCCTCGAGGAATGCTGAACGACTCTGAGTACTGACCAGAAGACGAGCATCTCGGCACAGCTCCGGGCTCAGTTCAACGAGTTACGCCAGATACCTAACGAGGGCTACTACGGCAAATCTGGTAGGCGCCTGCTGGACGATTACTTCTTCTGGGCCGGCGACGACGAGCACAAGTTCGTCATACAGGGGCCCTTCGAGACGGGGTCCCAGTTCACGGAAGCGCTTATGCAGCGATATCTCTACGAGGGGCGTCCTGTGCAAAAAGCCGATTTCTACCGGCGGGTTCTGCCAGAGGCCTTCAGAAACCACCCGACCGTCTTCACGCACGCAGATATCCAAAGAAAGAACATCATCATCAGAGCAGATGGCAGCCCTATTATTGTCGACTGGGAACTGGGTGCTTGGTACCCAAAGTACTGGGAGTACTTCCTGGCCATGACGTCCTTTGGGCACTGGGAGGATGACTGGCCGGAGTTTATCAGCACGTTCCTGGAGGAGTTCAATACGGAGTATTGCTGGATGGACACGATACGTAGAGAGTTGTGGTTCGATTAGTCGCAAGTTGGGGTGCAGTCGACACGAAGACGAGGGGTTAACTACTGACATCCGCCCCAGCATCAAGTATAAAAATTTATTAGCTGTGTGATCTGTATCTCCCTGCTCACACGTCATTATCCACCAAGTCCTATGGACGTCATTGGCTCTGTATTCGGCAAGCCGTATAGTGTTTGATATGAGCATAAGACCCGTTTTGGTACATAAATGTGGCAGCAAGGGTAAGAAACGGTTGGACGGGATCTCAGAATCTATGCTGGGCTCTCCAGGACCAAGGAATCTATGGTACAGGTCACAGTGTTGCCACTGACGCTGGAAGAGAGCCCACTGATCGAGTACACGGTCGCGCTGTTGTAGTTCTCCGGGCTGGTATTGCACCAGCTTGCCTCAGTGCCACCCGTGCTTGTCTGTTGCCACAGTCAGTTGAAACCATCCTTGAAATACCCACGTGAACTTCTATGAAAGCAGTCTCAGAGGAAGACTAGAGACTCACGATCACGACGTTTGAGAATGCTAAGGGGCCAAAGTCCCAGCTGACACCAGTACTGAATGGTGTTAGAAGATCTCTCAGGAGGTGTTGGAATGCTTACAGCTCAACAGCGAACAGTGCTTGGTTGAAAGACTTGTCGGCTACATCACTAATGCGTCAGTACTTCCAAACCTAAGTAATGGTCCATGGGTATGGACCATCTGGTCCGGAGGAGCTCATACCAAGGGCGAAGTCGTTTGACAGAGTGTCCCCGGTGGCCTGGCGAGTAAGAGTTGACGTCCAGGTAGAATCACCGAGCGTGTTGCTAAAAGTAACCACTTCGCCACCATAGGTGTTGAAACCATCTCCCCAGGGGAGACTGGGGTTGGAGCAACACCATCCTGAACCTATCCACCAGGTCCCAGACCTGCCGTCCAGGACGTTTTGGTAAACACCACTGCCGTCAGTCGGCTGTAGGCCAGGCCAAAGGTAGTACTGAGGAGATCTCGTCAGTGATATTCGTGAACGGGGAGAAGGCGATAGGTAACAGTCGAGCTTGGATTATGTCGAGGGGGCACATTGGCAGGGTCCATAAGCCTCAGGGATAACGATGATAAAAGTGCACTCACAGTACCAGCCTGCTGCAGGGTTGGAATGGCCATATCGCCCGAGAAGGACGTAAACTGCTGACCAGATGCAGGATAGTAACGAAGGAAATACCATGTCGCAGCGGTCGCCTGGCCAGCAAAGGCCAGGATCGAGATAGCCAAAGCTTTGAATAGCATTGCGAGTCTGGTGAATAGACTTTGATGGTCTTTGAACAGAGTGAGTGCACGGTGTCGTAAATCACCAGTCAAGATGCCGGATACTTGGCACATCTTATATAATGGCATTTCGTTGACACGGGCAGCCTATATCACATGGCGTTATTAGCACCTTATCTCGTTCGCGATAATATGGCAGGGCTCAGAGAGCCACCGCAAGCGAAGTCATAGAGGTATAGTCACATTCACTGCGGGACAACAGCGACCGGTTCCACTTGTGGAAGTCGAACTATCCAGGGACTGGCCTCTTGGGCGCCGGTGGGTTGCAGGCTGATAAGGTGTTGCATTGGGCGGTGTTTTTCCTCAATACAGGTCGCCTGAGTACGTTTGGAGGCCGTCCGATGTGACGCTGTTCCTGGTCAGGTTCGGCACATCCCCCAGAATCTGCAGAGATCTCCCGCAATCCACAGGGCATCGAACGGGTTGGCCAGTTACAATCACAAAGCGGCATAGATAGCAGGCTCGCATGTGAGAAGCGTATTTGCGTCTGCGGAGCTTTCCTTGCCCATCCAGTCATTTGCGATATCAAGATCTACTCATGCGATGTTGACAATCCCTTTTCTAAACAGGCCCCAGAATTCAAGCTGGCCTCATACGGGGATCTACGACCGTTCGAATGACGCTGGCTCTCAAGGGAAGTCATGAAGTACTGGGACGACGCACATATGGATGAACATTTTCGACGATTCACTGACATGTACCCTCTAAGCTTGAGTTAGACAGAACAGTTCACGAAACCTCGAATGCAATTTCAGTCTGGCACATGTGCGGGCAACATCAGGGGCAACGGGCTGATGGTGCATGAAGGATGTAAGCCTTCTGTAAGAGCTGTTTTCAGCTGAGGACTGAATCTGACAAGCCACCAAGAGGCACAGATGAGGTCAGAAAAAAGGTACCGTAAGCTGACTCAAGGGTCATAACCTGTCACCTGCCACTTTTGCAAGATCGCAAAATCACAGGGTACCTCTTCTGCCTTACCCATCGCATGTGCACCTTCAACATTCCCTGTGGATTATGAGTACAGACTCGTCACAGCACTGCGGCGACATGCTAGAGACAGAACGTGGCGAACCATGTGTTGTGGGCTTCCAAACACCGAATCCTAACTGTGGCTTACCCACCATGATACCGTTAATCTATCGTTCCTGGCCGGTGATGGAGTGGGTGGCGTCGGACGATTTAAATAGCATCTCTCGGTTCATGCGACCAACGTCAAATCATCATCAATGACTTTGACTTCCGGCGACTAGTGATGGTGGACCTTGAGCTTCTAACATTGCCAGCAAACAACTACACTATCATTATTAACAGACTAACTTGCTACATTATCATTACCAAGCAATCCTGCTACTTCAATGCTTTGACAATCCTAGTCTGGGGGTTTGCTCAAGCGTGTATCTGCCTCGCCTCTGTACCAATGCTTCAAGCCAAAACCCGAAACTCACCGTGTGGACTCACTCTCCACCAAGACTCACATACTGTCTCAACAACTCACTTCGATTCTCCGACTCGTTTACCACCGCTGCCCGAGTCTTCGCTCCCATGACGTCCCACCGGCTCCACCGGCTGGGTAACATAATAGTCCGGATCGTTGTTCTCCTCGCTTGCCTTCGCCGCGTTGTACCGCTTGAAGGCGCTCTCGACGAGGAGACCAACCTCTTTCCTATTGCGCCCGATGACACCCACCGCAAGTAGAGATTCGGTCTCTTCGATCCAGTCTTGCAGCCTCCGGTATCCGATGCGGTCTTTCCCGAGCTTCTGTGGCTGGCCCGAGCCTTTGATGAGAGCAAGCACGCCGGCGAGGATGGTGTTGACCGCGCCGAGGATGGTGATGGCCAGTTCGTATCGCGCGGCCGTCGGGCCCAGTGCTGTCAGAGCCGCGCCGATGATGATTTGCGCAAAGTAAACGATATAGAGGAAAGCTTGCAGCAAAGCATGTTGCGTGAACTTGGTCGTTTGGGCTTCTATTACCGAGCGGTAAATTCCGATAGCAGAACGTCGTCCCTCTTCCAGCGTGCCCGCTTCGGCCGCCTCGCGGTGGTAGTTGATCCCCAATGCTTTCCTGAAGATAATGAGGTTCTCGTCGTTATTGCTGCGTATGGGCAAACCGGCCGGTGCTCCCCATGATAGTGCCGTGTCCGCCTTCCGTGGAGTGATGGGCGTGAGGTTTGTCTGGATCGGCTTCGGTGCTATAGTCGCGGTTGCCGCGTCTGGGGCTTGGGATTTGGGTCCTGTAGGCATAGCGGGTGTTTGCGAAGTGGGTGCCTTTGTCGTCTGAGTGAGGAGAGGAGAGTTGACGTCTTTGACAGCGGACATGATGAATTGATCTTATGTACCGACACCGTTCAAGAACGAAGTCTTTCGGGGTGGTCAAGGAGTTGCGGACGCTGGTTCGTGGCACTTGGAGTTTACGTCCAGTTCGAAGGTGAGAGTCTGTCCTCAACAGGGGCGGCCTCACATATTAATATGTCAGTGGACTCGGATGTGAGACGTTTTGCGCGCCGTAGGCCAAGACAAAGATGCCAGGATTTGCTACACCAGAACCTCTGCTCAGCCCAGTTCTACGGCACGAGACTTTACAGCACGAGACTTTACAGCACGAGACTCTCATCTCACGCACCACTTGGGCACAGTGATCAAATCCTATGTGATTGCTGACGCCACATATGAATCCAACGAGTCCGGACTTGCCGTTGTTGGTCCTTTGGTGACTGGCAACAGCCTCGTCAGGATGGGGCTGAAGGAATTCACCGTACTCGAAAGAATGCTGTCCAATCAAGTGTCCCACACTGGGATAAAATCCTCCTAGAGTGATGCCTACATTGTCTGGAGCCTAAAATATCACTATCCCGCCCATGTAACCGAGTCAGCCTCATAATATCCGCAAGCGGTACTCGTAAGCACTGAGTGTGACATGTGTGACGAGCTGCAAAGAAAGTCCTACATTCAGCTCAGACAAGGCACCCGCCTCGGCTCCAGGGCACGTATAAATCGCCTTGGTTACACGTTGACAGATTGTCCAGGCTACAAAAATCTGTCGAGGATACATACTCAACGCACTCACACTGCCGTGGCCACCGTGGCTCATATCGAGGCAAAGCCATGTGCAAGCACCGCCATATCTCACGTTTCTTACATAATATCTTATCGCATACTCTTGCCTGAATCCTAAGTTGGGCTGCCTTCTTCGTGGAGCAGGCTCCGACCACCGCTTGATATAAGCAAGACAGTGATATCTGACCTAAGCACACACCGATGGCTATCCATTCAAGTGGGCACTAGTCAACTCCAAATTATAACTACCATACGAAGAAGAGGAACGAAGTATGGTCCGGAGTATATACCAGGAACGGCACGTGGAAGGACGCAACTAATATTTGACTTTTGGAGGGGATGTAAATGACCTTAGCCACGGGTGATTCTCTGGCACACCATAAGCAGCCAAACGCGCTGGCGATGGTTATTGCGACTCAGTCAGGCCTCTTACTCAGATAATACTTGGCAAAAGTTCTCGCAAGGGTCGAGTACCTCAGCTGACATGTTACCGCCGCCTTCCCCGTCTCGGGCTTAATTGCGCATTGGAAACCTCATAAGACCGTCCTGGGTCTGCCAAGACACATCCAGCGTCTTCCACTTTGCAATGGGGAACCCTCGTAGAGCACCATACAGCTTTAGACAGGACTCGCGTTCTCTCCGGTGGTTCCACTCGGCGAGGATGCTATCGCATCTGACCACTGTGTCCCTCGCTAATTCGATGAACGCATTGAGCTTGATCCATTCCCCAGGACCCAGCCTGGCTGTTTTCTGAAGCATCTTCAGCCACGTGTACCGAATGATAATCCATACATCTTCCGTCGTGGCACCCGCCATGTGGAGGGTGAGCCATATCTGATCCCACAGTCGCATGCAAGGGCGCGTATGTGACGATTTTCCGATTGTATCTGCCGTCTTGCAGACTGCCCCTGAAGGGCTGCCAGGTCTTGTACTATGTCGCGATAATCGGCATCGGTAGGCGCGTAATTGCTTCCTTGTTCGGCCCTCCTTGGCCATCCCGCTCGGAACCGATCACTCCACCCTGGCGACTTCGCAATAGGTGTCCAGGGGTCCATATCGAAATCAGAAGTCTCGTCAATGGAGAAGCTGCGAATATTTGGCTGCTGTTGGAATGATAGCTTACTTGGATTACCTTTCTCTCCTGCGTCATGGTGACCGTACCCGTGGCGCTCCTTTGTTGGCTTGGCGCTGCTTCACTTTCCGGATCCGGCGGCGCGGCGACAAATCGTGCAAGTAGATGACTTTCATTCTCTTGGCTGTCTGCTTGATCGTGCACGGTATTCAGATGGCCATCGACACCACCCCGAGAGAGCTACTTTAAGATCGTGTTGGATCCCCTGTGACTGCGCTCGCCCACATGATGACAAGGGGGTATTGGTGCGATAATAAGGTTTATCACCCGATGCGCATTGCCCGCTGATTGTCTACCATCGACATAGTCCAGTCGCTGCGAGAACGGGTCCGTCGCATCTATTCATTCCCCTGCTCATCATCAAACGGCTGTGACCATCCTCCTCAGCTATGTCCCCGTCTCGGTCCTCATCAGGAGTTCTTGCAGGTGGGGCTAGGGTTAGGGTTGAAGTGAGGGCTAAACCTTAACCCTAACCCTAAGCAACTCTTCACATCGCTTTCCACGTTGTGCAACTCAGGTGGGTTTATCTGGTTATCAGCAGAGTTGACCGCCATCAAAAGCACTCGCATCTTGTGGAGTCCAGGCCTTGGATCGTAGTCATGAGACGCATCCAGTGCATACAGAAGATCCTTAGCATCAGCCGACTCAAGGTTGGATCGAACCGACGAACCTGGTCCTTGAGCCACCGATCCGCTGCGTCCCGCGTGGGACTTCCGAGCTAATACTGTAAAGGCGCCGAGTCCATGATGGTCAAGACATGCATGGATGCCGTGAGCCCCGTCCGAGGCGGCGCATCTGCTGTATACTCGGCCTCTTTCCATGCCGGATCCAATCAGATAGGGTCCATGATCATCTTACGCCACATCCTATTGCGACACGAGATCTGTACCGGCTGCGACGCAAGAGGCATGGGCGCGTCCATGAAACACGGGTACCTCTCTCCCCAGAGCCAGGTGTGCATCCTGCCCATCGAGGTTCCCATCACCAACCGCAGGTGGTTGACGCCCAGGTGATCGGTCAGCAGGCGGTGAGCTGCGCGGACCATGTCGCTATAGCGGGAGCGTGGGAACTTGGTTCGGAGACCGCTGCTCGGCTTCCTGGACTCGCCATGGCCGATGCCGTCCCTCATGACGATAAAATACCTCGTGGCATCCATGAGCTGGCCCGGGTTGAAGACCTGGGCGGCGAAGTTGTCATCGAGGAAGTTGTCGCTGGACCTCCCGTGCCGTGCATGATCAGGACCGCGTTCAATGATTTGCCATCTGCGGACAAGTTGAGGCTGCTGCCGACGGTTTGATAGTGGAGGCGGAGCTCCGAGATTATCTCACCCGAGTCGAATGTGAAGCTGCGGACAGTTCAATCGTCGTCCGTCGGGGTGGGCCATGTCTGTTGTGCCGAGCTCGACGGTATGAGTTCCGTCATAACGAGACCTGGAGATGGTTTGTGGAGCAACTCTTGGACGATGCTAGAAGCAATGAGTCACGGGCCACGTATGTGGTGGATCAGGGGTTGTCTATCTATATCCATGTCTCCATTCCCACTTATGAACCCCAGGAAAGCGGAGAACCAGGGGTTCAGCTATTCACGCTTGCGGATCACTCCGGCGACCTTGGTTCTACAACCCATTCTCTAGGCGGGGCATTGAAAATCCCAAAAGATAAGAAACTCGGTGAGCCGTCGGTTAAGTATCTGTGAGACGTTCTCCAGCCAAGAGCTTCCCATGACTGTTGTCTTGTTTCTTACGGGATACATCGAGGTACAGCGACCTCGACCCGTTGAGAACTCGCACGTTGGCTGCCCTGGTGCCCACAAATCCTCCTCGCCCTTCACGGCAGACCTCGGGAACGCTCTCCAACGTTGTCCCAGGACATGAAACCGCTTGAACCATGGCAGCAACTTCGAATAATATCATCACGCTCCGGCGGCACGACCTCGACAACCTGCGGACCTTCCTGACCGGTCTCGTCACCGTCCACCATACGTCGCTAGCCTATGGCGGCGTCGGGTCATGGAAGGTCAAGTCTGCCTGTTTCGCCGGCAACTCGCCCGTGCTCATGGGTTTCAACATCTTCGATCAGTCATTCTTCATGGGAATGTTCTTTTGGATCTCCGGTCGCGTATCAGCGCAGTCGCTGTCGAAAACCTCGCCGTCGGCTTTCATCAAGAGTAAGCTACTGCGGCTCGGTGCGCCGGCCTTGGTGTACTCTTACGCTATCGACCCCATGATGCGCGCTGCGATGTTGACGTCTTGGAACCTGGAATCGCTACGCGCGAGCGTGATTGCGTCATGGACTACGCCGCATGGCCTTCGTGGTCCAGTTTGGTACATTGGGACCATGCTCGCGTTCGATGTAACGGCTGCAATAGCTACGAAGATAGGGTGGACTACCACGACCAAGGGCGACAAGGAGAGAAGCCGCATATACGGTCTCCTTTGCCGGTACGGATGGATTGGTGTGGCCGCCTCCAGCTTCCTCATCCGCTTGTGGTATCCCGTGGGGAAGACCATCCCGATACTCTCGCTCCAGCCGGCATTCTTGAGCCAGTATGTCTATTCGTACCTACTTGGAGCCGTATCATACAAAGAGCAACAACCGCGCATCTATGCCCCTTTCGAGACAATGGACGCGTCGGTGGACCGTACACCTGGACGTACCGAGAAAGAGTCAACCCAGTCGACCCGATCTCAAGATGGACTCATGCTGACGCCGGCACTTGTCATATCACTTTCCACTATGCTCCTCATCTTCCTCCCTGGACTGCTCATCTCGCCTGACTCATGGCTCGACTGGACCATCAAGCATTTTCCAGGCGGTTGGAACTGGACTGCCCTTATCTACGCCATCTGGAACGAGTTCTCATTTGCGGTTACGGCGCCCGCACTCATGGCATACTTCCAGCGTCACTATTCGCAAGCCACAAAGTCATCACCTTTCAGTGCTCGGGCGTCATATGCAGCGTTTCTGCTGCATACACCAGTAATTATAGGTATGACGGTTCTGGTAGATAGGCTGCTGTGCCCACAAGGGACAGCCCCGGCATGGATGAACAGCGGCGTATGGCAGATGCTTGGACCTGTAGCAATGACGCTTGGTGCCGGCTTGTTGAGTGCCTACGCGTCTTTTGAGATTGCTGGGAAGGCCTTGAGCTGGATTCCAGGACTCAAGAACATCATATAAGCACTTCTAGCTTCTTGTTACATCCAGGCTAGCTCATCTACGAAGATCCATGTGACCTGATCCTGCCTCAAGAATCGTGACCGGCTCACATAAGTACAAGCTCGGGACCAATGCTGCATGTTCACTCTTGCTTATGTCCAGGCCAAGTGGCACGCGCAACACACCACTGCAACAACTGTCCTATCTCAGCTACATCATCCTCTCCCTTCGGGATGACGTGTCCCTCATTATGAATGTGTATCTTCCTGATATAGGGGTCGCACAGGCCTGCCAGGTGGATCGACGTCGGCAGAAGCGGATCCTCCTTCCCCCAGATATGGACAGTCGGTATTCGTATCTTCAACTCTAGCGGGAGCCTGTTCAGGTTGATCCCAAAGCAGTCGTCCGAGTTGTACTCTGCGCGCCGTGCCTTTGCGACGTGGGTGGCTGATGGACCAGATCCTGCTTCGAGTTGATCCTCGGCCTCCTTCACGATGCGCTCTGCTTCGTTCGAAACTGGTACACCGAGGTCTTTGAGTACGTCTAGCGGGATTATTCCGCTCAGAAAGACGGCGAATCGGAATGGCAGCGGCGATTCGTGATGATACCATTGCTGGTATAACGTGTAGCTAGATACCAGGGCAGCTCCTTGCGAGAAGGCTATAACCCCGTCGTATGGCCCATTATTTTCCAGTTTCTCGTTAAGCCACGTATGTGCTGTTCGAATGTTGTTTATCGTCGGGGTTTCGTAGAACGAATATCGCGGGACTTCCCCATCCGATGGTTCTTTGGGATTTCGTAAGGGTCCATCTGGGAAATCGAATATCAAGGCGACATTCGAGCGCGGGGACTCGGTTATCGAAGCTGTAGGTGTCTGATTGTTAGCATTCTGTTCGTTTACAAGACTGTGTGTGGGAAACGTGCCTATTTCAGAGGCGAGTGTTTGCCCACTGCTTTGATGGCCGTGGAGACAGAGGATCCGCATTGCTGTCAAGAGGCTCATACAGAGCATTTTACTAGCGAGGCATGTCGGGTAAAAGCGAACATCATCCGTATTAGGGTCTGAAGGTGTCGCATTGTATGCAAAGCAATCCGCGAAGCGCTACTCTCTAATCTTCATCTCGTTGAAGCCCGGACTTCCGCCCAACGGAGTTCCGGTCGCGATCGCCACCGCGTTCGCCGATTCTGAGCTTAGGAGGAGTCATCTACTTCAAATGCGACTGTCATGAATATCAATTGATGGTGCGCAAGGTCTTATTCATTTGATTCGAGCGGTTCGCTCTGACAGTGTATATCCCGATCACTCCCAAACCCCTGAGCTTGTGTAACGAGGCCAACTAAACATCTAGGCAGCCGTAACGAAGGTGCCTTCTCTCGAATGTGAGGGTTCATTGAGCGTCAAGTCTGGTTTATGCGCAATAGTATGAACCCAAAGTCGTATAGCGATGACGCTTTCTTGCATGGTATGCTTGCACCTTGTTGCGCTGCTCACGCGCGACGTCAGGCAGACTTTTGGTGGTTTCGACCACGCACTGACAACAAGACTGGTGCTCATCTCCTGATTAATCTTTGCACTGGTAAGTACGACATCGGAGATTGACAGAGAGAAAGAAAGAAGTAGTCCTACTAACACCATGAATAATTCCATTCCCGTGGTTTCCACGTGTCTCCACCATTTCCTTCCAGGCGCTCGTCCCCAACAATCATGCTGGTCAATACAACAGCAAAAATTACAGCTAGAATAACGCAGGAAACAAACGAAAAAATAAAATTGAACAGGGTCCAATATGAGATGTACCCGGAGAAGAAGAAGAGGAAGAAATGTGAGATTTCAAAGTGTTCTATTAAGGAGAGGAATTCCAGCTAATCTGGAGCGGCCAGAATGGCCCTATATATATCCAAGATACTAAAGGAAAGGATACGTGGCCTTATATTGGCCACGTATGTGACAGAGTCACGAATGGCGATGGTGATTCTGAAGGATGACTATGGATGGGCTAACGTAGCCGAGAATCCAACAAGAAGTCGAAAATCCAGGAAGCGCTCTGCTCTTCAGAAGGGGAGACCTTTGACAGCGTGCTTGATTTTCGCATGCTCGCAGTGCTTTGATCGGAGCTGGTCTTGGCCTAGAGGGATCACCAGACTCTTTCTGGGAGATACAATCGGGAAGAGCATGGGTTTGTTGACTGCTTGGGGTCCCGCGCTGGTGCCTTACCTGTTCCTTTTTGTCTTCCTCTTTGTCCTTGATGGCTTTTCCTTGCTCTTTCATTTTCTTTGTCTGGAGCTTCTCAGTGTCGTCGAATTCTTGAAACAGAAGTCTAGCGGCCATGTCACCCTCAAACAGTCTTGCCCGAGCTAATTCTCGTGCCAAGGGCGTGCTGTTTTTCAAACTGTACTCACAATTCACCAATATGAGAGCTTCTTGTACCCGACTCTGACTGGCGCCGTACGCAAGTCGGAGGGTCCTGTATGCGTAGCCAAGATCCATCTCGTTGGGTCGATAGTCGTGTGTTGGTTTAGACGTTTGCGGTGTGAGTACCGATGCTAGCAACGAGGGGGCTTACGATGCATAGAGACTGCGAGGTGTCTGTATTTATGTTGCCATCATCCCCGACCATGCCTTCGTCCGCACTCCATCCTCTGAGGCCGCCTTAAAGCTCTTGGAACAGCAACAAAGAATCCGCAACACAATGCTTTTGTTCAGGCCACTAACGTTTAGCCATTGTTTTCCAAAGGGTGACGGGACAAGATGCTTTTGTTTCCTTTCTCACTTCCTTACAGGGTAAAATGTAACGATTCGTCAACCTGGAATTATACCCGGTGGTTCAGCGGGCTTTCAGATGATGGCAATCTTGCCTGGAAGCCTTTGCTCCACTCGAACTTCCGGGTCCATTCCAAACAAGCGGTAGAAATCTTCAGTCTTACTCTCCTCACGAGTAAAGGCATCCATCAAAAGTTGAGGAACTTCCTGGATGGATATGGCGTACACCGCAGCCCTGACCATCAGGCTTGCTCCGGTATTCTGCTCCGGTCCATGATGCTGGTCAAAATGCGAACGTAACAATCGCTCCTCGCAACTTTGGATTACCTCTTTGAGTATAGCGTTCACACGTTGGCATAGGTTGTGTTCACCTCCAGGGTCTGTCGCGACAAGGTCCAGTATCCCGCGCAATTTGGCCTCCTCGTGGTCTTCCTCGGTAACCGCCCCACCATAATGTTGGAATGCCCTTTTGGTCTCCGGGCGGTACCTGGGGCTGGCCTGACGGTGGGATAATCTTGTTCCATTCTTCGTCGGTCTCACGCGCTTCGTTCCACCTTCTGTGCACTTCAGAGATGATCCATGTTGCCTCCTCCACGAGATGGACAATCCTGTTATCGTCTGTAACGTTCTCACATCCGGAAGTGTGTAACAATCCCCTTCGTCACCAACGTCCCAGCCTGTCACCAGATCCGATATTCGATCTCTATCATCGAGGATCTTCGGCCGCCGCGCCCCTTCAGCCCATCCCTACCTTTTTTCCCAACTACCCGTGCCACGCCCCACTTTATGCAGGATTCGCCCGGGCTCACCAGCTAAAGCTGGTGCTGGACACCAAAACACCCAGATCACCAAAACACCCAGTTTTTCGATCTATCTAACCAGAAACGCCTCAACCACCTGCAACTGTGGCCAGATTCGTAGATTTCCGCCGGTGCCAGTCTCTCAGAAAGCCTCTGTTTGCGTGACTCCTTTGCTGCTTCAGAAAAACAGCGTTTCGTAACATTGCGAGCCCTTAGATCTGCTGCTTCAACCATTTTCCTCGCCTTGACTACCATCCGACCCCCCGAACCGGCACACCCCCCCAACCGGCACAGCCAAACCCCACAATCACCACCAAAAGTCCCCTTACTCACTTACACGGATTACAGCCCTTTTTGAGGGTATCTAGACTTTCTTTAGATGGTTAGATAGCCCTTTTCTTGGTGTTTAGTGGAATGTAGATTATTTAATTGCTGGGCCATCGGTATCGGCATTTAGCAGCCTCCGTGCCCCGCCCTTAAATGCAAATTTGCTGTAGAATTCTCTCTGTGAGCCCCTGTCCCTCATGCACCACAGCATTCTGAAGCCAGCCACGATGCCTCCGCCCACGTATACAGAGGATGATGTGGTGGATGCCTACCTAGACGTCACAGATAATGGCATGTCTGTGAGAAAATCCAGCCAAAAATACGGCGTCCCGGCCAGCACGCTGTCAGCACGCATAAGGGGGAGAGGGACTAAAACGGAGGCTCACACCACCGAGCAGAGAATTTCTCCCGAGCAAGAAAGCAAGGTAGCAGCCTGGATATTGCGCCAGGAGACTTTGGGGCTTGCCCCTTCTCACTCAGCCGTCAGGGAAATTGTGGTAGAACTCCTAAAAAGAAAGGGGGATTTCGCACCACTTGGGAACCACTATATGGACAGCTTTAAACGACGCAACCCTACCATTCAGACTAAAATCGGCAAGCGAATGGAATCCGCTCAGTTTAAGGGGTTTACCCCTAAGTCTGTGAACTGGTTCTTCAACATCTTGGAGGACTACGGCTGGGTGAAGCCAGAAAATACGTACAATGTCGATAAGGGCGGCATCATGTCGGGTTTTGGTAACTCTTTCGAGTCCCCTACCCTCACAGTCAACTAATTACCCTTATAGGCATCGATTCCCTAGTTCTGGGAAGTTCTGAGACGAGGAAAGCTTTCCTAAAGAGCCCCCAGGGCCGCTCGTGGACATCTTTCATCGAGACCATTTCAGCTACCGGTAGAGTACTCAAACCAGGCTTGATTTTCAAGGGAAAAGATCTTCAAGCGCAGTGGTTCCTCGAGGAATTCCAGAAGATAGCCGACTGGTACTATATAACGTCGGAAAACGGCTGGACCAGTAACGATATCGCCTGCCAGTGGCTTGAGCACGTTTTCATACCACAAGTAGATGAAATTCGTGGCCAGGAGCAGTGGGAACCAGTCCTTTTGATCCTAGATGGCCATGGTAGCCATACCTCCGTACGTACACCAATTTTTTTTATTTTATTTACTGGTTATTTAATTTATTCCGATTTAAACAGTAACTGACTGTAGAAAGGACGAATTTATGATGCGGTGTTATTTTGCCAACATCTTGCTATGCTTTTTCCCAGCACATACCAGCCATGGAATGCAACCACTGGATAACGGCCCCTATAACGCCCTCAAGTCCTACTACCAGAGATTCCTTACCCAGTTAAATTCTCTGACTGATTCCTCTCCTGTTAACAAGATCAACTTTATCTGCTGTTATAGCAAGGCAAGGGACATGGCGTTTACGCCAAAAAACATCCGCTCGGGCTTCCGAGTAACAGGGTGCTACCCAATTAGCCGCAAAAAGTGTCTAGACCATCCAGAAATCCAAGAAGACAAGCGGAAGACCCCCGAGCCGGAAGAACAGGAAGACTCGGAGCCGGAGGACCAACAGACCCCTACCACGAGCCGGCAAATCCGGGATTTCGGGAAGAACCGATCCCCAGCCACTCGGCTGAAGTTCCAGAAGATCTCTCATGCCTTTGAGAACCAGGAGACGGAGCTGGCTATAAAAGACCAGAAGATCAGGGCCCTGGAGGCTGAACTGGAGCGGCTACGGCCCAAGAAAAGGAAAAAGATACTAAATCCCAACAAAAAGTTCATGACAATGGTAGAAATACTAGCCCAGGGTGGTAATCCGTTAGTTCCGGTTGCTGTAGAGTCTTCTTCTTCTTCTTCAGAGTCGGAGGTTGTTGAAGACGGGGTGGAGGAGGACGAGGAGGTTGCGGACGCTGAGGAGGCTGTAGAAGCCCCTGTTGCAGAAGCCCAGATGACTAGATCTGGGCGGTCAATCCGGGCGCCGGCTAGATACGTCGATTGAGCAGCCAAAACACCACAAAATGATAATTTTGCTGATTTTTTCAACCCTATACAGCCTCAAATGCGTGTAAGTGAGTAGGGGGGTCTTTTGGTGGTGGTGGCGGGGTTTGGCTGTGCCGGTAGTGGGGGAGTGCCGGTTCGGGGGGTCGGATGGTATCTGGTCTTCTTCCTTCTGCTGGACCATCCGCCGGCTATCAGCTACTGTCAACACCTCTCCTGACTTCAATGGAATATTCTTGGTAGCCCGGCATTGTTTTTGAACGCGCTCAGCATATTTAGTCCTCCCCAGGTCTCTTTTAGTCTGGACTAGTTTCTGTGGCATTTATTAGAGACCCTTTAATAAAGCGGTTAATATTAGCAGCAAACTCAGGATCAAGACTTTCGTCGTTTTTCAGTGCTGTGTCTAGCTTATCAGCCACCTTGTTGATCTGATGTAAGGTCATTGGCGTGCTAAATGGCGAGGAACCTGCCAAGGTAGGGGGAATAGGTGTCCTTTTTGGCTGTCGTTCTTCTAGGCTTTGAAGCACCGGCAGCGGGTTATATGGCCAGATACCAGTCTTCTGGAAGGCAGAGAGAATCGTACTAGATTTGAATGCTTGCTGGCGGACCCGTTAAATACAGCTAAGGAACTCAAGTTTCGTGATGTTCACCAGGCCATCACGGACCATTAAGTCCAGTGCCTTTGCGTGATAATGCTTCAGTGGCTGGAAGACTACCACGTCTAGCGGCTGCAGCAAGTGCGTCAGGTTTGGAGGCATGCCAAAAGGGATGATGCCGTGATCTTCGCAATATTGAATAAATTCAATCGTATGGTGTGAACCATGGCCATCTAGAATAAGGAGCCGTTTCGTCCTAATGGCCTTTGTTGCTGTGTATTTTTCAAAATGCTTTAGCCATTCTAAGCTAATTTGATCGTTTGAATATCCGCTAAAAGAAGGGATAATAGCTGTATCTCCATGTAGTTCAGGCTGTTGATACCATCGGGCCATATGGTGCTGGCCTGCCAGAATCAAAAAGGCTGGTATGTATTCTCCACCCGCAGAGATGGCTTCGATAGCAGTAGCAGATTCCCTATTTTTAGGGGTGTTGACATAGTGGGCTCTCTTTTGTTTAGTGACGATAAGCTGGTTCTTTCTAACACCTATGCGAAAGCCAGTCTCGTCCATGTTCCAGATATCTTCGGGAGGGATACCCTCTGCTTTGCATGTCTCCTTAAGCTTCTGGAAGTACTGAGCGACTTGCTCAACGTCTTCTGATGCCTCCCGGTCCGCATGAAGCTGTTTCTGAAGCCGCTGGTGGTATCCATAGTGCTTAATAAAGTGACTGGTCTATTTTTGGCCAACAGTATGTGGGCTGTTCCGTATAGCTGAAGGCGCTCGCTCGCTCAGAATGTGATTTACAGCGTCGGTAATAAACTCAGCGCATACAGCAAGGTTAATACGATCAAGACAATCAATATAATGACATATTACAACCTCTTCAGCAGGTATTAGCTTCGTGTTTGCTGCTGGTTGGCCTTTTCTTGCTGGACGGCCCTTGAGACGGTGTCGAAGGCGATCGCGAGATACGCCAAATTCGCGGGCTACTGTGGCGACTTTCGAAGTGGAATGGGTTCCAATATGCTGGACAGCTTCCTGCAAGCGTGCTTCCATTTTACCGATTGCATATGCTTTGAAGCTGCTGAAGAAAAGTGTGATCTAGAGGGAATGGTCGAAAAACTGGGTGTTTTGGTGTCCAGCACCAGCTTTAGCTGGTGAGCCCGGGCGAATCCTGAATAAAGTGGGGCGTGGCACGGGTAGTGCATTATGGAAGCAGCGCAATAGCAGCGAACCCCGGTACTGCCGAACGATCCTCCTATACGCTCTCCATGCCTCTGGCTTCGACCAGAAGTCCATACAGCGAAAAAGTCGCTTTGAGAGGCTATCGTCGTCGTCCGGGGCGTGATCATCGGTGTTTGGTTGATTGATAACTCCATTTCTGTGTGTCCTTGGTAAAGCAGCTTTCTTATGAGCAGCACAAGCTGTTTGGAAACATCGACAATTATCCGCATTGGTATCCCTCGCGTGGCAGAACGCGCTCCATAGAATGCTACTGCATGGCAAAGACATCCAACAACACAACATAACTTCATTGCTGAGATCCTTCTGAAGGTATAGTTGCTTCCGCAGGCTCTCCCACGGCTTGAAGCCCTTCATGATCTCGCGACTATATTGAGGCAATGGCTTATAGTTGATCATAAGTGCCATGATACAGTAACCCATGATGCTGTAGGTATTTGGTATAGAGCCAGCTCTGAGGTGAAGTAAGGCGTCCGTACCATCGACACGAGCAATCCAATCATCTTTGCCCAAGACCACCTCGTTCGACAAAAGACGACCCACTGCAATAGATGCGTGAACGGTCCTCCAAAGACGGAGGTGCACTGTTGGGATGGCTATTTCTTTGTACGACGAAGTCTTTCAAACTGATCAGGACTCCAGGACTCCAGGGTCGAAATTGAGTCCGCCTGAACGACTGTGGACGGTAAAACGGTCCATTCTTGGTGAATTGCTCTCTGCGATTCCAGGCGGGTGTAGGATTGGAACAACGCGTAAGCGCAGAAAGACTTCTCGGTATATCCATCAAGAAGTAGCTTGATTACTCCTGCTTCAGGCATCACTTCGCCTACTGCGTGGGCCAGGTCCCATAGCAGGCTTCCCAGCTCAAGACGTTGGTTCGAAGGCCGCCCGGGCTGCAGTGCCCATTGATGCGGATGCACTGACCTCCAGTCAGGGACCCACGAAGGTAAGCTCGACGCCTCTCGTCCCGATAGCATGAGAATGTGTGTTGCGCTCTGTTTGCACAGTAGATACGCGGCAATGCCAGTATACACCTGCTCAAGACTCAAGTCGTAGTTCGCAATCAGCCCCTCAGCTTTGCTGTCCTGGAGGAGTCCAAGAAACGCAAAAACTTTGTCTCTGGGATCCGAAGCTGAGCAGTGGGAAGTCTCGTACAGAATCCGAGATAAGTCGACTGCTCTGTTTCCGAACCACCCAAAGTTCTTCACCCACGTGGGAATGTGTTGCTCGACACTTTCGGGCCACCGCCTCTGTATTATCTTTTTCCATTCTATCGTCATTTCACCGCAACTCACACTCACTCTGCTGGAACAGATGACTTCCTGGACGATCCATAGACATGAGAAGTAGGGACGCTTGAAAAGACCCGAGGCGTAATCCACAAGCGATTCGGGGAGAGCTGCAGTGGGGCCCGTGGAGCTCAGGTGGCCAAGCACACTTTCACTGCCTTCGTTGGATTCCCCCAGGTGTACTATACATCTTCTTGCGCTCGAGTATGTGTGTGTTATCGAAGCGACCTGGTGAGATCTCTCTGCTACATTCGTCTGGTCAATGCACACAGCATCGATCCACACCCTGCGATGTCGATGACTTCGAAGGCGTCGCAGGACTGCGTCGCAGTTGCTGGTTATAGGAAGAATGTTATGCACTTCCAATGAAGATTTCGCGGCAACGATCACTGTCTCCTTGCTCGTCTGCTCAGGTATATGAGACGGCCTCGTAATCGGCTGAACGGTTTAGTCAAGTGATTTCAAAGTTGCCGTGAAGAGGCTCATCCCACTTTCCCGCCGACAATCGTAGGATGCGAAATTCATCGTCAAGGCTCAGCTGATTGAACCCCATTCCAGGGGCTGAAGCTGTGCTGTTCATGCAATCTCCATGCGGAGTCTGACCCAAGCCCGGGTTGTCCAAGGACTCGAAGAGGCTCTTGGAGAGATCCACCTCGTCGATTCCACATTTGCAGTCAATGCTATATGCAACCGAGGACGGCCAACTCAGGTTCAACGACGTTCGAATGGACTCATTGGAGTGGCCACTGGCGAGATCGAGCGGCCGAGCGGCCTGGCGGTGCTGACCTGGGCCAGCGGTGTCGCAGCTAGGGCAGAAAGGGATGCCGCCCAACAGATAGACATCTGGTCGCCTACAAGGTGCCTGGTGCCTGGACTCCATCGACGACAGTCGTGATGCTGGTGGATAAGAGGTATGGAAGGGGGGTTGCAACCAAAGGAGGCGGACAGGAAAGGTGAAGAAGGGTGCGGTTTGGGAGCCGCTCACCTGCATATTTCTGTGATTTATAGCTGCTTGTTCGGGCCAAGCCACGTTGCTGCCTGCTGCTGACTCTGCCAACGCATGCATGCAGGCTGACGGATGAGAATGGCCAAGTTATATCCGGGGTTGCGATCTCGGAGCTGGCCAACATGACACAGCTAACCGGCAGTTGAGGTTGATACGTGGATTGGTGGTTTACCATTTTCTTCCTCATGAAGCTAGATTAATTTATTGAACTTTTATGCAGCTCCACGGTATTATGAAGCAAGGACCTTTTTGTGGTTGCTCCCCTCCGTCTGACGTTACCCACTTCAAGCTTCAGAACATGTTCCTTTCCTCAAACAACAACAAAACTAAGAAACCCAACTTCACCACCATCCACCTCCGTCTTCTTACGCAGTCCCTGCACAAGATGCCGAATCAGTATAGATATATACCCACCAACAATCGAGTCCAAACGGCATCGAGCAGTGTACCGCAAAGCACGAGCTCTGCCAGTCCACATCCGCCCCCATCTGTCGCGGCCAGCAGTGCATCTCCTAGTGTTCCCAACACCGAGTCCAGAAGCGCCGCGCCAGCTGACTTTCCTGGGGTTCCGGAAAGCACACGTGCGGATTACAGTCAATCCCATGTCACGCGATACTCGCATAGAAGTAACGCCTCCAACACGCCTTCGCCGCCCGGGCCATCTGGAAACCGACCGAGATACACATCCCAGAATAATGTCAGACCACGTGCCACGCATCATCAAAGACCGGACCCATACGAGCGACAGGTAGACCTAGAGCGCGTCCCAAGCCGCAGCCAGCCCGAGCCCGACAACACTAGCCCCGGTACGCGGTCCGTCACCTGATCGCAGAACCGACTACCGAGGGGATGCGCTCCAGGAATCATGCTGAACAGGCTCTACGCAACGACCAAAGCGTGAGGCTATTCTAAACAAAACGCCATCATTGTAAAGACGAGCACAAACCGACTTGGACCCTCAGATGATACGGCTGGAAGAGGATATCAAGCTTTTCTTCGGTTCGAAAAAACAGATACAGGTGAATTACCAGATGGTCAGGGGGAAGACTCCCTACGAAAGGCTTAACGCCGCTCAGCATCCTATTGAATCTAAGTTTACAAAACACAAGAGCCCAAGAATGCCTCCTTCACGCCAGCCGGCAAAAACTAGCAAGAGAACAAGACCGCACGCGGGCAAGGACTCCGAAAACCGCCATCGGAAACGTTCGCGCATTGATGGACCGCCTGCCCCCACCCTTCTGAAGCTTCTCAGCGAGAGTGCGAGCGTGGATTCACACCAGTCGCTCCGGTATTGGCGGGCTGCCCCAACCCTCGGGCTCCAGAGCCAGCCGCCCCTCGAGCAATGTTGGAGACGAACACTAGTTCCAACAGGCCCAGCTTAACAGATGGATCTGCTGCAGAAACCGCGACTGCAAGTCCCGCGACTACGGGTGCTCTAGGCCCAGGCAGTACGGCTACAAGGCCCACGGTTGATGACGCTGCCACGGCGACGACCGGAGCATCCGGGAACCAGAACAACATCTCCGCCTCCAATGTTGGGAATCCCGCTAAAATCGGGAGATTGTCTACTCTTCAAGACGCACCGCAGTCAAGAGAGACGCCAGAGTTGCCAATTAATGGACATGCAGCAGAGCAAGAGCCTCACACGACCGCAACGCCATCGAGACACGATAGGCTGTTACGTTCGAGCGACCCGGCGTGGAAGAATACTTATCGGCGCGACGGCGCGTAGTGCGAACGATGCCGAACTGGCAGTGGCGAAATGCACTGAGGCCTCAAGCGACTTCGTCTCCCCTCCCCTGAGCGGTAGAACGTGAAACAGAGTACATTCATGAACTGTATTCCCACCCAGCTCTCAACCATTTCGCCCCGAGTGACATTTTCAAGTGACTATGCCTTATAATGAAAATGCATCGCCCACTGCCCATGGGCCTACGCAAGTAACCCTTCCTTCTAGGCCGATCTGACGAGTGGATTATGAGAAGACTAACTAAGCTCCCAACTCGGTTTGGCTGTTAGTCATATCAATGCGCTAGGCGGGACGGTCCAAGGGGAGTATCGTTGCCAGTTAATGAAATGATGAGGTGACCCCTATTAGCTAGCGACAAATTCCCGTCACTCCTCCGACGCATACCTCTTCCGGTGTTGCTTGCCCATCCTGACACATCAGAGGTCGTGATGGAGCTGAGGCGACCCAGCCGTGTATTCAGAGCTCCCAGACTCAAGAGATGAAGCTTATATCTCGGATCTTGCCCCTTTCATTCTCTGACCTGGGAGAACCCTGCCCGTCCCTAGCCTCCTATGGTCGCATATAAATCGTCGTGGTCGAATGATGGCTACGATGGACTGTTTTTGGAGCACACGCGATACAAGCAACCAAGCAACGTGAATCTTAGCAGTCAGCACAGCGGACTATACACAAACAAACCCATCTACGGCGAAATCGACGGTTCTCCGCCGCGTTCATCGCTTAGAGCTTGTCTCAACATATCGCAGGAGTATTGGATACGGGTGCTTACGTACGCTGTACACATGAGTGCTTCCTATCGTGACGTGCCGATTTGAACTGACTGGAGATGGACTGCGAGATGGACTGTCACCGTGCCTAACGCCCACAAGCACCAATAGTTCTAGCAATGGTCTCAAGGCTGATCGGACGACTCTATAGAGCTAGGAGTCACGTGTTGCTCCATCATGCGGAATCCTCCTGCTTTCATTCGTCAGGAGGAAGATACATGTCCAATCGCTGTGATCTCTGGCGTAGAAGCTCAGTTTCCTAAATCCTGGCGCGCAAATACCAAGCTCCTCCTCACACTCTTCCTGACAGGTGGAGAAGTAATCGTCATCGCATGGGCTGCCATGAATTTGTTAATGGCCAGTACTCAGCCGTGCAGAAACCATGTTGTGAGAGAATTTATTATGTAAGTGTGAAGCTGACGCTTAGAGCCAGCAGGTGGTTAACAGGGTGATGTGGAGCTGCATCGAGTAAGCCGGTGAGTATTAATGTCAGGAGAGGGACTCGGCTTACTTACGGGCGTGCGGCCGATGAGTGACGGTTGGCAATTGAGATTGATGTAAGTACAAACGCTTGAAGATATTTTGACTACGTCAGATGATCAACGCCACTCAACCCCAATAGCTTGGACGTGTCTTGAGTCTCCATGTCTCATGTCGTAGAAAATTTACCTTGCGGTAGGCAACGACTCCATCTCGACCAGGTTCTATGATGGAGGTTGAATCCGCATTTTAAGCTATGCGATAGATGGAGGTGGCGGCGCGTCCCCGGACGAAGAGACGCGACGTATCACTGAGACTCTCCCCCCGGTACCTGCCGGAACTTTACCCCGGATCCTAAATGAGGATACGTCTCATGGACCCGGAACTTATCATTCGAGAAAAATTACCGTTAGAGGAGTGGCGGTTTGTCCAAATTTAGCATCCAGGCATCACAGGATATGTTGGGGAGTCAGATCATGGTGGGGCCTTCACGTAGGTATATTCCTCGAGGATCATCAACCCTAAGGATTCTCGGAGCTTGTGATGGCTCACTACCTACGACCAGGAACACACCTAGGTAAATCACATGTGGGCCATGACGTTTGATTCGGCACAGTCAGCCATTTACTAGCCATCCAACCTTTGAACCCGTGCACAGGATGCGTTGGCCACCTCCTTCGTAGAACACACGGCGGTACCGAGTGAAAATCTATCGCGCCAGTAGTATCTGCGAGGCACAGCGAGGCACCGGGACTTACAAGGATACTACTGGCGCGATAGATTTTTTTGAGCGCAGTGCTAGGTAAACGTACATCCTTTTGTATATATTTGATCACAACCTGCGCCGATTTCAACTCATCGCATGAGTGACTGGTTTGTATTTGATACCGCGTATTATCATTACACCTGAAGTCTCGCTGCGGTGAACCGACAGGCTGACGTTTCAGATATTCCTCTGTACGTTCTTTTTTCTCGTCATCAGTATCGCCCGGTCGCTGCACAAGTCCCTAGGGCTTTGCGAACATGAAGCTGCGCGGTAAGATCCCTCTACTCGTGTCGGGGCTCTTCTATCTACTCGGGCGATGCACTACAGCATCCCCCAGAGCAGCAGACCTCAAACCGGATCATACACTATCGTTAACGGAACAAGAGATCAAGATAAACTGCAAAGAGCGGAAATCTGTAGTCATAGAAGGGACGGTGCCGGGGCCGCAAATCACTTTGCAGGAGGGCAAGACTACTTGGATCCGAGTCAAGAATGACACACCTGATAAGAAAGTCACCATGGTAAGTCTCGTCACCCACCCGAACGTGCCATCTGATCTGCCACAAGCATTGGCACGGCCTGTCCATGCGAACGGCGCCTTTCTCGGACGGGGTTCCCATGGTGTCGCAGTGGCCCATCGAACCAGGGCAGTGGTTCGACTACGAAATACGTCCGGAAGCAGGCGACGCCGGAACATACTTCTATCACTCCCATGTCGGCTTTCAGGCTAATACGGCGTATGGGCTCCTGATTGTTAACGGCGCAGAGGCCCACGAGTACTACGACGAGCGCGCCATCGTGCTAGCCGATTATTATCCCCAGCCAGACGATGAGATCGAGGAAGGGCTCCGGGCGAATCCTTTTAAATGGCCCGGAGAGTCACAAGCTGTAGTTTTCAATGGACAGTCCGGCACAGCATCGTTCGACGATGACAGCGACGGTTCTTGCAAGCCCCACGTTATAGAGGTCGAGCCGGGTAAAACGTATCGACTGCGCTTCGTCGGAGGCACCGCGATATCCTTCGTCACATTAGGAATTGAAGACCACAAGAAGCTTACCATCATAGAAGCGGATGGACAGGCCACCGAGAAGGCGGAGACCGACCACATGCAGCTCGGCAGTGGCCAGAGGTACAGCGCACTGCTGGAGACGAAACCCGAGCGTAACCTCAACGGCAAGTGTGAGTATTGGATACGGTATGAGACGCGAGAAAGACCGACAGAGGCCAGCGGCTACGCGCTCCTGCGGTACAAGTCGGATAAGTGTGACGACTCTGAGAAGAAGCTTCCCGATGAGTCCCCGGTCAAGCTGTCCCGCGACAGAAAACCGTTGACCGAATGGATGGAATACACCCTGACGCCCAAAGATGGAGGCGACGATTTCCCCACTCGCGAAGAGGTGACACGGACCGTTTACATCGAGGTCAAACAGCATGTGATTGATGGGTCGTACGACGGGAGCATTAACGGGGGATTCCAATGGAGGTGAGACCTGGTGTCCATGCTGGGTTGATACATGCTAACCAGGACAAGCATGAATGGCCTTGGATGGGATGAGGAAGCTCAAGAGAAAGACAAGTCTGCGCCTTACCTAATCACTGCCTATAATGAAGAGAAGACCCCGGACTACGATGCCGCACTCAAGAACAAGGGCTGGGACCCCGAAACCAGGGCGTTCCCAGCGCGGGTTGGTGAGGTTCTCGAGATAGTATGGCAGTCTAACAGCGGGCCAACAGGAGGCCTAGACTTGCACCCCATGCACGCTCATGGCCAACACTACTGGGATCTAGGTGCTGGATCTGGTGAGTACGATGCGAAGAAGAACGACAAGAAGCTCGACGGCTATATCCCGATGAGACGAGACACGACCATGCTCCACCGCTACGAGGAGAAGACAAAACCCAACACCGTGAACGGGTGGCGGGCATGGCGTATCAGGGTCACAAAAGAGAACGTGGGCGCCTGGCCGATGCACTGTCACGTCTTGCCACATATGATTATGCGTACGTTTCGGTTCTAAGCATTCCTCGCAAGTCCTCCGTCAGTAACTTACCTATTATGACTGATAGGCATGCAAACGGTATGGGTCTTTGGTGATGCCAGTGAAGTCACGGCTAGTCTGCACAAGATTCCGCAGTCGTATCTTCAAGGCTATCTCGAGCCTGGTGGCAGCGCCTATGGCAAGGACGACGGTAAACGCCGTCTGAAACCAAAGGCAATTGCCTTCTTCGATTAAGAAATGAAGCCTGAGGCGGAAGCAGCAGGCTTTGGGCATTTGCATCAACATAGACTGGAGTTCACGGCTGGATTTGGGGTCGATATCAGTTGGCTAACGGGCACAGAACTGGGTAGGGAGTATGGATTTTATAGACTAGAATTGATAGAGCTTCTTGTTGGCTTCGACGCCAGGTTACTAGCTATTAACTTATTCGCGTTCTCAGACGAGACGAAACAATGGACCTTTCAACATCCTACCATTTGGCTAGGACACAAGCTGGCGTGAGATCGACTGGCAGACATGCTGTGGCTGGGAGAAGTTTGATCCTCGGCACCATTTACCAGTTTCTCAGTGGCAATACGCCTGTACTTGCCTGTTCTGTCTATCCTCGGTAGGATGCTGACACGTAGATACCTAAGTCTAGATGTACAACCGGTTTTGACGTCTCCCGACGCCGACTTGGAAGACTGCGGTCGTCTTCCATGGCATCATACAACTGCCTGATTATGAGTTTGAGTTGCGTGATCCCCACTAGATCCTGCTATCTTTAGCAAGGACTTCTCGACGTTCGCCGACCACGAGGGCATCACACCATCAGATGTATATATGGAGTTTTGCCGATCCTGTCTCTAGGGTGAGTTTCTTACCATAGAGGTCGGTGGAAAAGGTCGAAAACAACCGAATGGGCACTCGTACATTTGGCAATTACATCACCTCCGTCGCCACGATACTAAATTAGGCTTATAAGATCGTATCAACTCTTAGTGGGAACGGCATACGTAGGGCCGTTCGCCGATACTTATTTATAGATTCGCGACGCAGCCAACGCCAGCTACTTTTAGAGCACCGTGGGTCGTTGACTATAATGCAGGAGAGGATCCTTGGCCTTGCTTGGCATTATTAATAACCAAATATATATGCTAGTATTTTATCTTCGATTAGAGTTCCATTCTAAAAACTCTATTTAGAGTCAGCCCGAGTGTAGACTATGGGCGCATTAAAATGGTGATTTCCATATAACGACATGAACAGATCAGCCAGGCGTAGTATCTCAAGGTGAAAGCAGGAGGAGACATCGACCACGAAGCAATTGACCCCAACGGACATGGCAGGAGCGGATGGCGCCCCTGGTCCATCCAAGAGGGCGAGGACAGACAGCGACGCGCCTAACGAGGAGCAGCTCAGCAGTATTAGCGATGAGCAGCTGTCTGAGATGATGTCTGTGCGATTCAGCATCACTGCCCCCAAAGCCGCAAAAAAGCCCTTCTCTCAGCGAATGATGATGAAATCGCCATGGTGGACACGGACGTGGCAGCCAACCCCGCGGTGGAGGACATGCCCCTTTCACCCAGCAAGTTGCGCCCGTCTGGACACTACACATAGTTGGTGGTCAGGCTCGCAAAGCCATACATGCCGAAAGTCACGCAGGCCACTGTACATGTGAGATCAATCATCCAGGAGATTTAGGTCGTCGTGTTTGTCCCCACATTTCCACCATCTGCACGCACCAGGCAACGCTACCAACTACACGGATTACGGCACTACAGTGAGTCTGAGAAGAACTTTTCCGAGAAGGCAGAGAAATAGAAGGCGGAGCCCGCACAGGAACGAATGAACAATGAGAAAGCGAAAGCCTTGATCAATTTCATACGTGAGCCTGGAGACATCTCCAATCAGATGGGAAAGAAGTTTGACCACTTTTGGTTGACACAGAGAATGGCATTGAGGCTAATGCCAACCGGCGATTTCGCCTCGTCGAGAGCAGCTGTGGATCGCCCGACGACTCCAAGAAACGCACCAAGCGTATCAGGGGTTGGGAACGGGCGGTACAAGACAGGCTTGACGGTGATGACCAGCATTAGGTCAGAGTCGTAGTTTCCAGTCATTGGTACTCACGGTGGCAGCACACTCCTCCGCCTTAACTCAGTAATGATACTTGCTGGTTCGGAACTTCGTGTCTCTCTTGCGAACTGTGTCCTGTGACTTGTTCATGTCCCAACAAGCACCCCTTGATACTTGTCGGTATCGTCATGCATTGTAAGCTGGGTTAGTTACGGTGCCGTGAACTCAATGCTCGTCTGCGGGAGGTTCGTCCTCCTAGCCCACGCGGTTGTTGCAGCTCGCGCTGGACTAGGTGGACTTTGCAAGCTTCCACTGTGTCCCCACTGGTCTACAGCTGTTGCGCAAACAGTCCATGTCGACCTGCTCTACCACCTTCAAGCATTGCACCATACTGCCGGGTAGTCTTTCATCACCAACTGCACCCCAGCGCGACGACATCACCCCCTACCGCCAAACGGCCTCACCACAAAGCCGCAACCATCATAGAGGACCTCCTCACCAAGCACACAGACGACGAATCGCTTCTCAGCCTGACCCTTTGGCGACAATGGCCATCATCATACTAACCACATGACCTGGGGCGAGAAGTGGGTAGACTACATTGCTCCGACCACCTCGCAGCTCCGAACTTACCGGACCAGCACATACTACATGAATCGCCCAGATAGCTTTCCAGATACACCAAAACCCGATCCGGCACGAAACTAGACAGAGATCCCAACGGCAGCATCTATCACAGCTTTCCAAGACTACGATAACCTCGAAAGACATCCCCAACTCAACGAATTGACCATCAAGTCTCCCGTCGGTATCCCCGAGTACACGGAGAGTTAACCTATCTCGCTAACCCGTAACACTAAGCTACACCCCACCGCATAGCTACCATCGAAACTACCCCAGTGGAAATACCTCAAGTCAACGAAACGACTAGCGAGCCTCGTACCCAGGTATAGGTATCTGAGCCCACAAATAGCCGAGCTATCTCACCAGCCCCCCAAACCGACCAAACCACAGCCCAGTCTGTAGCTACCAGCAGCGCTACGCCCACGAACAAGCCTCTACACGATACGGGAACACATCAGAGCCCCGCATGGCACCGGAAGACGCACCACGATGGTCGGGCATATCATGGAGCTGAGAGATCGCCACAGCCCGGACACAAAGATTGTCTACTGGTTGCCGAGTGAGCTTGTCGGCTCCGAGGTTATGGCTCATCTCTTGAAATACCCCACGGCGAGCAAGCTGGCTACCAAAGCGTATGAGAGTCTCAGTGACGATGACACCGATTCCCACGAGAATACGACGGTAATCATCGATCTGAAGATTGTACCCTCCATTAGAGGCGACCTGTTCCTGGGGCAGATGCTGGAGTGGACAGCCAAGCAAATGGCATCGTCCAGAACCATAACGCTGGTGACCATGGCGGCTTTCAAAGCCGAGTTGACACAGCTTTGCGTGACGCGCTTCCTCCAGACGAAGTCACCGGAGATCACAATACCAGAGCCGGATCCCTGGAATAAGATGCGACTTCTCGACCCCGACCCCGAGAAAGAGGTGGCAGAAGAGGTCATGGATATCCTCAATGATACTATCATCTACCACACCATGGAAGGCCGAAACCCTCCCGCACGAGCCGATTTGGGCTTTGGATTTAAGTGGCTACACTCAGCCCTCATAAGCCTCCGTACGCGCTTGTTGGCAAGGTTCCAGACCAGCGGGATAGTTAGAAATACTGGAATAAGCGCCCTAAAATAAGCGTCAAGCATAATCAATAAAGATCAAACTGCTTATTCCGGTGTGTTTATTCTGATTTGATGTATATGCCGTTGCTTCCTGGAAGGGTCGTGTACGGAGACTTATGAGGGCTCAGTGTATCACGGCAAGAAGAAAGCTGCTATCAAGCGGCAACAATGTAACAACACAACACTGATCTACGCCATCACATTCGGATTGTAAGGTATTCACTATAGTCAGGCTAGCAATCTGAAATAGCTGTCCTTCACAATAATCCGTAACCGCGCAGCCCAATCGGTGTGAATATGATCCATTCAGCGTTGCAACGGAAACGTGGTTCCTACCACCCGATGAGGCGTCATGCCCAGAGCATCTTCCACCTCATCGACGATGCGGTGGGGTATGAACGTAATGTCCTTCATGACATTCTTCGGTCCGCCATCGTTATGCTCCAAGAGTTCGAAGTATATGGCAAACGCGCCCTTCTTACCAGACTCTTCAATAGCACCTTGACATCCACAAAGTCGTGCTCGTTGGTCTCAAGGTCCTTCATCGAGACCACGTCAAAAGGGAGCGCGTTGGCGTCTGGGAAAAACACAATGTGATGAAGCCATGCCCACACCAACTGTCGGTCGACATGGTCCATCTCCTCTTCTGTAAGCTCGGTGCTCTTGAGCTCATCTGAGGCTGGACTGAGCTTATAATGGTTTTCGAGCGACTTAACCCGCTCTGCGATCAATTTTGCGTGGTCATGGGAGACGAGCAGTCGTCCTGATTCTGTCCGGTCGGCTGAAGTCGTAGCCTTTTGCCAAACACCCAGAGATAGCCAGGCGGCTCCTCGGCGCACACGTCTGCTTCCAACACCGGTGGAAGCCCGTACGAGGTCATCCAGTGACTGAGCTGCGCTCTCGTCAACCATTTCATACAGCTGGCCCACGTTTTCCGCGAAGATAGCCGCAATTCGGATGATGACTCGCTTCAGACTATCTGAGAAGCTCGGATTGTCGTCGATGCTGCTCAGGAAATATGCCACGTGGAAGTCTTGGATCTGTCCGGCGTGTTCTCTGATCGCAAGGACTCGTTCACCCTTTTTGGCGAGTCTATACACGCCGTCATCCCATGCGCTCTCAATGCCGCGAACAGCCAGCAGACGGCGACATATTTCTCTGACCGCCCTGATATCATAGGGCACTCTGATCGGCATATCGAAAAAGTGAAGCCCGGGCCACGTCTCTACCATTCTCAATATGGTCCAGGCAATATCCTCATGGTACGCGGTACCCTCGGGGTCGTCCTCGTGAAATCCAGGACCTGTGAGAAGGTCCTCCTCGGTGAATGGCGCAAAGAACTTGACCTCGGAAGGCGCGGCTGATTTCAACACCCAGGCGTATTCGTTCATGAACTCTAGTTGTGACATGACTTGCCGTGTAGTCACAACCTAGCTCGTGTACGGATCAAACATTCTTCTCTTGTCCTTCCCACCACTCGAGACGATATACCTCAGGCCTGATGAAGGCAGTCGAATTGGCCACCGCCCTGGGAATGCTGTTCCAGTCCTTAGCAGTGTCGGTGACCTCGGACGCGGACGGGAGGTCCGGGTGATATTCAGAGGCTGTGCTGGCTAGTACACGGTGATGGCTACCTGCCGAGTGGCATTTGGCAAAGAGCTTGTCCAGCTGCTGGTCCCAAGTCGTATCCGTTTTTATCCGAATTACTTTGATCCGTGGATAGCTGTCGGACACTGTGACCATCTTGACGGTGCTTTCGGTCCATCTCTCAAGCGCAGCAAGCGTTCTCCCAGACTTGAACGGACTTTTCACGACCACTGCATTTCCAGAACCATTTCCACTCTGTCGACGCAGAATGTACGCCCAGTGCAGTAGGGTTCCCGGAGCCAGCTCGCCGTCGGTCGTCGGGCAAGACTGGGTGTCGATGAGCACGATGGTTTTGTCGCTCACATCGTGAGGCTTGAAGGTTGCCAGGAAAGTCTTGTGGCTGACGATGGCAGCGAATCCGAGGCTAGGATCCTCGCTTAGCTTGATCGTGATAGGGTTGAGGGGGTTGGCAGAGACGCTGGTCAGGTATGTTCGTAGCATCACGGCTTCGGCATCTTGTGGCACGACATATATGATTCGCGCTTCGGGCATCGATCGCTGGGTCAGTGCGTGTATGTGGGCAACCAGGCTCGTGCTCTTACCTGACGCATGCGCGCTTCGGATGTAGGCGCTGGCGACGCCGTTGCTCAACCCGTGCAGGAAGAATTTATCAATCTGTTCCTGGCTCTCGCGCCAGGCTTGAGTCAGGGGAACGTCTATGCGATCGTTCGACGCCATCGTGATGATATTTCGATTTCGAGGACTTTGGGAAGGTCTGGGAGTGTGATGCGCGATATTGGGATAGTGGTGTACATCGAATGATGGGCTGTGTGGGGCCGTGTGTGCACGATAAATGTTTTCAGCTGGAGGACCAGGGTGCTGGGCAGCTTGGAGGGATGGGTGACATTGGTGAGCTTTATCGTCAAGTAGCTTCGGGGCATCTATCGATAGGGGGCCGTTACGATAATACGAATAACACAGGAGACAGGTCATAAAGAAAAAGGGGCTCCTTATAGTGGTAGAGAAGTGGGGGCCGCATAGGTGGGGTCATTGGGACGGACCGGTGCCCCCACTAGAGTACCCCTTTGGGCGATGATCCCGCATCTAATTGGAAGTTCACTGAACGTGTCCGGCGTGCAAATGGAGCCTCTGTGCCGGCCGGCGATGCTAGTTAAATGCAGCGGCTGCAAGCGCGCCGACGCTGATCACGGCCTGCCCTACCCAAGGACTAGCCTGTTGCTTCCATGCTTCAAGGCCAAGGGCAGGTGGTGTGCCTGTCCTGCAGGGTGTACGGGGCAATCCGGATCAGCCACGCGCAATGCCGAGCTGATGTTTCCCCCCGCTGCTCACTTTGCAGCAACTGCTACAGGAGGTATTCACTGTACCGTCCCTAGACGCCCCCATTGATAATACTACCCTAGTTGAAACCCATGTCTTCTTAAAAGGGATCCCAGGGGGCTTGGCAACCTCAACCCCCCTATACATGAGGACATTTCTCCTTCAACTCTCTCTATTGCACTGTCAGGCTCATCGGTCTGGGCGCGTCTGACGTCTCTCCTGAGCTTTGACCATAGCCCTCGAACGTAGTATCTTTTGGGGGTGACTACACATCGCCGTGTGGCTAGGGAAATCCGTGGAAATCACGAACAGTAGTATCTTACACAGGCTGTGTGAATGTAGCTTTAGAGGACGACCGAGGCTTGGAGGAATACCTCTGCTTGGTCAAGACTGACAACAATGTGGAGCAACTAACCGCTATCTATACCCAGAAGCCTCCTGTGTGGGGGAGGAACTGGGGTTTGGGGGTGGGAATCCGTGGACAGAGCTCTAGACTACCTTGATCAACCTGTTATCAATAGAACAGGTGGGACGTTGCGCGCCCGTCAAGCACCCCGTGAGAACCGCAACCCTCCTGCAAGCCTGTTAATTTCCATCTCCTTGAGTCCTTCTGCAGCCCCATAACTCTCCCCACATGTCCAAGCTCATGGCTTCCGCGTCATCTTTCCCAGTCTCTCGGGGATACCTGTAGGCTTGTCTGATAGTATGCAGGGAAAAATTGCTTGCCGCTCCAGGATATATAGCCAGCTGTGAATAGGTCAGCCCGTACTAACGGCCTGTAAGGAGCGCTTCTCCCAGGTTGACTCACCTTGACGCCCGACTCACCTAGCGTCTCTGGAGGAAACCAAGGCGTCTTAGCATTTGAGACGAAGTTGATGAAAATCCTGATAGTCTCAGCTAGGCTTTCCTAGGGTGGCTGCGCGGATTATGGCAAGGGCATACTGGCATTAGCGCAGGGACCTTGACGGCGTTTTTATCTGAGGCATTAGTCGTGTGGCAGAGTGAGACGAGATAAAGCGCCGTGTAAAATAAAACGACCAGATTCCTCACGTCGCGAGCCTGGCCTGCTTTTGTGCGGTTTCAGACCCTTTTTCGGCTTCTGGCGCTGTTGAAGGATCCAAAACTCTGGGTCGTTTGCTAGTCGGTCCATGCGTGTCATCAATCCAGCGCAGAGTGAGCGAGTCCCGGCACAGGCTGTCCAGGTACTTTACGCTGAGCTCGTAGCATCGCTGGATTCGTGCGCCGTCTTGCAGCAGGATATTACCGTGCTGCAAATTATATGTAGGACTTCCCGAGGGGAGAGATCGCTGTGTTTATTCGAACGAGAATGGCCGTATGGCGCAATGGTCAAATGCGCCTGGTTGTGTTCTCGTTTGTGCGGTGGGCGACGAGAACAAGTGGGTTCAAATCCTGCTATGGCCCCCTTCTGACCCGGCTTGTGCGAATCGACAACCAGCACACGACAGTGGAGAGGCCCCTTATCGCAGAGCCCGATAGCCAAGCAGCTTGTCTCCATAATACCCATTTCTGTGAGGTTTTTCCCCTTGTGGTTTCCCTCGCCAACAGATAACAAATACCTACTTCACCCACCAATGCGACATATTTCGAACGGTTATTGGAACGATGTGTATACCAGAGGACTGAGGTTCACTGGGTCGCTTTGTCACTGGACAGGAGGTTTTTCTGACAGAATCGTGCTTGGGTATTGACTAAAACCATCTGGTCACTCCAGGTTGGTACCGCTACAGCGAGGATAGGCTCGTGCGCGGATCTGAATGTATCTAGACTGACACCTTTACAACCTTGCGATGCAATGGCCCTGGGAGGCGTGGTTTGCCCTATGGAGGGACTGCACCCACGATAAATACAATCAATCAATCAATCTATTTGAACGAGAATCGCGTCGACTGCTTCCTGGTATTCCTCTTCGCCCGCCTGCCTCTTTGCGCGCTGCTCTTGAGGCTACTAGAAAGGGAAAGGTGATTAACACTCAGATAGAAGGTAGAGATTCTATATAATCAATTAAGAAGTTTAAAGAATTTATTCCTTACGAAAGGATTTCTTTTCCTTACGAAAGGATTTCTTTTCCTTACGAGAAGGTCACTTTTCCTTGGGAAAGATCTACACTAAAACGAATCGAGTAAAGTCATGACCTTTACTAGGGCTGTTTGAGGCCTAGTCAATGGAAGAGTGATTGTTTGTTAGCATATCATAGGTGGCACAGGTCGGTTTGGTACTGCTTTCCATCGCATTTTAGCCTTCTTGCGATGCTACATACCTGTGTCATTCAAGCAGCTTCTACTGTGAAGCAAACATAAGGGCATTCGCCTGCTCCGTGCCTATATGTGGCGCAGGAGTTTTAGGACTATAGGGGTACTACGTGATGGTTGGGATAGTTCGAGCCTACATAAACATATCAAAAGTATCACGCTTTTCCACAGCCAGCGCATTCGGAGTTATGTCAAAGCATCTTGGAAGCAGAGTGTTCATATAAAGCTACCTGCCCAGAGGTTTCGCTGTCACCACATCGTCAGGTGGACGGAAAGGCCGGTGTTGCGTAGTATCAGCGTCTTATGGAGTCTCAACGCTTCTCGGCGAGAGCGGAGTCCTGCTTCGTGTCAAAAGACAGACTGATGTACTTTCTCGTTTTCTTGGCATTCGGGTACTTCAGGCGAAGGGTGGCCTCCTCCCATACTTGTCGACCGAGCTTCAGAAGTTCGTCTTCCGTCAGCTCTTTCAGCGAGCCGTCCGTCTGCTTCGTTGCGGCCCAAGCATGGATTCTGTCTCGTACCTCACTGTTGTGGTAGGTAGGCTTTTGGTGGATCAGCGGCAGCACAAGCTTCTTGGCTGCTTCGAGTGGTTTGTTTAGCTCTACCGTTGCTTCGGTGATTCTGTCACCCGTGCGCGCGACCTCGCTTTGGCTTTCCTCAACCTTCAGCGATCTCGCAGACGTGTCAGCCGATCGAAGTGACCTCGATGACGAGACCTATTAGTACGAAATCACCAACGCAGAGTACGAGGACATCTACAGGGACTTTTCGGGTGAGATCATGTGATGCGATGATTGTTTCGATCGACGCGCCTACTTATTTGAGGACATTCTCGCAACAAATACCAATGTCAGCGCGAACGACCTGTTCAATGCCACTGCACAGTTCGAGCAAGATACCATCACGGAACTCGCCGCTGATCTCAGTAACGGCCCTTATCTAGAATATTGCTGCCTGAACTACAGGGTGGACGAGGACCTATGGTGTAATTTCTGCAGTACGTCCACTGAACTTTGAGTTCCTCTCCCACGTCGCATGGGCCGCTGCCAGTCGCGAAGCCAGATCGAGAAGCTGAATCCCAGCCGGCCGAGCCGGAAGAAGCTCCTGCTTCACTGCAGTTTCTCTCCGATCCTAAAAAGCGGTGTGCAAGTCGAGGCGGAAAACGTAGTAGAAAGCCCAAAAAAGGATGCGAAATCAGATGATGACTATCCGGGACCAAGCACACGTGCTGAACCAAACATATCCAAGGGGCCGGCCGCCTACGAAGCCCACGTACTTGCTCAGCCTGACAGCTTGGACCCGGCTATTCCCCGCCATAGCCTCCCCCCTGTTGCGGGCATAGCGGAACATATGCGTCTCAACCGAGAGCAAGGTTTCCCCCCCAGAGGCTCGTTCAGAGGCGGCCGCGGCACCCGAGGTCAAGGTGGTATTGGCAGGGCTTCTGTGAGTCTCCACCGGGAGCAGGCAAAGCCTGAAAACTTGGTCTCGACTACCCTCGTCAACGTCGTCACCCACAGTCCAGCCGTGCCTAGCCTACGGAGCGTTCCAGAAAAGGCTCAGCCACGACGGGTGCAATCTCAAGCCGCTCAGCAGCAATACCTGGCCCCAATGGACGTACGGAAAACGGCTTGGAAGAAACTTTGAGGTAAAAGCTCGTACTCACCTAATGCTGGCCCTTGGGGCTTTCGTCTTCCTTCTTCAAACTTGATTTGGGAAAAGTGTGTTGGAAATACTCAAACCCTCAACCAGGCTTTGCCAGGTGTGGTCTATTTCACTATCTTAACTCCCAAGGAGCCCGAGAGGGAACTGGTTCTTGCTCTGGGCAGCATTGAATTATATGAGAAAACAAGGCACTGTTGATCTGAATGAAGCCTATACGATCTTAGCGATGTACTTCGTTGAACTCGTCCGCACAAAAAACAACTACTCTCTCGCCCAACACATCGATTCGGTGTTCGAGCTGTGGTGGTCGGAGCTGCTCAGCTGCGCGTGACGCTGCGGCGAGTGCACCGAGCCCAAGGACTCATTTTCATCCTCTGCTCGGGAAGGGCGAGGGTCGTAGTAGTAGATATCGCGATTGCTATTATGCGTGGGTATGCGGCGTCGAGACATCTTGGTTGTTGCGACAATTGATTGCGCGGATGTTGATTGTGGTTTGGGGGTTTTTGGAAATGAAGAAAAACTTCGGTGGCAGCAATAGATGTGCGCGAAACTGCTAGGCGGTGTGGAGTACAGGCAGTAAAACGTGTCTTGCCGTGGACAAGGTAGGCAGTTGTGTTCATAGCTGCGTGCCTAAGTACCACTGGAGGCCTGACTTGTTTATACAGACCCGTGCTCTGACTCACTTGACTGCCACGATGTAGACGTCAGGACCATGAAGTGTGGCTATTTGTTATAAAAAAAAAAAAAAATTGTGGGCTTGATGAGGGCTCGGATGGGGGCGATGGATTGTAAGCTCTTCGCGCGACAGGGTAATGGGGCAACGACTGCCACGACTCACCCCTTTATGAAGCGATGCCTGCCGTGTGCTTGCCGGACCCTACCCGCCCTTAGATGGACCACATACCTATGGCTACCTGCGGCTGCATTATCGAACAGCCAATATCCCGGAGGGGTGGTGATCCCAGCGAAATCTGGATGGTCCATGTAGGCTGTCAGCACAGTCGAAGTCCCTTGCGCAGGTGGCACCGCTTAGATCTGATAAGAGCATGCAGTATGAACCACAGTACTTGAAACACTGCGCCCAATTTTCGGCATTGATCAGCTCTATGGATTCCACTATCGTCAACTTTTGCCTCAGCGTTGGCCTGCCAGAACGCGACGGGGTTCTGGTGCAGAGCCAATGGCAGGATGGTGGCGAGTTTCCAGACGGGCTACTTGATGCGTCTTGCCTGGCTGCCCAGCTCTGCCTCGGATCCCAAAAGGTAGACGTGCGCCCGCTCAATCAAACAATTGTCAAGGAAAATTGGTATGGCCGCGTCAATCTCGACTTGAGCGCAAACTTACAAGGTGTAGGTCTGAGACCTGTATTGCAGAGCAGCGCTGCATCATCCAGCCCCATACAGCCGACGACGTGTCCGCGGCCGTTTGCATCATTGGCTTCTTCAACGTCAAGTTTGCTGCTCGGAGTGGAGGGCACTCTGTCAAACAGCGTGTATTGTGGTTGATCTGGTTGATAACGTGTATTCTGGTGATTCTGATTAGAGTGTTGTATCTCTGTGAAAATCCTTCTGTGGGCTAGGTGGCCTAAAAATGCCCTATTGGCCTTGCTGGTGCACTGCCACCTCCCTGAACGCCACGGTGGCTTGTGCGCCATTCAACACACTCCCCTAATCCCTGGTGGTCCAGTATTGGGCCGGACTGCATTCTGCTCGACATGCAGAAGATGAAGCAGGTCAGCCTCTCTCCGGACAACACTACTGCTGCAGTAGGCCCAGGAGCCCGTTGGGGCGAGTTGATATCAGCATAACGTAACAGTCATCGGGAGTCGAATCCCTGCTGTTGGTGTCGCAGGTCTTATCCTTGGTGGTAAGGTGTACCTGTCTAGTGTTGGCGGTAAACGATGCACTGACAAGTCAAGGTGGTTATAACTACCTGTCTGCAGAATACGGTACTGCTGCCGATAGTGTGAAGAACTTTGAGGTACTCTTCGCTAACTTACTCTCTAGATCGTACTCGCCGGCAACTCCATCGTCAGCGCCAACACGGATGAGCGCAGTGATCTATTCTGGGCTTTCAAAGGCGGCGGACCCAATTTTGGCATCTTCACCAGATTCGACCTGTACACGGCCCCCGTCAGCGATGTGTGGTCCCAACTGTCCCTATTCTCCCCTGACCAAGCTTCCCAGATGTTGGATGCATTTGCGCAGTGGCAGAGCAGCGAGGACTTTGACATCAAGTCTTCGGTCACACTCTCGATAGGTCTGGACTTCATCACACTGGGGCTGCTGTACTCAACGCCGGCGGAGAGCCCCAGCGTGTTTGCACCATTCTACCTGCTGGAGCCGTTGCAAGTACTTGCGCCAGCGGCCAACGGGACAATGTCCCAGATATATGATGCGGCAGCCAGTATCGTCACAAGCGGATCGCGACGGTATGTACCACTCTACCTAGGATCGTGCACGCCAATGCTCACAGATGCGTAGTCATGGTTACAGGGCAGCGAGCTCGCAAGTCGACGGTAAGCTCTGCAAGTCCGTTCACAGTCTCGGGCGGGAGCAGGCGCTGAAAGTCAGGGAGACCACCGGGGCAAACCAGACATTCGCTTTACGGCATGTTTCCAGAAGCCTTGTCTCAAAGGGCATCGAGAGAGGCGGGAACCCCATGGGTATTCCGGTTGAAAACCATCAGTGTAAGCATCGTACCCCCTTTCTGAATTCCCCACGCAACGTGGCTCGCTCTCGCAACGCAATTCAAACTGACTATGTTTCAAACAGGGTGGATCACACTAGCGGACTGGGTAGAGGCAGAAGACGACGACCTTGTGCGGTCGGTCGCTATTGAGACGGCAGACTTGTAGAAGAGTCTCGGTTCAGAGCGCGGCTCACACCCCCCGTTTCTACATGAACGACGCTTCGAGAGACCAGACCCCCCTTGGTTCGTACGGGCCCGAGAGCGTGGGGAAACTGAAGAAGATCGCTCTCAAGTACGATCTAGCGCAGTTATTCCAGACGAACCAGGCCGGCGGGTTTCTGCTGTCCAGGGTAGACTGACTGCTAGACGGAGCAAAGAGTGTAGTGCCTTCACACTACCCGTGAACTTGGGGATGGGCGAACAGGAAGGGCTCCTTCGCATCGAAAAGTGCAAGATACATAGAAAATATGACCGAGCTCACGTTGGCACTCGGAAGATCAGCTTGATGTTCTGTGATATAGGAGAAATACTCCAAATGACTGTGTGCATAAAGCACGCTGAGATCCAGGAGTTGGATGTGACTGGTCTGTAAATTGATGACAATTTCGACTAACGACCTTCTCTCGAGCCTTCGACTCCAAAACGTCTCTTTCGCAACACCTACTACCAATTCGCCGTGAGAGTGAGGACGGTATCCTTCTCCATCACCTTGGCCCACACCAGACTCTGCCGCCATATACTCTGTTGGATCTCGATGTCCAGGTTCTGGGGTGCGCTCTTGTCCTTTTCCAGGAGCGTGAAAGATCCCCGCTGGCCCGGGTGAGCGCGGGAGTCCTCCGGTGGGTTGTCGACAATGACCGGGGCAATAAACATGCCCTTTCGATCAACGGCCTTGAGACTGCCAGTTGCGACTTTGAGTTTGTGTCTCTCGATGTCAGCGAGCAGCGCCTTCACGCGTTCAAACTGAGCGGCATGGGTGATGGGTCTATAAAACTGCCAGCTTTAAAACCGTCCCCTATTGGCATTTACCCTTCTACAAAGGCGACCAACGCGTCGAGGAACGTGTCGTAGATAGACTCGTGGACGTATATTCGCTTGGCTGCCATACACATCTGGCCCGAGTTGACGAACGAGATGATCGTGATGGCAGGTAGACTCGCTGCTATATCGACATCTGCGCAGACGATAGCTGGGTCGTTTCCGCCCATCTCGAGCGTTACCCGTTTGAAGGTGCCAGCAGCGCGCTCCAAGATCTTCCTTCCGGTAGAGACCGAACCCGTAGAGGCAATTTTGTCGACCCTGGGTTACTCGTTAGTAGGTACCAAGTATAGACCCGTGAACATCGCGAAACAGGTTACGTTGCACGCAGGGCAGATTGGGTGACATGACTCACCCGGATGAGCTGTGAGCCAGGGGCCGAGGCAATCATCCCCGCTCAGCGCCTGCAGGACCCCAGGCGGAAAGAAGCAAAGACCCAGCTCGGCCACCTTCAGACAGCAGTACGGCGTGAAAGGGAAGGGCTTGAGTATAAAGGTGTTGCCAGCTGTAAGGCGGCGGGAAGCTTGAAGAACGATATCATGAGAGAGAAATTCCAAGGCACGATGCCGACCGCAACCCCCAGCGGTGTATAGCGCTCTCTGACACGACGCTCGACTGTGCTTTCGACGACGTTCTCCGGGATCGATAGGCTGCAGAAACCGCGGATCCATTTGACGCAGTTCTGTACTTCGAGCCGGGCCCAGAACAGCTACCGCCAAAGATGTCAGTAAGCAGCATGCTGATGGGTCTGGGGGGTTTCGATATTCGACTTACTGGCTTGCCGTTCTCCCTCACCAGTGGTCTGGCGAACTGGTCGGTCAGTGCCTCGAAAGTAGCAGCATAGTTCTCGAGAGCTTCCTTGCGGTCCGACCAAGGAGTCTCGGCCCAACTGTCTGCCGCCCGGCGAGTGGACTCGACGGCGATATCGGCATCTTGGGCTGTGCTGAGCGGCAGGCAGGGATTGGCCTCAAGGGTTGACGGATTCGAGGTACTGTAAGTCTTGCCCGAGCCAGACTCGACCAGCTTCCCATCCACCACGTTGCGAAACGTGGTGAAGTCGAGGGGGCCGATGACACCGTCTCTGGGGGTTTCAGCCGATATAGCTCCAGATAGTCGAAGCGGCTGTCACTGATTCAGCTTTGGTTGAAATAAAGACAAGCGAGCGAGCGGTTGAACGCATGTGTTGAGAATTATGGGAGACGCTCACCACCCCCAACAATCACCTCACGAGCTTTCGCATCAGACCCGCCTACCAACCAGCCAGAAAGAGGCCTCGGTAACCGCGCTCCGAGCCGCACCGCCGTCAGGAAGTCGCGCCGTGATCAATAAGATACCGAGTTCGAGTCTATTGGTGCTCGCTTCGTCGACGCGACGTAAGCGGCGTCGTCGTGCTCGTCCATCACGGTCACCGAAAGAAAAAATGATTGCTGCACCGAGGGCACACAGAACGCGATAGCGCTGATGTTGCGTATACTGGAGAACAGCTGGAGTCGTCCCAGTGCTGAGATTCCGTTCCATGCGTGATTGGAGCCCAAAGTATCCTAACAATAACTCCGCATGAGAGAAGAAGCTTCCATCGTAGTTTCCGAGGTGATTACGGGTAGGAATTGAGCCGAATGCCAGGTTCGGAGCTTTGCTAGCTTGGGGTTGTGTATTAATGCGTACCGCCATAACATCATCGTCAGCTGTGAAATCTTCCGACTCGACACAACCTTGACAATAGCCCACTCGATCTCATACCTCAAGGGAATTTCAGTGCTTATCCTATTGATGGCAGAGCCTCGTCTGTCTTATCAAATGCAAGGCGGTCAAACGACTGCTGATCGTGCACCTGTACCACCAAAAATATCACACATTAAGTCGCCCAGTCGTACCAATGCAACTAATTCTCGAGGTAACCGAGCCTAGTTGTCTCCGTCTCGTCGTCAAACTGGCCCCAGAGCCACGTGCCAATAATGCATGGCTACCAAAGTCCAACACCCAAACGCCGCCCATGCAAATGAAAGCGACCATCCCTATTACCGTCTCCTTATTCACATATCCCTGAGAACTGGACCGAGAAGGAAAGCATTCAGGGCCGTCTGCTAGGATCCGTTCCTTATCTCCTTCGAGTTGCCGACAAATCTCTCTTTCATAGAGAATTGCTTCCCACCCATCGACTTGAACTTGTCGATCAACGTCTTCCGTGCATCAAGGTCTGCGATATCGTCTCCGCCACCGACGCTCTCGCCATTGATCAAGATGTTGGGTACTGTCTTGCGATTCGTCTTCTTGAATAGGTTGGCTTGTATCTCCTTGCCTAGAGGGTGTTCGTCGAGTTCGACGACGTACGGTGAGGGGTCGATCGTGTATTTCTCGAGAAGGACACCCTTCGCTCGTTTGGAATAGGGACAATACGTCTTGGAGAATATAACCACTAGCGAGTTGTCAGTAATGTTCCTACTTGTCCAAGACGTGTGATAGAGTATACCTGGTGATTTCTTGAGTATTTCGTTCAATGTTATCTCTATGGCGTCGTCGGCGTCATCGTCTTCGGCATCGTTTTCGCCTCCCTTCCCGTTGTCATTGACTGTCTCTTTTGCACTGCCCTTCGGCTTGTCTTTCATGCCCTGGCCGCCCGCGGAGCTCCCGACACCAACCACGTTCTTGGGAGGGTCTGGCTTCAGTGGTGCCTTGGCGTTGGCCAGTTCTTTGGCTTTTTGTTCGGCAGCTCGTAGACGGTCGCCCATTTCTTTTGCCAATTGTTCGTCGTCCGCGTCGACAGTGCCATCCCCGTCGTGGTCCTTTGGATTTGACTCGGTCGACGACCCTTTCCCGCTCATGACTACTTGACCCTGGCCACCATGTTTTAATCCGTTCACGGTCTTACCGAAGAAGTTGTCGATCGTCCGGGGGTCACGCGGCATGGTGGACCGCATCTTGGATGTGAAGAAGAGCATGGTTATGACGATGGCCAGGACGGCCAGCATGACGAGGCGCAGCCTCCTGGCTGAAGGCATCATGGATGCTGGACGGAACTGGGTGTGTCGCTGTGCACGGGGAGCAGAAAGGACAGTACCCCTGGCTGAGGAATTGCGCCGATGTGTAGAGCGGCGAGAGACGCGGTTCTTGTTACCGACAGTAGGTCGAAGATGGAGTTGTCTGCGTGCACCTAGTTGATGGTTGGCGCAAACATGTCTCAGATGGCGAAAATACTAATGGTATCGGCGTGGGACTCGGTGGCCGATCAGTACCCCTCGTGAGATGTGAAATGGGCAGGTAGTATCGGTCAACAACAATTCGAAGGTCGATTGGTTTGCTCGAACGTCTCGATCGGTTCGAAGATAAAGGAAGCCTCTCTTGCGTCTATTAGAAGGTGAATGGCTTCAACGAGTGATCGGACTGGCCACGCGTATTGGTCCACAATGGAGTCTGATGAATGTCTCGCGTTTGGGGTCGATACGGCTAAACCCACGAGGCATAGGATTGGAAAGCACTGTAACACGAAGGAGGAAGAAGAGGAGATTAATGAGTGGGTAGAAAGCTGATAGCAACTGAGCAGATCAGTATCCGCGAACTGTGAGGATCGATCAATGACCAGCTTGCAACTGACACGGTACACGTTGGATGGAGCCTGATGGAGGATTGCGAGGGATGACGACGAAGATGGTTTCGGCTGGCAGACTGGCAGACCCTTGGCCCTTGGCCTTTTCGGGTCACGTTGCGGAGTATTTGTGGGTATCCAGTAGAGGCGGCTCCAGGCGGACAACCTGACTGACCCAGCCACGACTGCCCCCCGCCCGCTACCACTTGCCACAAGGCGTAGTTGAAGTCCCAATCAGACCTAGCGCCAAAGGGAGCATGATAGCTCATCTGATCATTTAATTGCCTTGATGCTTGCTGCAGGGGAAATGCATGGATTCCCACCTCAGCTCGGGCCAGCCCCCCACTGCAATTCGTTTCCAGTTTCGCAGCGCTGTGATTTTGGGCCGTGAAACCATAATATCCGGGGTAAACCACCGCTAGCATCAACCTTGGTCATCGAGACTCTGGAACATCGACTGAGCAAGACATGCATGTGCAGTGTATCCGTCCCTTTTAGCCTTTGCTAGACACGCTTTCAAGCTCTCGAGACATTTCGCTCGAGCGATCAAGGAAGTCTGCACTACCTCAAGAAAGACAGCGACCTGTCAGGGCCATCCCGAGATCCCCGGCCACGATATATTTTCCCTTCTGTCTGCATACGGCAGACTGCATCTTCTCCCGCTGATCAAAAGCCCCGCGTGGGACTGGGTGGACGATCAGCATCCATCCGTCAAGTACATGGTGCAAGTCATGGTGACGGCCCGTCGCTGACGGGCGGTGCCGCCAGGCCAGGTCTTCCCCCCGATCCCGCTTCCTGCAGGTTGCCCTCGCAATGAAAGGCAGCATGTCATCCTGTGACCAGGACAAGTCACACGATACCGGTATAGGGCGCGTGGACTTCTCGAGTGACCGGTTGCACGACCAACATTAGAGCCACGTTGCCCGGTGCTGCTCCTGTGCTCTGCTCTGCTCTGATTGACCCAGAGTGCTAGAAACTACTTTACCCAAGCCAGTTCATAGAGTCTTGGAGACCTCCTATTCGAGTAATAGAACTATGTTTTCGCCTCGTCGACAGCCCGATGCGCCCGGCCTCTCGCCTCGATCTTTCGCATCTTTGGTCAGGCTTTCCAACATGCATGCAACCCTACTGTTATCAGCAGCACGAGCGTCAGCGAAGAGGGTGCACGTGGTCCGAGCATCCTCTAGTACTGCATCTTCTCACTTATGTTCGAGTGGATCTGTATCTCACATACAGTCACCCCCAATAAGTCTCTGTCCGAATTTCCTCTATCAGGTCGAGTATACCGATGTTAAGTTCGTATAAATCGAATAAGCACCCTGGTATAAGCAGTGTTTATCCAAAAAACCATCTTCGATGCTTATTCCAGAGTGCTTATCCCGTTTTACTGAATGAAGGTGGACGGAGACTTTTGGAGTTCAGAGTAAAGCATCGATTCAAACGACTACATGGTTATTCAACAGGTGGGTGTCCTTCTCCCCTTGCTCCGTTACTCCCGTCTTAATCAGCAGACAAGCTCCTTCACAACCTTCAACATCTTCAGCACCACGCGATCGCCCGGCGCCCGCGCGAGCTGTCGGAACCGCTCCACAAGCGTCATCTTCAGGCCCTGCAGGACGCCCTCGGCGCCCGTCTCCCACTCGGTCAGCTCGGTCAGGCCGGCGCGGAGCATGTGTCCGGCCATCTCGCGCATGGTGGCGCGGTCGCTGACGTGCGCCCACACGAACCACGAGCCGTGGCGCAGCACGCACTCCTCGAACACCGTGATGCGCTCGTTGATGGTCGGGTCCGAGCCGTCGAACTTCTTGGCCTGGCTGAAGCCGAACCCCAGCATGTTGATCAGGAACAAGAGCACCGCCACGTCCGCCAGGGGCAGCGAGTCGATGTACGCCACCTGGCCCGGCCGCGCGTGCACGTTGGTGAAGGGGTCCATGTTGCGCAGGCCCCTAGGCAGCGGCGATACCGACCATACGCCAGACGTGATGAGCGAGTAGTACTCCTCGCCGATGGGCTTGCACGGCGCGTTGGCCGCGATGTCGGCCATTGCGTCGCATTGGAGCAGGGCGCGCTTGATCAGCGGCCCCAGGCGTCCCTGCTGCTCCATAGTCAGGGGTGGGAGGCCCGGCGGCGAGGCGAGGTTGAAGAATTCCGGGTGCTTCTGGATGAGATAGTCGATTCGGAGTTCGCGGATCTCGAGCTCGTGGAGTAGCGAAAACGTGTTCTGTAGCAAGACGTTGCGCTCTGGCGTCGCCGACGAGAGCACGTTGCCCAAGGGCGGAAGCGGAAATATCGCGGCACGCGCCTTGGAGATGGAATGCTCGTGGTCCTTGATGAAGCCGCACAACTCCTGACCGCCAATGGTAAGCGAAAAGGTCACGAAAGGCTCTCTGGGGCACTGGAGAGGTTGGGGGTGGTCCCATTACCTTATTCGTCGCCATGAATGCTTTTAGCGTGCGAACATCCATATGCTCGACCATGTCGAGGATTAGTTCGTTGGGTAGCCGCATGTTGCCGTCCAACTCTGTCTACGATCGAAGACTAAAGTAGAGCTCGAAGCGGCGTTGAATACAGTCAAATGGTGCTGTATCGGCGTAATGTTGCTCGTAACAATAAAAGCGACGGAAGAGACAAGAAAGTTGGGTTGCGAGAATGGATGTTGTTGTTGCATGTGCTGTGGTTGTCATGCGGACCTTGATGGCTCTTCGGCGGTTACAACCTAGTGTTGATCGGAAAGTCCACTGGCCATCAAGGTCGAACTCCATCCATTGGCCATCGACTACTAAGCAGTAACGGGCAAGCTGCAACAGTCAGTCACAAGAGACACGAAAGCGGATTAGGCAGGGTCAAGTTGATTGCTTGGATGAGAAGCTTGTCATAGCGCCTGCAGGTGGGATATCTCAATCTGTGGGATAAGCACCCTGGAATAAGCGTTCAGCATGACTTTTGGGAACATGACTGCTTATGCCAGAGTGCTTATTACGCAGATAGCAAAAGACTCTGACATTGGAATTCAAGACCTTGATGACGGGATGTACGGAGACATATGTATAGCGTTAGAGAGTGACTGTCCTTGGTGTGAGGCTATCTCTCTCTAGTGGAGCTCCCGCTCGGGAGCGGTGGAGTAGAAGGGTTCCGACCTCACCTCCGGTCGGAGGCGGCGGTGTACGGCGGGGACGCCGCCAGCAGGACCACTAGGCTCGGAATGCATTACAAGCGATTCCACTGGGACATAGTGTGCGCAAACCAAACTCATTCGGGTAATGAAATTGTTTAGGTAGTATCCATTCTCTTTGCTCCTCGTACATGATAAACAAACAGGGAGACTTCCCTAAGTCCGTGACCGCCTATCCCGGCCAATGGCCGGGGGCCGGCATTGAGACCGAACGTCGAATGAGATGCACATGCTCATGGGCTAATGTGACAGTAGACCTCCAGCAAGGTCTTATGACACTAGCTTGGGCAGCATAGCCATTGTCACGTCGAGAAGTACTCTGTTCTTTGAGAGTTGAACAAACATTTGAAAGCAGTGTCAGGGTGGCCGTTGCGCTGCGTTGATACACTGTAGGCGGCGGGGCTAAGCGCCATAAGTTAGTCAGTTCAGACCGCGCTGACATTATACTTCAGCCGCACGGGTCCGCCAACTGGAACCGTTGTGGTTTGTCGCCCGCTAGGCCTCACAATTCCAATGTCTGTCCAGAATTGACCGCCCAGCTGCTCGGACGTGGTCTCCCGAGCGATTTGGTTGTTGTTGTTGTTGTTGTTGTTGTCTTTTAAAAGCTTTTCGACCGAAGGAAGGAGCCAAACCTAAATACCCTAAAAGACAACAAAAAGCAGAGCCCTCGTGCTGTACGCTAAGTCTATTAAAATAAAACGCTACAAATCATCTCAATCCACTAAAACCTTAACCACGGATGGCGTTCACAGGCTTAGGCCGATGCGTCACACGCCGAACGGCATGCGCGCAAAGCCTCGCCCATAAAGCCAGACCCTGCTCGAGCGTACCAGTGTCAGATTGCCGCACACGGTAGGAATGACTGATCGGATCACTGATGGCATACTGCACAATCAGTACGGTCACGGACAAGGGAGGCAAGCTTTTGACTGGCCAATTGGAAAACCACTGTATAGGGTGATGATTTCCGTCGCCTGGTCTGTTTGGCCAGAGCACGTGTCTGGAAGTCCTCGAGCATCACCGGTCGACTGAGCCACTTGACGTGTCCGTCATCCGATACCGCAGTAATGGAGCTTTGACACTTCTGGATCGATCTTCCAGACCACCGGTGACAAGGCATTCCGGTCACCGGTCACCGCATGCCTTCCGAGTCAATATTTCCCGGTTTCACGGCCTCCAGACAGCCGTTGCCGCCTCGGCGGCCGTTGGGAATTTTGTCTTCCACGTGGGTGGGCTGGCGGTCGGTCGCAGTAGCTGCACGGCTTCCGATCGGCCTACTCCAGCTCGGATCGGAGCTCCGGGCGACAGTCACGAGAAAAGCCAGGTATCACCAACTCGTATAGGTAAGTCCATATGTTCTCATGTTAGCAGTGTCCACTCCCCCTGATGGCTGTATGTCAAAGATCTGACAGTCATCACTACAGCATCATTCCCACCCTTCACGATGTATCTAGTCTCGCGATCAAGTCGGGCAGTCTCCTATACACCCTCACCAATGCCGGACAGTAATACACCACTAACCTCATCGCCCCTTCGAAACCCCCAAGCATCACCAGAGCCGCGAAGCACAACGTGGTCACCAATGTCAACATACTCCTAATCCAGTGTCTTTTCCTAGGACGAGACCAAGGACAACTTAGCAAGCCAGCCCGAGAACCCCAAGCGACCGACTCTGCAGCAGATGAGAAGTTTTCCACGAGATCGGCAGCTCTTCTACTGCCGAATTCCATCAAGATCACAGCATCGGGCCCTGGAACGCGACTAGCCCCGCTGACCACAACTATGTATGCATGGAATACGTCCGGCAGCAGGCTCTTCTGGAACAGCGGCAGCGGGAATCTTGTACTGCCTAGCTCAATGATATGGTCGATGGTGGAAGACAGGGCTGTGGCCTGTGGCCACACGCTTTGGGGGTGGCTATGCGGCTCCTGTGTAGATCCTGCTGACGGTTGGCCTGGTCTGGCCAAATGTAAGCGACGCTGTTGCGAGAGTGCCTACATCTGCATGCGCTCTGATCGTATGCAGTATTCGTAGGACACTCCCCATGTGGCCTGTCGGACGGGGTGGAAGCACGTGTGTAGTAGGTATCAAATGACGTTCAACGGCTGTGTGATTCTTTTGGGTCCGTAGGCACCGACGCCACGTTACGCCGAAGGCATACAGAGGAATGGCTCGATGAGTTTGATGTCTTGCGGACGCACGGCGGGTCGTTGGAGAGAATAGCCATGGAGAACCTGCATCTGTATCATATTCTGATTACCCTCGTCGGAATCATCGCCTCGCGTCGATCTTGGCTTCTACCGCTATCGCAAAACGATTGCAGCACTTGTCGTCGCTTTGGATCGAGATGGTTGATAGGGGGAGTTTGAATTACCTCATGCATCCAGAGGAACTGGTTCTTGGTACGATGCGGAAATCCGGCTCCAGGTTGGGAGTTGGTGATGATTGTGCGGCGAATTAATGCCCTTACCTCTTGGAGAGATGGCATGGATAGTTATCCCGGCAACTATGTCGTATGCTGGAAGTTAGGAGCTAAAAGCGGCCAAAAAATTGCGCTTTGTTGCCCCCCTGCCCACAGGAATGGTGATGATAATGGAGGGCGGTAAAGCCTAAGGGTGGTGATGGTGTGATTTTGATGCATGCGCGAATGAGGATGGTACGGTAATACTTACGTGCTCGCCCCGCCGCAGATGTGAGCTGCGGACCTTTGAATTCTCTTCTCACTTATCCCTATCCGTTCACAGTAAGTGACATCAAGTTCAGATTTGTATTTCAAAAGATGTTTGTTTGTTTGTTTGGTATTTAACGTGGGGGATTGCTCCTCAGTAGTGCAAACCACGCCTCCCAGAGCCTCTGTATCGCAGGGTTGTGGAGGTCTCAAGATAATAAGTACAGTCAGTCCCGCTCACGGGCCCATCCCCGTTGTTGCGGCGGTATGACCTTGGGGTCATCCATCTGGTCCTTCAAGAAAAGCTATCTATCAGGGGCAGATTATTGAAAAGAACTTGCTCTTCTTCACGAATTTTGCCTATTCTGTGCTCCTCTTCCCTAAGTATTGTAAACAAGCTGTCTTAGGCGAGTACCTAGGCAGCAGCCGGTTTTTCCCCAGCCTCTTACAAAAGAAAATATATTGTGGTGTTTTCTTCTCACCACAGCTGTAGTGATCATTCGAGTCTGTATGCCCAAAGCGTTCATGGTATCTGGCAAAGTCGCCATGTCCAGATCTGGCTGCTAGAAGTCTGTGTAAAGTACTCCTCTTAAAAGATATAAGGTCTTTTTTAGTTACTGTATGTGAGTATATTTCTTGATATCTAGGCTCTAATTGGTTTTTTTATTATTAATTGAACTCTTTCTTGCCTTTTTTTTTGAGATCTCTCTTGACCCATGAGATTATGAGAAGGTTGTTGTGTCTATTTCTAGCATGGCACCCTCTTTTGCTAGTGTGTTGGCAGCTTTGTTACCATCAATATCTCTGTGTCCAGGAATCCATTTGACGGTCACTCCAGGAGTGTGCGCTGTGGCAAGTTCTTGGAATCGTAGAAAAATGTTCTGTGATGTCTCGGGTGGAGTCCCATTGAGCCCATCTACCACTGCTGTGTTGTCCAGGCAGACATATAGCTGTTTTCCGTGTCCAATTGCCCTGGCTGCTACAAGCCCTTGGAGAGCGCTATGGACTTCAGCATCTATTACTTTTGCTTAGAGAAGTCTGCCCTTTCCCCGGTATACTTCTTGTGTAGTGCCGCCTTTCCTGATGGTATAACCCTATCCAGTGCGGGTTATGCCTTGGTCGTCCAACTGTGATCCATCTGAATAGATGACAAGGTCAGTGTTCACGTTTCTCTCCTGTAACCATTGCTTAAAGAGCTCTGTTTCTTTGTCTTTGTCTTTATGGATTGGGGGCTTCTTCCATGATAGCCTGGTAAGTGTTGGTCTCTGGAAGTCAGGGACTAGCTAGAAACTCCTTTGTAGCCTTGTTGGATTCTTGCGAGCTTGTATTTGGAGCCTGCCAACAAGAGGGTGTCTCTGGTCTATTCGTCCTAGTCGGAGGCCATGACGTCGTCTTATTGACTCTGCAAGAACTCTTGCTGGGGGAATCTGTGATTCAAAGTATAGGATATGTCCAGGGTGTGTTTTCCAGACTGGCAAGATAGCCCTGATCGCTGTTCGTAGTACGGCATCTATCGTTCCAAGAAGCCCCTTAATACGACATGCTAATATCCCACCTAAGCTCCCTACTTTCTCGATTCTTGGGTACCAGGCCTCCAAGCCGTGTGTAAGAATAGGAATAACACAAGCTTTCATAGCCCTCTTGGTTAACTTTACTGGAAGTCTTTT